GAAGAGCTCAAGATCGAATCAGTCGTTGTCGTTTTTTTCTCTGTTCGTTCGTATAATATATAACCTTGTAGATCTCAGGAATTTGTGTGCGTGTCTATCAATGGCAAAGACACGAATTCTCTTCATCATTTTTCTAATGATCTATTGAATGAGTTTCGTTCGACGAAGACGACGAATATGTCGTCGTCGAACTGTGCTCTATTTGTGATTGTCATCATGAACTTCTCATCGACAGTTCTATTCATCTGTTTGATATTTCTCAAATGGCAAGTTCGTGGTCAAGATGATTCAGGACAACATTCGTCTTTAACCGTTGAAACTCAATACCTTCGTTTCGATATGAGTCAATATGGGCAAGATGGTGGCGTTTTTTCCAGTAAGTATCTTTCTTCTCCATTCATAATTTTGTTTTTCATTCGCCGGTTCGCTCGTTTTTCAAGGTCCTAATTTTCCAAACTATTATCCACAAAATACAATCTTGTTTTATCAATTCATTGCTTCATCGGATTATCGTGTTGTGATTGAAATCGATTTCTTTCAAGTTCGCGGTGTGACTCCTCAGTGTACACATGATTATCTCGATGTTTACATCAATGTAACTAATTTTGACGTTGTACATAATCCAGTTAATGATCAACTACTCCATCGTTACTGTGGCCGAAATAAACCACCTTTGCTTGTCTCATTTACGAATTTACTTCTTTTGGGATTTTTTACTGAAGATACGCAAACTGAGAGGGGCTTTAATGGTTCATTTCGATTTATTCCTGCACAACCTTATCGAAAAAATTTAAAACGTGAACCATGTGATTATGTATTCGATTCATCAGTATCAAAACGTGGAGAATTATTTTCTTCAACATATCCAGGAACTTATCTACCAGTAAGAGAATCGATTTTCGAACAAAAAATCAGTTTTTTTTCGTTTATTTTTAGGGACAATTCTGTAATTATTCATTCGTTGGTCAACCTGGTGAACGTATTCATATTCGCTTTCGTGATTTAATTCTCTTCAAAACTCCAAACACTCACCATTGTGCTGTCGATCTAATAAAACTCTATGACAATACCTTAGATCCACCCGAACTTCGTCGATTTCTTTCAAGTTTTCAATCAGCAAGTCATTCTGAACAACAATATCTCTCTGATCAACACGATCATCATCATATAACTGATCTTTGTGGAACATATGTCCTCCCACTTGATGTTTACTCCACGGGTAATTTATTGTTACTCTATTTCATTGCTACACATTATGCCGAGCTGACAGATGAAGAACAAGCACAGATGGCTGAGCATTCGGGACCAGTTTGGCGGAAAGGTTTCTTTGCTGAGTACGAATTTTCTTCTTCATTGACGAAACTCGATTTTATCAGCAAAAATAAATCGAATCAATATGTTTCTGGAACTGAATGTGATCAGACCATTAAATCATTTGGACAAGGACATGGTAATCATCAAAGACAATTGATTTCCGACGTTGATTACATTCCCTGTACTATCTTTTTTTTAGGAAAATTTCAATCACCTAATTGGCCACACCCTTACAAGCCTCAAACATCGTGCACGACTTATCTATTGGGACTTGATGATCGTTACACATTAGAAAATGTGGAAATTGAGTTCGATCAATTTGATATTGATTGTAATTTAGCTTCGCTGGTCATTTATAATGCCAGTCGGATTTACGATTATCGTTTACGATCACGTCCGAGTAGCCCATTGTTATCAACTTCGAAATCGTCATTATTTAGTAACTATTATCGACAGGAATTAGATTTTAAAGGAAATCTGTCATTTTGTGGACATTTTAAGCCCGAAGGACGTTTTGTTTCGAAAAATGCTCTATTAAAACTGTCATTTATCCCAACCGATCGTTCCGGAACGAATGTTTACTCCTCATTAAATAGCGGAGGTAAATTTCAAGCACGATACAAATTTGTTAAAAGTTACCATCAAGTCTCCGCCGACGAATATGATGGTACCAATCCAAATACTTGTAATCTTTCTTACTATCAATCTCGCGCACTATTCGGTAACATCATTTCACTCACGTTCTTCCTTATTTCATCCTGTACCTTTTCTTTCCTTTTAGGAAAATTCGAACCGCCTCGCTCATCGGAAAACGACTATTTTGCCAATTCAAATTGTACATTTAATTTCTATCCAATGAATGAAAATTCTCGTTTGTTAATCTGGTACGATTATTTCAATATTGTCGATGATGATCTGATTCAATGTCCTTCGGATAATTTAACGTACACATACAGTCTTTATTCATCATCAATATTCTATGTTCATCCGTTTCGATACTGTGGATATCGAAATTTTCCATCACCATTTTTAAGCGTTCGTTCAACGGAATTATTTCGTATACATTTTCGATCGAATGATGATGCCGACGCAGGATTAGGATTCGAAGGACGTTATCAATTTGTCAATCAGTCAAATTCATTGTTCTCACCAGCCATATGTCGAACTCCATTTGATTCGATTGTTTATGTAAATGAAACCAATGAACCATCAGGAAACATTTCCAGCGATGGCTATCCCGAAAATGTGATCTGCGAATGGTCTTATGTAACATCGCGCGGCTTTCAATTTCTGTTAGAACTCAATCTACTGCAAATCGAAGGCTCGAAAACAAAAGATCCACCTCAAGGTTGTCAAACAGCTGTACTGAGAATTTACAGCGAAGGACGAATCGATGAATTATGTGGACAACAGGAGGAAATCTATTATTTTACCACCGAATCAAATTGGTTTACTATTCAATTTATTTCCCTGAATCGACAAACGAAAGAACTTCTTCGTGGTTTTCATATCTATTGGACTGTTATTGAGACAAGAACGAAATCCGTTGATCAACGATGTTCTCTCTCCGATGAGTATTTTTATTGTAAAAAAACTGCAAATCATTCGATAGGAAATTTTTGTATTCACCGTTCGCTTTTATGCGATGGTCATTCACATTGTCAGCCGATTTCCAATGACGATGAACATCCCTCGAATTGTTATATGATGATTCCATCACGTGTCAAACAACCGTTAGCATTGCCATCATCGACCCTATCATTCTTTCACCAACATCTTCTGTTAATTGTCATTATCTTCGTACTTTGTTTAACAATGTTATGTATTGTTTTCATACTAATTTGTTTATTAATCAAAATGAAACGAAGACAACAAGATCGACAATCGTCGAAACGACGGCGAACAAATCAACGCGATGATTTACTCCTACGCAAAAAGTCGTTGCAAACGTATTCGGATGAAGAAGAAGAAGACGAAGATGATGGTGAACATCATATAAATAGGATGGAACAAGCTGTGACTACAGTTTAGAAAAACCAAATCAAAAGAAAGAAATTCTATGTTTGATAATCCGTCCGTTGGCTTTTTTTTCTGTCATTTTATCTTGTTTATGCAAATGAGTATGTGCGAGAGAAAGAAATCTTATGTGAGTGTGTGTTAGAAGAAATAAATGTCAGGTTAAATGATTCTAGCCGAAAATCTTTTGAATAGACTAGATTTGCTTGTTTTTCTTTTCTCAGTCGAAGGGTAGGAGAGGAAGTTATGTGTAGAGAAAGATATGTCGAAAGATAATCAGAGAAGAATTAATGCGATAAAATACGTGCAGGGTTTCGATTACCAACGTTGTTTTGGTTGACAATATTGTTATTTCAGAAGAAATCAGTTCACTTCGATATCTTTCGAATGGAATCATTTCCTGCTGATCATGGTTTATAATGAAATCAACTATTGAGATAATCACATTTCTGCAGTTACTCGATCGGTCAATTCAATAAGTCTTCTCGGTAGTCATCGTATGAGAGATCTTACACGAATAAGTTCAGAAGAGATCGATCATTTATTTGTAATATATTGATTAGTTGTGAATGAATACAATAAAGAATAAGAGCGATTATTGAGTCAATGTATAAATGAATAGATTTAAAAATGATCAAGTTTTTCAGCTGGACAATCGAGTAGTTTTTCGCTGATAGCGACTTGTTCTGCTTTACCATGTGTATCTTTTTGCCAGGGAACGTGATAAACGCGAACAGTGGCATATTTCTTATCTGGAAGTTGAACCTGAAGTGAATCAATTCTTTGTTTGAAATGAGAAAAATATCTGATGAAATACTTTGAAAAAATAGTTTTGCCCAGCGACTACTTGGGTTGAAACTTGAGTAGGTTTCAATTGGTACGTTTTAGGCACATGAAATTGCTCTTGAAGTTTTTTCTCCGAATGATCTTTATACTAAATATATGTCATTGATTATTTATGAACAAAAATGTTTGGATGTCTCTGTACCAAATCCCAAACTTTCAAATCATCTTCATTGACAGGACGAACTGAAGCAATTCCACCGCATAGTATTCTGAAAGATTCGCTGATAAACAAAATTAATCAAATATAATTCAACTTACTGTGGAGTCGGTTTAGGTGCTTCGTCTGTTGCCTTAGTAGTTTCGTGTCCAGCGTGAGATGACATTTTTTATATCTAAAAAACATGTTAAAACCGCTTTAGTCTCATAAATCTAATGAAAAAGAAATAAAAAATATGAAAAACGTCTGAAATGCAAAATGTTCTATGAATACGTATTTATATTCGCATAAAAAGCAAATGGTTAATGGAGCAATTCGTTTCCTCTCATGTCACTCCCTGTGTTATTCATCATCAACATCGTTAACCCTTCAATTTACTGTGCTGTTGACGATCGCTCTTTCTTTTCTTTCTTTGAAAAACATACTACGATACAATGGAATGGCTAAACCAATAGACGAACCATATCGAGGCTCGACAAACGAGAGATGGACCTATATGTGTCTTCTCTCTCTGTCTCTATTACCGGCCCACCATCTCATATTTGCTTCAGAGAAGATGTGAATCACTATGTATAAATATTTAATATTTTTTTGCGTTTTGTATTAGTAAGAACATGGGCGAAGATACGATCGGAGCGTTTTCTTAATTACTCTAATGATAAAAATAAATAGGGATGTTCCTACGCAATGAGTTGTTGAGAACGCGTCGTCTCCGTCAATTTTGTTAACTACGACACACCCATGAAAGCAGATCGATTTCGATTATTAGCACATCTTTGTCTGTCGAATACTAATGCTGTAGCTAGATGTTTATTGCGAACAGAATACAGTTTTCATTTGATACGATGTGTATATATATATATGTTTGTTCAGACATCGATGACAAAAGAACTATTATCAATCAAAACATTACTCTCTTACTTTTAAATTTTGATTCTCAGTACATGGCTCGTCTGCAATACAAAATAGAGCCAAAACGCTGATGTCTGCATTCAAGTCTTTTCGGGAGTTGAAAGAATGTCTCAACCATGATAGACAGATGGCGCTTGTTGTTTGTTTCTCAGATTATATACTGAATAGGTGGAGAATGAAGGTTCTCACCTGAACGATCAATTGACTCATGGTTTCTTTTCAAAGAAAAAAGAATCTGACAGAAAATAGCTCAACTCAAGACATAAAATGCTTGAATTACAATTAAACCGTGTTGATTATCTAAAAGTAAAAGAAATTTGTCAATCATTCTTTTAAGAAAGAATCATTTTGTTTTTCGAAGACTATCTCATCCATTCCAACCAAATGTATGCGATTATTATCTCGTGAAAATGTTAAAAAAGACACTCAAAAAGTACACACATATTCTCATGCATATAATTAATATCTGATTTGATTTTTAGCTTGCATTGGGTGAAAGCAATGGAAGTGTGCAACTCTTTTCCATTCGAAAGAAAGACACAAGTGTAATTCTTCTCAAAAGACATACTTACGAATAATTTATTAGAAAATTTTCCCATTTAGACAATTTTCAAAACGGCACCAGGGAAGCGCATCAACCGGATCGAACTTGGAGGTCGTCTCGGTGAAATTCCTGATCGAATCTTTGTTGCTGCCGAAAATGAGGTGAAAGGTTATTCGAAAAAAGGCAAACAATTCTATGCATTTGACACGAATATCAACGAACCCATTCGGTGCATGTAAGTCTCACTCATTTTCTTCTACTAATCTCACTTTAAAAAAAAACAAAGGAGTATTCTTGGCTCGAGTTTATACACATGTACAGAAACAACTTATACGCATTACATTGAATCCAAAGAAACCGACACAGTGACATTTGCAGCCAAAATGAATGACATTGTTATTTTACCACTTCCTATTCAAGCTATGCCAGTCGTTGCTTGTCAAGATCGATTGTTAAGACCATTACATGTAAGTCTAAACTAAACCAATTGCAAATCAATATCATAAATTCGATTTTGTTCCTCGTAGAAATCTTCAGTGTTGTATGATGCAGAAGTACCTGGTATTCCAACCACTTTAATACTTTCGAACAAAAACGGAGGTATGTCAGAGAAATTGATTATTGATTGATCAGTATTTTTGTGTTTAGGTCCAACGAAGAGTGAAGTTGTGTATGGAACATCAGATGGTCGTTTGGGTCAACTAGAAATTGGCAGGTTAGACTTCAGACATATGATTCATTTTCGCATTCATATATATTTAAAACTCTACTAATAGTATCTCAGCTAATAGCAAATGGGAAATAGCAAATCCCAAGCATTTGTCTGGCATCAGTGCGATCGATTTTTATGATATCCTAGCTGACGGCGTGCCCGATATGATCGTTGCACGTGAAGATGGAACAGTTGAAGTATACAATTTCGAAACGACAGATGAACCAGTTCTCAAGTTTACCTTCGTGAGTTACAACATTTTTACTCATTTTTTAAATAATATCTATCGTATGTTTCAGAATGGCACTGAGAGTATTACGAATATCGAAGGTGGAGTTGTTGGCAATCCGAATTATGACGAGTTGATATGTTGCACATATCAAGGTGAGTATTTTTTGGTTGATCAATCGATATATTTTTTAACTGAATTCGTTTTAGGTTGGATCTTCGGTTTAACAACTCAGCCATTACAAAATGACTTGGGCGGTGAAGTTGTTACTGCACAAAATGATGATCTCAAAAATCGTATTGAAGATCTTAAGTGAGAGAAAAGAGAATTTTTAGAAGAGAATGTTTACATTCCAACTCATTTCTAGGAATGAAATTGATGAATTACAAAGACGACTCATAGTGGCACGTGAACGTTACCAAGAAGCCATCAAATCTGACACTCGTGCCTTGTCAACTATTCGAGAATTTCGTGTTAATGATCGATTTGAACTCAATCGTGATGATGCAACATATAATCTGATGATTGAAAGTGAAATTCCAATCGACAATGTTCTTTTGCAATGTGATGTCATTTTGGATGTACTCGACGTGGAAAAAAATTCTGCTGTTATGAGCTTCAGTGATTGTGATCCAAGAGTAAAATGAACGTTTTATTTGAACGTAAAATTTTCTTTGTTTCTCAAGGATAACAATGCCGTACTTGTGACTTATCGTTGTCAAATGAATACAACACGTTTAGAAATGCATGTTCGAACAATCGAAGGTCATTATGGAACATTACAATTGTATATCACATCGAAAATTCAACCGCGATGTTCAATGCTTCGCCGGCATATAATAAAACCATTGTCATTACATCAACGAAGTTCGTCTGCAATCGATCCCAACAAGTAGAGAGAAAATCCAAAAGAAGATATTCTGAAATTTGCTGTTTTATTTTTTAGACGAATGAATACAATGAAAATAACAGGATCATTTAGTTATGCAGAAATTCATTCATGGATTCAGTTTTGTCTTGCCGATGTTCCGGAACGACCACCTATTGAAAAAGAAAATCGTTTAGTTTATACAAACATCTTCTTACAAACACAACTGGAATGTATATACAAGTAAGTATTCATTTACAATTCTGATTTTCCTACCGGATATCATCTAAATGAACTCATTTGTTTTTAGACAAGATGAAGCAATATTTCGTTCGGAAAATGTTTCCACTATCTCCATACTCAAAGATGTAATGAGTAAAAAAGCAACAGAAAAGAAAATCACGCTCGATATTTCCTATGGTAATCTCAAACGTCAAAAGAAACTTGTCTTTCGATATGTTGTCTTTGATTTTAGAACTAAGCAATGAAACTATTGCTATAACACTTGGTCAAATCCTACCCATGATTGCCCATTATAAAACTCTGACTGACAAATACAATCTGATCGAGCCATTACAAGAGTTAATTATGGATGGTTCATCGGATAATATTCTCACACCAGAATATCGACAAGTGTTGACAAATGCTGAGTCGATACGTGAACAACATAAACAAACACCAGTACATTTGAATCGTTTGTGTAGTATGGTAGCAGATTTGTTCATCGATAAACATAAATTCGAAGGAACAAATGTGAAAGCAAAGATTCCGACTCTATTCGAAAAACTGAATACGTCATTTACTCAACCGCAGATTTTCATTGACTTTTTTAATTCATTATAACCTATTTGATTCTATTTATTATTGCTGTTGTGAAATAATTGTTCTTGAAAATAGAATTCAATCTGGAGATGCTTGAGTTGATCTAAAGATGGTTGATGAACAATTTTTTCTAATAAAATATCGCCAATGATGAATTTCATAATGAGCTGAAACTTCCTTGTCTACACGGATGTCTCTCAAATGCGAGAACAATAAAATGATTTTTCACGGTTATAACAATCTTTTCTAAACCCGTCGCACATGACTTTATTGGAATATCATTGAAATAAACATCTGGAGATTTGCGCATTACAGTGTAGAGAAAGACTAAACACGTCTGTGTCTGATTTACATGTCGAATTGGAAGTGAACACATCACGTATGAAGAACATAAGCAGAATAATGCAATATATATTTGAGTTGTGAATAGTCAAAAGAGGAAGATAAAAATCATAATGAAATTTTTATGAACTAAATTTGACTGATAATATATTTTCTTGAGCAAAGCATCTTCCACATGCCTACTCAGAGCAATGTCTCCGGGTCCCGGATCCGTATGTTTTTAGTGTCGTTCTTTCGAATTCAGCCTGTAACTTTTGTTATGGGCGTTAATCGATGAGTACGGAGTCCTTTCTGGTACCGATTCGGTGTAAATTTTGTTTTTAATATCAGAATCAATAAAATTGTCAATAATTTTGTTCGATCAATTCGGTAGAAACAAGAACAAAACAACAACACTTTCTGAGAAGATCATTCTTATTGAGACCCGTTTGATTGATCTTTGGCAAATTCGTTCTTTTCCAAACAGATCTGCTAAAATTCACAATTACCTTTACTTTTCTAAAAATTTTAATTATTATCGTTAAGTCGTTTAACAAGTCTTACCTGATGTTTGACGAACACAATCTGTGTTCTTGTCCGATAAGAAACTTTGATAGGTCATTCATTCCACAATTGTGCAATAATGTCAAACTCTGAAGGCGAATTCAATTTTCGACTTTACTACTACTATTATGATTATATTTATCAAGTTATTTGATTATTCCTTTCATTTCAAATACATGTCATCTACTGATATAAATGATAGAAGTTCTTAAAATTCATAATTAGCTGTATGATTTATCGATAAAAACTATGCATATCCATCATTCATTGAGTGACATCAAACTTTCGAAGGTACAAATTTGCACTTGACGTTCATTTATTGAGTTTTATAAATAAAACATATAAGAATTGATGAAAACAGGATTTTTCTATAAGGGTGGATTTACTGACGAAGTTGGATAAACTCTATATAGACAACAAAAGCTTAATCGAAGTTTAATCGAAAATTAATTACTTGAGATTTGATGAATATTTTGCTTGCTGAAAGTCATTGGCTAAAGATGAACTTTGATCAGGTATTAAAACTTCTTCTAACTTTGGTAAATTTTGATTTTGTTCACTGAAAAAGAAATACTTTTTTTAAAATTGGTGCTTGTCAAATTCGAAAATAAAAACCGTTGAATATGCTTGTGAAACAATTCAATTAATTGATCAAATATAAAACGATACTTTGGATCTGTTATTGTTGTCAAGTCAAGAATAAATAAAAGCTTTTTCATCTAAATAACAAATATAAAATATCGGATAATTAGATAATGATGAAAACAACCTCACGATGATCGCGTTGACTTTGATGAATCAGTTCTGTATTGTTTTCTTTGATATATTTCTCATAAGCAGGAAAAAGAATGAGTTCTTCAGCTGTCGAGTGTCGGATGAAATCTTGTCGAAATTGATTTGACCAAGACTGTTGATCATCAACATTTCCATTACTCATTATGTAATTCTGTAAAACACGACTAAAACAAAGTTATTATCAAATAATGTTGTGTTATTCAAACCTCCAACAGTTTTTGAAGTTTTTTATGAGCATCTTTGATAATCTCGGATATTGTAGACATATTGAAGTGATTTTTATGTCTGTTTATTGTAATGATCACTATCAGTCCTTCGCAGTATGTTTGTTATTTTTGACTCTCTAATAATTGAATCATTCAACCGTAAGAGAAACGACGACTTGTACTAATCGGACAAGTTTCAAGTCAAGAAGTGTGTTTTGACTAATCTTAACCTACCTGTCGGCATTCGTTGTGAAAACTATCTCATCGTAATGTATACACTGGTTTAAAAATACAACCTAAGTGGTTATTGACAACCTCATTCTTATTGTAAAATTGAGAGTTCAGTTTTGTCCTTTGAGTCATACGTGTGATAGGTTTACATTCATTTTTGTTTGTTAGATCTCGACGATGATCTCGTCGGATTGATGTTGTTCTTTTTTTATTTCAATTCTTGTTAACCCAAATCGACTCGGATACAAAAACAAAGGAAAACAAACTGTTTTTATTTTTCTTTTTTGGGTTTCTTTTCATCTTCAGCAGCTTGTTTAGCTTTCTTTTCACGTTGACCGATTAAACGTGCATCAGCACGAGCCATACGAATAGCTTGAAAAGCTTGAAATTTCGTATCAGCATCATTGACTGGTCGAGCTTTTTCCCGTGTAACACGTTGTTTAACTGGCATAACACGTTGTTTCTTCAATTGAACAGCCAATTTGGTTTCTTCAGGTTTAGCATCGTTCTTCTTGGGTTTATCGGCTTTCAATGGGAATAAGATAAGTTTGCCAAGATATTGTTTCAAACGTTGAACATTGAGCTAAGAAAACAGAAATCCATGAATGATCAACGAAATAATTCAAAAAATTACTTGGAGAGCTTCAGTTGATTTATTTCGTCGTCGATGATCAACAGAAATTCCAATTGTTCGAGCATAGGTTGGGTGAAGACCAGCAGCACGAATTTCATCCAATGAAAAACCACGTCCAGCACGAACTTTTGTGTTGTAACGACGTGTTTCACCACGAACTATTGGCCGTAATGAACCTTTAGCTGGACGTGGAGCAACACGTTGAGCTTTGGTTAAACGTTTTTGATGTCGGCGAGCTTTGCGACCAGGTTGGTCAAACCATGTGCGGACGTGTAATTGCCACTTTTTATGAAAGTGAGCATTTGGGATAACGTTGTTATGTTTCATGATTGAACTTTTCGACTTTTCTTACGTCGATCTACAATTAAAAAAGAAAAGTAAAAATCATCTATGAATAAATTTATCAAGTCCTCAGATCTCATAATCAGACATCATACGAGCCCACATACACAAGACGACTGAACTGCTACTTAAGTTCAAAACAGAAAAGCCTGAAAGCTCTTTTTGTTTTGTATTAAGAGATAAACTGACGATTAAGTAGTTGTTCGTTCGTCTCACGTTTTGATTGCTCTTCAATCGTCATCTATCATCATTGGACTATTTTAAAAACAAATAACGATTATATCTGCATCAGTCGAATTCAAAATTCTTTCATAGTTATTCAGACTAATCTGTCTTAAATAAATTAACATCATCTGCAGATTTTTAACAAAAAAAAATGCTCGACAAAGCATTAGAATAGAAAAGTATACAAAAAAAATGGAAACTGTTTATGTGAGAAATACTCGACCAATGGTAAATTGCGGACTGATTGTCTACTTGATCTGATTTGAGTAGAAGAGTTCGGTAGGGACGAGATTTTTTAAAGAAAACAAACAGAAAAAAGTGTTTTTTATTTCAATTAATTTCGAAAAATACTTCCTATTTAAAAGAATTCTTTTCATTGGACGAGATTTAACCAGTCAGACACACGATGAATCATACTACGAAGAAGAGAGATGTTTTACCAGTTGGGTAAATGAGTCGAATATAACATTCTATATTTTGAGAGAATGTCAACAGCATCGAATGCAAACTTTGAACCTCTTGTGGTTCTACACTTTTCGAATGCTACACCTGCTGCAACAAAAGAATGGGTTATTAATCGATTAACTGCTAGTCAAAATGACAATGACGGTGCTGATTTACTTGTCCGATATGATCCTGATCCGGAAAGTCATGTAAGCGTTGAATCTCCTTTTGTTTTCTTATGAAATTGCTCGATGGATTCTTTTCCAATAGAATAATATTCTTTTAATTGGTGCTACACTTCATCGTTTATTAGTGGGTGCTGAAGAATTACGAATGAAGAAACCTTATAAGAACAAAGCTTTACGTGAATTTCTCATTTCGGATATTAATCATTTTGATAATTCACGTAAATTTATAAACTTGTGTATGTTAGGAATGAAATGTTCTTGTTTTATTAGAAAATCATGATAGTTTCCTATTGAAATCTGAAAAACAAAGAATTATTTGGGAAGAAATTCAGATTCTTCGCCCAGCCAAGGACGAAAATTTCGTTCCAGGTGTCCCTACCAAAGCCATAACGCACGAAAATGACACTGTCCGTACGTAAAACCAACTGAGAAATCAGAAAAGCCATACAATAAAAACTCTTCATTTATTTCTAGTTAATCTTCTGGACAGTCTCGATTTTCTCGTCAGTGCGTTTCCGTTACATGATAAAGAAGACATCAAATTAATTGAACGTGATTGGTTTATGTCCAAAGATGCTTTATTTAAATCACAAGATATTCGTAAGACATTCTTCAAACAAAACAACGAACATATTTGTAATTTTTTGAAGATAAAGTTCGAAATTATTTTGGTGAGAATGTTGCATATTACTTCGCATTCTTGGAATTTTACACCAAAGCACTTATACCGACTGCTTTACTTGGTAAAAGTTATTATATATTTGTTTTCTAATAGAATGTTTTCCGTTCGTAGGTCTTGTTGTAAGCTTTTGGCCAAGTTCAGATTTTTTCAAATATTCATTATTCTGTATTTTCAATGTTATTTGGTGGAGTGTATTCGTATGTTGATCGTTGTCAATCGGTTTTAGAGTGAAATAACCACTGTTTTCCATTCAGATCGAGCGATGGAAACGTTTAAGTATCAAACTTGCTTATGAGTGGGGTACAATGGATTTACAAATCTTTGAACGGCCTCGATCCCTCTATCACGGTGACTTACAACTTTCACCCATAACAAATCAAAAAGAACGTCGATATCCGAAGTAAGAACGTTCATGATGATATTCAGTACATATTGAATGCTTTCCTACATTATTCAGATGGAAACGGACATTAAAGAAATATTTGGTCACCTATCCAATAGTTATGTTGTGTTTGGCTTTGTCATTATGGATCTATTTTGCTTATTATGCTGTTCAACAGAAAACGGATAAAAGATATCCATTGGAGGCGACCGCAATTCTTCCGACGGCGAAGTTAATGCGCATGGTTCCATCAACTGGATATTCGTTGTTGATTATACCAATGAATCTCATTTATAAAAAATTAGCTATATTCATGACAAATTATGGTAGAGGACTCTATGAAATCGAGAATATATGTTTTTATCTTGAACTTCGTTTTCGTTTAGAGAATCATCGTCTTCAAACGAGTTATGAAAATAATCTAACATCGAAATTGTTTGTTTTCTATTTCATAAACTGTTTCATTGGACTTTTCTATGAAGCGTTCTTCAATGCAAATTACGGCAACGTCGCTCAAGTAAATATCAGCAGAGTTTTCTTGTATCGAAAAGGAATATTGATGGATATTTTAGTTACTAACAGTGTTCGTCATCATCAACGCAATTTTGTTAAAGTTCACAGAACAGATTGGACCATACATATTCAAACGTGTTAAAAAGAATCAATTAACTCGACGAGGTTCTGTTGATGTCAAAGTGAGCGACGCAGTGAAACAAGCGAAAACATTGACACCTTTCGAAGTAATTTAAAATAGTCTTCAATTAACGATCGTTTCTCATTCGATTTGTTTTTAGGGAACCTATACAGATTATTTGACTATCTTTGAACAATATGGTTATGTCGCTTTGTTTTCCGCCGTACGTTCAACTTGTCTTTCAATTATGAATAAAATTTTCGCCCTTTCAGGTATTTCCTTGGGTGACAATTTGCGCATTGATTAACAATATCTTTGAACTTCGTGCTGATGCTTTCAAATACTGCTATGTTTATCAACGTCCATTTGCTCAACCAGCGTGGAATATCGGTTCGTAAAACCATCCATTTTCTTTCGAATCTAATCGATGATATTCAATTGAAGGAAGTTGGCATTATGCCTTCGATATTTTAAGTTCAGTAGCCATTGTTACAAACACAGCTCTGATCGCCATGCAACCTTCAGTTCGACAATACTTCTCATCATATACTGATGCTGAGTATATTCTATTCTTCGTCGCTGCTGAAGTAGGTCGATTCGATTTCGTTATTAAAAATTATAGCTTTTGACTTTTTTTCCTTCTAGCATGTTCTTCTTGCTTTGAAATTTGCGATTAGCTTTGCTATACCAGACATACCACATGAGGTTCAAATTGCAAAAGCGAAGAATCTCTATGAATCTAATATGGCATTAAGACATGAAGTAAGATTTACTATCGAGTTGTTTTGTATTTTGGTTAAGAGAAATACTTCTCTGTCTTTTTAGCGTGAACGAAAAGCTTTGAAAGCTCAAGAATCATTACGAAAGAATTAATTTAAAGTCTTCCTCTACATTCAGTTAAGTTTCCTCATGACAAATCTAATTAGTTGTCCTCATAATCAACCAGTCAATAACCCAGCATCTTTCGTCCTTGCATATATCTACGATCTGCCATTTTCTTCAATTCTTCCGTGTCAGATGTATATATCAAGCCTATTTCTGCTTACTTCTGGCGCGAATATTTTGGTCGGTGAATCGGTAATATTAATCGCTTTTCTATACACTATAGATTTTGTTTTCAAATAAACCAGCTTAGTTACAATTGTATTCATCATTTCTTATCTCTATAAAAAAAAAGGTAGACCAATTCTTGAGGAGGATCCGATCAATGTCAAAACACTGACATCATCTAAACTTTCTTTTTTTTCCGGATCGATGTACTTGCGGAAAAATCAAACAAAATTTTAATATTCCAATGTGATCTTCTCGGTTAAAGGGTCAACTATCTCCATATCAGGTACAATCGTGCTTTGGTCTATGGCGCTTGGTACCGAATCAATAACAGATATCGTTCTTCTCTGTAAATGCTGATGTCGATGTGAGCTGTGGTCAATGATATCGTTAGATATGACTGTTATGCCTTGTTTCTGCTGAGTATCTGGTAAATCATCAACATCGATAACGGTACTTGATAATTGACTGGAAAACACATTTGTAGATACTTTGCCTCGCTCGGTTCTCTTAATAAAAGTATACGCCATGATAAGACCAAGTGCAACAATGAGAGTAATAACAGCTAATATAGAAAGAGTTAGAGTAAGAAACGTTGTCATTGTTTTCGATTCGAAAACTAAAGGTATTGAATTCAACCATTCATAAACAATTTTCTGTTCACGAATGATAAAAGACGAAATAAAGCACCATAACGCGCGTTTGTTCTAAAAATATTCTATTTTGTCCTTAACCTATGTTCATGGCAAAAAAAGAATATTTCACTAATGAATTCTAATGTCTGTATTCATCAAAAAATGAATATTTGAAAACTTTCTATTGAATTGCTTGAAAAGTCATTTGTAATTCCATTCATCGACGAATGTATTTAAGATGTCATTGAATAAAACAATCGAAATATATTTGATATTCATCCATTCATTAGTAGCCATAAAGAACAAAGAATATACACTTTGTGCTTGAAAATAAAAATTAACTACTAAGAAGAAGACAACAAAGTGATCGACAACAGCAAAGAGAAAACAACAAGAACAACAACAAATAAAGAACGAAAGAAAGAATATGTTTATTATGTATATAAACTCATTGAGATGGACGGATTGATTGATCTTGAAAGTAACTTCGTAAATCTTCGTTTCATTTCGAATATTATGCCGATTGTCCAGCAGCGAATCTTAAACGTTTGTTTTTCTGTCGCTGATTGCAAAACCAAACCCGAACGACGTTTTTCTTCAGATCAAGTTTATCGGCGATTTGAGCGATACGTTCACCGCTCGGTCTTTGTTGTTGGATAAAACATGATTCAAGAAACCGTTTCTCTTGTGCTGCAATCGATGTACGCTTTCTTTTCTTATCAATTAAACTTCCTGTTGAACTTCCGTGTCCACTTGAACCACCAATCGATCCGTTTAATTCATCCTTCTTTCTTTGTCTCATTTCTGCTTCAGCGAATTCTAACCATGCTTGAAGAACTGGTTTCAAGGCAACCATATTGTTATGTGATAATGTAAGTGATTCAAATCGACAGATTGTTGATTGAGAAAGTGAACCTACGCCCGGCATTTTCAATTTAGATAATTGTTGTCCAACATCAGCTTGTGTGACACCTAATTTGATTCGTCGTTGTTTGAAACGTTCGGCAAATGTTTCCAGTTCGCGAGGATCAACATCGAGTTCATGAGCAGGCATAAGACCCGTGACAACACCATGATGATGCATGCCAACAACCATACCGGGCAAAACTCCAGCAGCAGCTGCTGCATGGTGATGTGCGACAGCCGCATATTGATGTTGATAAAATGGATGTAAATCCGAAGATATGTGCGGATGATGATTGTGATGAAGATGATGATTATGTGAATTTTGGTCAGAAAGTAGATGATTTTCCATATTTGAAGCGCCTGGATAAGCCACAGTAGAAGATGAGGATGAAGACGATGATGAAACAGTCGCCGGGCCTGATGAACAAGCGAACGGCGAAGGATAATAAAGTGCCGAGCTGGATTCGGGTTTTGTAAGAGCTTCAGCTTGACGAAGAAAATTATCATCAATAGTTGGACAGAATAAACTCTAGAACGAGTCAATTAAAGAGTTCGTCATAGTATTTATTAAACTTACATTGGGTTCAAATTTGAAATTATCACCAAAACAATTGGATTTTGACCACTAGAATAAATCAAAATCTTTGATTTCCGATCGAACAAGAAAAGAAAGCTTAATTATGAAAATCTGATTGGCTCATTCGTCTATGTTAGTTTTCTTAATCCTTTCAATGTTCATTCAGAAGAAAAGAAATCTGTTCATCTCGTTTCCGATTACAAAAGAATGACAAAATATAGATAATCAACACCTTGATGCACCCTAGACACGTACAGACGAAAGATGAGAACAAATCTAATTTTTACTTTTTCCCGTCTTTGCACTTACCGGTGTGCTTGGCATATATCGTCGATTATTATTCGATTCACTTGATGCTACTGCAACAGCAGCAGCGCGATAGAAATTACTTGGTGAATATCGTCCCATGTTGACACTTGATACGTTCGAATTGGTAACTGTACTTGTCGTTGCTTGAGACGAGGGAAATGCTGAAGATGAGTTTAAAAATGCTAATTTATTTGCCGGCATGATAGGCGAGGATGATAACGGCGATGATTGGTCAATCGGTGATATACTTGTCAGCATTGTCGATAATTGAAATCAATCAATAATTTACCTTCTATTTAACTTATCATTATTATTAACAATGAATTGATATAATTCTTTTTCCTTTTGTTCTGGTACACTTGAATGATTATATGTCGATGATGATGTGTGTGTGTGTGTATATGCTCTAAATAATAAATAAATACATACATGGTTAAAAAAGCAAGGCATTCGATCATAATAATTTATCAATATTCATTCCTTCATTCACTCACATCAGAGGAAAGAAAGATATAGAATCAACATGACTGGCTAGAAGAAGAGGTATTCTTCGTAGTGTTTTCCGTTGGCTGTGATGGAAATAAGAAAGGAGAAGAAGGAGAGAAAAGGTGTAGGTTGCTGGTAGGAGAGTTTTGTCTTCTCTTGATTCTTTTTTTTTCTTCTTTCTCATTTTCCATGATTCTCTATCTACTGCAACTTTCGTTCCGTGAGTGATTAGTGATAAATAAAATATGAGATACCGACCTTTTTCTTCGATTAGTTATGAGATGGAAAAAGAAAACTTCCACCTGGAGAGAAAGGAAAAGAAACGCGAACGGAGAAATTCGCTCATTGGCTAATGAGATTCGTTATCCACCAATGAAGAGAAGTGTTACAACATCTGTCTGTCATCTTTAACAGAGTAAAGAGAGAAGATTTCCCCAAGCGCAAACGACACGCAAGGCGACGATCACTTCTATCATTCAAGTATTATCTCTTGTTCGGTCCTTCTTCTTCTTCTCCTTTATTCTTGTTTTAATTCAATTGAACCTTAATTCATTGTCCAACAATGAGAGATAGGTAGATATAAATAAGTTAATACTTGTAAAAGCTCATTTACACAAATGAGTGCTTCAATGCAATCAGCTATTCATTCTTCTTCTTCTCTTCGTCTATGTTAAGTAAAGAATAGATGAACATCGAAAACAAAAGAAGAGATACGTATGTTTATTGCAAAAAAACCGCTTCTGACGAATCTTGATTGTTTCGTAGTATTTGATATTAAAAAACAAACGAGACGGATTCAGTTCTGTTTGATCTATTCGAGGTACCTGTTTCCCGTTTCTCATTAAATCATGTACATACAATCCTTGTATATTTGCCCCGAAGGCAACCACAAACATGCGCGTGGGGTGCGAAAAAAAGAAAACGACAGACAGAATCAATTTTTAATACATTGTTACGCATCAGATCGGAATAAAGTAAAGGAAAATGTGTTTGCTCGAAGTAAACTAGTTTTGAACAGTTCGAGTCAACTGAGAAAAAATACCAGATGGATTTGTGATCTTTTCTTCTGTTTCTTGTCTGTCATGATGATGAGTGCAATACACCCACCCCGAAAATTTGTCACGTTACGAGCCGACTCAGTAATTCTTGCCATGCTACGTGTATGAATGACATTGTCCGGTTGTGAGAGTATTCTCAGATGACACTTCAATGCATTGCTTATCATAATTGTTCAACCATATTGATTACCTTTTTCCTTCATTTTGTCGTTCCTGTTTTTCTTTCAGATAAGACACATAAGGTGGCTAGTTACTGAATTTCTTTTTCTTTCGATGTTGACATTCGGTGTTAAATGAAAAACTAAATCAAAAGATTATGCCAATCAGTTTTTCTTTCTGTCGGTAAATGGCTCGAAGCAATGAGAAAAAAACAAATCGTAGAAATAACATTTTTTTAGAAGAAAAAGATAGATTTCGGAACAGATGGAAAAGAAAATGAACAAACTGTTACTCTCATCGATCACCTGTATTCAATAGCATAGACAATCATCGTTCCCTCGATGATTTACTTCGAGTTTTCTTTTTTTTTCACTAGTGACGTGAACAACAAGAGACACAGACAGAACAAGTGATGTATGTGTCAATCTCTCTCGGGAGCATTAAAAAAAGTGGAGGCGGACCTGAGTCATTCCATTGATTCGAGCTGATCGATTAGACAAGATAACAGATGGTAATCGGCAACGATACTAATGCACCTTTTTTCTTTCATTTGCTTGTTTTCTTTTTCGATGTGCACATCTCGTTGACGAGAAGGACAACAACAGTTATTATTCGGAGTAGGAATGTTAAAATTGTTCTTTGTCTCTTTCGTTGACCATCTGCTTAACTGTGAGACCACTTGGCGTGTCATGAAATGGGTTTTCTTATTTCCATATGGCAAGCATCGATATGCAATAAGAGAAATCTATTCATTAATTGAAGAAAAAAAAAGACGAACGACTTCATTGAATCAGATGTCGTTAGTTTCTCTTTGAAAAGTTCATGGCAAACATATGCTGTCTCAGTTACCTCAGAAACTCATAGTAAAATGGCAAATTTATATAAACAGACTCGATCAGTGTAAATAAATCGATTGGAGAGAACGATGAGGTAAATCTACATGTGAAAGATCTTTGCGAATTGGAATATTTTCGTTGATTTTCATTAGTACGTTACCGTCGATTTCGGATAAAATTCATACTGGTCTTTATTGTACGGATTGTGCTTGTCAAACTGAACGCGATGAAATTATTCAGCTGAGAAGTACGACTAAATTATTAAAAAATGTTCATCATGTATGGCGCTGGTTGTTTTTTTTCTAATAAAATATACATTTGCATCCAATTAGGAGATTGAATTAGTTAAAAATGAATTAACATTTACTCGGGATAGTTTACGATCGGCATTCTACGATGAATTGCAAACCAATGCGAAAACAATGTGAGAGACATATCTGATCACACCATTTTCATGTCTTTTCTCTCTTAAGATATTATCAATTGATTGATAAAATCGATGCACTCAGAGAAAGTCACCGAAAAGTAAGGAAAACAATTTTGAAGACAAAAATATTGTTCGGATGAGATTTTTTAGGCTTTAGAAACAATTCGACTGTCATATCGCAGCCAATTACACGATTTTATCTCTCAAGCAAGAAATATTATCCAAGTAAAGTTATGGGAGAGTTGTTTGCCAGAAGAAAGTTTTGCTTTTTAGACCGAAAAGTCGTCGTCGTCGTCGGAATCAGCTGCAAATAAACAACGATCAAACGCTGAAAATCTTGAAAAAACTTTCTTTCAGCAAGCAGCTATCAAAGGTTATGAAACAGAAATCAATAATTTAAAACTGGAAATCGAACAGCTCCGAGAAACCTCCCAAGTACGAATACGAAACATTTTCTTTATTTGAACCTATTGTTCGTTGCTTTAGCATGAAATTAAACTAGCAACATCGTTTCTTAACGACGAAAAAAGCCGTTTAAGTAAAGAATTAGCCATTGCCAATCAAACACTAAACCATCTAGAAGAAACGTTGACAAAACGAGATGAACAAATCCGAGATTTGAGTGAGATTTCCGTCAAAATGCATTCGCTAATTCAAATTTCCTTCGTTCACAGAGTATGATCTATCTTCGCTTCAAAATAAGTTAAAAGAAGCAACAAAGAAAGCTGCAGTGCGTGAACCGGAACCTCCACCGAAACCTCCAACGCAGACACGTTTGGTACAAACGGACCCGTGGAAACCACCCGCTCCGCCAGTAAGTTCGACGCCGCAAAAGGAAGTTCTCATTATGAAAAAACCAACTGTCATCACACTCGAGCCGGAAAATGAAACTCGATCAGCGATGGAAAAACTCGAAGAAAAGTACGAAGAAATTATCCGAGAAAAAGACGAACAAATTCAAGATCTATTACAAGAAGTACAAATAAACTTTGTCGACAAATTGAATCATAATTTTCATTCTTAGATCAATTCACAACCGAAAATTTCGGTCCAAAATTCAAGAATTGAAAAGCATACAAATACGGAAGAACGTCATCGGAATGATTTAAAACGGTATATGACTCTTTTATGTGGTTAGAAAAACAGAGTTCGCCTGTTCTTTCAGATATGCGGAAAAACATCGACATGAAATTCAAATGTGGGAGACGAAATATGACATCCTTCATCGAAGGTACTTGACACTTATTGTTCTGCTCGGATAGAACATTGTTTTGTTTTGTTTCATAGTATGATGGCTCTTCGTGATGAGATGTATACACGACAAACACGAGTCCGCGAACGATTCAATGATAAACCCGCTGTTTCCACATGAAACTGACGTTTAATCTTTTTATAAAATCTTTGTCAGATAGATTTTTTTATTCATCCTTCTCTTTTTCAACTTTTCTTTGTCTTTGAACAACAATAAACGAACACAGATGATCCGTTCGTAAGAGATATTCACAATCTTTTGTTTTCAAGCGCAGTTCAATTAGTTCTTTCAAACCCAAATGATGAATTGTTCGTTTGATCCGTTCGATAAACGGCTGCAGCTGTGTTACTAAGTTCTTCGTATATTCTTCATCAAATGTCGTCCGAATAGGAACACCTATGGTTATTTGTCGAAAAACTCATTATCTTTCCTAGTATTGCAGAGCCTACCAGTCGATGTCATGCATAGATAACCTTCAACATGCTGAAGTGCTTGTATTCGATCAAGTGTAAGTTGAATTTCTCTCAATGCCATCTATTGATTAGAGAAAGTGTGTACTACAACAAATTATCAATGAAAACTATTGGCGCGTGGCGGGAGAGATCACAGAATTGAATTAGTTAATCTGCAGAAGAAAATCGCAGTTATTAATGTTTTCTTTTTCGATCAACGTTTGTATGCTTGTTCTGACAGTCGACAGAATATCTCCCTCGTTTTCACATTTACTATGTTGTGGATGTTGTTTGCTCTTCTTTTGCTGCTTCTCTTCGTTTTCTTTTTCTTCTGCTTCTCGGAATCGAGTTTTTCTGCCGTCTTTTTTTGTTGTTGTTATAAGCTTCGCATTCGATTTGGTTTTAGGCATGCGCATATACAGAACGTAACACACACACACATCTAAAGATAGAGAACTAGTCGGAAAATGCAATTTTCTCTTCTTGGGTTTCCTCTTTTTTCCTCTTTTCTGCTGCTAGTTGTGACGATAGATCGCATGCAGAACATAATACATTACAACGACAACGGCACTGACGGCAGTGAGCCGAAAAAAAAGAAAGTAGAATGAAAAGAAGAATAAGAAGAGCGGATGTACGAGAACTGAACGCACTGTTAACAATCAGCAATAGTGGGACGGAATATGATAAAGGTTGTCTATAAAGACAAAATTAATAGAAAAGGTACGGAAAAACAACAATCACGCATACACATTCGTCCAATATTATCTCTTCTCTCACAATCTTCTTCTTCTTCTTCATTATATTAATAGATACTTCAGTGACAAAATTCATACAACTATGTTATTGGAATCTATGTGCATTAGTAATTGCCGTTTATTACTTTTTCTTTACCTATTTCATGGATTTATTGTCGAATATATACAGTCAATTACAATTGCACATCAATTACAAATTAATATTTCACCTCCGATATCTGCTAAAAAGGATAAAACGTTATGGATCGGCGGTAAAGATCAAAAGGTTCTTTTTTTCCAAATTTTGACGAATGTTTTTCTTTGGAAAAGGAATGTTTCCTCAAACAGGCGAGTGGGCTGGCGGTGAAGCCGCATTTCCGGCAGCGATCAAAGCATTAGATCAAATCAATCAACGCGAAGACATTTTACCCGGTTATTATCTAAATCTTTCCGCATACGATACCAGGGTAATTCGAATGTTTCCATTGTCGAAATCTATTATTCATATTTTCGACTTCATTTAGTGTTCTGCTGGTCTCGGTACCACAATTTTGTATGAACTTCTTTATAACAAAACGTTTGGCAATGTAAATAGTTCGATCTTAATGTTACTCGGACCGGCATGTAGTCCCGTGTCAACAGCTGTTGGAGAAGCAGCAAAAATGTGGAATTTAATTGTTCTTTCATACGGTTCAAGTTCACCAGCATTATCAAATCGTGCTCGTTTTCATACTTTTTTTCGTACACATCCTCCTGCGACATTACACAATCCTACACGGATCAAATTTTTCGAATTATTCGGCTGGAAGCGTATCGCAATATTGATTCAGACTGAAGAAGTTTGGCAATCAACGGCGGAAAATTTGGAAGTTTTAGCACGGAAACACAATGTTCATGTAGATCAATGATGATGAACAAGAAGAGAAAATTACAACTTGTGTTTTGTTCTAGATTGCTGTTCGGCAATTGTTTGACAATGATCCTTCACATGCAATAAGTAACTTGCAGAAAGATGATATTCGTATTATTGTCGGACTCTTCTACGAAGAAAAGGCGAGAAAAGTCTTTTGCAAAGTAAGTCAATGGGAAAATTTTACGTCGAGTAGACAAGTTGTCGTCTTTTCAAGGCCTATCAGCAAAAATATTTTGGAGAGAGTTACGTTTGGTGGTTGATTGGTTGGTAAGTCAATCAAATTGAAAAAACGTGAAATTTAATCGGAATTCAATTGACTTAGGTACGCGGATAATTGGTTTTTAAAAATCGATGATATCGATTGTACAGCCGATGAAATGTCTCGAGCAGTCGAAGGTCATTTCACAACCGAAATTCAAATGTTAACTGATTCAACAACACGAACGATATCAGGCTTAACAGCACGAGAATTTATTACTGATTTAAACACAACATTGAAACAATTATTTCCAAATAAACCAGTTGAATCAGTCGGAGGTTATGTCGAAGCACCTCTCGCTTACGATGCCACATGGGCATTGGCATTGGCATTGAATCGATCGTTAGAACGAACAAATTTAGAGGAGTGGAGTTATGGAAATGTGAATATGAAAGAAATCATGTAAGGAAAGAAGAAGAGAATTGTGCTTAATGTTCTTTTTTGTTTTCAGGATGGATGATATGAAAAAAACAGATTTTTTTGGTGTTTCCGGCGCGGTGAAATTCGACGAACTAGGAAATCGAATGTCAAAAGTTGTTGTTGAACAACTACGAAGTAAGTTGTTTATAATTTGATTCTTGTTTTTCAAATTAATTACGCATAGATGGATATTATCACCGTTTGGCTCGATTTGATGCTGAAAAAGGCTCAATTGAATGGTTAAACGGTGAAGAACCGGATGGTAGTCGATGTTGGAACTACAAACACAACTATTCATCCGGTAATTCTTCATTCTTCGTCTCAATATTTTCCACTTCATGATGATTTCTTCAGGCTATGAAAAACGTCGTTTAGCTCCTTACGACCAAATGCAAATCTCCAATAAAGTTTTAGAAATCTCCCGAACGTTATATTTAACCATGAGCTGTTTTGCTGCACTTGGTTTACTATTTTCTCTCGTCTGTCTTGTATTGAACATTGCCTATCGAAAGCGCAAGTAAGATGTCATTGGATTAGATTGATCTTATGTTCGTATGTGTAGATTCATTTGGCAATCGAAACCTATGTATAATAATTGTGCTTTGATCGGAGGTATTATCTGTTTGGTTGATGTATTTTTACTCGGGGCGGATAGTCAAACGGATAATCCAACACGTTTTGTCAAACTTTGTCAAGTACGAAAACAAAAATTGGTATAGGAAAATTGATTTGTTGTTGTTTTTTCTTAGTTGAAAGGTTCACTTCTCGCAGCTGGCTTTTCTATATGTTATGGTGGGTTATTAGCTAAACTTGTTCGAACATATCTTCTCTCAACAAAGAAAACTATTGTAAGTCGTCACATTTGAATTGTCAAATAATTCATTTTTCTATTCCAGAATCGTTTGTGGTCAATGTGTGAATTATTTATCATTGTGGGATGTTTACTATTGATTGACTTGATTGTTTTTATCATTTGGCATATAAAAGATCCATTAGTATTCACATCTGAACCGACAGGTGATAGTTCGATCTTACACGACGTGAAAACTGTTTTTAAATTTCAACAATGTCGATCAAAACATCATATGATCTGGATTGGATTACTCTATTCGATCAAAGGCATTCTAATTGTTATCGGAATCTATTTAAGTTATGAAACACGTGCTAGTAAACTCGAAATGATAAACGACGCACATTTAGTTCGAATGTGTACTTATAATATCTTCGTAAGTGTGAAGACGCTTTTAATGTAAAACTCACCTGAATATCTGTCTTTTAGATTGTATGTTTGATTTCGGCATCATTAACGTTAATTATCGAACGTAATCAAGATGCTGATTTTGCTTTTGCATCAATTGCGATTATTCTCTGTTGTTTTGTTTCCTTCGGTTTGATATTTTTGCCGAAAATTCTTTGTCTTGTTCGTGGTCGCGATCAATCACTTTCTTCAATCGGCAACAAAGATCAAGCAATCTCGAATTCAACAGGCACTGGTCATGGATCGAATTCGACCACGCAACAATTGAGTAGTGAAGATGAAGAGAAACATCGAAAATTAGTTGCAGAAAACGAACAATTAAAAGCATTGATTGCCGAACGTGAAGCCCGAGTGAATGAATTAATTGAAAAACTGAAACAACACGGAAATAATGTTGTCATACGTGATGTTCAACGCTTTACAACCAATGCCAATCCAAATCAAACATCTGCGAATCATGACGGAGAATCAACAGGATTGATTGATTCAACTGCATATGTTATGCGTCGCCGATCAACATTTGCCAATCCGATTACATTAAGCACACATCTTTCTAATACGGCTATATCGACGACAACAACATCAGCTACAGGCAAAGTTATGGAAGTGCCTGCTGAAACGAATCACAAACATTCCTCAACATCATCTTATCGAGAATCGGTTTGTTGAAATGAACAAGCACGAAAAAGAAAGTTTTTATTTATATTATGTGTCGAGTGTATATTTATGAATAAATTATTTTGAAGAAAATATGTAAATGGTGTTGGAGATACTTTTCGTATGTCAAATGCCGGCTATCTAAATTGGATTCGATAGTTCAGTTAATGAAATAATCGACTATTTTCCGATAGAATTGCTTTGATTAAGAAAGAAACGAAGGAAGTATTGGTAAGTGCACGAATTATGTAAAATAGAGTGGTACTTCTTATCGAAATGTCTGCTTGATCACATTTGTCAACATTGACAGGCGTGCTATACTGACAGATGCTGAATCTTTTCGCCGAAAATAACACTGAGTGTATGTGCGGTTTAAACACTCTCTCTTCACTCTCACAGATGTTACTTCAATACGATAGATATTAGAACGATAAGAAATTGAATAATTCTTCATCTACTACTTTGTGATGAACTAACGGAAGATTGCCCAGATATCGTTTTTGAAACAGGAGTGCTCGTAATCATAAGAGATTAACAACTGTTTATAAGAATTCGAGATGAAACGGTAACAGAAGAGTTCACGGAAGAATTGCTACTGTGTAATCATACTCAATCCAACCTATTGTGACTTGGAACGACATTTGACAGCATACATGTTATATATCGAAGAAGGAAACAAACTACTGACTATTTATTGATTTGAGTGTCGCTGACGCTAAGAATTATCCACTTCTGAAGACTCTCTCTGAATATTCCAATAAATAAATAGGAAAAAATGATTCATTTTAAAATAGATATTCCGTCCGTGTATAACTCGAAACTTGAATTCAATTATCTGTTTGAGTATTCGCATACTTAGATGTATACCTAAAAAAGAACTATAAGGAGCTCAGGAATTTCCCGTTTGGAGTCGTATTATTGGTTCGTCTGAATCCGAATATCACTCGTTGTGGAAGGTCCGATCAGCAGGAATAATTGAATACTCGAACAGGTAGTTGAATTCAAGTCTCGAGTTTGACGCCGCTGAACTCCCTCGATGTATGGCACTATTAGCGATAATAAAGTCGAAAAACATCGACATTGAATCTTTACTTTTGATATTGAATAGACAAAGCTGATTGGATTTTGGATCTAATAGGATCATTTTTTAATAATGTAAACCATCTGAAAGAATCATAATGAGTTTGAAATGCATACACCTCATTTTCAAGCAGCAGGTAGTGCTATGATTAGCCGCGTAAAAAAGATTATCAATAGGATATCGTGATGTATATATAGCAGAAAGCTTTTATTGGTTGGAACGGGTATTCAGAGTGTAGACTATTTATTTAGTTTCAAATGTAAGAAATATGAATGCAATAGTGAGTTTGCACCGATCGTCTAAAGACTTATTTAGGAATTTCTTTCGAATATGATATCTTATAGTCTCATATACTCGATTATCAATCATAATCAACTCTGATTGAGTTATATACATTAGCTTGAGACAATTATCGTCAATCAAATCAGTATATGAGTAATAAATTATGGGATAAACGTTGAAGTAATTCAGGTTATGGAAGCTAGAACATGTTTTTTGGTTATTCTTTCAGTAAAGCAAGTCAAAGCGACGACTGCGCTGCATTACTCGTTCCATAAAAAGAATGGTATAAGATTCATATAAATAAATTTAAAAGTTATATTTCAATTCTCACACATACCGAATTGAAATATCTTTTGCTTAGCATCACACCAGAAAAGCTTTAATGAGCTTACAATGAATTTACGCTAACAATCTTCTTCGTATATAAAAATTAGATTTGCATCAACTGTATATTGATGGTATTAAATTCCCTTATTGATTTTATTTGTAACTTTTTCAAAATCCAGATCCATTAAAAGAGAGGTTTTTTAAGAATCAGTTTTCATCTGATGACATTCAAATATGATCATACTGGCGCCACCTGTCGGAAAATCTGATATCTTGACGAATTTATTCTAAAGGAAGAGAATTATCATAATAAAAATAAGGGTGAAGTTGATTAAAAGATTCATATTGTTTTCAGAGTTTCATCATCGAGATTTGAAGTCAATCCATATGTACAGATACAATCAAATCAAATCTGATTGTCAAGAGAATAGTCCGTCTTTGTATGACTCATTAGTTATCTCTTTCTTCCGATAAGAAGATTTTTTATCTTCGATACGATAAACAATCACTGATAGAATTAACTTGTAAAAATCGATTCTTCAACGTTCGCAGTGGCGCGTTCATTTTTCTTGATTTGCTCTCATCCAGTACTGATTTAGGTTTTTTAGAATTATATGTAAATAAAATTATTTAACGGCTATGAGTCAAGACGATATTCTTCAATCGACCAAATCCGTCATTCAAGGACTTGATGCATTAAAAAATGAACATGGAAAGATGCTGGAAACTGTCGTAGTTTCAATAAATAGTTCTTCGACCATCGATAATAATAAACTCGAAGAGAAAGCAGGCTTATTAAGAAAGTCTATGGATATGATTGATTTGGGTAATTGAAAACGGAGGCATTTTTTTGGAAAATAGAATTATTTCTTTCGAAGGTATTGGCGAAGCTCAAGTAATGATGCAGTTAGGCAACCATCTGCAAAGTCTCGAAGCTGAAAAACAGAAACTACGCACACAAGTCAAACGTTTGTGCCAAGAGAATGCCTGGTTGAGAGATGAATTAGCTTCCACCCAAAAGAAATTACATGAATGCGAACAATCCAATGCAACTTATTCCGTCGAACTTGAACATTTAAAATTCTTGAAAGATGTTCAAGAATATGACACAAATGAGAATAATCCTTCTCCAAATCCTTCACCGTTGTCAAATATAATTTTCAGTCAAGCGAATGATGTTGTCAATGATCTATTTTCTGATGATATGGATGTAGAACAACAAGAGACATCCAATGGATTAAATCCCTCACGAAAATTCGATTCCTACACTGATTTAGCCATGTCACCATCACAATCGACAACTGGCCTATGCATATCAACAGCAGGACATGATATACCAGCGAGGTTAAAGACTCTACATAATTTAGTTATTCAATACGCTTCACAAGGCCGATATGAAGTTGCTGTTCCACTATGTCGACAAACTTTAGAAGATCTCGAGAAGACATCTGGTCACCAACGTAAGTAATATCGAAAACATTGTTGAATTATCGCGTGATTACCGTTTTTAGATCCTGATGTTGCGACGATGTTGAATATTCTTGCGCTTGTCTATCGGGATCAGTCAAAATTCAAAGAAGCTGGTGCTCTTCTCAATGATGCTCTAGCTATTCGAGAGAAAACACTCGGACCAGACCATCCAGCCGTTGCTGCAACATTAAACAATCTCGCGGTTCTTTACGGTAGGAAAATAACTAAGAAATCAAGTGGCTTTTAAACACGATTCTTATGTAGGTAAACGAAATAAATTCAAAGAAGCGGAAGGTTTGTGTAAACGTGCTTTGGACATTCGAGAAAAGTGTCTGGGCTCAACGCATCCTGATGTAGCTAAGCAATTGAATAATCTTGCTTTACTCTGTCAAAATCAAGGCAAATACGATGAAGTGGAATCCTATTATCGACGTGCAATTGATATTTATACGAAAACGTTAGGTGTTGATGATCCTAATGTAGCGAAAACGAAAAATAATCTCGCGTCAGCTTATCTCAAACAACAGAAATACAAAGAAGCGGAGCAGATCTACAAAGATGTTCTCGCGCGTGCACAAGAAAAAGAATCCTCAGACAAAGCGTTACTTTTATCTCAACAACAACAACAACAACAGCAACAAAGTCAAGAAGTACAAAAATCTCAGCAATCAAAAGGAGGAAATTACGATGCACAAGGTGGATGGTATAAAACCGTACTTACGGATCAACCAACAGTAACAACAACATTGAAAAATCTTAGTTTATTATATCGTCGACAAGGTAAACACGAAGCTGCAGAAATCTTAGAGAACTGTGCGACAAAAGCCAGAAAGGATCCACAAGCTATTCTTCAAGCATTGAATATTGTTAAGCAAACGACGCATCCTCAACAAACATCATCATTAGCAACTCTATAAAGAAAGCTTTTCTTTCTGTACTTTTAACCATTTTGAACAGTCGACTCTTTCTGACTTACTTGTTTCTTTAAGAAAGAAAAACCAAACCTTTCGTGTTCCTTTTTTAACTTTCTGACAAATATCTTTCTGAATTCTCATTCGTTCTAGTTTTTCTTATTTTCTATGTATATGTTCATTGTATGAAAAGCTATAAGCAGTTGAAATAAACGGAAAACTCACTCGATTTCAAAATTCCTTATCATCCACATAATTTGAAATTCGCGGTAACTTTGTCCATGTTTTCCATCTGTCTAATGTGATTGTAACTCATTTTTACTCGCTGTATATTTTGCATATTACATGTATCAAGGGTTGTTCTTTCCTTTTCATCCAATCACGTATTCTTCCTGATTAAAATCGATCGTACGTTGTTGGTTTCTTTATGATTCACTTTCGATGCAATCATTCAAACACGTGTCCTTCGTATTTGGTGTTTTCTCTTTGCTTTCTTTGTAACACACAAAGAATAACTCGTCGTATGAAAGACATACAAAACGATCAGATAAAAGAGAAACAACGGAATACAGATACTCACATACATATATGTATATAATATATATATATTCGAAGTTCAATCATGTCATCACACAAGAGAAGAAGAAAAAATTCAACAAGGAAACAAGAACATGTTGACTTTCTATGTCAAAATAGATATAATAAATATTTACAGAGAAAGAACAAAAAGCAAGAGAGAATATTCATATTAAGTTGGCAGTTTTCCAGTTGAAGTAAAGACGAAAACGAAAAACGTAGAGAGAAAAGAAAAACGAAGAGAAAGAAAAAACGAAAACTGTTCGATGAAAATAAAACCCAAATGAAACGAAAAACAAACAGGAGAAGAAGAAGAAGCACGGAATGATATTGACTCTTTCTCTTTCATTTTATTATCAGACCTACAAAATACACGTACATAGAGAGAGATGATTGGTTTCTACACAACGATCGATCACCGGTGCATCGAAAAAGAAGCTTATTGCATAAGCATCATATCTCCTGATGAGATTTTCTTCTTATCAATAAGGATATCAAGCAACGTCGCTAGCGTTCTTTAGTTCTTCGGGTTGGTGTTGACGGCACATTGGTCACGGATGTTGATGAAATGGGCAATTTCGACGTTGAACACATCTCTCGTAATGTATTTCCATGATCAAGTAGATTAACAAGCAATGTGGAGATTTGAGTTAAATGTTCGCAAAAGTAACGGTGACGTTGGACATTACTCTGAATACAATGACAATAAGAATAAATTTCTCTTTCAAAGATAATTATTCATACTTCAATTAAATCTCCGATGGTATTACGAACGGAACAATCACTTATATTCAATTGATCTAATAATTGACTGATATCAGTTAGATTGTTTTGTGTAATTTGTTCATCATGCGTCTAAAGTAGTTTGTTATTACTATTGATTTGGAATTTCAACAAGTCGACTTCTTACCAAATCGGCTAGATATGTTGTTAGTCGATCAATACGCCATGATGCCCATGGTTGTGTTAGTTTCTTTCGTATTGTTTCTAAACTTTTCACAGGTACAGTTCGCTTGGGATCTGTTGAAAAGAAAATCCAATGAATATTCGATTTGAACAGAAAAATCGTCTTACTCATTCGAATAACATCCGAATATTTCTCATAATGATTTATTTTCGGTTTCCAAGAGACTCGTGATAGAAGTGTATTCATTGGTTGAGAACGAGCTTTTGTTGCAATCCATCGAATACCTGTTCTCTGATCATAATAAACAAAATCTAAATGAAATCAATATGAATAGATCAGTGTTTTCGAAGTTCGAACAAACCTTGTGATAATCGTTTGAGTAATTCATCGTTAATAACTTCCGTTGATGAATCATCGTTTGTTATTGTCTCTTGTTTGATATTGTTATGATTGAGTGACTTGGTTTCATCAGAACTTTTTCTTTGTACGCGTCTTTTTCTCACATGATTGCTGGAAAGTATTGCTGCAGCAGCTAATTCTGCGGATGAACGTTTTTTCGATACGAGAAGACCAGATGTGTCCAAAGGGGTGGATGAAGTGACGGATGAAGGAGGATTCGGTGTTGTATTTTCGATAGATAGTTTTAATGAAGATTTATGACGAGATTTACGGAATTTTTTCCCAGTCGATGAGGATGATGATGAATCGAACTGTTCATAATGAGCAATTTTGGTCGGTGGTTCGGATGGAGATGTTTGTTCACTGACAAAAGAAAGATTTCATGAAGAGAAAAACATTCAGATGAACTTACTCTTCGGGTAGTTTGTGTTTTTTAGCTGTCGCTGGCAATACAGATGAAATCTGTTGAGTCGATGGTTGTAACGGTAGACGAGTACGGTTTTTAACAGAATTTTTATTATGATGAACTAAAACAAGAATAGAAAGAATTAAAAATGGAGTTTTCGTGTCTTACTGTTTCTCAGCAGAGCTGAATCGTGCAGTTTTTCGTCAGTTTGTATATCACGAATGGCTGTTGTGGTGATAGTATGATTGTTATTATTATGATCCATTGATCGTTGTGTAGTTGCTATTCGAACAGATGGTGATGCGGAATAGAAATTCGATAATTGAACTGAATTTAGCGGATCGGATGTTGATGTTTGAGGTAATAAAGACATGTGAATAACTGTTTGATGACCAGAATCTGTGCGAAAAAAAGAACATATTTGATAAGAACAGAAAGAAAAGATATAAAAGTGACGTCTTACCTGAATTTTTCGTGGTTAAAAGTGGATTTTCAGTGGATGTTGGTGAAGACAAATTTGACTGTTCATTTGATGTTGATATGAGATGAACTGGCCGTGAGAGCATTTTTGCTGACACTGAAAAAAATAACGAAAGAAAAGTTGCGTTTTGAACAGAGCAGGAAACTTTCACTAACGAATTTTTGTTGTAGATTGCTGAGGCCAAATGTTCGACGCGGAATTTGGCTGAATGACTAATTTTGGCGTGACAGAATTGGATGATGAAGAGGAATTCGTTACTATTGGCTGAACAAGAGTTAAACGACTTTTGGATAAAAATTGCGGCTTGGGAGAGTTTTTTCCATCCGAAGTACTACTGCAAAGATCGGTTGTGGAAGAGATTAATGTTTGAATTTTCGGTGAAGTTGTTCCAGGTGGAATTAACGTAACTACTGACGATGAGCTACCTGTTGAATTCGTTTGTTGATTCAGTATGTAAGTTTTCGATGCGGAATATCCTCCATTTGTAGTCGGCGTGGAAGTTTTGTCGAGAAATTGAAATTGTAAGGCTGTAGGTGGAGAAGATTTACCAGTTGTTGGTGTAACTAAACGAATTGATGATGGAGCCGTAGATGTGGATGGATGTCGAAGAGATGAAGTCAAATTCTTATTTGAACTATCAGGATGTGTTTCAGCTAAAGAAATAAATCAGTAAAAAGAACTTATAGATTAGAATTGACATGAAAATCACATACGAAGAGACAGCTTTTTAACAATTGACACCTGATTTGCCATTGATATTGTTGGTACGAGTTGCTTTGGATGCTAGAATACAAATAAAACTAGATAAGTGAACCATATTAATCATAACAAACCAATTTTAAACCGGAATAAATCAGTGTAGTTGGTAAAGATGATGAACAATCAGTTTCAGTCGATAATTGTTGTTGTTGATCGTTTAATACATCACTCTGCATTGATAATCGATGTGAACAAACGCGGACTGTCATAAACAACAGTAAAACTAAAAATTAATGTTCAAATAAATCATTATTTATCCGAAGGAAAAAAAAATTTATTAAATATATATATATATACTAAAGAAAAAAAAGCAGCGACAACCTACCCCGGGTGTACGCCGACGACGTCTTTTAGCTACATATGCAAAGAAAGCGAGAAGATTTTTTTTCATTCTCTTTCTTTGCATTTTTTCTTCTCTTCTTCTATTCTCTTTTTGCCGATCTATCAAAAGGTTCGGTGTTCGACTCTCGTTCTTTTTTCCTTTTCTTCACATTCGAGCTCGGCACACCAGTAACGGCGGTAGCTATCGTCTCTCTATATATATGTATACACACACTAATGACAATCTCGGGCATCATGCGTTTGTGTGCATTGAGACATGCCTGACCTACATGAAATTGCGAGTTGATTGGATGGAAGAAACGATGTAGGAAGAAAAAGATTTGACAACGTAAGATGAAAAAAATCGGAACACAATAAAAAATATTATATCGATATGATTGTATTCGTTTTTATGAGATATAACATTGATATTCAGTCATTCATATATTTATATATTCATTCATTAAGGTAAATGTGCGAAATCATGAATTGATTCTATAATCAGTTGATTCGAATCAATTCAATGATTTAACAAGCGAAAACGAGCTACAGAGACGTCTGATTGTTGTTTCATACTATTTAGTCTACATTCGGTGGAGAGAGAATAGAGTAAATGTAATCAACGTGCAGTTTATTTCGTTTTCTTCTTCTTCTTCTTCTTCTTATCGTCTTTACGAGCATTTGCTTTCACTCTGATCGATGTATTCACTCGAAACTAAACAGACATAATAATAGCGAACGAACATATCTGTACATAACAAAAACAGAGAGAAGGCAAGGTGAAATGTGAAGTGTCGAGATAAATTTCATTGATCGTTCGTCTTAAAACTAACTAATCGAAAGTCGAAGATAATAATCGAAGATGATTCGCTTTATAAAAGTTCTAATTGATACTTACGAATGATAAAAACACGACAAGGATATCGTCTTATTGATTAAAACTTATCAATAACATCAAGACGAGTTTTCATACAAATGCAAAATCTGCTCGTTTTTCGCCTTCGAAACAGCAACTAGATGTTGGACAGCTTGCTAACATGCATATAACCTTACGGATGTAAATACTATAACAAACAAAACAACAACTTACTTACGTCACGAAAAAAATATTCTCATTGGTCAATGACAAAGTGCATTTGCGCAAAGCATCAATGCACTTTCGCGACATCTCGAAAGAAATGCACAGCAAATAGGAAAAGCTTGCTTGATTTATGAACAACTGCCTAGTTTTTCTTCGAGAAACAAAGCAAAGTATAGCATTGCGTTCGATATGTTTTATTTCTCAAGAGTGTGACACCGTTGATTACAGATCAGTATTTTACTTAAAAAAAACGATACTTAGTTTCAATTAACGGTGGATACTTAAGAAAAGATTTCGAGTAGAAACTCTTGACATGTCAGTTGATAATTAGGTATGCGAGTGTGATAGAGCATCTACCCTCTTCACCATAATGAGCTTTAGCTGTTTTAATTAAGCAATGCTGCTAAATTCGTCGTCAATCGTGAAAAATTAGAATTCAAAAACATGACAATGATTTACTATCGGAATTAACATATGAATGGATATTTAAATTCTTTAATGAAAAAAAGGAAACCATCTGTTTGTGATAATGTACAGATTCATCTGTAGAAAAAAATCCCTATTTCAAGAGTTTTAAACCCATTTTATCATTGAAGTCTAATGTATGAAGAGTTGATTCGAAATTTTCTAATGATACCGTTGAGTTAGTTTGTCTTTCTGTAAATTCTCCGACGACTTTCTCAGCAATGATCGATGCTTCCTCGTCACTAATTTGTCCAACCTATAGCAACAAAAGGAATCATTTTTTGTTGAATAACTCAAGTAATTTACCATCATCTTCAAAATTTCCTGCACATCCTCCTTCGATAGTCGTCCATCATGATCAACATCATACATCTAAACAACAATTCCAATTCGAAGATCAAAGCGATTCGGTTTAACGTACTCGAAAGATAAACTTGATCTTTCGTGTTCTCGCCGTGTCATTTGGACAATATCTGATGGATTCCAGATCAGTTTTAGTTGTAGATGTTATTGTTTGTGCCGACGATCGACGTCGTTGATTATGACTCCCTCGTTCGCGCTGAGCAAATGTGCTCATAAAATCAACGAACTGACGAAATGTTAATTTACCATTAGAACCAAAATCGTCAAAAATAACTTTTATCAAACGTTTGGCAATGGGATTTTGGTTAAATTTCGGCACACGTCCTAGATCAACAGCATCTAGATAACCTTTGTAACCTTTTGCATCGCCACGTCCGTCACGATCAAGCTCGTAAAAGCGAGTCCAAAGAGAACTAATTTGTCGTTTGGAAAGACCTGCAAAAGAAGAAAAGAAATATTGTTACTGTCGCAATTTGTCTTTTTCTACGCCACTTGCCTGTATTAAAAGTAATTTCATCAACATCAATTGTATCAGGTACTGACGCTGTTGCTCCCATGATTGTGTTTTATTGAATTTACACAGAATACAAAAGAAATAGGATCCTGCTGATTCAAATTTTTTCGTACAATGCGTAATGAGCTGTTTTCAAGGAGAGAAAACGAATCGTTTGAAGCTATTCTGAAAAAAAATGAGAAGAAATGAAAGCAATTATATGCGTTTGTCGTTTGAAACCGTATAAAACGATTTGTGAAATCATTCTTGTCATTGCAGAGTTGATTTATGAAGTATGTATTGATGTGAAAAGAAGCAAGAGAAATCAGGTTACTTTTCTCGTAGAATGAATAAGTAATTGCCGAACAGAGACAGAGGAAAAACAAGAAGAAAAGAACAATAGTGAAAAGCATATTCAGATAGTTAGATTGGGGGAAATTGAGAGAAAGCTCGCTTTTTTTTAATACTTACAAATTCAGTTTTGAGTTCATGCAAAAGAGGAAACAAAGCAATTACTCTTTTGACTATAGGAGACATTTAAGTAGAGGCACGTCCATCAAATTGACATATCTATCTTGAGAAGTACTATGATGTTGTTATTCTTCTTGATTATATCCACAAGGAAAATGTTTCTCTGCTGAATGTACGGGTGTGCCAGAACAAATGACAAGTTTATTTCTATCTATTCCTAAAAAAGACGGCTATGACTTAACAAGACACAACGAGATAGAAAGCGAAGCACAAATGACAATCGATTGAACGTCAACTAGAAATATTTTTACTCTCTGTGCGTCTACTTTTTCTTTGACTGAACGCAAAGACATAGGAAAAGAGGAAACTAATGCGATAATAAAGAAAAACGAGTAGTTACCCGTTGCCATGTGCCTTAATCGTAGTCGACAGATGCCCACATATATATACATAACATGAGAGAAAAAGATAGAAGATGTATGTAATCAATCGTGTAATAATCCATAATGATTATACGTCGCAGAAAGGAAAAGAAGAAACTTGCGCAGCAAACATTATCTTCTATCTTAATCAGAATCAAAACCGCTACAAAAGAAATTTGTCAGCACTACACTTTGACAATCTTGTCTTTTGACTTCGTCATCTACAAGGCTGACGAACTAGAATGCGAATAGAGGAAGGATAACTATCGATATTTTTCCTCTTTTCTGTTAATATGGGATAAACCTGATAGGAACGTGCGCTACGCGTAGTATACGATGATGATTTAGTTACAAAGTTGTAATTATGTCTTCGGAAGTCCTATTCGTTGAGTTCTGTGATATTTCATATAAATAACTAATGATCTCATAAATTTTCTATGTTTTCATTTGCATTTTTAACGTTATCCAAGAGTAAAACATGTCTGAACAAAGAATTTCGGAATTACAGATGATTGACAGCAACGTCACAAGTTAAAATATGATCCAAAACATCTGTGGAAAAGCTAAACAACAAGCATTGCAAGTAACTCTTGGAGAGTCAATTCATTTTCATGTTCGCCTTTCTCATTGCCGGTCAATTTCACACATAATTTCGATTCATGTGCTAATCTACTGACGATATTTCTATACTATTCGTCGTTTTGATTTCTGTGATGGCTTTGACAATGTGAATCTTTGCTTTACAACTTAATTTTGGTAAAATCTGTCAGCACAAATATGTGGAAGATTAGATCGATCGTTGATAAGGATTGTATGAAAAGAACAACAACGTCTTTTCAAGTGCATTCGAGTTTGAAAGGAAGCACTAACTTCAGTTGGAAGATTTTTTTATTGGTAGCATTTTTTCAACAAAGTAAACCTCTCTCTTCACCTCTATCGCCGTTTATTACTAATAACACAATTCTGTGTTACTCATTTCTTCAAACCAACTCGAGTCGAATATACTCACTAAATCAACAACAAAAGAGAGAGAGAGAGACAAATGCCTAATTTTGAAGTTTTTTCCAACGTAGATCACCAAACACTTCCTACACCGATACTATATAGATGTAATTTGTAACTATAATATAAAGTATAAACTTTGCAGCAAATCTCGATTGTGATTCAACGTATTTATTTCATAAACTAGAGCGAATCGTTTTTCTTCCATCTTTTCTCATTCTATCAAAAAACGGACTAGGCAGCAAACATTTCATCTTATTCTGCCATGCACGCGGAATGTAAGTTGCACTCATTTCTTCATTTTTTAATCTCTTTTTTGCTTGTCATAGGTAAATTTGTACCGAAAACTGAATCTGCTAATCATCGCTGTTGTTTCTTCTCACGATTTGATCATAATGTTCATCCTGTGATTGACACACGACAATTTCAATTTGAAGAATCCGAAAGTCAACAACGACGTCAAGTCGAAGCGTTTATTTTTTCTAAATTAGAAGAATATTCTCGTGAGAAATCGACAACATTCTTTCATCTGACTTCATTTTCTCATATACGTCGTCGTTTGAAACGTGATTTGAAATCGTTTCTTAAACGAATCCATCCGTACTTGGTTCCTGAAGAAAAACTCATTCAATGGCTCGATGAAACATTGCAAAGAATCACTTCTCATCTACCACATTTACATTCTTTATTCAATTCTTCAAATGATTTGCAAAAACTATTTGCACAGGAGAATTCCTTTTCATCGGCAACTATCAACACTCAATGGCAACAATTGCAGCTCAAACGAGCAAAGGAAATACTTCCAAATACATCTGAAGATCTCTTAGACGAATATCGGAAACATGTTGTTGAGAAACTTACACCAAAGAAACTGGAAAACAATCGATTATCATTGAAAAGCAAAGATCCAATCGATTTAGATGTTAAATTTAATGAAGCGGAACTAGTCGGAAGGGAGTATTTAACAAAAATCTTTGATGACTATCAAAAACGTCAATATCCGAATGTGAATTTGCTGAGAGAAATGATTCAGCTTGGAATGAATCAGATGGTCAAACGACCGAAAACAGACGAATTTCGAAATGCTTTGTCGTCATCGAATGTTCTTGTTAAAGCAATGTTTATCATCAAAAGCAAAAACGCTTATACAATGAGTTTGAAAAATATCGCCGACGATTTTATGGTAAAAGCTCTTCGAATTTTACAAACTTTTCTAAGTTTTATTTAGTTTCTTCGTTTCGGTCGTTCACTTGACTATGATATGAATGAAAAAGATTCGATTACTTCAAGATTTGCCTCGTTAATACACATGTTTTTGAATACCATCTCAACTCTGCTTCATTCAGTTCAATCGGAAACATCTCTCACGACATTTTCTCAATTTGATTCGAATTTATCTTCAGAAGAGATCCTCTCACCACTTGTGTATATTGATCAATGGACATGGTTGATCCAGAAATGGAAAATCGCTTTGCAAACATTTCCAGTTCATTTGACGAAATCTGGCGCGTTCGGTCGACTTATCCGAACGACGATCGGAGTTGGAATAGCTCGACTGTATGGATTCGCGGAAAACAATGATCACGAAGATTTAGATAGTAAGTTTTTTCAAGCATTACAAATGGGATTTTATTACGGAGTTGCTTATGCACTTGTTGATGGATTGCAAGACAGTGATAATAACGAAGAACAACAACATTCAATCGATGTTGATCACTGGTTAAGTGAAATGGAGCGAATCCTATGCGGACATGAATTGGATCCATCATCATTGCCTCAACTACCGATGACATCGCTTTTGCTTGAAACTTTTCATAGTCTTGTCCAATTAACATCAGTGAATTCAATTGCTGAAGAGACATTTGTCGATCTCGCGTTGCTTCTCCGTTCACAAAGAGCGGATAAGAAAGATTCGAAACGGATTTATCAAAACAACATTGAGCTTTATCTTGGATCATTGATGAAATCACATTTTACCTATACTGCAACGGCTTTCATGGGTGGCGCACGAATGGTTGAGGGTCATGAACGTCTATGGACAATGCCATTCCTCGGACAATTAACAGACGATTGTCGTGATTTTAATGAAGACCGTCGAGATAATTCGGTCACACCCGTTACGTACTATGCTCAACATAAAGAGTCCAATGTGTTGAATCCATTTTTTGTCTTTCTGTTCGTTTGCGAAGATTTGTATCTGCAAAGTCAGCGAGATGCGAATACAGGAGCATTTCTGGGACGTCGAATCATTCGAACACTACGATCGTTGCAAAAAGATTTCAACGAATTTTTACTTATTTTCGTTTCTCCAACCTATCCAGAGTTATTCAAATATACTCTTTCATTAGAGAAACTCTTCGATCGCGTTAGTGATCCAGAAAAGTCTGTCTTTCGTCGCATGAACCAATTCGGTATTGATTATTCTTTTAACCATCGAAAAGTTGAAACCTTCGCTTTTGATCATTTACCTCTAATCGAAAAACAATTAACAAGAATGCCTAACAACAACGATCCAATCGTTCTTGGAATGAACCATAGCCTCAAAGCCGGTGGAAAGCGTCTTCGTCCATTACTTCTTCTCATGGTTACTCAACTGTATCATATCGACATCAAACGTGTTTTACCTTTGGCAATCGCCATTGAGTATCTTCATACAAGTAGTTTAATCTTTGACGATCTTCCTGCACAGGACAATGCACCATTACGACGAGGACAACCGACGCTTCACATGCCAATCGAAAGTGATCAGAACAACATTCCATCATCGTTAACAGAAGGACGAGCTCAATTAGTCGCAGTTGATCTAATTGCTCAGGCGATCCGACTGGTAACTGTAGATTTACATCGTGAAGGTTTTCCATATGAAAGTATCAATCAAGTAACAGCAGAACTATCACAATCAATGGATGAACTTTGTCACGGACAATTTCTTGATCTGCAAGCAGCGAGAGTGAAGAGAACAACATTGACGATTGACGAACTTGATCATATCGCTCAGTTGAAAACTGGAAAAGCAATTGAGGTTGTTCTCGTTTGTCCTGTGATTCTTGCACAAATCGATCAAAATTCGCTAAAGAGAACCATCGACCGTCTTCGGGAACTTGGCCGGTTGATGGGAATTCTATTTCAAATGAAAGATGATCTGTTAGATGTTGAAGGAAATGTAGGCGAACTTGGAAAATTAACAAATATTGATCAACATAATGAAACGATGACTTACGTGAGTTTATTGGGAATTGAAAACACTCGACAACGTTTAAAAAGCAAACGAAAAGAAGCAGAAAAGATTCTCAATGAACTATGGCCTCAAGCAGGAACTATTCGAGATGTTATCCGACATATTTGTGAACGAAAAAACTAACTTGTCAGATAATGTTGATTTTTTTTCTAATGATTTTATTTAGAAATATAAATATATAAGCAAATGAACCAGTTCATTCTTACTTATAGAATTGCAAGTACAATATATTTGAACACAAAGTATGAATGATAACAATACTATTAAGGGTAAAACTACCGAGAAAAGACGCGAAGATGGAACAGGAACTACAGAAATAAAAAGTATTATCTTGAAAACTATCAATCATAAGGAACACATAAAGTCGCATATCTATTCGAGCTATCTTCATCATTTTCGTATACATTGGAAGTGAAAACAAAACAAATCGAACATTCTGAATGTACATCCTTTTGGTAAAATGACTTTTGTCAATCCACATTCTAACGAAGAGTAGATTCGTTTTATTTTGCAAATACATTTTTATGAAAATCACTTCACTACACATTCATTCTTTTATTTTTAATAATCATCAATGTAGGATCCTCATGGGAAAATGTGATATTCATTGATGTATGCTTGATTGTACAAAAAAACGTGACACTTCATCATATTATTTGTGTTTTATCTGCTCAGTTCAAGTCTGATCGCACATCATCGATCTCTGCATCCGGGTAAGTTATGATTATCTTTCTGAACGAAAATCAAAGACCCATGCGATTTACATATTTTTATTTGATATTCTCTATTAGGACCGTATATATTGAGTTAAATCTCAATGTACAACATGTATTTACACAAAAAAAAACAACAAGAGAAAAGTGTCTAGTTTGTTAACATTTGGGTAGATTCCGTAGCGAACAGGCGGAGAATTCCGGACCGGTTGGTAATAATTGCGATACTTTCAATGAAAGTTCTTTATATACTTGACGAATGGTGCTCTCTGCAGTTCCGGTTGCTAGTCCTAAGTCTTTTATTGGTTTTTGTTCACCAATAATAGCACATGCCATGTAAATGACTGCGCCTACAACTGATTCTGGTGCTCGACTTTGTATATCACAAATTTCTTTCGCTCGTTCGCTAATGTGTGTTGAAACTTTGACAATGAGTCTATGATTTTTCAGTTCAAGTCGACCACAGAAACGAGAGATGAGATTTTTGACATCCACCGCTTCATGCAGAATAAAATTCGGTAGTTCTTGTTTTATCTTACTAAAACATCTACCAATCTTCACTTTCGATACACCCGGCGCAATGCCACATATTTCTTTAATTGTACGCGGCATACCTCCTTGCCGACAAGATATATAAATACACGTGGCAGCAATTGCTTCTTTTTCATAGCCACGCGCACATTTTGCATCATGACATTTCTTGTAGAGTAAACACGCTTGTTTTACTATTCGGTTTTCTAACGAGATTCGATTGGCCATTTGTCGAATGATGTTATAACCGTCTTGTAAAGCTCTGTCTCCTGATGATGTCTGGACCGATGTAGTTTTATATTTCTGCTGGCCGAATTCGTCGACTGCTGGTTTACCTTTCCCTTTGGCAATCATCGTATCGAATGTATTGTTGTCAAATAAGAAATTATCTGGACCACCGACGCGACACATGTCTTTCGCATCGGTGTCATTGGCAAATGTTCGCCATTCGGAGCTAACATCGATCGTTCGATCGCCCACTACTAACCCACACTCAGAACAGATCGTATCACCTGCACGCCAATCTTCGATTAACGTCGATTCGGGATGAAAACGACATGAGAGGGTTTGCATGTTCCGTGTCATTCTTTCTTATGTCTAGTAAAAACATTTCTTTACATGAGTAAAAAGGGCAGCAGTATACCTCAGTCATTACACTTTCCACTTCGTCTTTCATTCCTGTCGATGCGATATTTGTCAGGACAAACGCACGTCTCGCTTGTACGTCATGGGTTTTTTCCTATGACGCCATGTTACCATTCAGTGGGATATTTACAAGGAAATATTAATGCTTTTAATATTTTGTGAAATGAGTTTTGTTTTCGTTGATCAAATTGTTACAACAAGAGGACACATGTCAAACAAATCAGATTTCTATTCCATGCGTGTTTTCTCCAATATTCGAAATCTAATCGACATCTCCTCAGAATCAAGATTTGCTTCGTATATTATAAAAGAATATTTCGGCAAAATTTACCGTGATGACTCACATTTCCTTCCAATGAAGTGTGCGTCATTCATGAGTCTTATTGCACAACATGCTGATTGTAATTTCGTAATCGCTCGCTTCACAGTGTTTTTCCTATAAAAAAGGAGATGAAATGTGTTCAGACAAAGCAGTGAAAAAGGTTTTGAGTTTGACAGTTTGAGCATAGCTTCACGGCCTTTTAGGCTAAGATCGAAGTTTAGTATCTGTTCTCGTCGGTTTGAAAGCCGGCGCTGGTCTCATTGAGACCAGAGGCACTTTCAAAGCGGATTTTTGGAGCAGACCATGTACATCTGTGTTTACTCGGATGTTTCATGCGTCTGATCGTCTCGGCACTGCATTGCCGTCGAGTTCGGTCAACACCCGTGTTCTTCGGGACACGGGAACTACAATAAAAATTCAAAATGAAGATACTAACTATATACTAGTCTATTGATATACTTGTGCGATTCGACAGGATCGGTAAGATCTTTGCTATCCCACTTGGATTTTACACCGATAGATCCTTCATATCAATAAAGATATTTGTATTCATACCACAATACAGTTTTATCGTATACATGTTTGCAATTGAAATTAAAATACATTGATAATCTACTTTTAACTGTAGAAAGTTGTCGTTTGAACGCACGAATATTTTTCGATAGTTTCACCAAATAGAGAACAACAAACTATGAAATACAGACGACTACAGTTAATGAATATATAGACGATAGTCTATCGAGTATGATATCTCAATGATCAGAGAAAATCATAGATAATTTATATATTTTCTTTTGTTTATGAGTAAACAATTGATTTAATCTGCAATCAAATAATTTCATGTCCTGATTATCCAAAAATTGATATATTAACTCGTATTACATATTGTTTTCCTTCACCTCAAACACCAGACTTGACTACAAGACAACACTTTCCATTGCCCATCAGATAGATAGATAAACAACAGCGTAGAACATCTCAATATCAAATTTGAAAGTTGAACTGTAATTTTCTTGTTTTTTGTTCAAAATGACACGAGAATTTTTGCTTCGGAAGATGTCGATAGTTATCAATACCTTGAAAAAAAGTGAGTGAAGTCATCGTTCGTTGTCCAGACAATGCTCACCCGTCATGTCGAATGATTAAACCACATCGTAGAAGAAACAGCGTCTCGTATCTATTAATCTTTAATTTCATTTCATTTTTTTGGTTTTCTTTGTTTCTTTGTCAATAATTATTTTCGATTAATAGAAATACTTCATTTTCTCTTTCAAAGATTCTCAACTAATTGAATATGTTCGTTTTCATGTTCTTCGAAATTCTATTACCGAAAAATCACAGTCCCAAATTTCACATAATTATCGGTTACCAACATATTGACGTAAGTATATAAAAATCATCAATAAAAAAGACGTCGCAGAGAGAAATCAAGCAGACATTAATGATGAACATGTTTTTTATACACGGAGATTCACAAGGTTAGGATTTGAATGAATGGCATAGAAATGAAAAAAGAGAAAAAAAAACGCTGCTTCACTTATATAAATAGTGTAGCAACAGCTACATCTAAAACTCTCACACCTTCTGTATGTTTTTTTTTTGTTCTTTTTGAATGATCACTTATACAAATTCTTCTCGATCTCTTTCTTTTCTTCTTCTTCTTATGCATGTTGATATTACGTCGATCGAACTCTTTGGATATATAAGTGCAACGTCTCTCCTATTCCTATACACACGCATACAACTTCTTTGTCTCTTGGATTTTTTTCTTCTCTCGAACGTTTTTTTCTAAATGAACAAGAAATACACTTCTCTATAACTCGTTTTGTTTTCTCTACCGTGCGCCTGATATAATATATACATGTGCGTGCGAATACCGAAGAAAAATATCTTACAAAAGTCAAGATATTAAACCTTGCCATTAGGTGCTTGGTCAACAGCGGAATAGGAGAAGAAACACGGCACATTCATTATTTCAATTCAAGCTCATGAGCACCAGTATTTCTATCCAATTTGAGCACGATGTATCCAGGAACTCGACGAAAAAAGCGTACAGATAGTATGAAAGTGACTACTGGGGAACGGGAATCTGAAGCAGAAGAAGAAGAAGATGATGATGATGATGGTGATCATTCGCATTCGAAAATCAAACATCAAACGAGAGATCCGTCAAAATCGACTCATTCTGCTGCGATTGCTTCGTTGTTCAGCCTTGCAAGTAAGAATCAACATATACTTTTCTCGCTTTTACATAAACAATCGACTTTTTCTCTTCGAAAACCGTCCAAAATCGATGTTAAGATGACAACACTCGTCTTATAAAATGTTTGCAGATGTACAGCTTCCTGTCTGTTGTTTCTCTTGAATTTTATGGTTTTACTCAAATGTCCTTATACTTTCCTTACCTGTATTCATATTCCGAAGATTTATCTTTGATGGTCAAGGATCTTCCATCGAAGAGGAACCAAAACTTCTTGAAATTATCATTCGTCCTTGTGTGAAACAGTTTTTTGTTTAGTTTAATTGCTCTTAGAATGAAGTTTTGAAGTGGAGCAAGACTGAAACATTTTTAATTAAGCGCAGTTTGACGTCCCGTTACTCTCGTTGAAATGTTAACAAAAAACAGCACGTTTACTACATATTTTCATTTGATTATACAAAAACCTTCGCTTCGATGATTGAAACATTGACAAAAGTTCATTTTTGTTCGAAATCTTTTCTTGAATCATCACAATCTCTCTTGACTATTCTAGTGCCTACAACTACCGAACATGACCGACAATTACCTAATGCAGCGGCCCTTCAAGTTGCGCATATACTCGAAAGTTCAGATCTTCAGGAAATTGCTCGACTCGATTGGGTTGAACAAATTCAATACTTTGTTACCGAACGTTCACATCTCATCAATCAGGTATTATTGCTCATTTGTTTAGCCAATGATCGTATCGGATTAATTTCAGCTCGAACATATTCGAACACAATTCGACAAACAATACAATTCATTAAAGCGTCGACTTGATGAAAGCGAAACGAAAAATGAACGTCTCACCGCTCAACATCGATCAGCGACAAAACAACTTCTTCTGTATAAAAATCTCATCGAAGCTCCTGAAAACTCTGATTCTCCAACTCCGAAAAAAGATTATCAACAATTGAAACAAACCATTGATTCCATCGTCAAAGAAAACAACCATCTATACGCCGAATTACAAGAATTCATAACCAGCGATCCCGTCTATGATCAAGTGAAGCTACTTGAAACCACCAATCGACATTTACAACAAGAATTACTTCAAAGCAGCAATCAAAACGCTCAATTAAAGAAGCTTATCAACGTCGATGAAATCAAACATTTGAAAACTCTTCTCGCCAAAACCTCCGATGAATGCGAACAATTGCGATTATTAAATAAAAAACTGGTTAACGAAATTGAGCATCGACGAGGACAAACACAAACTTCATCACCCAAACAGGTTTGTACAAGAAAAGAAAACTTGTTTGTAATTGGATTCTTTCACATTACTTTCGATTTTTGAACACTTCATATAACAAAAGCATTTGATTTCATATTTACTCTTTAATAACCGATCTGGCAATTTCATGAACCTTGGATTGATCAGATTTCTCATGTATCGTTATGAATGTTGACCTGAGCAGTAGAATATCTGAGACGATGACCTTGCGAAGCGAAAGAAACGAGTTTAATGGATGTTGATATAGAGAAAAGAAATGTTCGAGTCGAAATCTTCATTTGAATGAATATTTAAACAAGAAAAAATTTGCCACATTGAGATTCTGATGTAATAGAAACTCGAATAAAGTTTAATCAACACAAATACGTCGACGAACGACACAAAAAATTTGCATAGATTTATAGAAGTGTTCAGGCGCTCGATGAAATCTTCTATTCTTCGCCTTCTTTTTGTTATTTGTAGAATGAAAAGAAAAGAAAAGAAAAGAATATGCAATTCGATCGTCTCATCAGTTACCAAATGAGTTTTTTTTTGTCTTAGACACACTACAAGAAAAGGATCATCATGTTTACATTACTTTTAATTAGAAATCTTTCATTTCAGGTACAAATCTATCTTCATCCACCATCACAACGTTCACCCACATCAAGTCCAAAACTTACCGACGAACAAAATTCACAATTGACAATACAAAATCTTCGTCAACTCGACTTAACCACACATTTGCCATTACCATCATCATCGACTCTATCAACATCAGCAAACCTGACCGAATTACACGAACACGTTCAGTTGTTAGAACAAAAGTTACAGCAGCGAGACCATGAGTTACATACTTTACAGCTTGAAATTGAAAAAGGTACGAGTTCAATCATGAGTTCGATCGAAGATCTGTGCATCGCATCGAATTCCGTCTCTCCCGTCCCACACTCTCCGATGATTCGTGCGAAATCCACATCCAGTCAACTAAAACCAACAATTGAAGAATTGCAGAATGAAATTGACCAATTGCATGATAAATTAGATGAAATAACACGTGAAAATCAAACATTGAGAAATCGAACACGAGAATTCGACACGATCTATGAAGAAAATGAATATTTGTATGCTGAGAAAAGCGTTCGAAACGAAGAAATGGAACGTGCACGTATCCGTGAATTAGTTTTAGAACAGGAAATTCGAACATTGAAAGAACGCGAAAAGGAATTTCTTGTCACAAGTGACACCACACCCGAAAGTTCGAATATCACGCAACTAAAACTAAAAATCGATTGGTTACATCGAACAAATAACGAATTAGAACTCGAAAACGTTCGAGTGCGTGAACAACTCGATTTTTTGTCCGAAAAATGTCAAGATTTGAAAAACGAACTTATCCACAAAGATGAACATCACAAGCAAATCCTATCTGTTGCCGAAGATCAACAGCAGCTACCTCAAGTAAACTAAATTCCCTTCCTCATCTGAGTTCTTCCATATCTTCTTTAGGAACTAATCCGATTGGAAAAAATGAAAATCAATCTCGAACATCAAATCGAACAAGATCGACAAGACTACGAGAGAACTCTTCAAGCCATGGAAGAACACAATGAAAAACGAGAACAAAAATACAGTGTAAGTAGACAAACTCTTCACATCTACCGCTTTCCTTTCTCTCAAATTATTCTTTTGATTATGAAAATTTCTTCTAGACGCTCTACGATACAATTCTCAAACTTCAAAATGATTACCGTCAGAAAGAATTGGATTATGTTCAACAAATGGATGATATTGTCAAACAACGCACAGAACTTCATACACAATTAACAACACTTCAGAATGAACATAAACAAATTCAACAAGAGAACAAATCTTTGAAAGATGAAGTATGACGTCGAATTTCTCTTCTCTCGTTCACACTTATCGTTTATTTAGATCAAATCGAAAGACGAAATCAATCGCGATCTGAAATCAGCATTAGCATCATCAAACAATGATTCACAATCAACTTATACTCAATTACGACAGGCCAACAGCAATCTCACTGAATTACAGAAAAAATACGATCGAGATCTGGCCGATCGAAACAAACAAATCGAAACGTTACATAATCAGCACAAACAGATGATGGTAATTCTTACGATCAAGAAAAATCATCAGTTTTTCTTTTCTCACTTGCTTTTCAGACGAATTATGATGAAGGTTTATTGAAAACTCATCAAACAATTATTCAATTGCAACATGAAAATAAACAATACTCGAATCAAATCGAATCGTACCGATCGAATCTTGAAAAACTTCAGTCTGAACTGAATGAAAAGAAACAAGTAACCTGAGCGGAGGATGCATTCGGAGAACAAATTTTCTCTTATGTAGTTTATCGAACAAGTTCAAAGTGATCTAACCGAACGATCAGCGTTACATGTGAATATTAATAATCAACTAGCACAAGAAAACAAAGCGCGAATGACGAAAATCTCCGATTTAGAACACGCAATTGCTCAAGAACAGCTACAAGTATAAAGAATTTCTCTCAATCGAGTTGATTTTAGGTGAAACTAAATGAAATGTTTAGAAAATGGAATGTCAACGAACAATTCAAGATTTACAAATGGAATTATTGAAATCTCGAGCAATAGCAAAGGAATCTTTGGAAAAAAGTCAAGAATTAGAACGACGTCTTCATGAAACAGATAAAAATTTCGAAGAAACAATTCGAAATCATCTCACTGAATCCACCGAACCAACTAGACGTGAATTAATGTCGTTAAGAGCAGAATTAGTTACAAAATCTGACCAAGTCACTCTTCTACAATACGCGCTCGACGAAGAAAAACTCAAACGGTACAAAAGACGACTTTTTCAAGAAAAAAAATCTTCATTCTTTTCGATTTAGACAAAGACTTGAAATGAAATTAAAACGTTTGAAAGAAGAATATATCAATGTTCGAAAAGAATTATACAATCGAATTGAGGAAATCAACGGTCTTCAACACGAATTAGTAGAATGTCGATTTAAAAATGAGTATAATCTTCATTTAACTAATCAAACATTCAGTTCGATAAAATCTGTACGACGAAAATTCATTGATTTCACTCGAAGAGTCAATCTTTCTTTTCGAATTTCAGACGAATGAAACTGAGCCATCGACAGCAGTTCAACTTTATCTGAAAGAAAAAACTGATAATCAACAATGGCAATTGAAATGTCGAACATATCAACAAAAAGTCGAACATTTACAACGAAATTACGACTTAACAAAAGGAAAGTACAAAGAACGTTTACGCGAAGAACGGTTCGTTGAAAATTCTTCGAATTACCACTAAATTGACGACTATTTATTCTTCTCTAGAGAACTGTTCGAACGTACGAAACGAAAATATCTTGATCATTTAAAAAACGTTCAACGAGATCTTCACGAGACTCGTCAATTGTTAGAAAAAGATGCCGAATTAAAATTTCATCAGGAATCCGCCTATCAACAATTGATTGACGAACGACGACAGTTACTAACGAGGTATAATCCATCACGATCAATGATTGATGCTTCTATTCGCACTGCTTCTTCTACTATTGATCACACACATCCACAATTGATGGATAATGTCACTTTTTATAGGCAAGTCTTGTCAGTGCACCTGCTTTACTTGTTTGATTCGATTGTTTTCATCGGTTTTTCATTTACAAATCTCCTTTTATGAATAGTATGGTGGACAAAGACGCGAAAGTTCGCGAGATGCGTCGAGAAAATCTGTTACTAACATCGAAAATTCAGCTATTAGAAGATCAAATGGAGAATCTCAATGAACGTGTCGATCGAACATTGCGCGAACGAAGTCAATTCCGTCGAGATATCGGAACTGTCCGATTGGATAGTAACCTTTCTATAGAAGTAAACATTTCACTCGCTGATAAACCATTTTCATCTATTCGTTCGTTTCAGACAGCATCTCGGTCATCGACAAGTCCATCGCCCACTCGAGCAATAACTTATACGGAAACAAATACGAGAAATCAACCGATTCATCATACGGAATCATTTGGATTCGATAATATTCGAACAATGTCGCCGTCTTGATGGAGTGAAATGCGTTTTGTGCTGTCAGATATTTGTTTTTGTTCGACATGCGAACTTGTAGGATGGAATTATTAGGTTATTTTTATATAATTTCTGTGTGTGATAAAGAATAAAATGTATTTCGATTATCTCATGGACAAAAGACGAACTTTTCTCGTTTTTAGATTAGAAAAACATGAGTTCAAGTTTAGTCGCACTTGCCAAAGAACTAAGTCGAACAAGACCCGAAGAATTGCCTGAGAAATTTTTGCAACTTCAACGTAGGTTTTGTCGATGGCGACTCTCTCGTCGAAAAATATCGATCTGTTTCAAATTTAGAACTTCTCCAACGATCAACATCCATCACTAGTCTTAAATATGAAATTATTTCACTTGATATCTTACCAATTCTCTTATTAACACTTCGGCAAGAGTTTACAACGATTCCCAATGGATGGCGATTAGCTGCAATGAATTTGGGTCCATTAGCTTGGTAAAGACTTGGATTTGTCGGGCTAATTTTTACGATTTGTTCATTTAGTTCGTGTATGTGTGTAGAAGTCGATAAAACGAATGTGAAAACAAAGACCTGGTCAACGAAATTTTTCGATCGATATCTCCCGCAAGGTGTTGATAGCTTTATTTTACTTACCCGACATTTACAAGATCGATATATGCAAGAAAAGAAAGTAAATAGTGTTTTCTTTTCTTTGTTACACTTGATAGCAACGATTTTTAGTCTCATCTTCGTCAAGATTATGTCACGTATATGACAACAGTAATGAATAATCTACTGGAGGTATTGAATTTTCATTCCAATCAGTATGGATTGATCAAACAGGGTAAACTGGTTGAAAGATTGATAAAATTTGTAATCAAAACGATTTAAATTTTAGCTTTGGTTTCGAATAAATTTATGGAATTATTTCTCACTGACGATGTTTATATCTGTGCATTGATGATCAACAGTTTCGAAGATATTGTCCGAAAGGGCAGGTAATTATTTAAAGAACAACGTTTCAATTGTTGTCTTCTACTTCTAAATAGACGTTTGACTGGTTCGAGTGTATTTAATGACCTATCGAATAAATTGAAACAAGATTATGTCAATGAACTTGCGTATAAACTAACAGTTTTCGATAACAATGAAGTTGGAAAGTAAGCTTTGTTTTGAAAATCGATTATTTACATAGAAATCACTCTTGTAGAGCAGCTGTGCGTGCTCTGATTGCAGTTTGCGAAACTGATTCCAGTATTGTCACTTTATTAGCTGATAAATTCAAGTATATCATGTCTGTTCACCATATTTATCTGACGATGTTTTGTACAGAGGTCTCCCTACGATTCTACAACGTTGGCAAGGTCGAGGTTTTGGTATGGATCTTCAAGATTTGCTTGCAATTATACGACGCACGACTCGAGGTGGTCCCTATTCTCGCGAATACCAGGTAAATTTGTTAATTTAAGATTATGTTATCGGTGGATTGGTTTTGTAAAGAGAGAGAACTATGCTGCTAGTCGAATTCAAGCCTGCTGGCGAGGTTTTGCAACTCGGAAACGATTAGCAAAGGCGAACAAAGCTATGAGACAATTTCAAACTAGTTTCAGGTTTGCTTTTTTAAATCATATTATATATGAGACGAATTCATCGGTTTTCTCTTAGGAAACGAAAGTTGAGAGAAGCGCAGCTGAAAGATCGTGAACGTGAACGTGCGGAAGTTCAATATCAGGCGACACGTGAACATTATCGACGTTTACGACAATTCAAACTTCAACAAATGCAAACCATTAAATTGTTACCAGCATGTAAAAGAGAGAACTTTTCTCGTAAAGAAATCGATGTTATTCGTTTTAGCTGAAGTCGAAAAGTTTCTTGAAATTCAACGTTTACAAAGTGCGACAAAAATTCAAGCAGCTTTCCGAGGTTATTCACAACGACGTAACCTGACGAATGGCGGTCGTAACCGTTTGATTGCTGAGCGTGCTGCGCGTCGGATCCAACGAACATATCGACGATATCGACAACGAAAACAAGCCGAACTCGATCGGCGTCAGGAACGATTGAAATACATCAAACCGACCATTCTCACTGAAGCTAAGCGAGAAGAACTACTCGAACAGATCGATCAATGGAGAAGTGAAAGAGCTGTGAGTATTTTACTTTGTTCAGCAGTGATGACTTGTGCAAAATTTTAGCCAAGACCAATGTCGAATGAGGAATTTCAAGCACTTCATGACCGCGCACAAGACAGTCTCAATCGATATGTGACGACTAATCGAGCATGGCGTCGAATTGAGCAACGACAACGTTTGTTACTTCATATGATGGATAATGACTCGGAATTTCTTTTGACAAGTATTCATATCCATCAAAACATTTTTTGCATAACAAGAATTTTTTGTTGGTTTTTTAGATCATCCAAAATTAAAATCAGCAGTGGATCCAACTAATCCTACAGAGGTATCATTGAATCAATTAGATAAAGCAGCTGCTTATCTAACTCACCCATCATCGGCTATTCGTTATCGTGCACGGCAAGATCATATTGATGCGATGAAATTTGCTCGAGCACCATGGTACAAAACAATCCAAATGGCTAACATGGATGACGAAGAGGAAGACGAAGATGAATATTTGAATCGTGGTGGTCTCGATGATTTTGGTCGAAATGATATTTTGAATAATCCAAATCGTTTCGAATACGAAAAACGAAAGTTCTATCAATTTACACCTACATCGTCAATTCAACGTCTACATTGAGTTTTTTGCCTGTTTTGTTTGTAGTAGAACTTCTGTTTGAATAAATCTTTAACAATGTCTTGAACAGAATTCTTAAATCTCCAAGATCTTGTATACGATCCATACGTAACTCGATAGAGGGCGGTAATATCCAATCGAGTAGAAACTCGATGTTTTCATCGCCTTCAATTGGTGTTCTTCGTTTCGAACATATGGGTACTTCATTCTTTCCACAAAACACAAGTAGTATAATCTGTCCTGAACACATTACAACTGTTTATTTACTCATTTTTCCTGATTATTTATCTTTTACAAAACATTTTCATCGCTGTTTTCGAGCCATTCGCCATTCATTCTAAGATTTTATTTAATCCATCAGTTACGCCATGAAAAATACCATTGTTTTCCTCGTAAAACATATACACTACGTCCAAGATTCTTTGCTTTCTCCGGAACGTAATCGAAAGCATAGATTTTTCTAGATAGACAATGTCATCCACAAAACCAAATGTCATATTCGTATTAGGTGGTCCAGGAGCAGGTAAACATCTATTTTCGAAGATTCTGTTTATACTGTATTATCTCTATTTAGGTAAAGGCACACAATGCACTCGAATAGCTGAAGTGAGTGGTACATTCGAAGTTTCAATCATTTTTTTCTTCATCAATCTGTTCTAGACGTACGGATATGTTCATTTGTCTGCTGGCGACCTTCTTCGCGAAGAAGCTGCTAAGCCCGCCTCTACACTTGGTAAAGAAATCAATGAACACATTAAAAATGGTTCCATCGTCCCGGTTGCTATCACTTGCAAATTACTCGAAAACGTATAAACCTTTCTTACACTCACTTGCCTACGAATTCCGTTTTTTTCTCATAGGCGATGAATAACAGTGGCAAACAGAATTTCTTAATCGATGGTTTTCCACGCAATAAAGACAATGTTGATGGTTGGAAAAAAGCTCTGGATGGGAAAGTCAACATTCAATGTGTACTTTTCTTTGATTGTGATGAAAAGGTAAAACAAGAATTCTCCCCACTGACTGAATTTCATTCTTTTCATCTCGAACAGACTTGTGTTGCTCGATGTTTGGAACGTGGCAAAGCCAGTGGACGAACCGATGATAACGAAGAAAGTTTGAAGAAACGGTAGGAAAAATACGAGACATTCCTCCCATGAGAAAGAAATCAGGTATTTTAGAATTGTCACGTATAACGAATCGACTAGACCGGTTATTCAATTTTATGAGAAAGAAAATCTTGTCAAACGTATCGATGCGTCCAACGATGTTGATAAGGTTAAAGTGTTCCTCCCGACGAAAACTTGAATGAAATTGAGTTTTTAGGTTTTTGAAGATGTCTCCAATGTATTCAATAGTTTCAAATCGTGATCTCCATAGACGAATCAGTTAAGAAAAGAGTGCAATCTTTTTAATTTCTAGCTTTGCATGTTTTCAACAACTATTTCAGACAGAATCTTTGATGATTTTCAAAAAAAAAATAAACTTTGCTTATCTGTATTCGATAAATTTCATTTCTTTTCCTTCGCAAAAACAAAAACACGTGCTCGTCATATTTATTCGAAGAACACTTCGTTCATTTTAGATCAATATGCAACGTCCATCGAATCGTTATCGTGTTGGCCATCAGTATTCTCATCATCATTCGCCTTCTCATGACGACGATATCGATTTATCTCCTACGAATTCATATTCTGATGAGAAAGAGGATTTCAAACAACCGATGAGATATTCGCCAATCGAAATTAGCAACGAGTTCGAATCAGCGATACGAAATCTTCGTCCATCGGCAAGTCAACGGAAGAAAGCAAAAGCGAATTTAAATATTAGCAAACAAAAAGCTGATTTACCGCAGCTAAACCTGGCAAATGATGAGAATTTCAATGAACAAAATTTTAATAAGGAAAATTCGTCGCAAGATCAACAATCAGGACATTGGTTTCCAAATCCAGATATCGGTCATGTCGATTCCGATGCATTTATTCGACATAATCATGTTGGTAAGTTGTTTTCCCATCACTAAATCATCGTCTAATTTCTTGGAAAAGAATGTTCTCAACAACCAATGGAGTCAAATGATCAAATTAATCCACCAGCTCTATTAACAACTTATCCTCCAGTCGGAATTTCAACCCGTCCAACTGCACTTGTTGCTCCAGCTGGTCCAGCTCGATCGATATCGGCGTTTGTCGCTTCAACCTCGTCGATCAAAACTGTAAACGATACAAATCTAAACACTCGATTGAACTCAACCGATCAACAAACAATCACCTCATCAACATCCGCTTTTCAACCGATAGCAAGTCTTCAAAATCTTCTCAATGGCAAATCCACAAACAAATCTGCTCCACTTCTCATGGACATTCCCCAACATAAAGCACTAGTTCGTGGCCAACAATTGACTAAAGTACATATTTCTCATCCGCAAAGCCCGTCAATTGTCTATGTAAGTTTCAATCCGATGTTCATCAAAATTTTCAATTGAGATTTTTCAGTTGATGTTACACGAAGATTTCAATACAGCTTGTCGTCTCCTCCATGAAATGGCGGCTCATCCTGACCTTCAACGCGATCAATCACCAACCTATTCGTTCAAGTATGAAATGTAAACTACTTTCTCATCAATACACGTCAGTTGTTCGACTAGAGCTCAAGTCAATCGTTTATGCGCGTGCTATCACGAAGGTCGTTGGTTTCGTTGTCGTATCACACAAATTTCGCCTGATTTTTCTTCGGCGACCGTCGTCTACTTAGATTGGGGTATGACAATTCCAATGCAAATCGGTCCGGAGTACATCCGTCGTTTACCGAATGAATTCTACGCTGAACCGACTTGTTCAATCATGTGTCATTTGGATGGTGTGCCAAATACGAACGAGTTGATTCCAGCTGATTGTCTCACTGAATGCATTGCTCTATTGAGTGAAAATGAATACGATGTGACAGTGAATGGCTATGATAGTAATTCAGGTGGAAAAGTAATTCTGTCCGTGAATGGAAGGATTATTAATGATCAAATTCGACAATTACTGGTACCAAATGTAAGTGAAATTGTTTGAAAGATTTTCTTTTCTATGTGGAAAGTATTGATTCAGAAATTGATGTCAATTGATGATGAACTGGTTGAACAATTTCGTCACGAACTTCCGTTGACCATTGGTGATGAATTGAAAGTTTTGCTTAGTTCATTCAGTGGTAAAGATGATTCATTCTATGTATTACTTATCAATGAAGATACTGTCGTTATCGATCGCGCTATGAGTCAACTACAAGAAACTCATTTTTCCAATGGTTACACGTCTGAAACACCACAAATTAAAACGTTCGTGTTTCGTTTTTTGAATTTTATTCAATTATTTGCGTCATCTTTAGTCTTGTTGTCGCTCGTTATGCTGATGACGGTAAATGGTATCGCGCATGGATTAAATCAGTATGCATACAACGGCAACAAGTCACTGTCTTCTTCGTAGATTTCGGTAATGAAAGTACAGTAATGTTTGAAGATATTTCACCATGTCCGGAATCCGTTCGAACACTTCCATGGCTCGGCATACGTGTTCGTTTACTCGACGAAACGATGTCCCATGATGAATTGGCGGCATTTTGGAAAATCGCCGAATCTAACTATATCTGGATTAAGATCTTAGATATACTCAAAGATTCCTATAGTATACAAATTAAGATTGATTATACACTCATACTCCGACAGGAACGAATGAAAATCTTAGAAGCAAATCAAGGTGTTCATGTCGGTGTACAAGTATAACAAGAACCTTTTTTTCGAATGCGATTAGAGTTGTGTTTGTTTAGACTTTGTCGAACGATCAATCGTTGTCAACTATTTGTCCATCAAATCACTCCGATGTAAATTCGATCGTCACGGTACCTTCGCTTACTGATCCATGTGCCATGGGAAACGAAACATTGATTCGAAATTTATTTGAAATGATTAGTAATGAATTACGCCGTCTTCGACATCGTATTAATGATAGTGATGAAGCATCACAAGATCGTCATAGTCAGTTAATGCAATTATTATTTTCATCGGTTAATTTAAATAATAGTAATAATTCCAAAAGACTTTGAAAATCTTTCACAATTCAAACTGAAACATACGCGTCAGATGTTTTTTTTTCCTTTCAGATTAAATCAACCGGTTTGTTTTCAAAATTGTTTTCTTTTCGTTTTGTATTCTGTTTCATAGATCTTGTTCAACTTTCTAATAGATTACTTTCTTCTAGATAAGATTTCAATTCATTGTTTTTTCATTCATATCGTGATGGCCAGTCTATTTCGTAACTCCCAATCGATGGTTTCGCGTTTGTCATATGTTTATCGCACTGCAACAACAGCAGCAGCTAACGCAGCCAAATCAACAGGCGGAAGCAACGTAGCAGTACGAGATGCTCGACCACGCTCGAATGTCTCAGATCCTATTCGACCACGACCTGCGCCAGAATCAACTTCAATGTAAGTGAAAATCTCCTGGACTATCATCTGATCAGTTGTTTGTTTACTTTAGTCCGTTAGTTGGTACAGCTTTAAATACGCCAGGACAACTAGTATTGGGCTTATTTCTTGCTATTAGTGGATACTTCATTTTCAACAATTATATAGTCAACCCTGAGTTTTACAAAAGTTTACAAATAAGTCGCGAAGCAAGTAAAGTCAATTCACATGCTCACTCAGCTGGGTAAGACGCGATTTCTATGAGGAAAATCCTGTTGTATGCTCTGATTGAATTTCATTTAGGCATGATCTCGGTCACAAATCTGACGATGGTCACGGAGATAAGAAGAGACATTGAGCGATTAGCTGTGAACATTGGTCGATTGTAGAACATTTTCTATTTAGTTTTTAGTTCTATTCGTCTTTGATTACAACTCTCATAGTTTCATCCAACAGAATTCTCCGGAAATTTGTTTCACCTTTTCTCTTTTTCCATTTCAAATAAAGATCGAGAACTTAATGACATGAGTTTAGTTTTCTATTTTTAATCATCAAAGTGCTTACTCAACTCAGTCTTTTCTTCAACATTACTGATCTTTTCTTTAATGGCATTGAAATGAAAATCTCTCGACAAAAAAAGTTCAACTATGTCCGGATTCTTTTTTCCCAAATAAAAGAAAATAATTGCAATCGAGATCATCGCTTCACAGTAAATAACATCGAACAAAACAATTTCTTTTATTATATCGTTAAGTCTTTTTGAAAAAGAACGTCATCTTCACTTTCTTCCTTTCTATACCAAAAAAAAACCATTACGGTGCCACTGAGTTCAGGATTAAAAACGACGTCAGTTCCTCTGTCTGGCACACGAGGGGAACTGCCTTCGCGGTATGAATGAACTTTCCGGATTAGATATCAAGCGTTCCCATTGCCCTTTAGTCTGAAGATTTCTTCTTCTCCAATGATACTCATTGACACTCGCGAAGGAAAAACGATAAAAATACAGTTACTCAATGTCAGCTAAGCTCGCAGACTACAAGATATCCGGAAAGCAAGAGGCATTAATCGATCGCACTTATCATTGTGAACGTTTATTAAATTGGTGTAGGAGAAAACCTCTGCACTAAATGTTTCATCCAAACGAATTTGAGATAACAATTTATTAGTTGTCATAGAATAAAACAACGGATACAATCGTCAACTAAGATATATATATATATATACGTGCTTGTCATCTGATAGTATTAACTTGCTGATCAGATACAAGCGAAGAATGGATGTTAGTTTGGTTTACGCTGTCGTTAAGGGAATTTTGAAGAACTTCTTCGTTCTGTGACAATTTTACCGAGCATCAGGTATCCAAATTGATTTTATAATTGGTGCTAATTCTTGCTCTTGCTGTTGAACAACACTTGTACGAATGAAATCTTCCGCCATACTTTGACTTATTTGTGAATGTAGTACTCGACTAATCAATGAAGTTATCAAGTGTACAGATTTTTGAAAATTCGAACAACGAGTGAGAATATAACGCCATAACAATTCCACATAGATATTTTGAGCGTGCAAGATCGTTTTTATGATGTTTGCTTTTGTGTGTGTAGTCGGTTGACATTCATATGACACACTCAAATAAGTAGAAAACGTCAGAATAATTAAGGATAATTTCATTAGGATTGGATCGTGCACGAAGGGTGTGAGTGCGAAACTTCGCTCACAGAAACTTTCGTATAACTCTTTGGGAAATAAGTGTATGCATACAGGAGAGTCTTGATGAAGATCAGGAGTAACTGTCTGTATTAAATAAGCGCAATGTTTGAATAAAACATGTTTAAAATTGGATTTCACGAGCGAAAACTTGCCATCAATTGGTATCGAACGGAATTCCGGTAATAATTGAAGAAATGATATGAAAGATATGTAGATACTCGACGATGCATTGAGAAATGCACGTACTGTTAACGATTCATTAACTGGCATGGTTAATTGTTCTTTTGGTGTAGATGTACAAATTTTATTATATCCGTGGAAAATATTTGTCAACAGGTGATAACTATCTGCGGATAAATAAACATCCTCTTTTGATTGAAGTAATAAATTAATCGGACGAATCTAAATGAAAGTAAAACGAGTCTGACTGAATATAAGAAAAGGATGTTTGAGCGCACCAATGGTTTATTTGGAATTGCTAATGATTTGTTAACGATATTGTGCTCTAATCGTTTTTGTCGATTGGATTCGATTAATATTAATCTTTCACGTCGTTGGTCATCTGTACGAATTGCTTTGCGATCCATTCCAACTCGAAAACATTTAGCTAGTCGACAACAATTACATTGCCGACGGGTATCACTCGTCACTGGACAGTCGCCATCATCTCGACATTGAAATTCAATTGTCTAAACAATCAAAAGCAGCATTTCTACGATATCTCTTTCAAATAAAGTGCAAAATCATGTAGCGTACGCCGAGTTTGACAGCATTGCGTCGAAAAAAAGCTTTGCAAGGTGAGCACGTTTGAACGCCAAAGTTCAGACCAATAGCTGAATCTCCACAAACAAGACACTTGTCGCCTTCTTTCGTTTTTCGCTTTCTTCCTGGTCGTGTGCGAAATATCTCATTCATTTGGATTTTTTTCTAAAAATTGTAAACAAAAATTTATCAAATACACTCAAATGGAGACAAAACAACATACGTCCTCTTCTTTCGCCATGATAGGTTGATAATCAGAACCAATTATTTGATTCATCGTCGGATGAGATAATAAATAAATTAACAGAATCGATTTAATAGAATGACGGACAAACTTATTTTCTTCTTATTTCATCATGCATAAGATTTGCAACGTACTTAAACAATGTAGAACAGAACGGAAAAAATATTCCTTAGTTTGTGTTACTTCCCTAGTATAGAAGGCAAAGGAAAGAGAGAGATGTCGATGACAGAAAAGAAAAAAAAAAGACTAATGTTGGCTTTTTCAGAACTACGAAAGAAAAGAAAAACAAGAGCATCGTTTTTAATTCTAACGACGTATTTCTCCAAATGAGATAGGAGAAAAAAAAGGAGATTGTTGAAAACAATTCTGGCGCGTTTTCCTCTTGGAAAAATCTTAGTTAAACGCGGTTTGCCACTACAAACTTGTCTGTATGTTTTGATGAAGAAAACATGAATACGCAGTGTCAACGGATTCTTGAACATGAATAATATCTTTCATGTTTTGCTTCTTCATTAATTCTTTACTAATTATCTTGATAATAATTGTGACTTCCTCTTTAGGAAAACGATATTTTCCCTCAATACAAAAAATTAATCAACATAAAAATGTTTATTTTTAGTTGAATTATCGGATAAAACGCTTTTCGCGTCCAAAATTCTTTTCCTACAATTAACCTTCACACGACAAGCATGCAATGTGAGATCATCTATGTTCTATTCATAGTTTTAATGTTTGTACGAATCTCTAATCTCCAGGAGGCTAGTCATCTCACTTTTCAAACAAACAAAGCATATAAATATCAAATTACATTTGTTTTCACGGTTGAAAACAAAGCAGTTAAGAACAAAACACACTGGCTCTACGAATCACTCGAAAAGAGACAGTGAAGCGTGATTATTAACACATATGATTATAAGTTCAACACTGGTTATCTGTAGAACAGGATTGAATAGATAATGGTGTGTTTATATTCGCAAATAAAGATAAACCTTTTTTGTAGACGTCATTTTTAACTCGGAGGACGTGTGTACACATAAATTATCTCGAGCAAAAGAATTGAAGGTGATGTTTATACCTTTCTTCTCGATTCTTTTTCAACTTATCAAACGAAAAGTATTTTGAGAAGATAATTTGGACGATATAAAGCATCCGAGGATAAGATAAAGTATATATTTTTGTCAGATGTGAACGAAGAAAGAAGCAGAAAAGAAAGTAGGCTTGCTGGTAACATTGTTGAAAAGAAATTTTCATACGAAATTCGAAGAAAATTTATGCAAAGAACAATTCTAGATGAAGAAAATAAATTCAAGTCGGAGAAGTTCAACTAGTAGCGAAGAATCAACGAATGAACTCGATGATCGACATTTAATATCAACTGCTGCGAAATCATCAAAACAAATTACAGTTTGTACTCTATGTGGCCGATACAAAGGTTTTCGAATGTCACGTTATCTATTTATATCTTTATGTGTTCTACTTGTTTTACTTCTTCTACTTTTTGCTGTCTTACTCACACTCTATGTGATCATTCCGATCATCGTTCGTGCGACAATCGATAAAGCACAAGTCGGATTTCATTCGGTGAATATCGAACAAGTTGAAAAAGATCGTTTTCGTCTTCGAGCACAATTAGAATTATCCCGGACAGGTTCAATTTCTGCGACAATCATCGGACCGTTGATAATCAATGTTGACAACGTCGGTATTGTCACTGTGAATGAGTCCATTTCGATTAAAGGTGGTTCATCTGGTACGACTGTGGTACCAATTGATTCTCCGTTTATGGTGACAAATATAACTGCCTTTCATAACTTTACTCGCTCACTTGTGTTCGATTCTCGTGTCGTCTGGCATTTAAAAGCAGAAGCAACCATTCAACCATTGACGCGTCACATGCTTTCTTATTCAAATATTCCATTTAATAAAGATGTGACGTTGAATGCGTTAAATGGTCTTCCGAATGTTACTATTAACTCAATTAATTTGAATCGATCGACTGAACACAATGTCTTTGCTGATATAAACATTCAAATCGTCAATCCATCGTTATTCAGTATTGATGTTGGTAAGTCAGATAAAAAATTTCGAATTATTCTAAATTTTTGCTTTTCAGGTCGATTATACTTTTCTTTACAATATAATAACTGGACTGTTGGCTATGTCGAATCAGCTAGTCAGAATTTAACTATTCATGCTGGTGAAAATTCGATACAATGTCTCGGTGAATTGCAATCGACTTCAACGGAGTCTTATCAAGCTTTATTAACTATCATACAGAATTATCTTACGGGTCAGGCTACTAAACTCGAAGCTTTGGCTGGTCCGAATGTTACATCGTATCCGCTTCTTTCCATTGGAATGATGGGTCTCTCATTGAGTGTTCCAATGCCACCATTTAGTGAACAGTTGATCGTTTCATTGAAATTTAATTCCATGTCATTAACTCCTTCAACAATTGAGAAACAAGTAAAATTGTCTGCGTCGATTAACATTGGAATCAACTCACCATTGGGTGTGAACTCTCCTCTTAATATTCAAACAATGGATATGAGTGTTTTTCTTTTTTATGAAAATAAATCCGTAGGGATGTTGAATGTTACCAAGGTCCCTGTCAAACAATTGAGTTCTGAAACCTTTACAACGAAATTCACTGATGAATATTTAATTTTAACGGATGCAGGATTAACCTATGAAAGATTTACTCAACAGTTCATTCAAGCGAACCAAAAAGTTCCCATTTCTATCCGTCTAGTTGGCGTCGCATCAATTGTCGGTTCGTTCGCACTCGGTCCTCTCAGTGTCGAAGGAATTCTCGTTGAAAACGATGCTACTCTAGTTGGATTGGATGGATTCAATGATGTTCAAGTCGATGGAATAGCAGTTAACGGGGAAGAAGACAATGCTCTTCGAATTGGTATCAATGCAACAATCGGCAATCCAGGTGTGACGAGTGTTCAGTTACAAAACTTTACACTTCAGATGGCTGACGGTATCAATGGAACTATTCTTGGTCATGTGCCAATCGATATACTTGCCGTTCAACCAGGCAGCAATAAAATCGCTCTCAATGGGTTTGTTGACATTCTGTGAGCAATTTGCGACTAAAATTATACTTTGTATTTTAGTTTTCTTGCACCAACAAATAAAAGTGATCTGCCGGTTGTTGGTCAATTCTTTTCAGCTTATCTCAATGGTCAAACACAATCCGTCCGATTATTTCACGGCCCGTCAATAGATCAGAATGCCAGTGCTTTGGATTTGACGATCAGTAATCTATCAATGAAAGCAGATCTTCAGGGAATTCGAACGAAGTTGATTCGGCAAGTAAATGTTCTCAATTTCGGAATCGAATTTGATGCAACAAATGTGAATCGAATTTATATCACTGGCGAACTATCAGTTCTCTTCGAGTTACCATCGAACATTCACATGACTTTCAAAATTCTAGCTACAAGTATCAACTTTACCATGCGCTTCAAAGACGGACCACCTTTAGGTCGAATGAGTCTCTACGATTTACCTGTTCAACATAATCAAACAACCAATGAAATCTTAGCGAATTTCACTCGACAAGAGCTTGTCGTTTTAGACAAAGATTCGTTCGAAGAATTTGCAGCGAATCTGGTTTTGACGAATCAGGTTGTAGTGACGATTGAAGGTTTAACAGCAGCATTGACTTCTGTTCAAATCGGAAATCTAACATTGGTAGATATTCCAATAAATGATACACTCAGCCTTGTCGGATACAGTCAATTTGATAATGGACATTTAATAATTGATAATATTGATATAACAGGATCGATTTCATCGCAAGCACTTGCACTTCATATTAAAACACAAATTATCAATCCGTCCGTAGTAAATATCATCAATGGTGGTCGTTTAACACTCGATCTATGTGATATTATGAATTGTACATCCTTCGGAACTGTAAATATCGAACATTTCTTCTTACAACCTCAACAAAATCCAACCTTTCTTGATGCCGAAGGTATTTTCCTAATGACAGAACAAAATGAAGTTGTTGCACGAGAATTCATCTCGAATATGGTGTCGGGGATCGATAGTCAAGTTGAACTACGTGGAACTTTACCCGACAATACTACTGGAACATCGATTCCCTTACTATCATTAGCAATCGCTGGTCTTCGTATTCATTCTCGTGTCCCTGGCCTATCAGGAAATCAAACGATCATTCGAGAAATTCTTGTAAAAAAGCTCACTGCTGAACAAATCATCGGCATTCCACTTGGTCTTGTTAAATTCTTGAATATTCGTGTTCGGTTAAGCAATCCTTTTAGTACGACGATCACTATGCAAGGGATGCACATTCGAGCTGATTTTGGTGCTATTGTTGATAAAGATCATCAAGTCGGTCGAGTCGAGGATAATAACCCGATTATCATCAATCCTCATCAAGAGCTAGTTACAGATTATATTAATGTAACATTGTCAGCAAAATTAGCGACGATGGTTGCTTTGCTGGGACCCTTGTTAGCTGGAAATGCTCGTCTTTCATTATCTGGTATGATTGATGTGTTGATTGGCGAGAATTTTACTTTAACACAACTTCCACTGACAGTGCTCAATGTACTAACAGATCAAGAACATGCATAAAGACAATCCGTCATTTTTCATCTTCTCTTGTGAATTAATTTTGATTTTTGAAAAATAAAATCATTCGCTAAATGTGATGAAAACTTTCTCTCTGTCAATGTCTCGAGGAAAATACTTCATTGCCCTGAATAACACGCTTTTCCTTCTGTTAATAATTCGACAATCGACGTGACTTCGCTTCAATAGCGAAAAAGTTTTAAACTCAACGATCTGTTTGTTTGTGTCTTGTTGTTTGCAAATACAAGGAAATGTTTTTACACTTGTGTGAAAACGAATAATCGTATTAAAAGTTGATTCGATTGAATTTTTCAAGCGTCTTTAAAGAAATACTTATCAAATCTATCTGGCAATTTATCCAAGCATTCACGCATTATCTCTTCTAATGCGTTTGTTTTTGAAGACGAAGACAGAAAAAGAAAGAAAATCTTCTCTTTTTCCTTCTTCATTTTTCTCGCTTCGAATATCCTGTCATCATCGTTCCGATGATTGTCATTTTAACTCTGCTCAATCTCGGACGGTTAGCTAGCAGAAAAATACGCGCGTATCTTCTTCTAATACGAATAGAAATGTCGAAATAAATTGTGTTTTCAGTTGAGGCGCTTTCCGACAACGTCATGATGAAAAATGTCTAATCAAATAAATGAATAGTTTCGCTACAAGAGAAAAAGAAAAGCTCGAATGAGAGAATGTATTCCGCTAAACGAGAAAACGAGAGAGAGAGAAGAAAAAGAACTCGAGTGACAAAGCTCATTGTGCAACACATCACATTGAGATAAAGAAAAACGAACATTGAAAGAGAGAGAGAGAGACCGAGAGGAACGGGAGCAAACAGCACCCGTGGAATCCAAACATATACAACCAATTCTTCCGTAAGTCAATTGTAAATTAGAAAAAAAAATAAAAGAAATAAAAAAGACAGAAAAAGGTTTCATGTCGGTTAACATATAGAAAATCAGTTGATAAGGAAAGTTTATGATATATGATCAGACAAATATATTTTGAGAAGGCTTAGTTTCAGATAAGATTAAATTAATTGCAAGAGAAACAAAACGAGAAACTCGACTTGAGAGAGAACAATGTTTCTCTTACTTCTTAACTAGTTCGAGCACAATAACTACAACATCATCTTAACCATTCGTCTTTACAATTCGCCTCTTTATTCATCCGACTATCGTTTCTTCAATTAACTTCCTATTGCCAAAAAGAACTTCCGTTCCACAGTCGATATTTACTCATCTTGAGAAAAAGAAAGAAAATCTCTACACAAGAATAGAAACATACTTACATGCTTGTATATTCAATATTTGAATTCAATAGACAGAATGAACAGGATTTCTTTTTCCTATTTTAGTCCAAATAACATCTATAGATGGTTGTTCACGTCGGTGGCCTTGTGGCCATCCTTGTTTTCTATGTTCTTATTCTAATGGTGGGTATCTGGGCTGGACGAAAGCAGAAATCGTCAGAAAAATCACCCGATACGGAAGAGATTATGTTAGCAGGAAGGAATATCGGTTTACTCGTGGGAATATTTACAATGACAGCGACATGGGTGGGTGGTGCATATATTAATGGAACAGCTGAACAAGTTTTCTCAACTGGTCTCTTCGCATGTCAAGCTCCATTAGGTTATGCGATTAGTTTGGTCGTTGGGGGACTATTATTCGCACAGCCCATGCGAAATGCTGGATATGTAACGATGTTAGATCCATTTCAACGAAAATACGGTCAACGAATGGGTGGACTATTGTTCATACCAGCGTTGCTGGGTGAAGTGTTTTGGTCGGCAGCGATTCTTTCGGCATTAGGAGCAACGATTAGTGTTATATTTACTGATGTTTCAATGACAACATCGATCGTTATTTCAGGTATGGAAAAAAAACTCGATTCTTCGCTGTTTTGACTATGCTGGGGTTTGTTTAGCTGCTGTCGTCATTTTTTATACACTCTTTGGTGGATTGTATTCAGTTGCTTATACGGATGTAGTTCAACTTGGTTTCATTTTCATTGGCCTGTGGATTGCTGTGCCATTTGCAATGAGTCATCAAGGTGTTGGTAGCATCGTGTCAACATGGCCGGAATGGCGGGGTCAAATTGGTGATACACAATGGGTAGAATGGATTGATAGCATGCTTTTACTTATCTTTGGTGGAATTCCGTGGCAGGTTTGTTGATTGTTAAAGGATTCTCTTGAAATCTTCTGTTAATTTATTGTGACAGCATTCGAATAGAATTGCATGACTAAGTTTTGTGCTATAATTATGTTAGATTTGAAAATGATAGAGGATCGATTTTCATCAAAACAGAAACTTCTCATGCAAGAAGTTCGCTTTGATGTCGGAGAACTCTACTCAACCAATCACGGACGCATAGTAAAGAATACGATGAGAAATTGTTGGTTTTTCGTTTGAGAACGTACTTCAATGAATAATTTTGTTTCTTTTCCTTCTAGGTTTATTTCCAACGCGTTCTCTCGGCTAAATCAGCAAAGAAAGCCATGTATCTTTCGTTTTGTGCAGCTGTAGGATGCATTGTCTTAGCAATGCCACCGGTTTTGATCGGTGCAATCGCGAAATCAACAAGTTTGTTGACTCGACTAAATTCGTTTTTGAAAAATTTCCATTCATTTGATGCGTTTGTAGATTGGACGATGACAGATTATGATATCAACAAAGATATCAGATCACCCGAAGCAACAAAACTGATTTTGCCATTGGTTTTATTGCATTTATGTCCAAAATTTGTTGCGTTTATTGGTCTAGGGGCTGTTTCAGCTGCTGTTATGTCGAGTGCTGATTCGAGTGTCCTCAGTGCGAGTTCAATGTTTGCTCGGAATGTGTGGAAACTTGTTTTTCGTAATCAAGTATGCGATTTGTTTGATTAGAAACTGTTCGATGATCATCATGATCGAAAATATTTTTCACTCGATCGATTTTTCATAATCATTTTCTTTTTAAATAGGCATCGGAACGTGAAGTACTCCTCGTCATGCGTATTGGCATCTTTCTCGTTGGAGCTGGCGCTGCTGGTATTGGTATTCTCGTCTCATCGATCTATGTTCTTTGGTATTTATGTTCGGATCTTGTTTACGTCATACTTTTCCCTCAACTACTTTGCGTTGTCTACGTTCCACATACAAACACCTACGGTTCATTATCAGCTTACATTCTTGGTTTCATCTTTCGTATTCTTATTGGTGAACCGTCATTAAACATACCCACAGTGATTTCGTTTGGTCGATACATTCCACCAAAGACTTTATGTATGATTATTAGTCTTCTCACCACTCTTATCATTTCCTTTGTTGCCAAAATTCTCTTCGAAAATCGTCTTCTCTCACCTCAACTAGATGTTCTACATTGTCTCGTTGATATCCCCAATGAAACATTACCATTGAAAGAAAGTACAACAACTGATGAGTTACATCAACAATCCCGAATTGTCAAACTACCGATACATCACCAATCACATCATCTCACCGAGCCAACGATGATGATAAACACGTCATACTCCCCTAGTCAAGATACACTCAATACTTATGGAAATTCTTCCGTACATCAATAAGTATGCATAGAGAAATCGAGTTGATCCTACCGGTGAATGTTTCTTCTTTCCTTGTATATCTTTATATATCAATAATTAATTTCAATAGATTATTCGTTATCTTAGTAAAACGCATGCGGAAGATGCTTGTATTCAGTATTTTTTGCGTGTATATGTGCATTCCTTTTCGTTTGTAGTCAGATTAATCATAATCGAGATATTCTACATATCATTGTGTGATTAAACGAAAACGAAACATATCATTTTCGTCTTCCGCATATAAAAATACGGTCATAATCAACATATCAACTGTCGTCGTTGCTTTCTCAATGTTTGGTGTTGTGTCATGTAGTCAAAAACGAAATAAACACTTCTTCATCGTCCCTCACCTCATTTAGAATCAAATTTTATTTACTAATTCTTGCATTTATACATATAGAAAGAAAGCTAGATAGATAAGGAGATTATTATATAAAAATAGATCCCATTATTTTCTATTATCAGGTAGTATTGAACAAAAAACAATGATCGATGCGACGTTTACAGCTTAATTCGATGGCGTTGTCGTGGAATCAGCGACTGGCATAGGTCCATCATGATGATTCACCATCCAATCGAAGATTTTATAAGAAATACGTAGTCCATCTTTTGAACCTTGACGATCGAGTACAGTTTTAAGTAGCGATTGTTTCGGTTCGTCGATATATTTAGCAATCCATCTTAGAAAATAGAAAAATTAGTCTCTCGAATTCTCCGAGATATATTCTACCTTAACACTTCGGTTTCAGATCGGCCAAAATCCGATTTATACCAAAGGAATAGCTTTGGTAGTCGAACTTCGGCATTTTCGCTGACAATGTCAACTTCGGCATTGCAATACGATGTTGTCGCCATATTTAAGGCTTTTTCCAAATTTGTCGACGAGTAAATTGCGATTTGTGGACACGATCGTGCTCCATTATTTAGGGCAAAATGTATGCGTGGATCACAACGACGCATTGAATACCGTGCACGTGGATCATTGAATGTAAAATGTCGTTGGGTACAATTCGAATGAGGTTTATTTCCTAAAGATGAAACTCAAATTAAAATTTCGAAAACGAATGATGAAAAATTCACCTCGTAAAATACCGTGTTGAATATCATCTAATGAATAGAAATAGGGTCCAACTTTATATGAGGTAGTTTTCCAGAACTGGTTCAAGTCAAGTACTGATTTGGGCAATTCATTAACAGACGCAATGCCGTGAATTGTGAGAATATTGAAAAGATCTTTTCAAAATGACATTTTGATTGGAAATTTGAAGAGAATAGGAAGACTTACTTATGAAGAATGTTTTCCGCTCATTTTCTGTGACGTTTTCAAGGCTAATTGTTGCTAAACGGTTGCCCATTTCACATAAATCATTATAGACATTACTCGCACGCAAACGACGATAGTTAACCAATCGACCGGATGGATCGATAAACATAGCTTTTAAACTAAGATCAACAAAAAAAGACGATTTCGAAAAATTAACTTCATCTATTCCTTACTTTAACATCTTCTTCTGCAATTCAATGGATATTTGTACAGCATTGTAACTATTCTTCGATCTCGTCTCATTCTCTTCAGTAGCTGCTGCTGGTGGAGGAGTAGATTTGTATGGCAGTAAATTTTCTACTGGTGACCAATTAAGAATATTAAGTAGAGCGGGATTTTGAACTTCGTCAAATTCACTGCTATTTTCGTTCGTAGTTGAACGTTCAGATGGCAGTGGAGGTTGAATTCCATTAATAATTTTCACTCGATCTATAGATATGAAGAAAAAGAAAAGGAAAAGAAACTTAATGTTATTTTCTATTCCCAAAGTGTGTGTTTATGTTCGACAAATGTTGATGTACATCTGCTTTAATTCTCGTTGGCATAACATGATATGACAGAAGCGTTTTAATCATCGATATGGTTCTTCATTTTTGACAAGGTTAGAGAATTGTTGTTATTACACTTTGTACTGATCAAATAAACGTCAAATAATTATCCTAATAGATTGTCAAATATACTCGTTCTCTTTATCCGAACAAGTCGACTCTTATTTCTTGGATTTAAACAATAAATAATCACACGCTCTCTGCTTATTTCCGTTGTACTGCAGCGCTTTTCCAAAGGCACATGCAGTTCGCAACGAATGCAATCTATGTCGAAGCATGATATGAATAATTACGTTTGTCGGTTCTTCCTGTTTCTCTTTGACTCTCTCTCTCTCCCTCTTGTTGTCATATTATGCGTGTATCTGCTTGTAACAAAGAGAGAAATATTTCTTTCATCTAATTATTCGACATGGTGATATGTCGAAAGGTAGACAAGTATTCAACAGAAACATGACTGATGATGATGATGACGACGTTTGCATTTGCAAGCTGAAATCGATATTTATATGGCGCCGATCTCTATTCTTTTCTTCCTATGACAACAAAAGAAAAAAAAATCGATCTATTGTGAATTTGTATAATTAAACGAACATATATTTTAGATCGACGGATATCTCTTTCTCTGCCTTCGTTAGTATGTGCGATTTTGCTTATCGTTTTTTTTTTATTCTTCTTCTTTTCCTATTGATGTCGGAATTTGTAGTGAAGACTGATCGATCAGCAAACGATGTGTTCTATCCAATCTTGCACGCGAACAAAACGACGGAAAAGCACATATAAAGAAAAATTCTGTTTGAAATAAATCAAAACTAGAGGAGAAAAACAAAGTCTAACCATGCATTTGACAGATCATTCATTTTTCAAGACCATATGTCTAAACGTATGGGAAAAGAACATAGAATACAGGTATTGAGAACGGAAATGATTATTTGACTGCATACATTTTCAATACGACCGGAAATATTACAACTTCCTGACAAGTAGAAATACAAAACGAACAGTGAAAACCAATTTGTTAGATCTCGACACCTCGTTTTCTTTTTCTTGACGCGCGTATATCAACATCGTCAATATTAGTTTTGTCATTTGTCTCCAAGAGTCAATCGCATGGCTTGCTGAGTTTGGGTTAAACAAACAGAGCGGTATTTCGTTAATGAACAATGATGTTTAACAAGTCGAGAGAAGATTTCTCATGCTGAACGCTGCTCAACTTGAACTAATAAGAAAATGAAGAATCAATTAATCGAGTTATGAAATGTATCGTATTTCGCTTGAGGTTTATTATCACTTGTCATCGTCTATCTTTCAGTTAACAAGCAAATAGACTTACAGAAAGGTCTTGAACTACTTGATCGACTATACCGAGACATGTTTGAAAGTTTAGATGGAACTTTGTACTAATGTTGTTATTGTTGGTGTTAATAGGTGAACAATCATATATTGAGAGTAGAACGTCGATTGATCAGTGAACGTTCAAGTTACTGAAAATCGTTTAAGCGGCACCCGAACATTGCATAGAAAGAGAGAGAGAGACAGAGACCGAGAAAATGAAACTCTTTCGTGCTCTCTTTCTTCTACAGAGAAAATCCAATGACAGTATTTCTTATTCCTTTTCTCTCTCTCTCTCCCTGCCTCTCTGTATCTCTCGTTCTCTCGGTTATTATGTTGATCAACATCACCTTTTTTCTCTCTCCCTCTCTTTGCCTTTTCTTATTCACTGTGTCGACTAATGTTTTGTTCAGCACGTAGTCAATGATGACAGACAGGCGGAGTATAAGTGCTCTAGACAATCGAATAGATTCAAAGATGAAAGTATATTGAAGCAACGGAAATGGATGAGCACGTCAATAAGGATCTGCGAGAGAAGAGAAAAGAAGAGACGAGATGAATGTCAACCAAATCAATTTCATTTGTATGTTGTTCATTTTCTCTCATTCTCTCTATTATTATTATTGGCACAAATCATTTTACATGTACATAGAAATATTTCAAGAAAGCAAAAGATCAAATCCACCGGTCATATGTCTTCTGTATATGTGCTGTCTTCATATTAAACAGGCAATGGTGATCGTCGATCAGGTAAATCCAATACAATGTCCATATCAGGTGTACAACTAGAATTCAAAGAAAAATCCAATATTAATACGATTATCTCGATCAGTTTTCAATAAGCACAACTGCTTCCATCCCTTTCAACTGATAAAAAATGAACGAGACTCGTTGTTTAAAGTGTAATCAACTGATTCGTCTAAACAAAGATCTCGATCGTCAGTTTACACATACAAATATGTCATCGATTAAATCAGATTAGAAATAATTGAAGAGTTAAAGTAAACATACATTGGTAAAGTCTCATGTCGGAAAACATGTGGAAATAACGTTCGAGGATGGAATGCTTCCTTTTGCTGTTGTTTCAATTGAGCGTTCAATTTTCTGATGTGTTCGATTTCGATTTCTATGAGACGAAGTTTTTCTTCTTGAATATTGATTTCCTGCAGAAAGAATTGTTTGATTAAGTATGACAAGAGAAAGAGATTTCTTTACTTGGCGCATATGATCATTATCAAGTGCAACGAGAAGATAAGATTTATGCATAGTTGAGAAGGCGGCCTAAGAAGAGAAACGGAAAGAAAAGGATGGATGTGTTGATAGAAGTAAAGCTAACCGTGGCTTGTTCTTCACGGACTCTTGCGACAGTTGTTTGAAGTTTATCTAAATAGTGTTTTTGTTGTTTTTCAAGGATACGGGTCAGTTCGTCAACTTCTTCCTATGAAGAAAAAACGTCAATTTTGAAATAAATGATGGAAAAATTTGATGTACTGAGTCGAAAAGATTGATTTCATCGATTTCTTGCAATAATTTCTGAAGGATACGTTCTTTCTCCGGATATTCGGTATCCTGAAATCCAAAAGATAGTGTTTTTCTCATTTTTTTAATCGATTTTCATTACTTTATATGTTTTTAATTTCTTTAATAATTGCTGTTGTTCAGCTATCTGCTCATCTAATTCTAAAACTTGGTTTTCATACACTAAAAACAGCATATTCATTAACGAAATCAATATATTTCCGCTCTTCTCTTTACTCTCTAATTCATTGACAATTCTTTTTCGTTCGGAATTGATCGCCTCGAGTAATTCTTGTTTTTCTTCACTTTGTTTCGTTTCAACAAGTGAGATCGTTTTCTAAAGTGAACTAAATTGAAGAGATGCCAGCGAACAATACATCTCCTACTTTGTATTGATCAAAACGGCGTAAATTAGCAGCGACTGTTTCATGACTTGAACGTTCCGTATTAATAATCATCTCTCGTAGTTTAGCATTGTCTTCTTTCAATTGATTTTCTCGTTGGAGAAATGTTTCTATACGTGTTTGATGCACTTGAACAAGAAAAAACGAAGAGAAATGAACTTTTCTTCGATGACCCAGTTCAACGTACTGTGCAACTGGAATGTTAACCATTGGATTTTCTCGGGATTGTCAGGAATAACATGTTGGCCGGGAGCAGATTTCTTACGTAAATGTCGACAACAAACCTCGGAGCATTTAGTTTCACCTCGTTCAGCTAAAACAAACGAATTTCGAAGACATAAAGAAAATCTTCTCGACTAACGTGGAGGATGAACGATAACAGTGGGTTTAGGTTTGACTGGCGGTGCCGATCTTGCTTGTTGTCTCATCCATGGTGAATAATCAATAACTGTATTGGAGAATTTGTTTTGAAAAGCATTCAAACCAACAGCCGCAGATGATTCTCGACTGGACGAGAAATTTGTATTCATCTGAAAAATACAAATAACTTTCTCTTCGTACTTATCGACTCCATATATCAAATAAGTAAAAGAAAGATTCATGAAGGCAAACTTTTAATTAGTAAATTTTCTCATATAATAATAATCACATTTGAGAATTGGACAATCAGAATGCATCCCTAATGGATAATCATAATAAAGTGTATAGATTGGAAATGATTGCTTATATGTTCCATTAACATATGTACCGGTGTAATCATAAGATTGAAGTGAACGCATGGGATTAAGACACGTTTCAGGCGAAGGAGTTTTCTCACGAAAAATTGTTATAATTCGAGTAGCAAAATCTGTTTTGTCAATCACCATTTTCGATAAGGCATAAACACTGATGTGATCAGGAACAGTTAGTTCGATATGACCAGGATAAGCATTGAAGCTGTCAAATGCAATAAGGCGAAGACGAATAGTCACATATCTGAAAATGAACGTGAATTTTTATTCGATATGCTAAACCATTCGTTTTTTTACTTAGTTTGGTCGAGTAAAAGTGGCTCATTGGAAGTTCGTTTCGGTTCTTTCGTAGATTTCTTTTCCAATATAATTTCAGTTGGCAATGGAACAGTTAGTTGAGTGATATGTCGAAGAATTCCGTTTCCATTTTCACCATCCAAAATCGCTGGATAGTCGATTGCAGTACCATCTGTTTGAAATAATTTTGTTAAAACAAAGAAATCTTCTGCTGATAATTGTGGCAAATGATCCCGAAAAACTTTCGTATAAAAAAACATCCAAACAACTTCTTTCTAAAACTTCGAAGCGCTTACCAAGTCGAAATTGTTCGTAAGACAATGAGCCTAGCTCGTATTTATCAAGTGCTCGACAAGCAGCAAGTAATTGTTTTTTGTGAGGAGATAATATCGAATCGATTCGTTTACACACGACATTCAGTTCGTCGGGTGTTTCGAAAATGTCCTTTGTTTCTTTGGTCAATCGATCCTAGAAAGTATACAGGTAAAACAAAATCAACGAAAATTATCCGTGGTGTTACGAGTTCTCTCTGTCGACCAGTTTTGGCTTTTTTCTTTTTCTTCTTCTTTTTCTCATCAGTTTCATCTACTTGTTCTTGTAAAAGAGCTTGAACAAATGATGTTGCTGGTGCTTGTTCACTTTGTGTTATTTCAATTGGTTTCACTTGTTCTTCAGGCACGACTTCCATCGTTGCAATGAATAACAAACAGAACCGTAAAAGAATCAAATGATTGTCGACGATGCCATTCACCATCAGTTTACCATGGCATCCGTACGAACACACATTGTTTGCATGACGCAGCTCGATTTCAACCTCGTGTAGAGAGCGCTGTTATTCCAGCTTTTATTCTAATTAAACGGAAACAAGAACGGCAAGTTCTATTCAATCGTGTCACATTATTCATACATATTTGATGACACTAACAAAGATGATTACCGTTTTGCTTAGATCGAAACGTGATGGCAATTATATCGTTGTGATTACGAGGCAAAGTACTAAGGAAGAAATTACTCGAGCTTGTTGCGGATTAACTCAATTAATTATTGATTCTATCGAGCAAATAATCATTTACATATGATTAACGAACATTAAGTGTTGTTTCCTTAGATTCAGATCGTTCGGAGATAAATGAATGTGAATTATTCAAATCTTTATTTGAAAGTATTTTTGTTCTTTAACAAACTAAGCACATACACACATGCGAATCAAGCAAAATGAAACTATTTTGTTCTAAAAATGGATGAAAAACATAGCAGTGTGTGCATGTTGATATGGAAGATGTTCTAATCGGCGCGTTTGTACCAACGACGAGCGGTGACATTTCCAGCTTTCATTTCCTAGAAATCTCGAAAAAGAAATTAATCGATGAAGAATATTTTCTACGTACAATTTGTTGTTGTCCTTGGTCATCAACCCAACGTGTAATTGTTGATTCTTTACCATTTTTATCGCGCATTGTATGAACCCATTTGTTGTTGTCGAATCGAATTGTTGACTAAACATGAAATCAAATGATTTTCTACTAGAAATGTTCGCAACTAACTTTGACAATTTCTCCATCGAGACGAGTTTCATCAAATTCAACATCTGGTGTAAATTCATATGAAGCACTTTTCAGTGTTGATTCACTTTTCAGTGTCCATCGGTCACCATTTTGACTGATGACTAGCTTCGGTTTGACTAATTTAGCGGATTGACGAAGTGCAAAGCCAACACCCTACCAACCAAAACACGAAATTCAGTCGAGAAAATCATTCCCATTCACTTACAATTTCTTTCATATAATCATCGAAATGTTCACCATCAACGTATTCCCATGTACCTTGCAATTTTTCGATACCACTTGTAGCAGCCATTGTTCTAAAACAAATTCGTTACACAAATCGAAATCGTCAAGGGTAATTGACTTACCGAAGCTTATGGAACTGATATGAGACTCGAAGATGCACAGAAAAATCTTCCCTTTATATAGGTACTTCAAGAGAGAGAGAGAACGAAAGGAATGTTAGAAGGAGAAAAATATGTACAATGATAAATACTTTCCATAAACATTTTTTCGATTTCGTGCTATTTGCATTGACATAAATCTCTTCTGAGCGAAACAATACGTGAAGAAATATGGTAACATTCGATATTCTTATCTATTTCATGAATGTGCGGATAAACGACTAGTGAATATCAAGAGCGTGAAAATTCGAATTCAAGTCTTTTTTTAAAGCTCGACATTCTCCCACGCATGGCATTTTATCGGAAACCTTGAACATATCTTCGCGTTGCATAGGTATTTGCTTTCGAACTTCTTTCGAAACATGTTTTCTGTACAATATCAATAGAAAATTAAGTATATTTATCGAAACGAAAATCAAGCAAAAAAATAGATAAACAAATACTACTAAAATAATCTTATTTTCCAATAAAATAAATAGAAAACGATCTCTTTCAATCACTATCATCATCAAAATCTCCGCTCACACTTCCCGTTGTTCGCGAGAGATTCTCGTCTTGTTGATCACTACTGTCATGTCGAGTCGTTGTTGATGTATTCATGTTTTCCTTTTCAGCATGGTAAATTCGACTGATTTGCAACAACATATTTCCAATTTCTGGATCGCTCAGGTAATTTGTGATCGACGTGGGATTCTCGGCGATTTGTAACATGACTAAACACAAAAGATTTCATTTGACTGAGTGAAATGAGAAGGATTTCTTACTGAAGAATGTTTTCGGGTTGTTCAACGTTCGTTGAACAACAGGATTTTGCATAATCGATTGGAAAATACTGGAATTTGGATCGAGTCCTTGTTCACTTTCCGCATCGTTCATATTCTGCTGTTGTTGTTTATCACTAAGAAGGTATTCACACTGACAAAAAAAGAAACGAAGAGAATATTAAGGTACAAATGAGAGATGAGAAGTTCCTTACAGCTAAATTTTTATCATTATTGAACATGCGCAATGCCGTGACGATATCGTCATGAGCGAAGCCGATTTCTTTCAACGATTGAATTGCCTAGACATACATATTTGTGAAGATATTCTTGGTACATATTCTAGATTTACCGTAGTATTCGGTTGAAAACGTTGTTGTCGAAATTTGCGAAACGAGATGAAATTCCCATTGCGAGAAAAAAACGGCGTTCTTTCCATCTCCTTTACATAAAAGAAAACTGTAGTTACTACTTTTCAACAAAACTAATAATTACAGGTTGATTCAACTCAGGTGGTTCATTTTCCTGATCACTTTCGTCATTTTCATCAGTTATATCCGGTTGAGTCAAAAGCAATTCCATAGCAGCATGAATATCGTATCTAAAGGATCGAAAATGAGTGTGATTTGGAAGAGAATGAAAGAAGCGAACTTTGTTCGTTTGAGTCCAATTCGTGCTTGTTGTTCGGTAAAACCCATATCAACTAGTTTACTGATTTGTCGTTGTCGTGTCTCGAGATCATCTGACGATGTTGAAATGGTTGTTGGATTTGTTGATTCATCAGTCGTTGATCGGAGAAGAAATTCTAATGGACAGATTTGCGTCGAAAATGTCAAGAAATTGATAGTGTGATTTACCTTCAGCTTGTTTGAAAATGTTTTCAGCATCAGAATGGCACCAGAGCAACTTTTGTGAAGTTTCAATCAGAGTTATTAGAATTCGATTCAAATCCGTACGAAACTAAGATTTCAAGCAAGTTCAATTTTCATCAATTAGCTCAACAAAGAAGTTTTACTTCTGTTCGTGCGGCTGAACGATAATCTCGATTGATCAAACGTGTGATTTTCGGTAAATCTTGTGTTCGACTCTCAATCAACGCTGCATCAACTGTACAATTATTTGACGCTTGTTCGTTCTTCAGAATCGACACATTCTTCTTTGTTGCTAAGAGATATTCATCTACAAAATACAAAGTGTTCCATTTCGACTCATCTATTTGCTAATTATTCGAAAATGATGTGAATAAGGAACGCGCCATTCGTCTGTTCGACCAATGGGACGCTTTTGTTTTGTTCTCTCATGACCGTTGCTCAATTTTTGCTTCCTGTTCGAATGGCATATTTGATTTATGATAGACGCACTTCATCATGTGAGAAATCAAATAAAATCGATAGACAATAAACACGTTTTTCTTGTTTATCCAACGAATTCAAAATTGAAACGATCTAATTTCCCTCACTCCACTCGAGCAGCATTATATTAGAACAAATTTTCTTCTACTCACCTCCGTCTTTCACTTTCAGTTGACCTAAAGTTTTCTCTTCATCGACTGATCGTTTCGATGAAATGGAGATCAATTTGTAATTATCAATTTCATCTAATGAGATATGATTTCGATTCCCGGCAATTGTTGAGAATGACGATCGACGGTAATTCAACGAACTGACATTTTTCATCAAGAATTGTTGCACAGCGGAGTATTTGACATCGGCAAAAGTTGTTTTGTCAATAGAAAATACTTCTTCGTACATCAAACCAGTCTTAAACCAGATTTTTAAAGTGACATGATGTAAATGATCATTGAATAATGAACTCGTCGCTCCTCGCATGTTCAATCTAGAAAGAAAATTCCAAAGAAAGATTTGTGTTTTCTTCCGCTTCGTTTTCTTTATCCATTGCATAAAAAAAAACTTTTACACAAAAGAATAGAGTTTTGTTTTTGCTCTCATTTCGACATATATATGTATCTGTAAGTTGAGAAAAAGAGAGACAGACAGTGTACAATCACACAGAGAAAAGGAGAAAGAGAAATATATATATTGTTTGACGACAAATGTTTGTGCTTTTTTGTTTGTTTATTTTCGAAATACATATATCAGTGTTGTAAGAAACAAACTAGAAGACGCATAAAGAACAATGTGTGTACAAGTTAAACGATAGACTCACAAAGAATGTACAAAAGAAAGAGAAAAACACTACAGTAATCAATTACATTTGGTGGCGAACAAAGCGAACTATGTAATAAAAAAAAACGAAACGAACATGTTTGATTCATTTGTTATTAGAAAGGATTAATTTAGATTAAGATATTGACCGTTTTCTTTTAGCCAATCTACTGCACATGCTTTGACGTGTGCAGTTATACCTTGACATTTCAGCGATTTTCGACATTGAACATTGGGCTAAAACGATTCCGAATGAAATTTCGAGTGCAAATTGATGAGTTTTTACTTACACATTCGTATTCTCCTTCGGCGTTTTTCATCAACAATGTCACGATTTTGTTTTTACCACTACGTCGCTTTTTGACTACATTGGGCGGCGATGAAAGTTGTTGAGATGATCGATCGTGATGATGAGAATTCGTTTGATGATGTGTCGCATGTGCGTGTGATGGTGGTGCTGATTGTTGCTGTTGTTGTTGTTGTTGATGATGAGCTGGAAGTTTATTCGAAGTATTGCCATTTTGTTGAGTATTTAGATTGTGATGAGTACTAGCAAGATGATGATTACTGGTACCAGTTGCGAGTGCCGCAGCAGCGACTGCGGCTGTAGATGCGGCTGTTGCTTGTTGTTGGGTTGTTTGACTAATGTAACCACATTGATGTTGAATAAGTGCAGCTTGTGACATGGAAATTTTACCAACGGTTGCCCAACGTTCTAATAGTTCACATAAAGTACGTTGTTTCTCATCGAGTACTTGCGCGGTCGTTGATGATGGTTGCTGTTGAGATGTTGTTAATAATGCACGTATATTTGCTTTAACAATATTGGTTTCTATCGAAGGAAAAGTCAAAATAAACTAGAAGGTTTCATTCAAAATTCGACTTACCGTTTATTAATTGTTCAATTTCGTATCGTAATAAATTTTCATGTTCATGTATATGATCAATGCAAAGTAGTAAATGACAATGTGGACCTAGAATATTAATAACAATGGAATTTAAGTAGAACAATGTGGAATGTTTTGTCTTACAGGAAACGTAAAGATTTCTTGAACATGTTAATAAACCATTTTCATTTCTGTGCTGACATTTCACTGATATTGTTTGACAAATACCAGAAAAATAGAGCGAAGATGCTTGATCATCGGCTGTTTGTTGTGTAGCAGCCATGTGTGTCCCGGCTGCCATTGAATTGAATGAAATCTTTCTTGGAAAATGAGTTGATTAGATCGACATAAGAGAACGAGAAAATTGATTTCGAAGTTGAATTATTATGATTGATAAACGGAGAAGAACAGGAAGTTCGACGAAATTAAGCGTTCGAGATCAATGAATATTTGACAAAAGATTTTTTTTCAGTTCATCCAATTTTTCTATCCACGTTTTACATGTCAAGTGTTCGGTGTCATCGACCATGATGAATTATTTTGACAATCATTATCTCGAGAAGGCGTAGCACACTTATGCATTTACTGACTACTAGCGACATCATGCGACAACGTTGTGCACATCATCCGAGAACTTGATAAAGTACTGTTATCTCTTATCACGGGTCTGTTTTAGTTAAGAATATCTTTAGTAAATAAGGTGAAGTCGTGACAGAAAACGAGATTGGAAGTTATTCGTGAAAGACGACGGAATGTTGAATAAATCAGATGAAATTCATTGTAATTCGAAGTATAATGACCTTGTTCAGTCTCGTAATTTTATTAAAGATTTTACAATAACAAATGTATAATATGAAGATATTCGACCCTGATCCTTTTTCTCCAACTTGTTTTCCAAGAAGGTTTGATCTACGACATTCTTTCTGTACGATCTCGAAATTTACATTTTTTTCAAAGCGGACTACAATGAAGCATTTTCTATTCATTCTCCTTTTCATCACTGTACTGTTCGTTGATTACTCAATTGAACAACCTGTAGATGACGATCAAGACGTTACAGGTGAAACTGATGGAAACACTTTGCCAACCGCACCTGCGACAACGACAACAACAACTCGTAAGAAGATCCATTTTTGTCTCAATATTCATTTCAATTTCTTCACGTTTAGCTTGGTGGACACGAACATTTCCAATCATTCCACCACGTACAGTAACACCACCTCCTAAACGACCACTTAAAACAACTACGCCAATCAATCGTGTTTCGCCTACGGTCACAATCGTTGTTCCAGTAGTTCTATTTGCTATTACACTAATCGCTGGTTTTGGTCTTATTGCTTATGCATCGTTCACAAGTGGCAATGGCGTGTCTTGTCTTACTCGTACGAACTAACCTCAAATACTTTGAGAACGAAACATCGATTTTGTAATTAGTGGACAGAATGTTCATCGCATTTATTTTCCCGATAATATGAACCGTTAATTCGTGAAAAGGGTTGCTCTAAAATATTTATTTATGTATGTGCATCTCTAAACTTCCATAAACTTCGTTAATTCATATGAAATTCGTTACCAAGAAAGAAAAAGAAAAGAACAAAAGAAGAAAAGACACAAATCAGATTATTGCTGATGATGCTTTTGTGTTTCGGTTATGATTGTTGAGCACGCATGTGTAGAAAAAGGTGAAAACAAAAGAATAAAAAGAGGGATTTCGATAGAGAACTTCGATCTCCGATCGTTTCATGTCACCAGTAGATACAAACGAAAAAAAAAACTTTCTTCATTTGAAAAGACGAGCACGTAATTGTTTAATTCCATCTAATTTGCGTTTCATATTGTTCAATTCATAACGATTCTTTAACTGAAAAAAGATAAAACAGAAGTAAAAAACAGTTCTGAAAGGATTTTATTAGGTAAATTTACGGCATCAGCTTCCATTTGATAAAAACGTGGTGCTACACCGTCCGAATTGAGAAGCCATTCACGATTTAAATCACTTCGCTCGCGAATATCATAAATCTTATCGGCACATTCATCATTCAACCGTAAAAATTCTCTAAAATTCACCATTCTCGCCCTCGAAAAAGTTCCAAATTCGTCCAGACTTACTTTCCCGCTTCGGCTTGATCTTCGCATCGCCATGTCGACGGTTTATGATCGACTTTTTTGCCTAATGAATTGTATGTTGAACCGACTTCCGTAACGTGATTTTGCTCGAGCCATGCGTACTAAACAAAGAATCGATACAAAAACTGATTTTTTCACGTGAAAATTCTTCGTTTTACTTTGTTTTGATATCGATCACGAAATTCCGCGCGGTCACTGCCACTAAATGGAATTAAATTGATATCCGCTGAATGTGTTGGCATATAATTTGAATGCCGAAGAGAACTGGCGACTGATGACGAACGATATGAATGCATCGTTTTTCCTCTTGTTAATACAAACAAATGTTTCTCTAAAGAAAACTCGGAAGATTAGTCGAGAATAATGAACAATGATTAACATAATCAAAAGCTAATCTTACAAAACTTTTCGTCATGTTTTATCAGATCAAAACATCACTTACATTCGATTGTTATTTTCAAAAGACCTTCTTCTTCTTCTTCTTTTCCTTCTCTCTCTTTCTTGTTAGATACTAGAAATACAATAAGCACCAAGCTATCGAACGAAGGCTGTTGTGGTGTTTTGGGATCTCTAATTCTTTCTTTTTCTTTTCTTTTTCTCTTTCCTTTTTAGTTCTCAATACCATTGCTAAACAAAATCGATTATCCGAAAGATCATATACAGAAAGATGGATAAAGAATGCGCGCAGGAATATTCTCGGTGATCTTTTGCTAACATACATATTGAGAACAACAGAAAAGAAAATCCAACAACAGGGAAAGGAGAAATATGGTAGGTTTCGATGTATTTCTGATCCAAAGGAAACATCATTGACGATTTTCTTTCCTTTTTCTCTCTTCTTTTCTTCGCTATACTTATATCCATGGACGATGACGATGATGATTAGGAAACCGGTTGTTATATATGCTTGCCTCATGGCCGGATAAACGACGATTCAATAATAATAACAGTAGCGCGTAAAAAGACGAAGAAAAATGACTGATGCTTTTTCGAATATGTACCATTTAATCATCATTGTCAATGGGAATTGAAGATTCACTCAAGCATGATTGTCTGAAATCGTCCGATTGGAGAAAGAGAATTCTTCTCAGCGAATCTTCTCGTATGAGATATTTTGGCTCGAAGAAACTATACATGATGAATGTGATGTTGATATTCGATCTATTTCTTGACGCCTGCTGATGTTAGTCGGATGTCATCAAGGTCCTTATTTTTATCTTTCCAGTAAGTGGGAGTATCGTAAAGAGCGGAGGCGGTTAGATATCTCCATCTACGAAATTCTACTAATCAATCTATGTGGTCATATATGTCGACAGACAGCATTCCAACTGTGTTACAACGTGATGTTATTTTTATTATCATTATAAGTAAATTATTGTTCGATTGCATAATCGCATTTAGCTTTTCTTCTTCTTTTTCGAGTACTTCGAGCTTGTCTTTATTAACTAATTATATAAGAAGACAAATGATATTGAGCGAGTTAGAAAGATTTCGATGACATTGAGAATAAACAAATGCGAATGTCCGTTAATCGACACTCGTTGAAGAAATAAATTTGATATCAGTGGAAAAATAAGAAAAGCTTTGTATTTATTGTTATCTGATTCGATAGTTCGATATTTCTTAGGTCAATAGTAAACAAGTCAAGAAAAGCTTTGCGTCGATTTTATTCGGATCGTAAGAAAATGCGAATGTCGGTTGATTAAAGCTATTAGACGTTAAAAATCTTCAAACTAGATCAGTAAGGTTAACATATGTATGAAAATTTCACGGAACAACATCGATCAACATGAAAAGTCGATTATCTATATCTGATTTTTCAATAGATCACCAAATTTTGCCATGAATTTGTCGACTTTACTTTTGACGACTGTTGAACAATAACCTTGAGTTGGATTTCGATTGAAATAATCCTGATGGTATTCTTCGGCAGAATAAAACGGATTTGATTCAATCGGTAAAATTTCCGTCACGATTGGATCTTTGTAAACATGTTCGTCAGTCAAATGGGCTTTGATCATCTCCGCTTCTTTCTGTTGAACAGGATCATGATAGAATATCACAGAACGATATTGCGTACCGATATCACTGCCTTGTCTAGAGAAATAGATGAGAATTGATTGGAAATTGTTGAGAGAAACTTACTGATCTTTGGTTGTTGGATCGTGAATGTAGAAAAACACGTTCAGTAATTGTTTGTAAGCGATTGTTTGAGGATCGAATGTTATTTGAACGACTTCAGCATGTTTGGTATTGCCCGTACAGACTTCTTGATACGTTGGGTTATCTTTATCGCCACCAGCATAACCCGAAACGACTTTTTCGACACCTGTGTGAACTCGTTTCGTCTTCTATTAGATTTCTATCGGAGATCTTACCTTTCAAACGTTGAAAAATCGTTTCCAAACACCAGAAACATCCACCGCCTAATGTTGCAACACTTTTCGGAGCTAACATTATGATCTACAAATGAATTTCATAAAAAAATCTATCTTCAATCGATTCAAATAATACATTTATTACATATTTTATTCATAAAAACATTGACAAAGATGGATCTTTCGAGATCCATCCTGTCAAATAATATAATTCAAAACCGCGAAACATTTTCTCTTTACACTGCTGATAAATCGTCGAACTTTGTTTCATTTGATAATATGTTTTCCGATCAACCGGTCGAATCGTTTTGAAAAGTTCAAAAAAATTCTTTTTACATAGACGAGAAACTTCATTATTCGGTCTAATCGAACCAAATCGAACAATTATTCATGAATAGAAAAGAAAAACATACCTCCGTTTTCCTACCGATGGTTCAATCAGTTCGATTGTTTTGTCCTGAATATTCCAATTAAGACTATCATACGAATTAGTCGTCTGATTAGTTACTTCCTTCCACTTCAAATTTGTATGTCCAATTCGAGGATGATTCAATCGATATGGATCGGGCAAACGATTCGAATGGAAATACTCTTGTAACCGACAACACAATGCTCGGCATAAATGCCCATAATGATATGGAAAACCTTGGAAATGATCGGGTTTAAAGTGAAAACGATGAAGAAATCATCTTACCGATAGTTATCGAATGTAAATAGATCGGTTCGATGAGATGGGAAAGAAGTGCACCTTGAATTCCAAGTACATTCCAACGAAAGATTTTATCCGAACACGACATGTGTCGAACGTGTTTTCCATTAGCTATAGCATCGAGATAAAGAATACTGCTTTTCGATTCCGTGGGAATTGCTCCTTCGCCTGCAAAAGTTCGTTTAGGAGTACGAAACTATGCAAAAATCGTCAAACCATTCTCGATCTTGGATCGCAGTTGACCTTGAACACGTGCTGTTAGGTAAAATTCATGTTCATCTCGAATCGATCCTTCATAGATTTGATCACGCGAGGAGAATAACGCTGAATCACCACATGGTGCAAAGGACGTATAAAAATGTATACGAATCGTAGATTTCAATTTGAGTTTACCACCATCACTCTTCTCAAAAATCGATTCACGATTTTGATTGAAACATTCGATCTGCTCGTACAAATATCTAGAACAAAAGAGAATTTGGATTTGTTATTTTAGAGTTGAAGAACAAACCGAAGAAATCCTCGGCGTGCCAATTGTTCCGCATGACTATCGTGGACTACTAATCCATGGGAAGATAAAACCGAACCGCCGACACATTTATTACCTAAAACAGAGTAATTTGGAGTTTCACATGCGACTCTTCTGAGAAATCTTGATTGGATCAAAGCAACTTTCTTTTTTTTTAGTATAATAAATTGTATCAGATGTAGCCTCAGGCAAGAAAGAGATGATAGTGATAGAAAAAAAAGACTCGATATAAGCTCAACAGATTCAAAGAATCAACTCGAACTCGAATGCATCGTTATGACTTTCAACCATTAGTTATCAAATTACTTTTTCTGCTTCACTGATTTTCTATGAATAGTCTAATGACTTCGCTCTTTTCTTTCCAATAATAAATTAGAAGAAAAAAAAGACTTTCTCGTCCTTTTTTTTCTTAGGAAACGGAAACTTTGTCTCAGATGTATTTTACTTCTCTCGATTTTTTCCTTCCTTCATACCTGTTGCTAAACTAACGATATTGAATGCTTGTTCCTCACATTTCTCTTGAACAAAACCGGCAAGCACTTTACAACCAATTAATTCTAATTGCACGCTAACACAAAGATCACGATATGCGGACAGAACGGTCGATGCAATGCGATCAAATAATGTACAATTATCATCTACAAGAAATCTCTACGGAATAAAGTAGTTTGTTGCCGGAATTCCTCATTGCTTCTACTTGATTGTGCTTCGCATCAAGACTTAATTGATAGAATGCTTTATACGCAGCTTGTAACGATGCTTCACGTTTGGTGGAAGCAAATTCTGCTGGAAATTGCCGGTCATTGAGAAGAACAGCTACAGCAAAACTAGAAAATGTGTGCAAATTATATTGAATAGAAGCGTCATCACACACTCACTTCGGTTGATGACTTTGCCCAGATTGACTGATCACTTGAAATCGCAAAATCTGTCCATTTAATTGCGCATATTCATGTAGCAATGACAAGCAATTTTTCGAAAGTATTGTAAACGATGGATCAGATCCAAATTCTTCGAGAAAATCTACATACGATTGCTCAATTGTCTGTAGAGTTTCTGACATCTAAATCAGCGAATGTTATACAGAAAGATCAGCTGGAGATAGTTATACTTAGGCGATTGTAGAAGGGGAATATCAAACAAAGACATGCGAAAGGAGATCAATGAAGTTTTCCTTTTACAGATGAAAGTTCGCAAATGAAATCTAAAACGAATTTATGTTGCTTTTCTTTCCGTATTATCTCGGCAAAAGATATCATTGAGTTGCTTGCTAAATCAACATGAAAGATAAGAGACGCTAAATGCATTTATTTCTTTGCTAGATGAGTATTTCCATAAATAGAAATAAGACAGAAAGAGATGAACAGATTAAAGAGAAATGAATGTTCGTCATTGAAATAAACCGTTTTACCCGAAAGCGCTAAGAGAGAATAAAAATAGATTTCGTTCGCGAACGAGAGAAAAAAAGAAGCGTACTGTTACATTGAATCGAGATTAACACAGAGAGAAAAAAAGTTTCAGGAGTAATAGATCGAGCGAATATCAGACAACTCGTTTCAATCGAAGTTTACGGAATAGTAAAGCAAAGGGAATTGAATGATGATGGACGGAGTCCAAGAAAAACACGCAAATGAATAGAATTATTGCTCATTTTCACCGGAAAAAGATTTGTTCAGCAATCAGCGCGAGACTTTCAACAAACTTCGCGGCAGACTTCTTTGTTGCGGTTGACTGAGAGTTGAGCGTAGTGAATTTGTCGAACTGTCATCACTTCGAATAGACAAACGATTGAAATAATACGGACGCATGTTTGGTTCGTTTAAATGATGTTGAGTTGAAGGAAATCCATTGTGATGGCATTCTTTATCGAAAATTCTTCGTCGATATTCTTCTTTCACACGTGCGGATTGAGAATAAAGTTTTTCGAAGATTAAGTGGAGATCATTAGGTCGAAATAGTTTGATCAACAACGCTTCGATGACAATATATACAAATCGACGATTGAGCGTTTCATTTTGTAATAATTCGAATAGACGTAATAGACCTTGACGAGTTGTTTCACTGCCAATAATATGACGGAGTTCATCTAGACAATGTCAATGAAGTTTTTCTTTATGAAAAAGGTGTTATTACCGGAAACGATGCCAAGCAGTTTGGCTTTGCATAGCACTTGAGTAATATTACGAACGTTGGCATCGCGTTCAGGAGCTTTATCGGCTAGAATACCATTGGGCCAATAATCATCTCTAGAAAAGACTCGTTAGAGAGAAAATAAATGTTTGTGATCATACTTCATCCGTATGATTTCTTTGGCAATCTTTGGTGCTGATGTCCAGTGTTGAACAAAAACAGCGATTCGTCTAAGAAAATGTGAATTTCAGTGGACGAATGTTCGAATGAAAACATACCGATTGACTGAATCGCCCATAAATGCACGCAGAAAGCGTTTTAATATCGAGACGAATCTCGAACGAAACCATAAATTTTTCTGTTTCAGATCAAATACTTCATCCATAATCACAAGTAACACACGAAGAGGAATATTTTTACTATTCTATTTCGAGATAACACACTTATTTCGACGTTTTCCCTTCTCAACAATTCACTTACTTCAACTTGAGGTTCTTCTACAATCGGAAAACTTTGCAGATCTCTTGTAATTTGCACGCTATAACGATTATTATTGGGACTATTGTTATGATTACTATTTGAATTCGTTCGAAAGATTTTGCCGGCGTTTTCCACGACTCCATCCGAAATACTTGTCAAACCATCGCCAATCTTCGACACACCTCGAGCAACATTACCGGGAAACGATGAAACACCTCTGGCGAGATCCATCGATGCTTGTTTGAACGGTTTAACAAACGTGTCCATCTAAATAAATTCCATTCAGATAATGAAAATTCCGACACAAAGAAGAAATAAAGTGCAGAACAGTTTAGTATAAATGAAAGGCATGTGATAAGGAAGGATTAAATAGTTTTACACAAATTAAAGAAGAGAAACAAACCGTGGATGCAAGGAGATCCTAGAATTAGATAACACTCGTGTTGTTTTCCCGGGGTAAATCATAAGTGAGAATCATTAATACCATAAATCGAAAGAAATTCTGTGAGAAATGTTTACCTTGCGAACTAATTCTGTTTGTTCGTGTTTCCATTGTTGATTGCGAAGGAATTTCAAAAGAAGTTCACTAAGATATGGATGAGATAATAATACTCGAGTTTGGGTTAAAGCCTACAAATGAGAATATATATTTATTTTGTTGAAGAAAATCATTCGAGAACTTACAGAAAGGTAGTCATTCAATTCTTTTTGTCGTTTTTCTCGAACTTCAGCAGTTGTACTATGCATAAAGCTTTTATTTGGTAAACGAACGTGATTTCGTAGATCTGGGTAACGTTTTCGGATTGTTATATCGAAATCATTGAATTCACTATATCGACGATAGGTGTTCCATTCACGTTTCTGATTATCGGAATGATTTCCATGAGAAATCAAAGGTGTACATGAGACAGCGATGACATAGATTGCATATTTTTCACCTTTTTCACTGCATACACCTAGAAGAACGAGAGTTTTGTTTTTGTTTGAAGGAGAAGAAATTTCTGTACCGGAGTCAACGATTTCCGCGTTAATGGAATAGTTATTAATATTGTCCAAGATGTCCGGTACGTGACTTGTCGGACTTGGTTGTTGTTGGTAATGATGATCGGTAAAATCACCTGAGATTTCATTGCTATTATTACTGGATATGGATACAGTGTCTAGATTTCGAGAAAAATGAAGCTGAATGGTGATTTTCAAGTGATTTAACGAACCGGAATTATCAGTTAATGAATCATTAAAATCGAATTCACTTAAAACTTTTAAATATTGAGGTGTAGTTTTAAATTGTCCATAATATCGATCCGAAGAGAGAATTTCAAACACCTGTTCAATCATCAATTCTTTTCAGAGAAGAAAAAGCAAAGTACAACATACTTTCGATTGTAATTCATCAAGAAATGTTTCATTGATCACTTCCATATTCAATGCTTTCAATGTTTTTTCGATCAGATGTTCGTCCATGGGTAGTTTAAACGTTCCCTAAAGTAAAATTTAGTCATTAGTTCACTAATAGAAATCAAACAGCTTACTGTCGGAAGAAAATATTGTTCGATGAGATCACGAGCCATACTTCGAAGACTTTCTAAATTTGACGAAGTTGGTTTATGAGTTGTGCTTTCATTTTGCTGTTGTTGTACCGATAACCCAGCACAACGAAATGCCTGAAATGAAAGAATAGAATTCTCGGTTCGATTTTGCTGAGATTCATCGTACTTCAGCATTAAGATAGAAATTTCCGTAGCCAATTGCATCAATTGATTGAAGAAACTCTATCAAATCAAACGAATTCGTATGAAATTCTTTAGAATTTATTCTAATTTTACTTAGAAAGTAATCTAAACCATTACAATTATTCAAGATTTCAGTTAACGGCAAATCGTGATAAGGAACTTTCTGCAAGAGTTCGTCATCATCCTAAACAAAATACCCAAGAGATAAACAATTGGTTTCGAATAAAAAACATACGTATGATGCAATCGATGCGTGCTTATCCAATCTTTCTGTGAGTAATTTTTTTAAATATTGATAACTGTTCAATGTTGCACGAATATCCGCGTCTGAAAAACACGCGAAAATCTTTTTCTAATCGCATTCGATCTTTTGAGCATTACCATTATCTCCACCAGTATCTTTCGAACGCCATCGACTGATTTCGATATCGATTCGTTCTTTTAATGACGCTAATTCTGCGCGAGAATCGGTCGTCCGAGCAACCAAAAGAAAATTATCAATGGTTAACGGAATTTGTTGACACTAAAAGCAATTTTTTCTCTTCATCTTACTCAAATTTCGTTCAATTTCTCACCATTTTGATAATCAGTTGATTTATCGCATCTGGATCTGAGTACATATCGATAAAAGGAATAAGTCCCAAGTTAATGACAACTTCCTGAAAAACGACAAGTGTCGATTGATGAAATCGATTCTAAAGGCAACATACTCGGATTAATATTCGAGCTGGAACACAACGAAATTCATTTGCAGGTAACAGAATATAGATTAACACTTCGACAATGTCACGGAGAAAGTCTATACAAAAAGTCTTTCTTTCAAAGAAGTACAAACATCGTACGTCACTACCTTTTTCTTTATCTTTATCCATACAGACTTCATCTCGACAGATTCCTTGTTCGTATTCAGCCTCCGAATCGAAAAAATACGCACTAACATCAGTTGCGCGTTCCTTTCGCATACGTTCCTTAGCATTGCGATATAAGCGAACATGGGTGGCAAAACTATCGACAACAGTTCCCGTACAGAAATCTAACCAATCAATTTCACGTAATCTGAAAAGACATCAAAACAAACAGTGCCTTCTTTCCATGTTTTTCTACACTATTAATTAACCTTTCAGCTAAATGTCGAATTGTACTATAAATTCCATTCTTAAAATCATTTATAAAGGCTTGATCCGAACTAATTCCAGTTTTGTACCAAGTCTCAACATAGTCTCGAATAAACAAATCAATAGCCTAAAATATTCAGTGAAATTGAAGAGAAAAAGAACATAATGAAATGTATTAGTACGTCATAAAGTGGTTCGTCAATAACAGGTATGCCTGTTAGCGTTGCACGGTCATTTAGATGCGCTGATGACTCGCTGTTATCACTCTCAATCTATACAAAATAAGAAAATATTGTGAAATGAACTTTTCATAGTGTATAAATATCGTTACATGTGTAACTAATTTTCTTTTTTTGAACGAAGTTTTAATTGTTCGTGGTATATCACATGCTTTAATCCACTCATACTTGTGAATACAAAGATGAATCACAAAACTAGAACGAAATTTGAAAAATAGGATTCAAAAATTTGCAACTGGCGCACGCAAATCCACCAACCCAAAAACGAATGTTGTCAACAAGCAAATCCAATAAAATACTGATCGAAATCCAAGAACTGCGACAAGCAGACTTGCACTGGCGATGATGACAACCTTGGAGACCATCAACCGACATACGAGAAAAATAGCCAGATGAAAATTTCCTGTATTTTGTAAACAGAAGAAAAAAAACAAAATAGAAGTTTTGTAACTCCATTGGTCTATTTTTCTTACAATCAATGTCAAACCTATAGATTGAGCTACTCTCTCTCCTTATTTATCTAATGGATTGATGATAAAACTTAGTCATCATTTCTCCGTTCGTGTTTTTTTTTTTAAATGGGAACCAAAGGTGATGAAAGCAATCAGTTAATTCTCGGTCAATTAAAAATCTTATTCGAACGATTTCATAAGAAACAAATTAGAAAAACCGAACTCGAAAAAAATCTTATTTCATATGCGAGAAAAACTGGTTTTATAAATAATACATATCGTAAACAAGCATGGAATTTATTAATTAACACATCCGATGATGAGCAATATACACAAGGTAATTTACAAATGGATTTGTTCACACTCGATTCGATTTTTCGATGAATTTTTAGATCAACAACAACTTAAATCACATCAGTATTATGAACAAACGAGATTGGATGTGATTCGAACGTTGAAACGATTTCCACCGAGTATGAAACGATGTCGAATATCGATGGAATGCAACACTTTCGTTTTAGATTATTCGGAAGCGGAAAGGAGTGGATTACAAGACGAATTAATCGTGATTATCAACCAAATCTTAGTTAAACATCGTGAATTACATTACTATCAAGTAAATTTTCATTATCAAATCAATATTTTCTAGCAAATGATCCTTGAATTTAGGGTTATCACGATATATGTTTAACATTTTTGCTTGTGTTAGGAAATGAGTTATGTGTGCCCATATTAGATTCAATTACAATGTCACATCTCAAGTAAGAGTCATTTATGACATCAAACATGTAGGAGGAAACGGTTAACGTTGCATAAATAACGACCGCCTTCTTCCATTCGAAAGATTGCGGTGAGAAAGTTGAAGTGCGATGAAATATTTCATTGACTTTAACTTTACTCGAGAGAAAGATTTGTTTTTCGAACCATGCGTAATGAAACGAAAAATATCAAGGAGAAAAGATTTAGTCGAGAAGGTTTTAATATATGGAAATTTATTTCGATGATCGGACGAGAGAACAAAACGCTTTTTTCCTGTTCGGTAAGTGCGATACAAATGATTTTTGTTTTTCCAAGATACTTCATGGAGCCAACAATGGAGAAAACACGTGATTCGTTGAATTACCTCATGCCATTGATCAATTGTATTCATAGTAAATGCGCGGAATACATGGAAAGGTGAATAGAAGTTGTTTGAGAGAAATTGTTGATTTCGTTTTGTATAGAGGTGGAGTTGGACATGTGATATTTGCCTTACCGTGGTTTATCACATGGTATTCTCATGTGCTGGATGAGTTGGATGTTATTCTTCGACTTTATGATCTGTTTATCGTTTCGGATTACCTGATGCCGATTTATGTCGCTGCTGAAGTAGGAATTTTTGCGAAGAATCGTGAGAATTGTTGTTTAGGAAATGATGATTTAGATTGTAAATTATTATGGTGATGAAATTTTGTCTCAAGATTGTGATATGGCGACTCTACATCAGTATCTATCTTGTTTACCAACTGAAATCGACACTAAAGTTTGGGAAACAATTATTGAACGTGCTTCACATCTCATCGATCGACATCCGCCTGAAACTTTAGAAAGTTTGGCTTCCGAATGGAAAATTAAATGGTAAAAAAAAACCTTCGTTCCATACAAAATACATTCGCCTTTGTTTTGAATCAATTTAGTAAACACATTGAAAAATCTTCACCTCAATCGTATCTTCCACAACGTGCTAATCAATTGAAGACTAATTCGGCGAAAAATTTAGTGAAACCATCCAATGTCTTATCACGTGTGATGTTCTGGAGTGTGGCGCTTGCCGTGGGCGGTCTGGCAATTTATCTTTATAATCAATCATCAGCAATCGATTTGAATACATTTTTGAATCTGGGAGATATCTATCGCTAATAATAACACGGTTTTTCTTTTAATTTATGTTTGTCTTTCCCTAACATTCCCATTGAACGCTAGTCGAGTTGTTAAATTTGAAAAGAAAAGAAAAAAAAGTTTCTATTTCGTCTGTTTTCTTTTTAGATGACTTGCTTCTCAACTGATCACAACGAACTATTGGTGAGTGAAGAGAAGAATCAGTTCGTCACACGTAATATGAGAAACACAGTCTGTTACTGATCGTCTAATAGAAAATACGACGAGATTTACATGGATATGTAGCGTGTTGTGACCTTGAATGTTCTTTACGATAGTTGTGTAGGAAAGGAAATTGAATTTATTTCTATAACAACACGATTGAGAGAAAGAGCAAAGTATGTGTAGAGTGTTACTAATTTCTAATTCGATGAATCAAAAATAGAACTGGTTTTGATTGCATGTTTAACTAGGCATTTCTCTCATGCAATTGAGCATGTTTCTTCAAGAAGTTCAAGCTATGTTAATCAAAATACAAGTGGATAATGAAAATGAAGGTTTTATATGTTTTTTCTAATTCTAGATTTGAAATTCTAACAATGTTTTATTAAAAATTATCGACACAACTCTCTGTTTTCTGTGAATCATGATTGGTTATTCGTCATCATCATCTTCAGAAGTTCTATTCAAACGTTTTCGTCTATGGAAACGACAATACCTCCATGTTGTGATCTACACATCTCTGTTCTGGATATGTCTTGATGTATTTTTTATAATGTTATTTTCTGATTGTACAAAAGAAATTCTTATTCCATGTTCATCCTCTTCTCCAATGGAACTTGTGAATCATCCTGTGAAACATATTGGAGAGGATGACATTCGACATCCGAAATTCGCGGGTGTTCAAGCTTCACAACGAAATCAAACGATATCCGAACGAATGAATGTAATAAATAGGAAGAAAAAGAAACAATCGAAGAATTCAGGAGGATTTATCCAAAAATGGTTTGGCGCTGGTTCAGGTTTGCAGAGAAAAGAACATTTTTTTTTCTTGTTATTTCGTTGATTATTTCAAGGGACAAATCCATCGCATTGGCCTGGTGAAGGTGGTCGTTCTGTATCTATTCCTGAGAATTTGAAACAAGAAGCGAAAAAGCGTTTCCCAGAAAATCAGTTTAATATTATTGCATCTGATCTTATGGCACTGAATCGATCGATTAACGATCAGCGATCGTCAAGGTTCGTTTTTTCGAAAAGATTTCGAAGAAATTCTAGATTTCTTTCCTCAGGTGTCGTTCGCATGAATTTCCATCGGATTTGCCAACAACATCGATTGTAATTGTGTTTCATAATGAAGGAAATTCTACATTATTACGAACATTGACAAGTATTGTCATGCGAAGTCCAATAGAATATATTCACGAGATCATCATGGTCGATGATGCAAGTGTTGATCGAGGTTCGAGAGAAATATACTTTCTTGCAAAGAAAAATTGTGGTTTTTTAGAATATCTCAAAGATACATTGGAGACTTTTGTCAAAGAATTACCAGTTCGAGTGGAAATTATACGAAATACTCAACGATTAGGTTTGATGAAGTCTCGATTGAAGGGTAAGGTGAACAATGCAACAATCTTTCGCATATGTATCATTTGACTTAGGCGCGGAAAAGGCTACGGGTGACACATTAACATTTCTTGATGCACATATCGAATGTTCACCTGGTTGGTTGGAATACTTGTTATATGAAGTGAAAAAGGATAGGTAAATTCAGTTGTTTATTCGAATGATTTTGTTGTTGACTTGATTGAATTAGAACGGCGGTCGTCTGTCCGATCATTGATGTGATTAATGATGATGATTTTGCTTATTTAACTGGTAGTGATATGACTTGGGTAGGAAACTTTTCATATGATGAATTTAGATGACTTTTTGGAATTAAAATAGGGTGGATTCAATTGGAGATTGAACTTTCGATGGTATCCAGTACCAAATCGAGAAGAAATCCGTCGAAACTACGATCATTCCTTACCACTTCTGTAAGAACTAAATTTTTTCCAAATGAAACAACGAAGAAATCAATTTGATTTTCATAGTTCTCCAACCATGGCTGGCGGATTGTTTACCATCAATCGCGAATATTTCTATGAAATCGGCGCTTATGATCCCGGAATGGAAGTGTGGGGTGGTGAAAATCTTGAAATGTCATTCCGTGTTTGGCAATGTGGAGGCAAAGTTCTCATTCATCCATGTATGACAATCCCCCGAGACATTTAAAGACAAAGATATGATCATATGATTATAGGTAGTCATGTTGGGCACGTTTTTCGCAAGCAAACACCCTACACATTTCCTGGTGGTACCGGAAAGGTTATTTTTCACAATAATAAGCGTCTGGTTGAAGTTTGGCTGGATAAATATAAGGATTTTGTCTATGCAATTATGCCTGGTTAGAATCTGAATGTTGAGAGAGAAGAAAGAGATGATTTTGTGATTTGTCTTTTGATTAGAATTGAAAAATGTTGATGCAGGCGATGTATCCGAACGTCTTGAACTCCGTAAACGTCTTCAATGCAAAGATTTCCGTTGGTATCTACAAAACATCTATCCCGAAAGTTCAATGCCGGTGGATTTTCATCATGTTGGAGCTGTAAGTCTGAATCGAAATAACTCTGCAACAATCACTCATTTTCTTCTCATTAAATCAGTTGAGAAATCAAGATCATGGTTGTGCGGATTCTCTCGGTTACGACAGTGAGAATGGTATCAATCAAAATGCTGGAATCTTTCCTTGTCACAATCAAGGTGGTAATCAAGTATGTCTAGAAACATATTTTCCTCTCGAGAAGGAAGATATTGCATAGGTGAATGATAAACAAAAGCTAAAATATTCGATTTCATCTAGCTTGTGGTCTTTTCCAAAAGTGGTGAATTGAGATTCGATGATCTCTGTATGGAAGGTAGTAAAAATAGTGCTGTTAAATTACAAAAATGTACCGAAGGCAATCAAAAACAAGTGTGGGAATACAATAAAGAAGTAAATCGATGATGATTCTCCTTTAAAACGAATTCATCATGTTCATTTAGTCAAAGCAAATGAAACATGTCTATTCCGGTCAATGTCTTACTGTCGAGCCAACCAAAGATGATGGAAAACTGCGTCTTTGTAAGTAAAAAGTAATTGTATCGGAAAACTTGTATGTTTTCTTTTGTTTAGCATCTTGTGCTGATGGAGGACATCAAGCGAATCAACAATGGCATTTAGAACAATCTATGCTAACTTAGTTCAATCGTTCTACTTCGTTTTTTCTTTTTTTTGTTGAGAATGATACTCAATTTTACATCGTGTTTTCTATTTTTTAGTCATCTTTATCATTTTGCTTTGAGAGTCATCTCGTATTTTACATGCTGAAAACGAAAACAAACTAGACATTCCAATTTTTACGAACATGATGAAAATGAAACGTCATCTTAAGCGATAACATGGGGTTATCAACTTGTTGGGTCATTTCCTTAGTGAAAAATCCTTTGATTTTTTGCATCTTACTAAGCAAAAGATAGATAGTATAACTTCGCAGTGTGTCTTGTCCTCTTTTTTTTTAATAAAATTGCTAAAATTGTTACTGTTTTCCTTTGTTATCTTCTCGATTCCCATCACTTCTTAATTTTCACATTTCGTATTCTCTCGATCTATTTCCTTTCTAACATTTAGTTGTTCGTTCTTTTCTTTTTGTTCTTGTTGAAAACCATACATAAATATATGTTAACTCTTTAAATTATTTTCCGAAAACACCTTCACTATCAAAGATTTGAATCATCTTGTAATTGTTATCTGCCACTGTACGTCGAAGATACGAATACTCCACAACGCAACTTTTGAGAACATTGTGACGGAACTACATCGTCAGTGAATGTAAAAAGAGATTTAAGTCACGATGATATGGTGAGAATGACGAGAGTCTGCTGTGAATTTTCTCGTTCGGCGACGTTTACTGTAAAAAGAACAAGATTTTGAATACGAGATATTATTTGGAATAGTAGTAGATGGAAGCAATGTTTGATAGTGTCATCTACTGACCATAACCTTCATTGTCGTAAAAAAGCCTACTGATAATGATATATCTTCTGTGTGTATCAACTATCTAACCGACAGCGAAAGCATTGTTTCTTTTCATTCGAAAGTTTCGTGTAGTTATGAACACAAATAAAGTATGATAACTAAAATATACACTTTCTCGATCTGCTCTGACTATTTTCATGTATTACTTCGATCGAAGAAAAACTTGTCTTTATGAAAGCATGTATCATTATACACTCTAGATACGGTTTGAACAAAAATGGATACAGTGAAAGATGCTGTTAATTCGCTCTTTGGTCGTAAACCTACCGGACCTAAAGTTCGATATGGTGTTGTAGGCGCTGGATGGATTACTCAAGCTGCATTTATTCCAGGTGTTGGACAGACATCCAATTCAGGTATGTTCATTCACTACGATCGTGCAACACTTCAGTACGCCACTTTTTATAGTTGTCACCATATTAGTTAGTGACGATCCGGAAAAACGTGACAAACTTGGCAAAGAATACAATCTCAAATCCTATTCCTACGATCAGTTCTCGCAAGCTCTTGCCGAAGGTCACTGTGATGCATTCTACATTGCTACACCAAATAATCAACACAAGAAATTCGCTGTTCCAGCTCTCGAACAAGGTCTGTACTCTCACATCATCCTTGTTTAACTTGAAAACATTTCTATTTTATATGTATAGGTTATCATGTGCTGTTGGAAAAGCCAATGGAAGTGACAATCGAAGATTGTGAAGCGATTTTGGCAGCGCAGAAGAAAAGTGGAGCGAAGTTGATGATTGCCTATCGTCTTCATCATGAACCTGGTACTGTGGAGATCATTGATCGTGTTCACAAAGGAGACTTCGGTGATGCACGAATCTTTTCATCAGTTTTCACACAAGATCTCAAACCAGATAATCATCGTGCTAAACATGGTGAATACTTGACTATAGTTTAATTCATCAAACCAAGTATTTCGTATTTAGGCTACGATGCTGGACCAGTGCCCGATTTAGGTACGTATCCAATCAATGCAGCGCGTAATATTTTTGGATTGGAGCCAATCGAAGTCACTGCGATTGGATTCAAAACCCCTGGTCGTGAATTCTTGAAAATGGAGCACGATACAATCAATGTCACACTTCGGTTTCCTGGTGATCGTATGGCTCAATTTGTTGTTGGATATGCCTGTGCATTCAGCGAGGGATATAAAGTTGTTGGAACCAAAGGTAAAGCACGTCATTGCATAATATCGACTAAACGAACAATATTATACTGCTGATTTTGTGCTCTAGGTGCTTTTGAAGTCAATCCAGGATATAACTTTGGCAGTGGTATCAAGATTTCGTATAAAACGACGATCAACGGCAAAGAAGATTCAAAAACATTTCCCGAAACCGATCACTTTGGTGGCGAAACCGAATATTTCTCTGAATGCATTTTGAACAATGTTGATCCTGAAGCTGATGGTCACGAAGGTTTGAATGATGTGCGAGTAATTGTAGCAATCAAAGAATCACTCGACGGCAAAGGTAAAACAGTCAAAATCAAATCCGAACAACGAAGTAAACGACCAGTATTGGAACAAGCAAAGACATTATCGTTGGCTAAAGAACCCAAAGTTCTCATAGGACGAGATAGTCAAAAACCCGGAGCTAGTTAGTTCTATCAATGTTCTTATTGAGATTCGAGCCTATAAAGGTATGACCACACTTGATATCGGGAAATTTTTAATTAATAATAAACAACTAGTAGCTGAATCAGCCGCAGTGAACTTTATTTATTAGCAAAAGGGCAAAAATTGAATTAGAAAAAACGATGATAGAAAGATACGTCAACTTTTAGCGTCATCATCTGGAAGCGAAACAGATGTTCTTTCATCAAATGCGAGACAGAGTAACACGTGGACGACTGCACGCACGGAGTGCAACGAGTAAATGCATGATTCAAAATGCACTGAATTATCTCATATATTATTAGACGAATGACAAATTTCAACATATGATCGTTACATACGCGGCCGCACTAGAGCGAACAGTAATATTTTAATCAAATGGTTTTTTTTCGTGTCGAGAAACGTTGTACTATATAGAAATAAAATAGATATCAATCAAAACTGTACGCAGTTGACCTTTTGTTATAAATATTGTTTCTTTCCTTCACTTGTATGTTATTTTACTGTGACAGAATAGAAAAATAATGGATACAGTCAAGGGCGCTGTTAACGCACTTTTTGGTCGAAAGCCTACCGGACCTAAAGTTCGATATGGTGTTGTAGGTGCTGGATGGATCACCCAAGGTGCATTTATTCCAGGTATTGGACAAACATCAAACTCACGTACGCATTAATTCGATTGAAAAACAACAACGAAACATCTTTGCATCTTCTTCTTAGAATTGACTGTTTTGGTTAGTGACGATCCGGAAAAACGTGACAAACTTGGCAAAGAATACAATCTCAAATCCTATTCCTACAATCAGTTCTCGCAAGCTCTTGCCGAAGGTCACTGTGATGCATTCTACATTGCTACACCAAATAATCAACACAAGAAATTCGCTGTTCCAGCTCTCGAACAAGGTCTGTACTCTCACATCATCCTTGTTTAACTTGAAAACATTTCTATTTTATATGTATAGGTTATCATGTGCTGTTGGAAAAGCCAATGGAAGTGACAATCGAAGATTGTGAAGCGATTTTGGCAGCACAGAAGAAAAGTGGAGCGAAGTTGATGATTGCCTATCGTCTTCATCATGAACCTGGTACTGTGGAGATCATTGATCGTGTTCGCAAAGGAGACTTCGGTGATGCACGAATCTTTTCATCAGTTTTCACTCAAGATCTCAAACCAGAAAACCACCGTGCAAAACAAGGTAAAGTTTGATCCCATTATCTTTATCTGAGGATGATGATCAGAATGAGTGATACTTATGAAAGCGATGTATGTGATCAATAGGTTTTGATGCTGGTCCGATCCCTGATATGGGACCTTATCCAATCAATGCAGTCCGTAATCTCTTTGGCTCAGAACCAACTGAAGTTACTGCGATTGGATTCAAAACCCCTGGTCGTGAATTCTTGAAAATGGAGCACGATACAATCAATGTCACACTTCGGTTTCCGGAAGAGCGTATGGCTCAATTTGTCGTTGGATATGCTGCTACACCAACCAACTGTTACAAAGTTGTTGGTACCAAAGGTACAGTTTTCGTTATTCTTACTTCAGAGAGAAGACATTTTGAATATTTATGTTCAGGTGAAGTTGAAGTCAATCCTGCTTTCATGTTCGGTAGTGGTGTGAAAATCGCTTGCAAAACGACAATCAACGGCAAAGAAGATTCAAAAACATTTCCCGAAACCGATCACTTTGGTGGCGAAACCGAATATTTCTCTGAATGCATTTTGAACAATGTTGATCCTGAAGCTGATGGTCACGAAGGTTTGAATGATGTGCGAGTAATTGTAGCAATCAAAGAATCACTCGACGGCAAAGGTAAAACAGTCAAAATCAAATCCGAACAACGAAGTAAACGACCAGTATTGGAACAAGTAAAAAAATTAACTTTAGGCAAAGAACCAAAGAATTTTATCGGTCGTGATGCACAAAAACCATCTCATGAGTAAAAGGTCACATATGAAAGAAATGGACCTTCTTATCTGGAATGTAATTCTAACATTTGTCAGTTTTTAGCATTGTATTTTTAATAAACGAGCATAGTCATGTAATTTTGTTATAATTAACCTGAAATCGTTCGAAAACAAAGTTCTCTCCATATGAATAATTTCATTTCTAAAGAAAGTATAAAAAAATCAATTTGAATACTCGGTGTTTTGTTCGACGAAAAAAAATATTTGACACAGGCAAACATTTTAATCTGCTTCTCTGATTAGTTTTTTTAACATAGATAAATATTTTTTCTTACCAATAAATAGTTGCTATAAAAGCCATACTGAAATGTCTACTAACTGTCGATCGTAATCCTTGATAAATTATCTCATTTTATTACAAGTATAGTTTTGCCTGTCGCTTAGAGAAAGTGCACTGGATACGTACACAATAAAACGAAAAAACAAAGAAAACGTGACGCATTTCGATGTCATTCATTCATATCGTGCGTAAAACCATTATACCTAGTAAGAAATTGATGTTTACGTAAGGTATATTAGTCAGAGACCCGAAGTTTCTTCACCATGTGTTTGTATAAACAGGCCCATACTGTCGCTACTAACAAACTGTAACGTAAGAAACGTTGACGGAGTAGAAAGAGGAAGAAAAAGGAAAAAAAAAGATGGTAAACAAAAATAACCGAATTGTGTATGTCTTTGAGTTTGACTCACACATTCTTCTTTTTAGTTGTCGGATCAAACCATTAGCATACTTTTTAAAAAAAAAGTAATATTTTTCACAATAAACAAAGCTGTACCAAACCAACTGTAATTATTCATGTCGTCTAACGAACGATTAGCAAGAAATCTTAGTGTACCTATCAACCCCAATCCGAATTCAGCATCTCAACCCTCAGACAAGCCAAGTTCTTGGAAAGCATTTCGACAAACTGCTTGCTTTAAATATACTAAATATACTCTGATTATCATTTATGCTTTGAATATCGTTGCCTGGGGTGGAATGTTATTTCTTATCTTAGTTGGTGCTGCGAATAATACAATGCCAGATGAACAAACACGAAAGACATGGATTGAGATTGACTCTCAGATTCTAAATGCCTTATTTTGCGTCACAGGCATTGGTCTGATCCCATGGCGTGTACGTGATCTGTATCAAATCTATCGAGAAAAACATCGACATAAAGTTCTTCATCGTCATTCTTATACAGATGATTTAAGATGGATTCGAATCATCATCTGGACTGACATTGCGAATTCTTTATTTCAAATTGGTATGGCTGTTTGTATGTGGTCGATGGATATGTATAAACGGCCGTCTTGGCTAGTCGGATTGTTTGTTGGATTAGGGTGTGTATCAGGAATGTTTTCTGGTCTCGCTCGGTTCTTTCTCGGAAAACGGACGAAAAAGAGAACAAAAGCTGAACAAGATCATGCGAATATAATCGATGGGAATGGTAGTGAAGTGTAACAAAAGAATAAATATATGTACAAAAAATGTAGATTTGATTTGTATTCAAAACCTAACGGATATTCGAAATTCAGAGCATGTTTTTCTACTTTTGCATTGACAAATCATTCAAAAGAGAACCCATCTTATTCATATTAAGACACAAATGTTTATTGTATGATTATAGTGTATTGTTGAATGAATATCGATACACCTTTAACATAAGTTATGAAATACTGTACTATTCATGACTTTACATTTGACTTCTCTAATGATATTACCATAAACAAATCTGACAAAGAAACTTTTCCGAGCAAAGTTTTATACGTATTCAAAAAGTTCTTTTTTACTTGCATTTGTATCCGATTATTCTTCGATTAGATCGTTAATGCGACGTTTTTCTAGCAATAATAAACTCATTGTCCACCTACGTCGTTCCATTTAAACAAAAATATTTTCTTCTTCATCATAAAACATTCGTATTTTCACCGATCTCGCTGTTATTCATTCAACTTCAACGAATTGATTCTCATTGCATGATGTCTTCATTTCTGGCCATAATCGTTCTTTTTCACATCTTTTCACGTACTTCTGCTGCTTCTCTATGCTCAGATTTGGATCTTTCAACATCAACAAAGAATACCGATGAGAATTATTCAATTCAACTTGAAAAACTTCCCTCATCAACTGTGATCAAAGTCTCACTGACACAAACAACGACTATTTCGGACACTTCCTGGTTTCTCATGGGCGCAAGTGATTCCTTAGAATTAGTTGGTACATGGCAACCATTAACTCCAATGGATGGTCAAGTCATCAATTGTTTATCACCATCAGCTCAAGCAGTTACAAACGAAAATTCATTGGTAAAAAGTTCAGATCGATTGCAAAATGCATTCTATTGGACACCTCCAGCATCAGCAAATAAGTCGATTATCTTCGTTGCGACGATTTTCTATCCAAACCAAAAAGTAACTATGAAATATGTGCAAAGTTTACCAATTGAAATCGGACAAAATCGATACCGAGATGTTAGTACAAGTAAGTTTCGACTACTCATAGAAACATCCAAACTTGTCTTCTTTTTCAAGCCTTTTGTGATTCATCACCGTGTCAGAACGGTGGCACATGCAACCGCGATACTCAATATTCATATTGTCGATGTGTCACACCCTGGAATGGTGTGTTTTGTACTCTCCGTAAGTTGAACTACACTTTCTCTTTTGTTAGGTTCTCTTTTTCCGCCGTAAATAGAATATTTTCATATTATGTTGGCAAGTACTCAACCGTTTACAACGGAATTTTATTTTAATACTCTGAATTCGGCATCGTATGCTAACTTAACAACAGCAATAATAGCTTACTTGAATTCGGCTTTCAGCGCACTTCCAACCAATCGAATTTATTCATTAAATTTTGTTTCGTAAGTATTCTTTTCTTCTAAATTGATAAATAATGACGAATTCTGTCTAGTCCAAGCCCGCTGGGAACATATATATCAATTAGTATGGCTCTAACACCAACAACGGGATCCTATGCACCGGTAATTCTCTCAGCACTCGCCACAGCTCTTACGCGTAACAGTACAACGCCATTTGGTTATCAATTATCTATGAGTTCATCGTATATAAGCAATGCAGTCACGCAAGATTCAACACCATATACATGTAAATACATATTTTTGTCTTCTACGATATGAAAACGATGTTTTGTTTGTTTAGCTTGTGTATTTCCATATACATTCAATTTGCTTGATTATAATTTTTGTATCCCGTACCAATCGAGTTTTGTTTGTTCATCCGCTCGTGTTATTGATCGAACTTCAACGCTTGCTAGCATCGATTGTACAAGAAACAGTTCGTGAAATTTTACCTAACGAATTTCTCCTGTCAAAACTATCTCGTTTTTTTTCTTCTTTGTAGTTTTTAGTTACATTACCAAAGATGTTTGTTTTCCGAATATCTGCCTAAACGGTGGTACGTGTGTGAACACTAATGGAGTTGCGACGTGTAATTGTCCAGCGTATTTTACCGGTACTCGATGTGATCAACGTAAGTAAAATCCGAGATTGAATATTATTTTATTGTAGCATACATGTTTTGTAGTATACGGTTGTAATCCAGTCACCAATTCTCTAGCAATTACATGTGCCAATAGCGCAACTTGTGTTGGAAATACTTGTGTGTGCACTTCAAATAACACAGTTGGTACTTTGTGTGAAATTGGTAAGTGGAATAGTCATTTGCGGAATATAATTACGGAGGTGTGCTCTAGTTGCTGGTAATACTGGTTGTAATTTTCCATTTACATATATGGGTGTCACGTATTCCACGTGTGCGGTGATCAATAATCAGCCGCTATGTGTCGCAAGAACCTCATCAACTAATGGACAATTTCCAGTTTCACTTGTCGGCTGTGGAGGTTTGAGAATAACGTTGATGTAAAAAATATTATTTGAATGTTTAGCTCCTCAATGTCAAAATAATCCATGTGGTAATCGTGGTACATGTCAAGATACAGTCAGTGGTTCATTCCGTTGTATCAATTGTGCTACTGGATACAGTGGTTATTTCTGCGAACTACGTGAGAAAATTCTCGAGTTTGTTATTATATTTCGAAATATTGTTTTTTCGATCTTACAGAATATCGTACAGTTCAACTGACATTCAATACAACTTATACACCTGATTATCAAAACGCAAGTAGTAATGCTTCGAAACAGTTACAAGCATTAATCAATCAAACATTGAGCACAGCTTTTGTGAATATCACTAATGGTGGAGTTCGACCGGATCTTATTCAGATTATGTAAGTGTGCGTTCGATTTCATCGGGAAATTCTCCACGTCTTTGCTTTGATTAGTCAAAATCCCGATGGAACAACCAGTGCAGTGATTAATGTCAATACAAATTATCTGAATTTTCAAAATAACGCTACGCAAAATGCATTAAATGGAATCGGTGCTATAACAATCGTAGCAGTGAACACCAGTGAGTCATTTCTGAAAGAATATGCATAGAAAATCTATATTATGGATATTTAGCTCGAGAATGTGCGGCGTGGTATATTTATCAAGGACGGAATGTCACTGGTTGCGTCACAAATACACAGAATGTGCCTATATGTTCGTTAACAAACAATTTTGATCGTGATGGACAATTTACCACTTGTCCAGGTTTGAAATGAAGTGAATTTCGTCTTAGTAATGAAACTCTTCTATTTTAGTAACGATTAACCTGAATCTATGTAATGGCGTTTATTGTAATGGTGGTCGATGTATTGCAACTAGTCAAAACTTAACCTTCTGTGTTTGTCCGAATGGTGTCACTGGCGCGAATTGTGATCAACGTACGTTACAATCGAAAACTTTGAATAAAACGTTTTCCTCTGTTCTTTTCTCTAAATAGTTTTACAATGCAGTGATGTGAACTGTTTGAACAATGGTACGTGTGTCCCGCTATCAAGTGGTTATTATCGATGCAATTGTACGATGGGTTACGGCGGTACTTATTGTCAATATGGTAAGCCAAAAAAGGTTGCGTACGAATTGGATATATCAATTTCTTGCATTGATAGCAATCACTGGTTGCGTCTTTCCGTTTGTTGATAATCAGAATCGAACACAGAATACATGTATAACAACAAGTGATTATATGAATGGAACGGTACCTTGGTGTCGAAATGCTCAAGGTTTACCACAGAGTTGTCAAAGTATGAGAGAGAATTTAGAGATGCAGAAATGAAATACTTTGATTATAGTTGATTATTGTGCGAAAAAGCCATGTGTATATGGTGTTTGTGTCCCATCAATTCAATGGGCGTTTGGAAATTCTTATCCGGCATTTATTTGCAATTGTACGGCGGGTTATACCGGTCGATTATGTACACATGGTAAGAATTTTTATGGAAAATTTGAGGAGAAAATCTAAGTTGTTGATTGATTTTTAGCGTATTTTCGATTGAAAGCATTGTTTGCTGCTCCAAATATGTCGACAACGACGTTGAACGCGCTAGAATCACCAACGACTCAGACTTATCTGAATCTGACGAATATGTTTCGAAATTTAATTCAGAATCGAACCAATTCGAGTTTTGATTTTCTACCATTGATGTTTACAACGTATGTTCATCTACGAAAGCCTGTCGCATAGCTATTCTTGGATATTTAGTTTCCGAACAGACCAAGGAAATTACATTCAAATCACAGCTGATTCATCGTATCCTGGAAATATCACCCAAGTACAGATAGACAATATTCTTCGACCAATTCTTGCCTCCCTTCCACCACAATTCGGTTTGATCCTCGACAACGCTAGTCTTACCGATCCCGACGATATCCAACCAATGAGTCGTAAGATGCGTAACTAACTACAACACTTTCTTTCGTATTTTCATTGTTTTCTTAGCTGCTTCAAACTGTACTTTACCTTACGGATACAATTCTCAATCGTTAGCAGTGTGCCATATGGACAGCAACGGCCTTGCCTATTGCTCTTATGGATCGAATTATACGTTGGTGGATCGAAAACTATGTGATGCAAGTGGCTTACCTACCGCGCAATATACGGCATGTGATGCGCTGAATCTAACGAATCCGTGCAATGGTACCGCGAACTTTCCGATTCGTTGTGTGGCGTCGGATACAAGTTGGACCTGTTTTTGTGAAGTAACGCAAACCTTGGGCCAAAATTGTGGAAATTTCGGTAAGAAAAAACAACAGGGACGATGACATTTGATTTTTTCATATTCGTCTTTAGATTTTTGTCGAAATGGTTCATTACTCTGTCGAAATAATGCTTCATGTATCAATCGACCTGATTTACAAGACTTTGCTTGTAATTGTACAGATCCATATTATGGTCGTCTATGTGAAAATTGTAAGACGTGAAAGATAAGAAAGGCGCTCTTATAATTTTCCCTGTTCTAGTCGGACGTGCTTATAAAATGTATCTAACAAATTATTCGAATGACACATCGCCAGGTCTTCCAACATTAATTTCACAAATTAATCAAACAATTATCAACATGACCAATGGCGGAGTCATCGCGACGAGTATAGTCATCAGGTAGTAGAAAAACTATGAAATTCAAACAAAATAAAGTTTCATCACATATATTTCTAGTCCGTCCGGTGAAGTAACTATCATTGTATCTGGACGAAATTACTCTATACCTGATTTCGAACTTCCATTGACCAACAAAGTCAATTCAAATTGGACAGTTGGTCCATATACCGTATCATTCAATCAAACCAGTCTTGTTTCTGTACAAAGTTTGTAATCCATACAGCGTGATCAAACCAAGTCAAGCTATTCTCTTTTTATTTAGCCAATGCTACTTGTGTCTTCCCATTTGCTTATAACGGAGTTAACTATACAACATGTATTACGACTGGTTACGATTTTCCTTGGTGTAGTACAACGGCAACATACACGGGGCGAATCGTCGATTGTCGAAACAGTATGTTTGAAGAAATTTATTTTTGTATTGTCGAAGTGAATGGATAAACATTTGTTTGATCTTCCATAGTCAATTGGTGTGCATCAGGACCTTGTTTAAACAATGGTACTTGCTCAGTTAACCAACAATTAGGAACATTTCAATGTAATTGTGTGGATGGATGGGTTGGAGTTCGGTGTGCTTATCGTAAGTTTCATTTTAATCATCAATTGATTCATATTTGAACATAAGCATTTAGCGTCGACAACGATTACAATTGTGATACCATTGGGTAATAATACATTGAATAATGCTACTTTATTAAACATTACAAATTCGCTTCCGAATGGTACAAATATTGATGTGATTAAGTAAGTGATCACTCAGTTAAGATTTTCGTCTTTGTTTATAATTATTGTGTACAGACCTGGTCCAAACAATACTGTTATCATTATAATAACGACGAACAATACGAATATACCGAATATAACATGGCCAGTGTTGAACATCACCACACAACCCACGAAAAGTATGAAGAAAATGTTTATCTTTTTAAAGAATTTCATGTAAATACAATCTATCTTTAGATGTCGATGGTTGTGTGTTTCCATTTATATTTAATAATGAAACTTACTCAACATGTATTCCTGCATTCCAAAATCGGACGGCATATTGTTGTCGAACTGCAAACTGTGATGTGAATCCTCAATGGCAATATTGTAATAATTCAAGTAAATATACTTTCATTTAATCAAAAACATCACAAAAAACTCTTTCTTTCTCAATCAGATATATGTTCTACTTGTGCAGCGAATGCAAACTGCATAGTATCTGGCATTGGTATTATCACATGTGTCTGTCCTTTGGGTTATACTGGTGCTCTATGTGATACTGGTAAATGTGTTCGATCTTTTCTCATAAGAACTATGTTCTTCGTTTAGCCGTGAATCTATGTGCACAACGAAATCAAAGTTGTATTAACGGCGCATGTGTAATTAACCCAATTACATTGTCGCCCTATTGCAATTGCAGTTCACCGTTGTTCACTGGAGCACAATGTGATGTAAGTTTATGAAACGAAGTACATTTTGTGAAGTATCTTGGTGTAATTTTAGACTTTTCTACCATGTCTGACAGCTCCATGTTTAAATAACGGCACATGTTCGGGATATTCGAATGCGACAGTTCGATGTAATTGTAGCAATTGCTACAGTGGAGCATTTTGTCAAATTCCCGATTACTGTTGTTTGAATATCTGTTCGCCAAATGGCGTTTGTATACCTGGAAATAATGGTGCATACACATGCATCTGTCAACCGAATTACACCGGTGTTAATTGTAATATATTCAATCCATGTGCATTACTACCGTGTCAAAATGGCGGTAAGTTGAATTTCGAAGAAGAAGTACGGAAATGAGTTTGATTTTAGGAACGTGTGTGATTGTGAATGGAACCGGTTATCAATGTTCATGCCCATCAGGATGGACAGGTGTCAATTGTGCGACACAAGTGAATCCGTGTGCTTCGCTACCCTGTTTAAACAATGGTCAATGCATTACCCTTGGTAGTCTATTCGTTTGTGTTTGTGTAGGAGGTTATAATGGAACCTTCTGTCAAGTAGCACCCAATCCATGTGCAAGCAATCCATGTAAGTAATGCTTCTTCTAAAAACGAATCCAACTCATATCATTGATGCTTAGGTTTTAATAATGCTACATGTTATCAACAAGTCTTAAGTTCAACTAACACATACGGATACGTATGTGTATGTAATACATCGTTATACGCAGGTACACGATGTGAAATACCCGTTTCACCATGTTCCACAACGTCATCTCCATGTCGAAACGGTGGTACCTGTGTTGCAAGTGCAAATGGACTGTCATATAATTGTTCTTGTCCATATCCATATACGGGTACAACTTGTGATCAATTGATTAATCCGTGTAGTCCAAATCCGTGTTTACCATACGGTAACTGTTATCTCAATTTGGCCACATCGAATTATACATGTGTGTGTATTAATTCAACTTTCACTGGTCCATTATGTCAAAATCTAACGAATCCATGTTTATCGTCACCTTGTATCAGTGGTACTTGTGTAGCTAATGGAACGAGCTTTACTTGTGTATGTCCATCAAATCGTACAGGAATTTATTGTGAAAGTATCCTTCCACCGTGCACGAATTTGACTTGTTTTAATAATGGTACTTGCCTTTATTCGGGCACAACAGTCATTTGCCAATGTCCGCCATTATACACAGGTCCACAGTGTCTTCAGCCTATAAATCCATGTAGTTCATCACCGTGTTTACACAATGGAACATGCATCAATCAATATCTTAATCAATTCCTTTGTACATGTCCAACAACATGGACTGGCACTCTATGTGAATCATTAGTTAATCCATGTTTAACATATCCTTGTTTCTTTGGCGGTACTTGTCTATTAGACAGTTCCTATCGACCAAGTTGTATTTGTCTATCGACACAAACAGGTATCTATTGTGAAACAACACTTAGTCCATGCTTAAGCTCTCCCTGTTATAACAATGGCACATGTGTTACGAATGCTCTACGAACTAGTTATACATGCACATGCCCATCACTCTACACAGGTCTACGATGCGAAAATTTAGTTAATCCATGTTTGCCCAATCGTTGTATATATGGTACGTGTTATACGTTGGCCAATGGAACGTACTATTGTGCATGCAGTGCCAGTTATACTGGACTCATATGCGATCATCCTATTGATCAATGCGCACTTCTACCATGGTAACGTATTTTGAAAGATACATAACTTTTAACCATAAAGATTTTCTTCGTCTCTCTGCAGTCTCAATAATGGTACTTGTATCAATTTGGGTACTACTTATTTATGTGTATGTCCCACGGGCATAACTGGTCGATCTTGTGAACAAATTACTAATCCGTGTTTGAGCAATCCTTGCAAATCAGGTACATGTTATTCAACAGGAACTCGATACGCATGTGTTTGTGATGCGGCACACACAGGATCATTGTGTGACTCTGCATTAGATCCATGTTTGTCATATCCTTGTCTGAATAATCAAACCTGCTTACGCGACTCGACAAATACAAGTTATATATGTCTTTGTGCATCACCATACACTGGTCAGCGTTGTGCAACAACAGTCTTAACATGTTCGACAGTCAATTGTTTGAATGGTGGTACATGCATACAGCCAACCTTGCAAACAGCGCAATGTATTTGTGCAACTGGTTATTCTGGTACATATTGTGAAATTGTTCTCAATCCATGTCAATCTCGACCGTGTTTCAACAACGGAACTTGCTTATCTGCATTTAATAATACGTATTTATGTTTATGTCCTACAAGTTACACAGGTACTTATTGTGAACAGTACAATCCATGTTTGAATTTTATATGTTTGAATGGCGGTACTTGCGCAATTTCACCATCAGCCATTGGTGGTCGTGTTTGCATTTGTCTTTCCGCTTATACTGGCCTATCATGTGAAGTACCGATAACACCTTGTCAAAGTTCACCATGTGTTAACAATGGTATCTGCGTAGTCACGCCCGGTACAGCCAATTATACATGTATATGCACACCAGCTTATACAGGAATCTGGTGTGAACAGTATATCAATCCATGTCTTTCATATTCATGTTCAAATGGTGGAACATGTTACCGAACTATGGATGGAAAACCTATTTGTGCATGTGTAACACCTTACACGGGAACTCAAGTAAAATTCTAATAAATCCCCGTTTCTATAAATCATAGTAATTGTTTTCTTTCTCTTTTCAGTGTTTAACACGAATAGATCCTTGTTTATCAAATCCGTGTGTGAATAATGGCATTTGTTTATCTCAGTCATTAACATACAACTATACATGTATTTGTCCGACAAACTATACAGGTGGCCGTTGTGAAAATTACATTGGTGCATGCACAACATTAATATGTCAAAACGGTGGTAGTTGTGTTTATAATGGTCAAAATGCTATCTCGTGTATATGTCCACCTGTATGGACAGGTACTTTATGCACACAACGTATTGATCCATGTACAACAGCAAATCCTTGTTTAAATTCTGGTATATGTATAGCCATATCTAATAGTACAAATCAAACAACAACTCGTTGTCAATGTTTGGCTGCATACACAGGTATGGTTATCTTGATTTTCTCGTCCGATGAACAATATCTATTGATTATCTCTAGGTCAGTATTGTCAAACGCCTATATCACCATGTCAAAATTTACGTTGCATCAATGGCCAATGCCTATTACGAGCTGACGGAACTGCTCTATGCTATTGTAACGATCAATGGACAGGTACAGCATGTGATACATTAATCTCTCCATGTGTATCTCAACCATGTCTGAACAATGGCATCTGTTTTTCATCTGGTGTATCTTATTCATGTATATGCACACAGGGTTATTCCGGTACACGATGTGAAATTACGCCAACTACTTCATGTACAGTGAATTGTGCTAATAACGGCACATGTGCAATACGTTCGCAAGACAATGTGCAAATCTGTGTCTGTCCAGCTGGTTATACAAGTACTCGATGTGAGATACAAATCTCACCATGTGTACCATCACCATGTTTGAACAATGGTGTATGTTTACCGATAACATATACAAATGGTACATTGGGATTTCAATGCATTTGTACCGTACCGTATACAGGTAAATTAATTTGTTGTTCTTAATAGAAAAATGAAGAGTGTTACTGTTTAGGTCCAATCTGTGCAACTTACATTTCGGTGACATGTGGAAATTTGAGTTGTTTGAATGGTGGTACTTGCTTGGTTAATAATGATCGAACAATATGTCAATGTTCAAGCATTTTTACAGGCAGTCGTTGTGAAACATTGATTAATTCATGCGATAGTAAGAACGCAATTCTTCTGCACATAGAGAGAAACTTCTTTTCTAACTTAAAGGTAATCCCTGTGTGAATGGTGGTACTTGTAATACAATGTCTGTAGGTCGCAAAAAACGTCAAACTACAGTGGCATTAGGTTATTATTGTCAATGCCCAACGACGTATACAGGTCAACGTTGTGAAACCTATCTTCCTCTATGTGGGTCAAATCCCTGCCGAAATAACGGTACATGCTACCAAGATTCAGTTGCTAATCGAATATTTTGTATATGTATACCAACTTATACTGGAACATTATGTGATACACCCTCAAATGGAACCAATGTCTGTCTAACGAATCCATCGCTTTGTGTTAATAATGGAACTTGTCGAGTTAACACATCGTCCCCACTAGGTTTTCAATGTGTATGTCCACCTCCACAAACAGGTGTGTACTGTGAACAAACTCTCGATCCATGTAAAACAGTTCCAACACCATGTCTCAACAATGGAACTTGCGTAAGTTGAAAGCGGCTTGCCTCTTTCTTTCGATTCGTTCTCTTTTTCGTTCCTTATTGTAGATTTCATCCTTGACGGGTTACGTGTGCCTTTGTACTGCTAGCTTCACCGGTACAAATTGTTCTGTTCCAACCAGCCCTTGTAGTTCACAACCTTGCTTCCGTAATGGGACATGCTTGGCCATCGGTACTCAATCGTACACATGTGTTTGTCCTACTGGTTATCTTGGCAATCGGTGTGAAATATGCAATTGTCCTTGTAATATTTATCCATGTATGTTATTAACATTGTTTCAAGGAAAAATATATTAAAATCTTGTTCTCATAGGTCTCAATGGAGGCGTCTGTCGATCAACAGACATCGGCGGTGTTGTATGCACATGTCCTGCTGGTTATACAGGCGTTCGATGGTATGGGAAAAAGTTAATTTTTAATTTGAAAACATTTTTGATCTTCTAGTGAAAAATCAATATTACCCTGTGACTCTAATCCATGTAAGTTTACTTGGTAAAACTCTTGACTTATTTCAATTTGAAAACTTTGGTATAGGTTTGAATAAAGGTGTATGTATCTATGATCCAACAACAATGCAAATGAAGTGTCAATGTTGCGGCCTGGCAACTGGAGTGTTAGTTGTGATTTACTCGAAATTTATTTCTTTATGAATGAGAGATTTTTTATTCAGATTTTGTGAAACTCTTCTCAATCCATGCAATAGTTCCGTTCCATACTGTTTCAATAATGGCACTTGCGTTCTGAATGCTAGTTCCCAACCAATGTGCATGTGCCCGAGCACTTTCACCGGTAATTTGAACTTGTTTTGCGGAATAAAGACAAAGATCATACTTTTCGTTCATTGGAGGTGCCTACTGTGAAACGTATTCCAGTCCATGTTCACTAGTCACATGTATTCAGGGCACATGTGTCGTGCTAGCCAATTCAACATTTATGTGCGTTTGTCCGACAGGTCGATCAGGTGTTTATTGTGAAATAGGTGATCCATGTGTACTTTCTTCTGGAACGATAACACCGTGTCGAAACGGTGGCACGTGTATTCGTATAAGTACTACTTCTTACACATGTGTATGCCCTCTTGGATTTACCGGTGCAAACTGTGATATAGCAAATCCTTGTGCGAGTATGCCATGCGCAACAAACGCAACCTGTGCTACTTTAGTGAATGGTAGTGCTTATTGCATATGCCCAGCAGGAACGACAGGTAGCCGTTGTAATCAAACAATTCCTAGTCAATACTGTTCATCATCACCCTGCCGTAATAATGGTACTTGTATTGGAACAACATGCATATGTCCGATTAATACGAGTGGACCCACATGTAACATAACACAAATACCATGTCCAACAGCTACCCGACCAACACTTGTTTGCTACAATGGGGGTACATGTGTTTCCAACTATGGATGCATTTGTACTTCAGGATATACCGGTAATGGCTGCGATACACCTCTTTCCAATGCTTGTACAAGTACAACTTGTTCAAACGGCGGCACTTGTGTGACATTGTTCAATGGTACACTTGTTTGTATATGTCCAGCAGGATATACGGGCATGAGATGTGAAACATATACTTCATTGTGTCAGCCCAATCCATGTCAATCTAATGGCACTTGTATCCCAAGTGGATCAACTGGTTATGTATGCTTATGTCCATCCGGTTTTACTGGAGCACAGTGCAGTCTTGTTACAAATGCTTGTCTTTATACGCCATGTAAGTTCTCATTTTCTCGATCAAGAATGTTTTCACATAAACAAATACTTTATCTCATTCAATATGTTTAGGTTTAAATGGTGCTACTTGTTTACCGCTTCTAAACGGCGCGTATAGTTGTATTTGCACATCAGCATATACCGGTGCACAGTGTCAAACAATTCTCAATCCTTGCTCATCATCGCCGTGCAATGCAGGTACTTGCGTGACAACCAGTAATGGTCTTGCATATACATGTATTTGTCCGTCCCAACTAACTGATCCAAATTGTCTAACAGCAAATCCGTGTGGATACCAACCTTGTCTCAACGGTGGTACATGTGTAGTAACAAGCGCAAGTACATACACCTGTACATGTCCAACAAATTATGTAGGTGTTAATTGTCAAACACTCAATCTATGTCTACCGAACCCGTGTATTAACAATGGTACATGTCAAACATTAACATCATCCACAATTCAATGTGCTTGTACATCAGCGTACTACGGTGCACGATGTGAGATATTAAATCCATGCCAAAATTACACTTGTGGCAATGGTATCTGCGGAATAGATCCAACAACAACGTTGGCACAATGTGCTTGTTATGCTGGATGGACAGGTGCACGTTGTAATATATCGATTGCTTGTTCAAGTAATCCATGTATTTACGGTACATGTGTCGCATCGACCACATCTGGGTACACCTGTGTTTGCCTTTCCGGTTATTATGGTTTACAATGTCAGACACCAATAACCAATACGGCGTGTCAAAGTAATCCTTGCCGAAATGGTGGTACATGCCAAGTAACAGCTAATAATGGTTATATGTGTTCATGTCCGGCGTACTATGTTGGTACTAATTGTGAAACGGTGAATCCATGCGTTTTAATTGGAGCGTCCTCGTCGTGTCAGGCGGTATTGACTTCGACGGGAAATTACACCTGCTCATGTTCATCGAGTGTAGTAAGTTGAACAAGAATTTTGTAAGGTAAAACACATTATCGATTGACTCTTTTCAGTGTGCAAGTAATCCATGTCAATATGGAACATGTAGTGTGATCAATTCTGGCGCAGCTTATAGTTGCCTGTGTTACTCAGGTTATTTAGGTCGACAATGCAATCTGACTGATCCATGTTCTACGACTGTCTGTTACAACGACGGCACATGTGTTGCGACACTCAATGATGCCAGCACACAAGTAACTAGAACATGTGTTTGTCCTGCATCTCAACACTTTGTTGGACAATTCTGTGAACATTACAATCCATGCATTTCATCCCCATGTATTAATAATGCCACATGTTCGTACTACATTAATGTCACATGTTACTATTACTGTACATGTCCTATTGGATATTCTGGTGAGCGTTGTCAATTTTCAATTTCACAAACACGTTGTGAATCCGTGGGCTTGCCAAATAACTGCCGCAATGGAGGTACATGCATGCTAGTTGGTAGTAGCACACAATGCTTTTGTACGTCGATGCATACGGGTGCATTATGTGAAGGTACAATTAACATGTGCGAGCTGAAAGTTTGTCAAAATGGTGGCACGTGCAGTGTTATCAATGGAACCAGTGTTCGATGTCAATGCTCATCATCATATACAGGGCAGTATTGTGAATATCCACTGGATGCATGTGCAGTAAAACCTTGTTTGAACAATGGACAATGTATATCATCAGGTACAACGTTTTCATGTAATTGTGCGCAAACAATGTATACCGGAGCCAGATGTCAAACATTACTTTCTTCACCATGCGCATCAAATCCAGTAAGATTTTGACATTTTCACTTTTTCTCTCGCAGAAGACAATATTTTCCTTCTTTTGTTCGCAGTGTGTCAACAGTGGTACCTGTCAAATAGTTGGTTCCACTTACGTTTGCGTGTGTACATCAGGTTATACTGGTACAACATGCTCTCAGGCGTTGAATCTTTGCACAACAGTTCAATGTCTCAATGGTGGCACTTGTTCCAATTATGGTACATTCGCTCTGTGTAATTGTTTGATTAATTTCACTGGTGAACGTTGTCAATACGTGAATCAATGCTATCCTGTTTCACCTTGTCTCAACGGTGGCACATGTATATCTGTATTGAATAGTTATTCATGTCAATGTCCAACTGGTCGAACGGGAACAACATGCCAATTGTTTTCGGATAATCCATGTGCTGGAGGTAACCGATGTCTAAATGGTGGAACGTGTGTAGTTCTATCAGGAACAACTGATTCGACTTGTACGTGTCCAATTAATTTCACTGGTCAATCGTGTGAAAAAGGTTTGACAAAGAAAACAAATTTCTTCAGAAAAAAAACGACTCTTTCTTTCCATTTAGCTGTTTCAGCTACGCAAACTACAACATCATCATCATCAGTATTCACAATGCTATCCGAAAAATCTTCAACAATTATCGCGACAACATCCATGGCATATTTTAATACAACCAATGCTCCGTACTCATGTGACGATACATCACTAGCGTGTCTTGCTTACAGTTCATATTGTAATCGCGAATATGAATTTTCCGGTATCCCTTGTCGAGTACTTTGCCCAAGAACTTGCAATACTTGTAAGATTTATGTCTTAAACAGTGATACCCGATATATCTTCTCTGTTTATAGGTTGCGAAGACTTCTATAATGATGGTACATGCTCATTGCAGAACTGCCAACGTAATCCTGAACTGACATCTTTTTGTCGAAAATCGTGTATCTGCAAAACATAAACGACAAACTGTTTCATTTTCATTCATGTTTATTTCTGAAATAAAATAATCAAATTCCCGAGCTTGAGCATAATTTCTCTTCTATATTAATGATTTTATCATATAAAAAAATAAACAGATAATTGTCATATCCATATATTCGTGTGTTTATATACACCCCTTGTTTTTCTTCTCTATCCAATGAACACACAGACATTCACGATCGATCGATCGACGAACAGACAGAATGAATAACGATCTATCCTACATTTGAATTCATGGGAAAAAATTTTCAATGAAACTATGACCGAGTAAGACTTTACTTCTTTAATCGATTTTGATTGGATTTTTCTAGACGTTCTATCCATTGTACATTTCATCATGTTTCACCTGACCTTGTTCGAATCATCTCTTCGTCCCTATCGATCCAATCATTATCAAAAAGTAAAGATAATCAATATACTTACACATGTTCATTGTCATCTGCTCGTCACATTCGTTCGATTCTTGCTGATTCCCTCGGTGAATATCCTCAAATTTGGTTTTCGATCGATCATACCAATCGATCAACATCGAATCTTTTCAAAACTTCTCAATCTGTCGATCAGCTCTATTTTGGTTCTTTGCTTTCAACCGAAAAGTTTCTCATCCACTCCACTCCTCTCGATCGCCGAACTCCATGGACGATTCGAATTGATCCCAAACAAACACTTGTCCTTCAATCTTCTGATGAACAACTATCGATTCCTATGAAATTCCTTCAAAAAGATGTTCTCGTTATTGACAGCGAAGACTTTTCCGAAATGATTTTCAGTTACAATTCCATCTCCATCGATCGTCCAGCCAAGTAAAACTTTTTCCTATCCGACTTTCACTTCTTCATTTCATTCTATAGACTCTATGGTAATCATCCATTGATTCGATCGTTAAATCAATGCAGTGATTTCTTAATTTGCTTATCACCGAAATCCCAGGTTGACGCATTTCTCGATAATCTTCAACTAAACTATCACTTTCGAATCTTTTATACGACCCTTACCGTTCAGGTGAACATTTCTCAATGGTCCATGCATTATTTCGATGATTACCGAACCGATTACTCTCGTTATGCTCTCTCAATGTTACATTCATTAGGATACGTTTTCGATGATAAATATTTAAATAGTAAAACTCTGCAAAACCAAATGAAACAACTCGCTGAAAAGGATGAACAACAGTTCTATCAAATCGCTTTGAAAGTCTATTATGAATTGAAGAAATGTCATTGGTTAGACTTAACAAAACTATTTCAACAGACTTCGGTGAAGATCTCTTCCAATGACGACAAAGCTCTCTATGTATCTGTCGTTCATCTTACTCCGACACGTTTATTGATCATGCCGAAAGAGAAAAGCAAAGGTCATCGTATCATACGTCATCCGCACTTTCAAGGTATCGATGAATTCTGTCTTGTTTATATCAAACCTGATCCTCCGAATATCTACTTGAATGATAATTATCAACTGATTGAATATTTTCAAGATTTATTTGAACAAGGTATCGATTTAAATGGAGTCAAATATCATTTATTCGGTTCGTCGAATTCGCAATTGAAAGAACATTCATTTTGGTTTATCAAAGCATCGTCATTGGATGAAATCCATCGAAAACGACAAGTTCTTGGACAGTTAGACCAAATCAGAAACTTAGGCACATATGTTGCTCGTTTAGGTTTATGGTTTAGTAAAACCGATCCGACCAATGTAGGCGAATTCTTTGTTAAATTTGAGAGAAATATTCAATGTTTAGATTCAACTTACGTATTGTTCGAATGAAAGTGAATTTCATCGTCGAATTCGACAACGGGAGGTTTGTGTGATGATGATTGAGGATATCGAAAGGAATAATTATTGTTTTACTGATGGATGCGGTTTGGTTTCGAAAGGTTTAGCTAAATTAATATCAGAAAGACAGGAGAAATTAGATTGTGTTCCGTCGGCTTATCAAATTCGAATGGCAGGATGCAAAGGATTGATTATTATCGATCCACAATCGACCTACGAACAGTTTCACATCAAAATCCGACCATCAATGAAGAAATTCGAATGTGATCATTGGTTTTTAGATATTTGTGGGCATAGTCGAGCAAGTAAACGAGTTTTTTCATTGAAATCTTATGCAGCAGTTGATTTTAGCACCGAGTAGATTGAACAATCAGTTTATCTGGTTATTATCAGATCTTGGTGTACCGGATAAAACATTTTTTCAATTACAACAGCGTTGGTTCAGTAAAAAACCATCATCTTCGAACTATTCTGAGTTAAGATTCGAATTTCGAGATGTTTCTTCATCTTTATTTTGTTTTTAGTGATCTATTGAAAAACAAAATTCCACTGCCGGTTAATGAGTGTCGATATATTTATGGTTGTGCGTTGGAGTCACAATTACAAGAAGGACAGTGTTTTCTTCGGTATGAAGTTTTGAATAACTATGGAAAATCATTTACGAATAGGAAATTTGAATGCGTCCGAGGAAGAATTATCGTCACGAAAAATCCCTGGTGAGTTTTCATTTGTTGGTCGTTGAAAGAGAATTACAGATTTTGTTTAGTCCATATGCCGGTGATATGTTAGAACTATGGGCTGTTGATCTACCGGAGTTATATCATTTGAATGATGTTATTGTGTTTTCTGTTCGTGGAGAACGTGAGTGTTTTTTCTTTTGTGTTTCAATTTCATGTCAAAGAGAGGAGAAACTTTCAGGACCGGATTTCAATAAAATTGCTGGATCAGATCTTGATGGTGATGGCTACTTTGTAAGTTCTTTTTTTTTCTATAATGACAGTCTATTTCTCCAAGTTGACTTCGACAGGTTTATTGGGGAGAAGAATTACGTCTCAACCATCAAGTCTCTCCATTGGATTACACACCTGATGAGAAACAATATCAATCAAGTCCGATTTGTCCAAACGATGTTATTCGATACTGTTTATCGACATTGAACGCGACGAATTCAGGCGAAATTTACAATTTACATGCAGTGATTGTTGATAAGAATTATGAAAATTGTGCGCGACGAACATGTCAACCTTTGGCGATTGAATTAGCTCGAATGTTTTCATCTTCTGGTAGATTTTCCCTGAATAAATATCTCGATAGCAATCTTTGTTCATTGCAGTTGATTCGGGCAAAACGGGTTATGTTGTTGATAAAAAACGTATTCAACAACTTCGAGCAACTTATGCAAAGAAGTATCCCGATTTCTTAGGCAAAGATAAGAAAAGATCCTATGAATCAACGTCAATTGTTGGCAAACTTTATCAAAATGCATTGAAATACATCAATGGAAAAACGAATGAATTAGAAAATATTTTTGCTCAATTGAATCTTAATAAGACTCAAGATGAGGTGAAGATCACAACTGATCAACCAGCTCGAACATCATCGAAAACGTCAGCTCACCTACATCCCGGTTCACCATTATCTCCCATACAGAATTTTGACTTAACTACTGTAAACTTTCTCCAGCAAAATCCTTTTCAAAACTTTAATTTAATGTTTTAGAACGATGATTCTAATCTGTCAATCAATGAAATTCCTCCTCAATTCATTCTAATTGATGGTATGGCATCCTCTTCATCTCCTATTCGATTGTCATCTTCACCTAAACCATTCTATGTTGAACATGGTGATCTCGTTCGTTTTCGTATTGAACTTCCATTGTTTTCATCTTCACCTTCCTTATCGTCACTGTTTATCAATCAACTCTCATCTCTTCAACCAACCATCAATCCTAATCAGTTCTCGACATTTGTCATCTCGTTTGGATATATTTATCTATTGAAATATCCTGAACAACGATTTGCATCATCAGATTATCCGAAAACATTAGATTGTTTATTAAATCAACATTTTTTACCTTCATTATCGACTACATTCTTACCTTCGACGATTCTCGAACGAATCGAAATCACCGAAGACAATTCTCATTGTTTACAACAAGTTTTCTACAAACCAAATCATCGAATTAAACGTGAAGTAAATAATATTTCTGCATATTTCGTCTTCCGAAGTTTCATTTTAGTTCATCGAATTGATATCGGATAGTCTCTACTTGATTTTTCCTTGGTTTAAAATGAAATTCATCGAACATCAACGTGAGATTATCTTGATTTGCTTCAATCTCGACTCGCAACAAGAAATCTTTGTACATTTCGATAAGAGTGGCCGAATTAAATCAATTGAAATTTTACCGAAATTATTCTTCAAATGTTTTCATCAACAAACTTCATCCCATCGTCTTGATATTCTCTATGAATTTCGCTCCTATTCAACAATTCCTCCTCAAAATTATTCCTCAATATTCAAACATCAAACGCTACTCGATCCAACTCAACCATTAACACTTCCTTTCGAGAAAGGCATCATTCCAATTATCTCCTATAGTCGAATCAACAATAGTTTCCAATCGGATAATATCCAAGTGCATATCCAACGGATTTACTCCCCAATTCATTATAAAAATGATGATTTTTATAAACTGAGATGTGTGTTGGGGTATCTCGAACAAGAACAACAACGATCTATTGAATTGCGTGTCGAAATGAGCCGAAAAGAAGATTTCAATCGAGATAAATTACGATATATAATGTCCTTAGCTGTCGAACTTAGTCAAATGTTAGAATGATTGCAGTTTGTCATGCAAATTTTTCTGAACAGTTCTATTTCTTTATTATTATTTTTTTTGTTTAAAGAAAACGGCCATCGAAGAATTTGAGGGAGAGGAGTGAAATGAAATTAATCTGATGATCAGGTTTTATTCGAAAAGAAAAAGAAAACGGCAAATACGATAGAATGATAAAAAGTGTGTTTGAGTACAAAATAAAACTATCATTCAGCCTTGTGAGCGGTGCTATTCGCAGCTTTTTCTGCATCGGCCATCGCACCACCTTCTCCGGCTCCTTTGTCTTCACCCTAGAAGAGAAAATCGATGAGAAGTCACTTTCGAAAGTCAAAATATCGAAACGAACCACTGCTTTTCGTTCGCGTCTTCGTTTTTCATCTTCAATGATTTTCCAGAAATCTTTTTCAGCTTTTTCGATTGGATCAGCTTCTTTCAATTCGGACTCGGCAGCTGCACCATCTGTTGTTGTTTTCTCTGCTTTCTACAAATCAAATAATCGATCGATCAAACGAGACTACAAATCAAGTTTATTTACTTCTCCGCCGGCAGGTGCTCCGACTTTGCCGCGAGCATCTCGTTTCGCACGACCACGTGCTTCGAGAACTTTGGCGCGTCTGGTTTCACGATCGAACATCTATTCAGACGAACGTCATTGAACTGATCTTATAGCGAATTTCTAATGAAACTTACTCCAGAAATTAAACCTTTTTCGCTCTTTCCTTGCGTACATAGATTGTCCGACACTTCTACTAATGTTACTGTACCATTCTGTGATCCGCATGCAACTAGACGACCGTGAGTTTCTTGAACACGTAAACAATGTAAGGGTTCATCAACAACTTGAAGTGAAAGAGTTGGTTCGTTTTGCTTGAATAAAATATCCCAAACATCCAATGTACCTAGAGAAAAACATCGTCAGTCAACTCGATTCTTCCATAAAAAAAAACCGTTTCTTACCGTCCATTTTAGTTGTATAGAAAATCGACGATCGTATGGGTGACCATTGAGCATCAGTAAGTGCATACATACTTGGTCTAATGAAAATCGAAGGGATAAAATGTAAGGGTGGGTTGTTAACAATAAATTACTTTGTCCACATGATACAATCGTCTCGTAATTCTTCAGACCAAATGCGCACAGTCCAATCGCCGACGGAAAGAAAATTTTTTGTAAAATTTGGATGACGTTGAAGTGCATAAACCGGTCCCCAATGCCCAGGAAAGACAGTGCCAATCTTTTCTGCATCGTTCTTTCCCTTTCGATTACACGAAATAATTCGACCTTGTTCCGTACCAACCATAAATTTAGTTGGCTACAATTGTTAACAGTTCTCTGATAATAGATAGAACAATTTTCATTGTTTACTCACGATAGTTGACTCGTATTCGAGAGTCATAGCACCAAGAGCGTTTTCTAATCGACCTTTTTTCTCGATGTCCAATATTAACGTGTCAACTGGCTCGGATAATTTCTTTGTGTCCCACCAGAGAACCTGGAAAAGACGTTAAAAATACATTCAATCATTTACGAATAGAATTTTTCTACTTTGCCATCGGTTGAAGCAGAAAAGAATTCGGTACCCGATTTTGATTGTAACCAAATAGTTTTATACGCAGGATCTCGATGACTATGTTCGATAAGAGATTGTTCAACAGCTGTACTACCCTTTCGTGTATCGAATATACCTTTGCAATTGAAAAAGAAGATAAATTATTTCCTAGTGAATTTTCTTAATTTGTTTTAACGTACAAACTTGACCATTGTAACAACCACCGACTAATTGATGTGTATCTTTTGGATTGAATTCTACGCAAACAAGTGGTGATATCGGTTTAAGATAAAAATCAGGTTTGGTTGGATTTTCTAAAAAAAGAAAATAGAAAATATGCGTAGATTGCTGTCGAGTAGAGAACATACCAATGTCCCAAATATATGAATCGATGTAAGTATCATTTCCTGCTGATTGAAATCCGAGATTACAATACGAAACGGCTAATTTTCGTGCTCCATCTGCATTCCATGAGATATGATTTGCTGTACGTCGAGCAGAGTGTGGATCACTAAGGAAAAAAAACAGTAAAATTTCTGTTATTTTTCTTTCTCGAATCGATAATTACCGATAGATATTGATGGTTTTTGCATAAGGTGCTTCTTCGACTACATCAGCTTCGATATGTTGATAATAGTTTTCATAAATATCAATTGCATTGTTTTGTTTGATAGTATGTGCAATCGACTAGAATAAACAATGGCTCAGTTGATGATGTGTAACGAAAAAAACGGGATTTTCTACTTGTCCGAGTGAAACAACAGCTCGTCCGTAACCATCTTCCTTTTCGGTTTTCTTTCGAAAACGTGTTGTTTGGTCAGGTTCAAGTGGATTAACGTCTTTTGGCCAACCACCTTCCACATGATTGACACCTCGATGTTCGGTCTCGAATCGAACGGTATTTACCTAAACAATCTCGATGAGAAGAAATTCATTCGTTGAAGATGATCATTTTCATACCCAATGCTCAGAAAATTCACGGACATTTTGCACTCCAGTATCGACGGGATTTCGTGGAATGTAATCATGAATTAGATCGGGATTCGGTTGAATATCAGCAATGATTTCTACAGGTCGATCTTGGAAATGAACTTGACGACCGAATTCTGAGCGCTTTTTCGTATAAACATATTGCATGTCCATGTTTCTGGGTAAAAGTATCAAAACGATTTGTTAGAAAACTATTGATGATCATTAGCATCGATTTTACATTGAATTCAACTGAGCAACGGCCTCTCCGCTAAAGCTGTTGCTACGAAGAAGATGTCGTTACACACCCGCACCATGTCGTGAACTACCGTTTCTTTATTTTTGATTAACAAACAGAAAGAAACAAAAAAAGGTGAAGATTAAAATTCCAGTATGATTGAAATCTGGTAATAAATGCGATCGGCAGTGGGTCATGCCTTTGTACTTTGAGCTCAAAATATTTCCAATCTGCCGAAGAATTTGTCTAATTGCAAAAAAATGTGGCATTTCATTGAAGAGTTTGATAACTCGTCTTACTTTTGAAAATGTTCGCACTTCAAAATGATAATGCAATCTCTTAAATGCAATGACACAAAGTGTTACTTTATGTTAGTTTCGATTATGTCACGGAGTGAAGGCTGATGTGTTAATTGATAATGCGTGATATTTTCTTCTCCGATGTTCAACTCATTCAACGACGATCGTTGAAGATCTTTCTCTATAAAATCCTATCGAAGAAGTTTCCTTTCGAAAGAAATGCAATGCCTGATTGAATATATTTGATATTAATGAACTGAAGTTCGATTATTTTCAACGTTTGACTGAAATTTTTTGTCGATGAACTTTATTTTTTGATATAATTATTATTTAACACTTCCGCAAATGATTCATATTGGTACCGACGCATATCCGCTACAAAAAAAAAGAGAATAGAAGAAAAGTGCACTTCATTTTTAAAGTGAAAAATACTTTTCTCTCTTTTAAATTTGAAATGATACTCTCTCATTTCTTCATTCTACTCATCGGAGAGCAACAATGGCTATAGATTACGCGGACTCTACATCAACACCTGAAAAACTTACTTTGTTGGTCTTTATCGCTGCTATTGTCATTGGCAATGTAAGTTTCGACTCGATCATTCTTCATTTTTCGAACATTTTCCATTTAGCTCTGCGTTTATATCACTTATTTGGTACGCGCGGATGGCAAACATTGGTCAAATATGTTTGTATTAGGTATGGCATTTATTGATCTGTTTATCGGTGGTTTTGTTCTTCCAATGCGTTTCATAAGTGCATACGGAAATCCTTTAACCGATAAACTTTGTGCTGCACTAGCTGTCGGTGAATCTTGTGCAATCGCTGCTGTTATCTATACCATTGCATTTATGATTTACACTCGCTTATACAATTTAAAACATCCAACAACGTATATTCATCGGCGTTTCCTCGTTCTATTACTATTGGTATCCTGGTTGGGTTTCTTTCTTTTTTATGGAATTCCGTTTATAACAAATTATTCAAGTTATCTGATAATATTGGTATCGACAACATCGAATGCCACATCGTATTGTACGACGTATACAACATCAATTTACCATCCCTTATGGATGGCTTATACAGAAATTGGAGCTATTTATGGTTTACCATTATTAGCGATTGTCATTGGATTAATTCTTTTGACGAAAGAATTATGTAAACGTCGACCGAGAAAACTCGAAGCACCAGAAAGGAAAATGTACAACAATGAACGAAAAATGACTTGGCATGTTTTCTTAATCGGTGTGACATTCTTGTGCCTTTGGTTTCCTTGGATCATAGTTCGGATTGTGATTATCTTTTACAATACGCATATAATTCAAAGTACATTACAAATTACTTATTATATTTTGATTATCAAATGTGTCCTCTTTCCTCTTCTCTATGCATCGACAAATGCATCATTCCGAGGATCATTCGCTATTTATCGTCATCAAAGAATTGTCCTGAACAATCGTGTCTGGGCGGTACATAATCCCAATCGACAATTAACACAATATCACCGTGGATATTAAATATCAACATGAAGAACATTTGAAATATGAGATCGATTCTGCTTATATGTTTATTCAAATAAATAAATATTTATGAATTTAAAGGAGAATATTGTTTTGTTAATGCCTTTTTTCATGCAAATTAGAAAGAAGGTTAGCATGACTGTTCATTGCAAGTTTTCACTTGTGTATATTCACCAGTGCAGTTTCTTCCAGCTAAGGATGGATCTTCGAGAGTAATTTCCGGTTCGGGTATTGATGGTGATGGATTGTTGCAGAGACGTGAACGAGTCATTTGACCAGTACCACATGATTTTGTACATGATGACCATTTCGACCATGACGAAAACTCACCATCGACTGCAAAGAAATGAAGTCAAAGGACATATGGTGTTTCAGAATGAAGTGTCAAAGAGAAATCTTACCAACACATCGTGCAACAATTGCAAATAGTTCACTAATATCGCCCGATGCCAATGAGCGATCGTATTTACAATCATAGAAATCTTTTTCTGTTCCGTCGCATAAAATACCTGGATAACAAGTCGAATTGAATCGAATGGGATTGAGAAAAGCTAAATACAAAGCAAATTCATCCTTTGATACTTGACTCAACATTCGTTTTACCGTACTGAGCACCTCGTGCCAAGCCAATCGATTTACAGACCTAAAAACGCACACCCTGGTCTCATTCTATCTATTTCAAAATCTACACTTGTCATACCAAGTCTGCCATATGTTTAGCCATTGATGAACTACCTTGTGGTACACACAGGATATCTCCTTCTCGAATTGCTAAATAACCTTTCAAAGGAAACTTTTCGGCTTCAGTTTGTTTGATGCCTACAAAGAGAATTTCATACAGGGAACAATTTTTGCAGACCATTCTTACCAGCAACACGTTGACAATTTGCTTCTCCGCAGGCTCGTTGTTCATGCGTATAATTTCCACAGTTCGAACCCGGCGGATTGCATGATCGATTACGTTGCTTATAACCAATACCACAAAATGTCGAGCACGGTGTCCACGTTGACCACGGCCCATAAACTTTTACCAAAAGACCACATGATAGACGCGAACAATTACTGCTTCAAATTACCTGGACAATGCGTTACATCGCACGGTTGAATTTCCATATCTTTCCCAACACATTGATCACTTCGTAATCTTCGTGTTTTGTCACTCGCTGACAAACATTGCCGTTTACGAAATCGATAGCCTTCGCCGCATGTAACACTGCAAGCTGACCAATCACTATATTCTGTCCAGATGTTGGCTTCTGCGAGTTAATGTTAAAGAATGATTGACTTTGACGAGAAAAAAAGGTGTTTCTTACCATTCTGATCACAATCATCTGGTGTTGACTGTCCGTTTAAACAAACACAAGTAGGAATTTTGTTACCTTTACCATCGTAATCAACACAAATTGCACCTGGTTTACAAGTCACTTTGTCACAAACATTCGATTGAACTTTTTTTCGCTGAAGAATGAGTGAAATTTCGAAAATTTCGTTTTCTTTCCTTTCAATATTCGTTCACTTACAACTTTCACTATATCCGAATCAACTGTTCGCGTCGAATCGTCATACAACGAGCACATTTTATGATTTGCATTATATTCATAACCTGTGCATCTGAATTGATCTTTGATACATTCAATTGCACATTGGTATTCATTTAATATAGCAAAGTCGATGTAAGATGCTGCTTTTGATAAAATCGAAGAAGTTAAACGTAGTTTATTCAAAGTTTGCTCATTAAATTTGATTAACGATGGTCCATCGATCGTCGCAGTAGTGGAAACAAAAAGAATGTGTGAGAAAAATAGTATAAGGTTCATGATCGACAATGTACTGGAGAAATAACTGAGAAAAGAAGGGAAATATAAGGAATAGGTAAGGTGAATTCTCTCGAGAATATCATTAAAATTAATATTCTTTCGTTTTGTTTATATGGGATATTAATGGCACCTCTGAATGACGACACGAATAACAGAATCTGTATTGTTATTAATTTTAAAACGATTCTCTCGAGATTTGATTGAATATTTTATCTTACCATGAACTCTTTTCACTAAGGATACATACAAACTTCTTCGGCCTTATGTCTTTTAAGACGACCGACGACCCGAAATTGATTAAACAAAACTCGGGTGAATAAGAACTAATCTAGATCCATAAAAAGTCACAAAATGAACCGAATACTCTCAATTAGCGTTTCAATTTAAGTTTATTTTTAATTATCATGAATAGTCATAAAGTAAAGACAACCTTTTAAACCTAAATCGTCATCATCGACTAAAGTGAGTGGAACACGTGCGACAATCTCACTCATTTTCGGTCCTTGATCTAAATAAGATTTGAGTAGAAGATTATCCGGATTATTTTGCCAACGCCATGATAATTTTGGTAGAATACCACCAGTTATATATAAACCACGATAGGGTAGGAACGTCTGAGCCGCTGTGCCCAATGTTCGACCGAAAAAATCCAGAAATGTATCAACAACTCGAAGACATAATGAATCTTGATGATGACAAGCATGCTGAGCGATAACAGCCGGTGCATCATCTAGAGAAACTTTTGCGAGATCTTCCTTAAGTTGAGATGGCAAAGGTTGATTGTAATATTCTGAATAGAATTGTAACATAGTAACAAAAGCTGGACCGGAAACAATCTGTTCAATTTCTACAAACGGTTGATGACGACGGAGAAATTTTAACAAACCCCATTCTTCTTCAGTTCGCGGACTAATGGTATCTGTCATTCCTGCTTCGGATGGATGGACTTGATATCGACCTGAGCCATCCGGTGAAAGATAACATGCGCCTAGACCGGTGCCAGCACCAAGACAAGCGACTGGCGATTTCGTTTCGGTATGAGTTTCTTCAGCAGGATTCTGATGAAGAACGATTGTTTTTGTTGATTGACATAATGCATTCGCCAGAGGATCGACTTGTGCGGCGAGACAATAACCAATTGCTTCGAAATCATTTAAGAAAATCAGAGAATTCGCTTTGAGTTTCAAAAAATTCTCAATTTCTTCAGCATGCTGCGTTGCCCATCCTGAACCATCCGGTTCCATTCGGACATTGTTTGCATCGTTACTTCGACGATTATTCCAAATCGGACCACATACCGCCAAAACTACACGTATACTAAACAATAACATCCAAATATTGCTTCTAATTATTCAAAATTCATTTACTTTTTGTCTAAAACAGCATTGTGAATCTCCTCCTGTTGATATTCTTCATTTAAAATATCGTTTAAAAATCGTTCCAATATCTTACTAAGACCTGTAAATGTATTTGTCCGATAGGTTTGTCGAGTTATAAGCGAAATCGATGGTGTCAATGACTTTTGATCTCGATTATACCATAGAAATTGCACACGTGCATTCGTGCCACCAATATCACCAACGATAACTGCACACGATTTCGACATATTCTTCGAATAGAACTATCAAAATGAATTGATAACACTAAATTCTTCTTACCTTGACATTTTATCTCCTACTGAAAGATAAGAAATGCCAGATATACTCTCTATTTTTTTCATGTTGACTTCGAACTTGAAAGTAATTCTGATTTGATTGCATATTGTAATTACTCAATCACAATCGTGTACAGATTCAAGAGTAACGTAGGTATAAAATGAAAATGTGAAAGGCATGCTTTATGGTCGTTACATCGTAGGGTGAGGGACGATGCTTGTTCTCCGAACAACAATGCATATTTATACAATGACAGTCAATGGACGGTGGACTTTATCCAAGTCATCCGCTAAGGAGTGCTATTCAGCAACTCACCAACCGAGTGAAATATCGCATTGAATCGTGTACTTTAAAATCGACCTACGCTCTCCATTCACATCAAATCCTTTTTTAAGCGAGAAAACTATACTTTATTTATTTATGAATAGATGTGAATTATATTTAATTAATTGAAAGGACTATTTCTGTCTAATTCCCAAGAAAAGATTATTGCAAATTCATAATTTGAAACTTAGTTTTGCTTTGGCCAATTCCATCGTGGTGGTAAAGCATCTTCATACTCGGCTTTGTATTGACTATCTTCGATATATTTCTCTAAATTATCCGGTTTAGGATAAAGTGCAGCTAATTTATGGTCGTAGGAATATTCAACCAACGCCAAGGCAATTTTACGTGAAACCGAACGAATCTTCTCAATTGGTGGATAAACTAAACCTGAGGCAAGATCTTCTTCTGTCACTTGTTCAGATAGAGTTTTAGCTGATATATAAAATAATTCCTCAGGAATATGTCGAATACCACATGTAACAATGGCCAAACCAACACCAGGAAAAATATAAGAATTATTTCCTTGACCGGGAATATAAGTTTTACCATTATAGTCAACATTAGGAAACGGAGAACCAGAGGCAAACACTGCTTGACCTTTGGTGGCTTCGTAGGCTTCTTGAGCGGTACATTCAGCTTTTGACGTGGGATTTGAAAGAGCGAAAATAACTGGATGTTTATTGAATGAAGCCATATCTTCGAGAATTTCACGAGTAAATGCTGGACCTTGACCAGCGGCACCTAAAGAAAGGAAAGATTTTGCAATGGACGATACAAAAAAAAAGAAACGAATCGACTTTACCGATGAGAAATGATGGTTTCAATGCTTTGACAATATCACCTAATTTAACAATACATTCGCGTTCATGTGCGTATCGTTTCTTTTCTTCATTCAAACCACCAGTTGGACGATCCTAAATTTTTCATTCATTTTCCAACGTCCAAATAGTTTTGGAAGAAAGTTTCGTGTATATCAACTTACCTTAACAACAAGTCCTTTAGAATCGACTAAGAAGACCTTCTTTCGAGCTTCCTCTGCCGATAAACCTTCTCGTTCCATTGCAACAACCAGTAAATCGGACATACCAATCGAAGCCTTCGTAAAGAAGAAGAATTTCAATGTTATATTCATAAATATGATTATCTCCTTACTTCACCAGCTCCATAGAATAAAAATGTATTTTCCGAGAGTTTCTTTCCAGTGATACGAAGTGAACTGAGAATACCAGCCACAGCAACACTGGCAGTTCCTTGAATATCATCGTTGAATGTACAATACTGTTCACGATATTTTTCAAGTAAACGAAAAGCATTGTGGTTCTAAATGAAGGAGAACCGATAGAAAAAGGAATGTAACAATCACCACTGAACTTACGGCAAAATCTTCGAATTGGATTAAACATTGTTGTCCATATCTATATTAGGGCGTTTCTTCATTCATATTCGGATTTTCAATTTTGTCTTACCGTTTAACAACCGCTTGCATAAATTCTTCAATAAATTCATCGTATTCTTTTCCAGTGACACGTTTTTGTCTTAAACCCAAGTAGTACTTATCTTTCAAGAACGACTTTAAAAGAAGATCAAATGCTTTCACTTGTCCTCAAACTCTTTCTTCTTACTTCATTGTTTGTTCCGACGTCAAGTGTGACTGGTAGGCAATATTCCGGTGCAACGCCAGCTAATGCGGTGTACAAGCTTAGTTTACCCACTGGAATGCCCATACCATTACAACCCAAGTCACCTAGACCCAAGATACGTTCTCCATCAGTAACAACAATTGCCTAATGGAAAAGTTCGAAAATTTGAATGTTTTTATCAGGTAATTACTCACTCGAACATCCGTGATCGGCCAGTTGGAAAGTACATCGAAAATATGACCTTTATCATGAATTGAAATGAAAAGACCTCTGAAAACAAAGACATCAACAAGAGTTTCCTCGAAAAAACCAATTACTTTGGTTTAGCAAAGATCAATCCATATTTTTGACACGCTAATCCAACTGTTGGTGTATAGACAAGCGGCATGATTTCTTGTGTATGTTCCATCGCTACCCGATAGAACAATTTTTCATTTCGATCTTGCAAAGCAGCCAATGAGATATATCGCGATAAATCATCGGGCATATTTCGTAGATTTTCCATGAAGCGTTCTACTTGAAGATTGGGTGTAGCAACCGTTGGTGGTAATAAACCATGAATACGGTACGTTTGTCGTTCTTCAATGGAAAATGCCGTGCCCTACATATCACACATCAATTTCAAAGATCTTCGAAAAGGAAATATCTACTTTATTAGCACGTCGATCGACTAATATATCATAACCAGTGAGAAATCGTTTCGTCGTCATGTCGTGACTGAAGTTCAGCAATAGTTGTTCTTCTAGAAAGAAAAAGTACGCCGGTGTATTATGAGTAGAAGTTGATATTTATATAGAAAAAACAAGCAGGGTGGAGCAAAGTTCATATTCGCTTTTGTTTTCACGAAAGGTAGTCTTGCTTATCGAATGTAAAATAATACCGTCTCATCGACATGACTAAGTAAAAACGAAGAAATATTCTAGGTTTTCTATTTATCTAAAGAGTATGCGCATCTTTCTCTAACATCGTCAGTAAATATTTAGTTTTAAATGGTGTAACCGACGACAGGAGCATGTTTTTTTTTCTTCTTCTGAAGGCAGAACGCAAAAAATAGGACAAGGAAAAAGAGAAGCACAACAACATTAAGTGACAACTTTCTTCCTTCACACAGCGAATCTCGGTATCTTCCAGGCATTTCGTAGTCGACTAACAATCGAATTACATTGTTTTTATCTTTAACTTGCTGTTATGAAAAAATCGAAAGTGTTATCTTCGTTTTCTTTTATCGATTCAGACGTCACACGTCGAGATAAAACGGAAAGAGCAAATGATGACGAACAGGTGTGACAAGAAAATGAAAATAAATCCGATTTACTAATGCGATTCATTGATGAATGGGCTGGTTGTTGGAAGAAACAGCAGAATAAACATGGACGAATATAATGACGAGATTTTGCCAACATTGGTTCGAGCAATTGGATTACCTTGGTAATGAAGAAAGATTCGAGATACAATTGATGTCTATGAAAATCTTACGCGATACGAAAAAATGAACGAAACAAATTTGCTTCCTTTCTCTTTCTTTTTTTCAAATATGATAGGTTGAAGATATCTGTAAAGAGAGCTAAATCGATTCTGTCTACGTCGCTCTTCTTTCTACAGGAGAAAGATATTTATAAATAAGAAAATGTGATTGATTGAATCACACATGGGAATGAGGTGTGTCTGTTCTGTATTGACTTTGTCGAAAGACGTGAATCACATGAAATTTAACATTAGAATATTTATTGCAATCACAATACGATATGAATGACCTTGACAATTGATTTAAACGGAATCCCTTTCATGCGATACGATGAAATCGAAATCGATGGTCTATTGTTTTCTCGTTGTTACAGAGCGAAACAACGATTCTTTTTCCTAAAACTTGTAATCGCTTTGCTCCAGAGTAACACGGTCGAATATAATACTGTTGATGATCATCGAATTTCTCCAATGTGAATCTTCGACATAATTGATTCGATTGTTTTCGATGTATTGAAAGAATCGATGATGGAATCCAATATTCTTCATTGTCACTACATTTCAACACCGAAAACAACGATCCCGTTGATTCATTTGAAAATTCATATTCGAGATAAGATTGTTTGACAAAAAAAAGATTTTCCCGCGGAAGTCGCTTTGGCACAATGCATAAATCATCTTTACCATCGACTATCCAGCCTTCACTTGACATACTTTCGATCATATAAGACCCATCGGGAAGATAACTACTTTGAGAATAGCGTTTTAATAGAGCAAGTTGGTTCATTGAGGATAAATGTAGTGTTAAGCACGATGAAGGAATGGAAATTCGTTGAAATTGCTTTTCGTAAGATTTCTCAAGTAATCGATAACTAATCTGTTCACCGATAATTTCGTTATTAAATCGAAAGATTAATGAAATCAATTGAGAATGAAGAAATTGAGAAATATACAAACGAACATCATCTTCCTCTGAATGACAATGAACATGTAAGACTTTCAAGTAAAGACAGAAGGTTTTTATCGCTTGAATAGATGTTGATAATCGATAGTGAGGTCCAATCGATAGATAAGATAAATTAAGACCAATTGTTGGGAGAAAGATCGATAAACCATATTGAAATATTCTGTTGTCATTTGCTTTAGCCAGTTGGAATTTTCCGCTGAGAAAATGCTCGACAAACAAAGAGAAATCGTTGGTTAATTCAAAAAATGAATAGACTATATGTTCCTTGTGAAGATATTCGAAAATTAGATAGATAATTTCACAAGGTAAATTAGTCAGACAAACTTTTGACATTGAATGTAAGAATAATAAGAAAATATTGTCGGCTTATATGTTGAAGAATAAAGAACAAAGGTAAATACTTTTTTTCTTTAAATTCGAAACGACCGATAAGTTCGTGTCGTAACAAGAAGAATTAAAATGTAGATTTTTGTTAAAAAAAACTCGAAGGATATTAACTTTATTAGATGGAGGACATGATACGATAACTTCTATATGTTTTTGTTTCTTTTCTGCAAATTCTATTACGTTTTCGTCGATGATCATTATGTCCTTATGATGACTTTTTGTCACTCCGTCGCTCCGGTGATCTTCTCTTTAATCTCCCTATGTAATCATGTTTTTCTCGTAATTATTGTTGGTTCTCTTCAATAGACTTTCAACACATCATCTTTCATTTTCTCCCCACTCCTACTCATAATCACTTAGTCTTGAATTAACTATTAAATCAACATCTATCTAACAATGATCAAAAGGTTCGTATGTGTGAATATAATTTACCTTCAAGATAATTCACCTGGTTTTACAAAATATTAACTGCAATCCGATCGATTGTACTTTCGTAAAATAAATGATGATTTGGTCTTTTTCTCTTCGCAACGGGAATTTTCTATTATTTGGACGTTAGTCATTGAGCAATACAACTTTTACTCGTATAGATATCACTTTATGATTGTCACGTAAGGATTGAAAGTCTCTGTTTTACAGGAAAGATCATTCAAATTCATATGGGCGAATCATAGAAAACAGGCACATCGAAACGATTAACCATTACTATATTCGACGTTGCCTTCATGACTAATTGAATGCTCATTGGAAAGAGCTTGACTGAATATCGTTTCATTTGAGAATGATACGAACTCACAATAATAATTTTACTTCATTCATTCGAATAATATGAATTGCTGACTGCAACCGTGACAGTGTCTCTATTTGATTGAACATATAATAGCTTTGTAAGAGAATTGTAGTGACTAATAGATTTAGACTAGCATCGTCAACGGCATAGTCATTTTCTTGATCATTTTAAAAGAACAGAATGACGAAAAATTTCAACAATTCGAAATAAATGAATACAATACTTCGCGAGGTAACATCTTCGACGAAAAATGTTGATTTCATTTGATTACATTATACACGTTTTCATTGTTCAAATTGGCTGCCACTGAAATTCGTTTCTTTCTATATTCTGAACATAAATACGTCTCGATATTCTTTCAAATCGATTAATCAATCGAATTTGACAAATGGAAATGATATTAGAACACATCTTTTATAATACAAGCTTCATCTTGTTGAGCAGAATGGCACTGGTGCGTTACATGTATGTGTTTCTCAAAACAAGAGTTATCTTTCTACCCAGGACGATGGCTCCTGAACCAGGATTCCATGAATTTCCGACAAAATCTTAAAGAAAACTCGCCATTTCTGAGCGGAATCCGATGGAGAAATGCGGTAACCATTTCCAGCTACCGGGTTTGATATGTTCTTGTTGTATGGACTTATCTTGAGGAAAGTCCTATTGAAACGTATGATGAAAAAGCTTGACTGAAGGTATTTTTATCCTTTTGACTCAATTCAATCTTTTGCTTTTAAAAAATCGAATTGGAAGATTCTGAAAAAGAAGCAACTGATCGACTTCGAAAATTGAGCTTTCTGTGTATGTAATTGTTCTCTTCCATATATACATGATAAAGATTGAATATGAATGATCTTTCTTTCAATAGATGACAATGAAACGATGGATATGATAAGTAAGATCAATTCAATCGATATTACATCCATTTTTATAAGGTAATTTAAAAAATATTCATACAGTCTTATCATGTCATGTATTGTTCATTCGTTTTAGAGAAAAGAAAAGATCGAACGCATAAAAGTAAAAATTAATTTGATATTAAAATTATTCAATATATCTGTCAAACATATGACGTGCCTATCATCATATACTTGATCAAATTTTAACCTAAAATTAAAATAAAATAGTTTATATATAAAATATAGTTTTTTGAAGATTTGTGTATTAGACTATGCCTTAATTTCAAATCCAATTGTGAGGTCATTTTAATCTGCAATCTACTATTTGAAAAAACATGACATAATAAAAACTGCATGCATAAATTTGACAAAACCCCAGCTTATTGTTAAAGCAATATTTTTCATCTTAGTTTGCCTCATGACATGATGATTGCTTTTTATTACTAGTTGGTTTCCTCTTTTCAAACTAATATCCATGATTAAGACTTCAGGTTCTCATACTTTGCTTCACAAAGTGAACGAAATGATTGAATTCCCGTCCCGTCTTGTTTATCAGAAAACAATGCATCACGTTTTCTTTTGAAATATCTGCTTTAGGATAGCCATGGGTCAATTTTCATTGATTTACAAACGGCATTATACTCTTAATTTCTTTCAGATTAGAGAACAACTGATGCTAAAGCGATCAGAGCCTTTCTGAAAATTTCAATGAATCGTAAATATGTGCTCTATTCACAGTTATTAAAAAAAGCTTATTTACTACGCGATTTATAGAATCAAAAACAAATTTCTTCATGATGATTATAAAAAGTAAAGTATCAAAAAGCAAGAAATTTATTTTTGAATTTCACGCTACCATCCACGTGTATCAAACGAGTAAATAAAGACCAATATACCTCGCCGTACTTCAACTGGACTTTTGTTCTTTCATAGATCTACGTCAACTTTATACTCTTGTAATGCGCATCTATGGTAGATTTAACAACAACTAAAAGTATGGGAATATAACTTTGAAGTGCAGTTTTGTCTTATGTTTGGTAAAATAACTGAAGGATCACCGATTTTTGTCGTTCAGAAACATTTCATTTGAGTATTTTCCGACTTGTTTACAAAGGATATTGAGATCAATAAGACATAAGTACTTGATTGCTTTTGACAAGCTTTATTATTATGATCGTTGTCTTAGCGTCTTTTACGACTTGAGTATAAATACTTTGTCCTCTGAGGGAGTTTTATGATATTTTCTGTTCGATTTATCGTTAGCCCTTGAAAGATTTCTATGTCGACAGAGACGATATAAAAACATGCACAAGCCTCATTCGAAATAAACTTTTATCGCTGACAATCTTCACTTATGGCGAGCAGTGGCTGTGACGGACTCAAAGGTACTTGGGATTATGTACGTAGGGAATGATCTTCATTTTGTTCGGTTTATATGTGAATATTTGTATGAATAGGTCGATGGAGAGAACTTCGATGAATATATGAAAGAACTTGGAGTTGGAATGGCGACACGTTTAGCAGCGAAAGGAGTTAAACCACGTCTTGTTATAAGTGAAAACGGTGGTAAATGGTCTGTTCGATCGGAAAGTTCAATCAAAACAACTTCTTATGAATTCACACCTGGTGTTGAATTCAACGAAACAACACCCGATGGACGTGAAGTCAAAGTAGGAATCTATGCGCATTTCGATTCCGATCTATCTTTTGGTTTTCTAGTCAACTATCAACTTCGAAGGAAACAAATGGGTTCATACGTCAGTTGATAAAAACGGAAAGAAATCCGTCGTAACACGTTATGTTGATGACAAAGGTCAACAAATGATCGTAAGACACTTTTGACAGTCCTTTGCTTAGAGAAGATGTGATGTGTTTGTAGGACATGGAATGTGGTTCAGTCAAAGCCCGTCGTTGGTACAAACGTGCTTAACAAGCAAAAGTCTTCATCGTGTATCAAGAGACTTTTGTGAAAAACTTCTCTCTTTTATTTCTATATTTTTCTCATCATTAAAAATGTCTTTAGTCTTCTTAGATAATAAACATCCGACATCAGTTGCTACTTTTCCGATGTTGCCCTCATAATCTCAGTCAGCGTGCACAGATGTCCAACTCATGATGTTTTACTTGAATAATATCTGAACTGTTCAGGTACAAACACTTAGAAAACAAGCAAAGTACTTAAATATATTTAGTCTTCACTAAATTGACAATAAACAGATCCAAATCGAATAGATTAATCATAATATTCTCAGACTTCGAAGTCGAAGAGAAAACTCTGACATGTAAAACATCTTGTTTTATATTATAAACATAGCTTTGCCATAAATAAAAAGTAATTTTCTTCGACAAAAATAACAAAACATGATCACCAGAGCCCGTTGTCTTTCCGCGTACTCGTTTTTCTTTCTTTTTCTTGATGCAGTCGTCTGCAGAGTTGTCGATTCTTCTCAATTAGTCTAACTCCTAACATATATTTACTGTTGTTCTTCTCAACTAAGTAAACCTTATCGTTCCTCAATACTTTTTCTTCCCTTATCATCTTATCTTCTCTATTCTCATTCTTTATTTTCCCCATTTTTTTTTTATCTCAATAGACCTTGATCTTTGAGAATTATTCATGTGTGAAATGAAAATCACCAATGGCAAATTTCTCTTTAGATTCCGCATATTTACATTCATAATCTTCACTCAGAAAACCGACATGACGAGCGGTAGTATTCAAGCACTCAAAGGTACATGGGATTATGTACGTAAGAATCGATTTTTCACTCGGATCAATTGTTCATTGAAGATTTTCTGAGGTATTCTAGGTGGATAGCGAGAATTTTGATGAATTCATGAAAGAACTTGGCGTGGGTTGGGCGATACGTATGGCAGCTAAAGGCGTGAAACCACGCCTTGTCATTAGTGAAAATGATGGCAAATGGAATATTAAATCTGAGAGTACTTTCAAAACTGTTGCATATGATTTCACTCCTGATGTAGAATTTAACGAAACAACACCAGATGGACGTGAAGTGACAGTACGAATAATTTTGTGTCGGAATAACAGGTGTATATTATCATTTTCTTTTAGACAGTCATTCATTTTCATGGTGATAAATGGGTCAATGTTAGTATTGATAAAAATGGAAAAAAATCTGTGATAACACGTTATGTTGATGATAAAGGTCAACAAATGATCGTAAACTATTCGATTTGTTGCTATGGAAGATAATCTTTGATGTTTTTACTTTATAGGACATGGAATGTGGTTCAGTCAAAGCTCGACGTTGGTATAAACGTGCATCATAACTATTATCAAAACACCGTTTCTCTATAAATCTCGTATATTCAGTTGAAGTATACAACAAGTAGATATTTGTGATTCATTTAATCTTTTAATAAATGAAATCTAGATTTTTGCTTTATTAAAGTATTTCATTGTGTACGACCTGCCTTGAGCTATTTGAAAATTAGTAGAATTATGAAAAATTAATTATGTTTCAATGGAATAAAGCATCAATCTATAACTAATCTAGTTTTAAGATAATCTATCTTATTCACTCGAGATAGTCATGTAAGATTAACGATTCCTTCAAGATATTGAACATTGACATTGTTTGTGAATTATATAATTTTGTATGCCGTTATCTATTTACCTTTTTCTATATAGTTAGAGAATATCTGTCACATTCGAGGCACAATATACATTTGCACTACAGAAACATAACCAGGTCATGCGAAGTTCTCATTCGAGTCTTTGAAAAAAAACCAATTTCCTAGTTCATTTAGTATAAACTATTCTGGATATATTTTTAATTAGCCTGATTGACATTATGTGCTCATATTAACATCTACAAATAGCTTCTTTACTCTAGAAAACATCAGAGACAAATGACGGGTTGATTTTGTCATAGACAACATCAAACTTTGGGGATCTTTCTGCATCACCCATCATATCAGATAATCTACGATTGTTGAAAATAATGTTCGGAAGTTAAAAAAAATATAAATTTCTCTACTTGTTGAGTTCGTATAGACTTTCTAAAAGAAAATTCTTGCTATCATCGGTTGAATTTGAATCAATTTGATCTCTGTGCAAACGTTTCGCCTCTCTCATAAATGCAAAGCACTCATTATGAAGATAAACATCGTATAAACGAAAGAACACTTGTCGAAGTGATGTTTTATCATAGAAGATGATGCAAACCTCTTCATTATTTTCATTTAAACTCTATCTAGAGTCCATGTAATGATGATGACTGTATCGTATCTATGTGTTATTAACGATTTGCTTTCGTTCGTTCTTTTTTCGTTCGATGAAACAATACCAAGACATAGAACAATATCATTTTCAAGAGTAAATATGCGTGCAGTTGGTTTTAACCAATTGAAATGTTAGTTCTCTCGTTTTTACTCTTATCATACATCTCTTTCTTTCTCTTATTCCTTGTATATTTGGACAACCTTCGGCCTTTCTATAGAAAATTATTCACCGGGTTAACCAATATAAAAGCGTTGGCAAATTTTCGTTTAGGTTGCACTTTTCCTTTTGAATACCATTGTTTTTCGCTTAATTTAACAACATACAAATATGGCTGGTGTTGAAGCACTCAAAGGACGTTGGGATTATGTATGTATGACCATCATTTCTATGAAAAGATAACATTTATGCATATGTAGGTTGATGGAGAAAACTTCGATAACTACATGAAGGAAATCGGTGTTGGAATGGCGACACGTTTGGCAGCTAAAGGAATTAAACCACGTCTTATCATTAGTGAAGACGGTGGTAAATGGACTGTTCGATCAGAAAGTTCAATCAAAACTGTTTCATACGACTTTACACCTGGTGTTGAATTCAACGAAACAACACCCGATGGACGTGAAGTCAAAGTAGGAATCTATCTACAGTTCGATTCCGATCTATCTTTTGGTTTTCTAGTCAACTATCAACTTCGAAGGAGACAAATGGGTTCATACCTCAATCGATAAAGATGGAAAGAAATCCGTCGTAACACGTTATGTTGATGACAAAGGTCAACAAATGATCGTAAGACACTTTTGACAGTCCTTTGCTTAGAGAAGATGTGATGTGTTTGTAGGACATGGAATGTGGTTCAGTCAAAGCCCGTCGTTGGTACAAACGTGCGGAATAAATTATGAATTTTTTCTTAAGCAATGGACATTTCGTACATCCTTAGTTCTATTCTTTTCAAACTTTCATTTCTGTATTAATAAAATAAAAGTTGTATGAAAATCAAATGAAAGATTTGTCGTTTAATTCCAAGTTTAAATTGAAATCAATTTGAAAAATGTTTGGCAGTATGCGAATAGATAAAGATCTGCATAGTGCAATGTGAAAGTTGATAACAGTATGAAGTGTAACTTCTCTTTTAGCTATTTTTATCCTGTCCAGATTGTGTTGTTTTGAATGCAAGATAGAAGAGTTATTTGATAGACAAATAGAAAAACTCTCGTTATCTATTCAAGCAGATGTTAGTTAGAAAAATGTACAATCTGACAAAATTCAAGATATAAAACAAAAAAAATCACAGATAAAAACAGAGGTCTATTCATTGTCTACAAAGAATGCTCTATATTAATCTGCCGAAGACGAGCTTGGTCGTGAAGGTTCTCGTTGAATAACTTTTTCCATCGATGATTTTCTTCAATTAAACGTTCGTATTCAAATAGACTGTCGAGAGTTAGACGTTGTAGACGAATACGTTCTTTCGCCATGTTTTCCCATTGAATTTTCAATACGTCAATCATTCGTTCATGTTCAGTTTCTAAATGATTGGTTCGATCCGAATATTTCCATCGAAGTTGAGCTGCGTGTTCATCGACATTCAATGTCAACGTAGGAGAAATGAATTGATTCGAGGGTGTGTCGCGATTTTCATTGAAGGAGAGTTTCGCGGTTATAGGTCGAGCTCTAAACTAATTAGAAAAGTGAATTAATAAGAGAAAATGGAAGAAAACTGACTTTTGTTGGTATTGAGCCCGCCGACGCGCCAGTTGTTCATTATAACATTTTTCAATTTCGATCAACTGATTGTCGATCCAATGTGGTCGAGATAAACAACAAATATCGACTGGATCGTAGTCATCAAATTCAATCAAGACGTTTTTCTCATCGAATCGATCGAAACGTGTTATCTGACTGGATATTGTCTTGAGATAATCACGAATGAGATGATCTTTAGGTAAAATGTCTTGATGATTTTCGTGAGGAATGCGAAGAAGGATTTTATTTGTTGTTGTTTGAGATTCGTATGGATATCGACGTGTTATTGGTAAACAACGATGGACAAATAATTGATAATCATCGAGAAAATACGGACGATGTGACATGATTTCATCAATATTTTCTTGTTTGTCAAAAATGAGAATGATGAATGGTTGAGAGAGGATTACAGAAGAATTTCTCAATGTTCGATGTCTCAAATTCGCACTGAGAATCACACCGAATCGATTGAAGAGATTTATTATCTGTTTGACATTGCTTTTCGGTGGTAAATTATCAATCTGAATTTGATTTTGAAATTGTTCGAAAGATTGATCAATATACGCGGGCATGAAACACAAAAATCAATCTAAAATTTATTTTCAAATGCTAAGTTCTCCTTGCAGATCATCTTTTCATTCGATGTTCCAAACACTTCTTCATAGTTTATTGTATAATCATGGAGAATGAATTTTATCTTTTCTTCGCTGAGTTTGTAGAAGACCCAGACTCGACAAATGACAAAAAGCAAACTTTGAGGTTAGAGATTTATTTAATGATAATAAATAAGAATATTGAAATGAAAAGAGCATGAACAAACGGAATGAAATCACAGTTTCAATGCCCGAACATCATCACTACGAAAGTCCGTCCTAAAGATCGAAAATCATATTCGTAAATCTCCACCACCTATCGTGCCAATTCGATTTACCTTAAACTAAGAATCTGTCGCACTTCCGATGGTGTTAAACGCCAAGTAATTTTGCCCGAAGTTGGATCCCAATAGTCATAAATTTCTTTTAACTAAAATTAGAACCACGAGAAATAACTTGAAACGATATTTTTGTCTTAAAAAATTACTTTTTCCAATGTAAGTAATGTCGCTATTTGTGTAAGACGTTGGAATTTATCACGAATAGGAAGACTAGTGGCACTTGTCAAATATGTCATCAATGAGCGAACTTCTTTATCGAATTGAAGGCCGCCCAACTACAAATTTTGAAAGATTAGTCATGAATTCGAAGAGATCTGTGAACATACTCGATTGAATCCACATTTCGACAGCACTTTCTCCCACATTGTCACGATTTCATTCGTCGATGCACTGATCAGTCGATCGTAGTTACCTATCCTAAGTGCTCCCTAAAATAAATAATCGTTTTTGGAAAATCCGCACAACACGAATCAAATTACTTTGAACGAAACAAATAATTGATCGATTTGCAGAATAAAATTTTGTATAAATGGATCATTGGCATCAAATTGCGAATACTCATCCTGAAGAAACGATGTCAAATCGTGTCAATCAAACGTTTCACTGTCTTACTTCTGATAATTTATGATTCATGGTTATATAAGCATCTAATAATGTCTTAATTCGTGGTTTAATCGCACTTGAACATAACTGCTGACACGCGAATTCAATTAAATCTTTAAAACGATTGGCCAATGAATTAAATTCATTTAGACGAGTCTAAAAACGTCAAATTGAATTCTCTCAATCGAGAAAATCACCATTTCTTACATCGACTTTGGTTCGCGTCTCCTCATTCAATATCAAACTCCTTTTTACTTCTTCTTCTAGTAAATTTTTCAAAATATGTAAATTTTCATGTGTAATTTCCACGTTGTCAAATGTCGATAAAAATGTTTGTTTCAATTTTTCAATATCACTGCCTTGTAATTTACCTAATTGAATACTCGATTGAATAACTGTATATGCTTGCGATAGATCAAAGCCAGATGGATATCCGGACTTCAATCGAGTGTACAATTGCTCGCGATACACAGAATCAAGGATACTAACAGCATGTTTCAACATATTACATATACCATCGACATTTGAAGTCGACACGGAACGTCTAGAAGAAGAAAAAATGTCAATGTAATTGCTATCAAAATCTTAAGGTAACGTGGAATTGAATGTGTGATTATCTGAATTGAAACTTACTTGAGACACTTTCGTAGAATGAAGAACACATCATCAACCATATTCGGTGAATCGAGTAAAATAGCTTTGTAAATGCTTTCACGCATGAAATAATCTTCAATGAGAATATATTGCTGGATAAATGAATGTAAGATTCCATTTAGACCAGAATCATTAAGAAATCGTTCGATTTTTTTCAATTGTTCTACACATTCATTGGTTTTCGCGTTATCAACCAATGGAAAAGCTAATTCACAATCTGCATTCAATCGTCGACGAATAAAACGTATATAAACTTCGCAAGTTGCATTAATTAAAGTAATTTCAGTGAGGAAATCGTCTAATTCTCTAGGATCAGTTTTATCTGTTGTTGTTGAATCCATCGGCATTAGATTCGTCGACGTTCCTGCAAGTGTTCGTTGCATCGATGACGATGAATGTTGAATTCGTCGGTAGATCGTATCGAACTGACGTTCAGATTTGAAAGAACGAATTGCATTCTCCACTTGTTTATCACACGCAGACTGAAGCATCGAAATAAAGTTAAATAGTTTTCCCGGACCTAAATAAACGACAGTGTGAGTCTGAAGAAAACAATGGAGAAGATTTTTACCGTAGTAGCTCTCAACAATCGGTTGACAACTTTCGATCTTCGTCGCAATAAAATCTAAGAAAGTTTTCAAATGATCCGAATATCGGACTGGATATCGTTTGTGATTAAACGGTATTTGCAGAGTCGCTTGTAGAGTCTTTTCACCATATTCCTTGATCTCCGAACAAAGATGTTTACAAAATTTTTCCAATCCAACTTGATCAAGTTTCAATAAAGGAAAGATTTTAAAGAAACGCATAGCATCTGGTAAATAACCAGCTTCGACTGCTTGATCGAATTTGACATTTACGATTTCGATTAATTTCGCCTTTGCTTCTTCGAGAGAGAGCAGAGCATGATGAAGACTACTTCCTAAAACGAAAAATTTAGCCAGATGGAAACAAATAATCGATGGGCAACCTTCAGTTGGATCACTACTCAATTGAAGTGAAGCTGGGTCGATATTCAAATATCGGTGAATATGAGCAGCAGCCTAAATAATTGAAATGATTGTGTGCTGGTGTTTTAGGCAAATGTAGACTAACTTGCTCGTATTCTTCGAATTCTAAAGCCTTCTTCACACCATCTGTGCATTTTTTCAGATCGATGATATCATTTGCTCGTCGAAGACAAGCCACAACGTGTCTCTAGAAGATTTCACAATGGGAATCGAATCCTGCGAATGAAAGTGTCTAACTAACCTTTGTTACGTCTAATTCTCGAACTTTTTTACTAATATTATCTGCCAATGCTGCGGTAAATGTAATTGTGTTCGATAGATTATGTGCATCTTGTGTGATGATTTGTAATGCTGGTCTAAAATCATCAGATTTTCGGCAAAACTTCTTGATGATTAGTTATACAAACGTGAGATTTTTAATCGTAGTTATTTGCTTTTCAGTCGAATCTTGATTTGAGAGTAAAACGGATAGTTCATCATTTAGAACTTCCTTTAATCGAATAAAAATGTGGATTTTTTCAAGAAAACTAGAATGCTCTTACTTCACGTATGTTCAGTGTTTCTAATTCTTTTTCTAATTGATTTAAATCTGTCAACATTTTGATGATTTGAACAAAAAGAAATGAAATGACACGTTTCACATTTTTTTAGATGTATATTACATTCTATCGCTTTGTTCATTGGTCAGATTTGATCCAATGGCAAGACGTGATTAGTTTGATTGGCTTTCATTGGTAAAGTTTCACATCTCTTTTATTTATCGTAAACAAAATCATCTTTCGCAATGCTTCGGACGACGTTTCGACACCTTTCTACCAAAACCAATCCATCCCGAACTGTTGCTGTTGTTCTCAGTGGCTGTGGAGTCTACGATGGAAGTGAAATTCATGAAGCATCAGCTTGTTTAGTCCACCTAAGTCGTCACAATGCCTCGGTCCAAATCTTCGCACCGGACATTGCACAAAAACATGTGATCAATCATTTAACCGGTGAACCAATGCCTGAAACTCGAAATGTTCTTGCCGAAAGTGCTCGAATTGCACGCGGTGGACAGAATATCTCTTCACTAGATAAACTTCAAGTTAATCAATTTCAAGCTATTATCCTTCCTGGTGGTTTTGGTGCTGCGAAGAATCTGTCGACATTCGCTTTCGATGGAGAGAAAATGACCGTCAACGAGCAATTAGAAAAAGTCTTAAAAGATTTTTACCGTAGTGGGAAGCCGATTGGTATGTGTTGTATTTCACCAGTCATCGCCGCCAAATTGATCCCCGGTGCTCAGTTAACGTTGGGTAAAATGAAGAATTTGAGCGATAACGAAGCGAAAAATGTTTTTCCGTACTCGGGTGCTGTGATGAGTGCGAGACAAATGGGTGCGGATACGAAAGAATGTGACGTGAACGAAGTTTGCGTGGACAAACAACATCGTCTTGTTACAACACCAGCATTTATGAAAAATGCGGCATTTCATGAAATATTCGATGGCATCGGACTTATGATTGAAAAAGTTGTCCAGATGATCGAACAGAAATGAGAAGAACTCATTGAAAAAGAAAGAAAACTCATTTAGATAGATATGGATTACGCGAACTAGTGGTTATATTTTAATGAATTTTAGATCATCATCGATTTGTCTAATTATGAGTTCGTCGCCGTCAAACACTGGAATGAATTCGTCAGCATCATCGCGAAATGCCCCGAAATTAACAGCAACGTCATCAGAACAAATATCAATAGCGTTTATTAAACGAGCTCTTACCCCAAAAGCCACATGGACGCATAAGGTAAATCAAGAAATCCTTTCTTTTCCATCGAAATAGTTCGAATTTGATTTTCAGGAAGAATTTCTTGATGCTGTCTATTGGCTTCGGCAAGTACTAAGTATAATTATTGGTGTTATTCTCGGCATCTTATCTGTTAAAGGTTTTATGGGTATACTTGCGTAAGTACATTGAAATTAATCGACCATGCAACAAATTCATCCAATATTTCTCTTAGATTTGGAGTAGTCAGTTCATTGATTGTTTTTATCTACGCAACAAACATTCAAAATGTTGATCCGGAAGAGTATGGCGGTATCGCTGAGATAATCAAAGAAGGTTTTATGACAGCGTTTGCAACATTTCTAGTATGAACATTTTCATTTTGTCTCTTTTCCATCAATGATTGGCTTCTATTTATCTTTAGGTTTCATGGGTTGTACTTTATTCAACATTTTACACTGGAAATTCATCCATTCCACCCATATAGTCATTCGAATCTTTTTTCTTATTGTTTCGTTTCATAGATTTTTGTTGTTGTTCTCTAATCGAAAGAAAAACAAATTCTACTTTCGCGTTTCTGTTTCAGATTAATAAGAAATGGCGACAAAGAAGCGGAATAAAGCATTCATGGGCATGTCTGCACCATTAGGCTATGTCCCGGGTCTTGGTCGAGGTGCAACAGGCTTTACGACACGGTCAGATATTGGTCCAGCACGAGAAACAGGTGATATCAGTGATGAACGACATGCACCACCGAATAAACGTCGAGACGAAGAAAACGATGATGACGATACAGATTTAAATGATTCAAATTTTGACGAAGAATTCGGCTACGGTGGAAGTTTATTCAAGGTAAATGAAACAGGAAGGAGTTTTCATACAGAATAATAAATCTTCCTTGGTTTAGAACGATCTGTATGAAAAAGACGATGAAGAAGCTGATAAGATCTATGAGTCGATCGATAAACGCATGGATGAAAAGCGAAAAGAACGAAGGTATGAAGCAAAGATCTTCGTATAAAACAGTCTGTATATACTTCTCTTGTTTATAGAGAACGCCGATATCAAGAAGAAAAGGAAAAGTATCGCCAAGAGCGACCGAAGCTTCAACAACTATTCAGTGATGTCAAACGTAAATTAGAAGACGTAACAGAAGAAGAATGGATGAGTCTGCCCGAAGTTGGCGATGCTAGAAATAAACGTCAACGAAATCCCAGAGAAGAAAAGTAATTTCATCGCTAGCAACAAAGCACTGATTCATACGTAAAACTCGTTTTCTTCTTTAGATACACACCTGTACCTGATTCTGTTCTTGCCAAAGCTGTTTCAGCCAACGAACAAACCACTACAATCGACTCACGAGAACAGAGGTATGGTGGATTCGCCACACCAGTGGGAATGTCTACACCATCCGAAGAAATTGAGATGGTTAAAATCGGTCAAGCACGAAGTACACTTATCAATGTCAAACTAAAACAAGTAAGATGACCAAAAACCTTTCCACGAAACTTCATCCGAACCTTTTCAGGTCGCCGATAGTGTTACTGGTCAGACAGTTGTCGATCCAAAAGGTTATTTAACCGATTTGCAATCGATGTTACCATCCTATGGTGGCGATATCAATGATGTGAAAAAAGCTCGACTATTATTAAAAAGCGTCCGAGAAACAAATCCATCTCATCCACCAGCATGGATCGCGTCGGCACGTTTAGAAGAAGTCGTTGGTAAACTTCAAGCGGCACGAAATTTAATTATGCGTGGAACAGATCATTGTCCAAAAAATGAAGATATCTGGTTAGAAGCTGCACGTTTAATGCCGCTTGATTTAGCACGTGGTGTTGTCACACATGCTGTCAGACAATTACCACAATCGGTTAAAATCTGGGTGAAAGCTGCTGATTTAGAACAAGAACCCAAAGCGAAAAAACAAGTGTTACGACATGCACTCGAACAAGTACCAAATTCTGTTCGATTATGGAAAGCAGCCGTCGAATTAGAAGATGAAGAAGATGCAAGAATCATGCTCAGTAGAGCCGTTGAATGCTGTCCAACATCAGTTGACGTAAGTCTAAATTTCACTTATTTCACGGAGATTGAACGAAGCGTATTTCGGTGAAATTCTGTACCCGTATATATAGCCTTGAACTTACTCACCTTGACTAGTGCATAATCCGCAGTGATACATATTCGAATAGTGATTTATGTCGTGTGATTGTAGTTTCTGACATGAAAATCTTGTATATATGACTGTTTTAGTTATGGTTAGCACTCGCTCGTTTGGAAACGTATGAAAATGCACGACGTGTGCTCAACAAAGCTCGTGAGCATATTCCAACTGATCGACAAATCTGGATTATGGCTACTAAACTCGAAGAAGCAAATGGAAACAATGCAATGGTTGATCGTTTGATTGAGAGAGGTTCGTTTTCTTCGAAATTTTCCTCAGATTTTATATTTGTTTTTCTTTTAGCACTGGCTTCTTTAACTGCAAATATGGTCGAAATCAATCGTGAGCATTGGATCAAAGATGCGGTTGAGTGCGAAAAAGCTGGTTCAGTTCACACAGCTCAAGCATTGATTCGTAATGTCATCGGCATTAGTGTTGAAGAAGAAGATCAATTAGCAACATGGATGGAAGATGCTCAATCTTGTCAAAACGAAGGCGCCTATGAATGTGCACGTGTGATCTATGCACATGCACGTAAATGTCATCCCACACAGACAAGCTTGTGGCTAGACGCAGCCGATTTCGAAAAGAAACATGGCACACGCGAACAATATGAAGAACTTTTGACAGCTGCAGTTGCTAATTGTCCAAAAGCGGAAGTTTTATGGTTAATGTTAGCTAAGAGTCAATGGTTGGCCGGAAATATTCCATTATCTCGAGCAACTTTGTCCGCTGGATTTAAAGTAAGACAAACAGTTTCCTCCGATTCGACTAGAACATACTTTTGTAGGCAAATCCAAATTCCGAAGAAATTTGGCTTGCAGCCGTTAAACTCGAATCGGAAAATAACGAATATGACAAAGCTATCAGTTTGTTGAAAAACGCCCGACGGTAAGTACATTCGATTGTTTTTTCGCATTCAAAAGTTTTGTCTTTAGTAATGCTCCCACTGCTCGTGTTTATATGAAATCAGTTCGTTTAAATTGGTGTTTAAATGATATTTCTGACGCCAAAACATTGTTAGATGAAGCATTGAAATCCTATGGAGATTTTCCGAAACTATGGATGATGAAAGGACAAATCTTAGCCCAACAAGGTCCTGCCAGTTTTGAAGCGGCTCGCGAAGCTTACATGGAAGGGATCAAACGATGTCCAACAAGTATACCACTATGGCTACTTTTAGTTCAGTTAGAATTAGATCGCGGACAATTGATCAAAGCTCGAGCTAATTTAGAAAAAGCTCGTTTAAGAAATCCAGCAACACCGGAACTTTGGTTGGCCAGTGTTCGATTAGAAGTCACTGCCGGAAATGTTCAACAAGCAAAAGTTATGTTGGCTCGAGGTATGTTTTCTATTAACTTTTCTCGTAAAGACGATTCTAATGCGGTGTATTGGTTTTTAGGTATGCAGGAGTGTCCAACAGCAGGTACTCTTTGGGCAGAAGCGATATTCATGGAGAATCGTCCACAACGAAAGTCAAAAAGTGTTGATGCTTTGAAAAAATGCGAACATGACCCATATGTTCTGACCGCCGTTTCGAAATTGTTCTGGTCCGAACGTCGCATTGACAAGGCACGCGAATGGTTTACTCGGGCGATTAAACTCGAAACAGATATCGGTGATTGTTGGGCTGCATTTTATAAATTCGAATTAATGCATGGAACTGAACAGCAACAAGCAGATGTGAAAAAAAAATGTATTAGTTTCGAACCGCGACATGGAGAATTATGGTGTCGAATTGCTAAAGATGTGCGAAATTGGAAATTGAAAGCAGGAGAGATTCTCGAATTATGTGCAGCGCAAATCTCTGTACCTGAGTAAGCTAGTGTTTATTATTGTATGTTTGTGCTTTGTGTATAACGAAAAATAAACGAGAAAATCATGCTCGAATGAATTTTTCCCGATGATAGCTATCGACAACAATAAAGAATTCATTTCAACCAATTAGAAACTTTTCCATGCTCGAAAAAATCAAATTTATAAATTCTTTTATCATCATAAATGTCCAAAACTTGTCAATCCTCACCCACATCAAGTACATTCTTATCAACTCTCAATATTTTCGTCGAATTATTCCAAAATAGTCTTAGTTTCACTGTGCAATATAGAAATAGTTTACAAGCGATATCGTCCTTGTATGTCAGGTCATATGGCCTAAAATCTCGAATATTCGCATGATTAATCTGATCGAATCATTCAAACATTGATCATTTTTATCTTTCATCATTCGCCCAAAATGAAAATTTCGGTGATTTTGTTTTCGTTCAGGTTCATTTCTTTGTTGTATTTCTAAATCACCTTTCGATCAGTTCAAAGAATAGTTACAAGGAAAAGAAGAGGTCAATCGCATGCGCGCATATACACACCCACACAAACAAACAAAAGATGACAGAAAAAGAACAAAAAATGAACGAGAATTCGACTCCTTTTACAATGATAATCTGCCTAATAGTAAAGTTCGGTGGTATTAGAGAATTCTGATGTATTTAACCAGATTTGAAGAGTAAGATAGCAACTTGGCCCAAGTAGAAGTATATGAAATGTTTTGTTTCATGTGTAACATAGGAGCCAAAGTTACGACCGACAATGCTGTAAGAAAAAAAAAAGGAAATTTGTGAACATTTTAAAAGAGTTTTCAATTGACTTACCAATGCCATGTTGGATTGTATTTTTTATCGAATTCTTTCTTGATATAAGCGGCGATATCTTTTTCGATATTGTATTTTTCAAGTGCTTGAGTTGCAATATCAACTAAAGCGAAGAAAACACGATTATCGGATCGTAATTAAATAGAGAAGTACACAAACCTGCATCTTGTTGCATGTCTTCTGACATATCAGCATTTTTAATAACAGCTTTGCGATCAGTCATGGCTAAAGTTTCTATTTAACAAGAAAAAAAGGACAAATCTTGTTATGATGATCAATGAACATTGATAAATGTTAACTCACATTGAAATTATGAAGACGATGAGTGAAGCACGAATGAATGGACGCTCTATTTATATAAGTAGCGGTGAGAGAACGAGAGAGAGAGAAACCTAATATCTTTTCGTACAATCGTATGTGCTCGCAGCGAGAAAGAGAGAAGAATAGACGAACAACCTTTTAAACAACAAGCGATGGAATAGCTTTGAGTATATGCTATTGAGGCAATGGTTGCTAGGCAATGCAACCGTGTTCTTGCTATAGGGAAGCGCGAACAAACGAAAGCGTGTGCGACAGTAACGAGTAGATGGCGACACATGTTGAAAGAAATACGTGTTAAAAATATCAAGTGATGATTATTCATCAAATGCTATGTTAACATTAGCAAAGATCAAGAGCAATGTGTCGAGAGAAGAAAGAAAACGAAATGGATTGTAAAAGAAGAAAGTATTGTTGAGTGCAATGAGATTTACTCGACAAAAATAGTTTTTTTTTGTTGCTCGTGCTAGATGAATTAATGAACATCTGCTGTAAAAACATGAAATGACATGGTTCATCTCATTTCTTTTCTTTTCATTGAGAAGAAAGTTGTTACGATTATTCATTTCGTAAATTTTCAAAACCATCGCGAAAACAAAGATTTTACTCGTATGTTTTTCTCTTTTGTCGTTTCATACAAATCATTGTCGACATTTCAATTGCCGAACAGCTAACTTAATCAATCGAATCAATGTCTGTCGAAAAACAGTCCCATTAAGCGTATAAATATAAAATGCCATTCCATTACCAATGTATGTCAACGAAAAATTGAGATTGACAATAAAATTCTCGATTGCAAGACGTAATGGACTTTTTTGAACGTCAATGGTAAATGTTAAGTAGAACTGGTGCATTGCTTGTGGGATCGAACAAACTGTTAGAAGACAAACTTGGAAAAGCAGCATTCGAGTTAGAGAACTTTCGCTACGTCGAACAAGACTTCGTGGAGTTCGACTGGTATGAGAAATTGTGGAAATACGAGCTACAAATGGTTCAATAGCTCGTCGAATTTGATTAATGTTTCGAATGGTTAAAGATCCGAAAATAAGCATAAGAATTGATGGAATTGCTACAGTTGAAGTTGAATAGAAAATATCATTGAATATACGACAATTATATGTTTTACCATAACATTTCACTGGTGCGGTTGTCAAATTGGCTTCGTAACAAAAGAACCCTTCGAACCAGAGAATGAACGATAAAGAATAAATGATAAGGATACTTCTATAAGCAATTTGACATGAACTAAAACGACGTTGATAAACTTTTCTATTGCTTGAACACCATCGATCGAAAGCGGCGAAGACAATCAACCAAGCCGATGTTGTTCGAAACGAATAAAGAAAAAACAGACGAAATTTACAAAACCAGGAGTTTGTGTTGGTTGGATCTGTTCCTATCAATCCACTGATTATACGTGACGGAAGGCCAACGAGGAGAATTCCGAGACTAAATGCAGACGAAGCCAGAAAGTAGACGACGCATGGATTTCCACGTAGAACTGGTTGAGAGAGTACAACGAGATTCAACAAACTTCCAATTATACCGAAAAGAAAAATGAATAATGTTAAATAACGATTGATTTGGGAGGATACATTATTGATGATGTTTATGCGATATTCATCGGTTAAGTTAGACATTATTCTACAAACTGACAAATGAAATTCCCTTCTTTTGTTTGGAAGAGAGATTGCTATCCGGATTGTGCGTGTTACTCTTAATAATAATGAACTTTTAGAACTTTTAGAAAAACACAACAATTCAGCGACGCTGTTCATCTGACACACACAGAGTTCGAAAACATCTAAGATAATTGCTAGTAATAATCATACAACATTTACATCAATGTATCGAGGATATAGAAATCGTAAGGAGGTGAATCTTATTCTTGAATGAATATATAAAACTTCTATTGAAAACAATATGTCATTTAATTTGAAAAATTAATCATATCATGACATATATATATAACGAAACAAAGTAGAGTTTTCTGCGATAGTAATTGACATCTTTTTAAACAATTTATATTTATGGAAATTCTTTTCGATGTAATTCACGTATGAAATAAAGAAGTGAAATTTTTTTTCCAATATTGAATTTCATCATAATGATGATAAGAAAGGTAGATATAAACACACAACGAATTTATTCTTCTTCTTACAATGCGAAAATGACATCTTTGTAATATCAGCATAGAATTGACTCAGTAAAATTTAAAACAATGATAAATGTTTGCATAATTATCCATCTTCGTCTATATATATATATAATTATATGAAGAGCGTTCTGTTTGTTATGCATTCAGTTCCTGTGATAACTAGGATCATTCAACTTTCCGTGTTCAGTAGTTATGTCTAAAGGAAGATCGATCTGGGATTGGTATCAGATGGTCATTCTCATCCTTCTCTCAATCAACTTTGATATTTAAACTAAAATACAGTTCTTAATTAGTTTTGGAAACTTAATTATTTACTACGTATTATATTGTAGAAATGTTATTATTTAACATTTATTAACATTTCTAGATAGTCTTCACGGGTTTAACACCTAGCAAGGAGGAGATGATGCGTAAATATCCAAATAAAGGAAAAGTCGATGAATTTTATTTCGCCTGTAGAGAAGGAAATTTAGATTATGTCAAAGAAACACTACCTGCAATGACACGGGAAGAGTTCAATCAACTACAACCAAAAGGAAGCACCTATCTTCATGTTGCTTCTCATACAGAACGCACTGGAATCGTTCGACTTTTATTACAGCATGGTTGCGTTAGATCCAAGTTGAATTTATATGGATTGACTCCTTATAATGAAGCATGGTCGGAAGAAATCAAAGTCTTATTTCATCGTCCGAGAGATGAATGTGGCGGTTGTCGATTCGTTGACAATGATATTGATGAAACATTTCAGCTTACGTCTTCACTAGCAGTTACTGTTGATTCTCCAAGCATGACAACCATTATGAATGAAGATGATGAACAAATAAATGAAATAGATGGCGATGCCGATTTTGTACTTAATGAGTGAATTGAAGCATTCAATAGTTTCGACAAGTATTCGGCTCTCATGGTCAGTACAATTTTCAAATCTAATCTATTTTACCCTGACACTATACACTCATCAGAGCTCATTCTACACTTCATTACGAGATGATAGGAAATCTGCAGCATTTACAACTCTATTGTATAGACATTTATCTCAAATACGTCGAAAATTTTATAAAGGTATATCTTATTGTGGAATGAAATTACATACGAAAGAATTATCTGCATATTTCTCACTGTTCATACACACTGGTTTCGTATTAATGAACACAAAGTTTCAATCAAGCTCAAAGAATAAAGAAGTGACTGAATTATACTTCAATCCACCCGACATTCCAGACGATTGAAATATACGAGAATACATGGTATTAATCGAATATAATTTTCTTGAACCATGTAAATCTGCAATCGATTTGGCTCCTATCAAAGAAACTAATTTATTAGCATACCCGTACGAAGAAGAAGTATTCATCTTACCACATACATCATTCGAATTATTCGAAATGAAGTATGATATTAAGCCGTGTAGAAAGAAAGGTATGAAGACTCTGAGAGAATTTGTCAATAACTTCGATCATTAGTTTATGACTTTTGAAAATTTACAAGTTATAAACAAAAGGAGATCAGCTACTTCTTTGAACTTAACTAAAACTAACGTAATCTTTCATTTTTGTAAAATTTTACTTTCATTTCTTCTTTACATTATACAAGAAAGTGTTCATTTACAATAATATTGTATTTTCCGAAAGAGAAAACAATGGTGCTGTTAATTCGACAAAGTATTGATATTTATTTTAATTTTGACTTGTTGATTCAATTATACTATAAATAAAGTTATTTCTTTATCTTTATTTTCTGATTTATTTAAAAAAAAATTCATTTACAAAATCAGTAATACAATATAACAATATTGATTAGATTTCAATATAATTCGAAATAAATGAATAAGAAGAATGTTGTAAACACCTATGTCAATTTAAAAGCGATGAAACTTTTTTCTACTATTCTCTTTATTGCTTTTATATTTACGTTTTTTTTATTGGTTATGTTGAATAACAAATTCGACTTACCAATTATATCGAATGTACAAAATGTGAAAGTGAAAATATAGCCAGTAATTTGTGGTTATGTAGTTGCCGGGCAGTATGATAGAGATGGTCAAATTTTCTCTTCAGATATATACATTTTGTATGATGAAATCTTTAATCGAGATTAAGAAATAGTTGTATATCAATGTCTCGGAAACGAAAGTGTGAAAAATTTAATAAAGAATAAGGAGATTAGAAAATGATCTGGTGAACATGGTTATGGATTTCATACATATACTTGGAAAAAATAATCATTCTCATTTAACTAATCTAAAAGATATGATTTAACTTATAGTTATTTTCTCTGTATAATATGTTCCATCTTGTTTCATCGTTGATTGAAATCAAGGATGAAATTTTGAAATCAGTTTTAGGTAAATTTGCTGTTTTAAGTACAATTATTGATCGAATAATTATGTACATAGATTGTCATAATGTATTTTTATTATTTGAAGACGAAACTTTTTCAATTGAGGAAAGCATTTTCAACTAGCTCGTCAGAACTAGTTTCTATTCTTTTTGTATATAATACTCATAGATAATGATAAAAAAAAAGAATTCAATGAAGATCAACACATCATTCAAATGTACAATCAAAGTACGAAATATATATTTAAGTAAAATGATATGTTTTTGTTAGAGTAAAATTAGAATACAGATAATATGATTTTGAGGATGAGAACGTACTTAATTATTAATTACAGGAAATCGCGTCTGGTTAGCGTCAGATATTCAGACATGTTGTAACTTATAAAATATGTCGATCAATTTCAAATATGGTTTATCGTAATTGAGAGACAAGTATTTTGATTATCTCAAGATAATATGAAAAGATTCAGTCCGAAGTCGTCTGTATTATTCAACTATGTTACAATAAAACTTCAGAAATCTTAATTATTGTAAAATATTGGAATTTTTTTGTAAACATTTTGTTCTCATTTCTCTACAATAGTCGAGTATGAGTTATGAAAGATTATACACAACACAGGATCATTCTCACCTACTGAAACCCACAACCATAAAACAAAAGTATAGTTAGATTTTCTCCTTTCATTCCTGATTCGAAAACTGTCGAGAAAAAAGAAGTTGAATTACATTTTTAGAAAATTTTCTTCTCAAATGTTCACAATTGAAATAAAAAATAAACAGAACATCTATGTTCCTAATTTAAATAAAAAATGACGCGAAACCAAAAACCAATGTCACATTCATAAGTGAATTTCCCGATAAATAATCGAATTGCACAGATAACAATTGAACATTCATTGAAATTCAATTAAAATCATCATCATCATCGTCTTCGATATCTTCTGCTTTGATATCTTCTTCCACTTCGTCTGCTTCTGTCGAATCCCATTCAGATGCGTGCTGATCGCCTCCCTCAGGTTGTTCAAAGTCGACAGCAACATCGTAAACATAGTCTTTCGACGACGGATCGACGTAGTTCTTTTTGAAAGTTTCATCCATGATCAATTTTTTGTGTTTTAATTCATCATCATCGAGTTTATTGAGATCTTCATCACTATCTATTTCGTCGAATTGCCGTAGTTTCTTTTCAATTTCATTTTTTGATATATTCGATGTTAAACCTTCTTTTAAAACGAATAGAAGTCGTTCGATTCGTCGTAAAGGAATATGTCGGAAGAGATTTCGACTTTTCGTTCTTTTGTCATCATGAAGTTCTTGGGCATAATCATTAATCTTCGTAGTTTTTGTAAAATCATCCAATTGAACGGTACGACGACGAAATTTACCTGTCGATGTGTCCGTATAGAACAGAAAGATTGTCGGCGGTTTGAATCTCACGCCCATTTTTTGCATTTGAATCGATGTTGAAGATGTCATAGTTCAGTGTTAGTTAAAATTTCAAAAATACTTTGAAAAGATTCTTTTTTTTGTACAACCATGCAATGCGCGGTTACTCATTCGATACCTCTCTTTCTTTTCTATTGACATATTTTACTTCCTGCAGAATGTCTTGTTCGAGAAATGCCTGACATCTGTCGATGAAAGCTATTGAAATGTTTTTCCATCGTGATTAGAGAATCTAGTCGATGGAATTTTATTAAATAAAAAGAATCACAAGTCATGCGAGACTATCTGTCGAAAAAAAGACTAAATGCGCGAATAATAAGAGAATAAAAGAATCATTTGTCGATTAGTTTTGATAGATTGATTGTTAATCGGTGAAGTTCTTGTGTGAATCTCAATTGTGTTTTGTCGATTTCTTCGCGAATTTCATTCACTTTATGTAACATTTTTTCATTATAAACTTCCTGTGCATTTTCTTTGTGTTGCACCAGATTCGACTCGATTTCATTCGATTTCTTCACTGTAACATATCCCGTTCGACATTGAATCAAATGAGTTGCGCGATTCGGAATCTGAACAGGTTTGACACGTATCGATAACTTGGAAACATCAAGTTTGAGTTCAGCTAATAGTCCTGGTAGACGGCGACCAAGTGTCAACATAAATTTCGCCGATGCTGAACAAATCGAACCGAATTTCGATTGAAAACTCAACACTACACAAAACAATATGGAGAAATTCAGAACCCGGAGAAACTTTCGTACCTGTTCGAATTCTCGAACGTAGATTCTCTCGTTTCGCATTCAGTTGAAAATCATTGACATCGCTGACTGCTAAGCCGATCTAAAAACTTGAGCTTGAGAATCGGGAGAAAAGCTTAGCTAATCTTACCAGAATGTTCATCACACAAATGTGTACAACGAACACGAATGTGGAGAAAATCACTTTCGCCATTGTCGTTCCTCTAACCGGTTCACCTTCGGGATAAAACAGATTTTCGAAATTGAATTCTCCCGTTAGCATCGCAATCATTCGTGGTATCGATGTTAATACCGTTTGAAACGATGGATTCTGCGTCAATAACATATGAAAAGCAAATAAATATCCAATCCAGATGAACACGTAAATGAAACAAAACTTCAGGAATGTTAAGAAGATTGTTATGAATAGAAGACCGTATTTGCCGAGTTTGAGAGAATTAACAAAAACCAGTAAAAGAACTGTCCAGACCGAAGCCACGCCTAATGCACCGAAATCATATTGATATTTACAACGAATACTGGAATATCTCGTACAATTATTCAAATCTAAATGAGAAGAAACGATTAGGCGAGAGTTTTATCATTGATTCGAGAAGTTTTACCCATTGCAAAAATAATTCCACATGTGTACGCTAAGATTTCCAAAAGATTAAGGAAAAATCCTCGGAAATATCGTTCGCGTTGAATGACAATCTGAATAAACTCTTTCAGTAACGCCGCACATGAACATATAAGCAATATAAATCGAAAGATATACAAAATAAACGTTCCATGATGAGAATAATCAAAATGATGTGTTGTATTCGTTAGCGTATTGCACATATCTAAACAAGTATCGTTTTCGAATTCTACATAAGCTCGATCGTAATATTTCGGTGTCCGAGTAACCAGGGTCACTCCGGTATACAAAGCCACATAAAGTGCTTGAATAAGAAGAATGAATAAGTAAAGTAAATTGCCGAATAAATCCGCTTTGCTGTCGACTGTTGTTATCACAAGTGGGTGATCGTAAACAGGCGCGTAATCACATTCAGATATTAGGTTAAGTGGGTGTTCCTTTGCCCATTGGGTGGGTGTGAATTTGTAGTTTTTGTTTGGTGAGGTATCGGGAGTCGGAGTGGAACTTTTTCGACCGAATACACAACGAGAGGTTCTTGGTTTCGAATAAAGACAATCGTCGATAACGGAAAGATCCATTCCGTCATTGTCAAGAAATTGATCGAGAAGATTGGGCACAAACGGGACTAATGTTGGAACTTTCAACATACGTTGAATCTATTAGAGAGAAAAAAAATAGTCAATCGTAATTGGAGATGAAAAATCTTTGAGCTTACTGGCATTTGGTCGAATTGTTCGTGTTTAAATGGCAATGAATAACGTGTTAGAAATCGTTTGTACTCTTCATGTAATAAAGGTTCGTGTGTAAGAACATTACTACTTCGGACGACTGCGATATGTTCATCAACATTAGCTTTCTTTTCGATCGTCTTTGGTACAGCGACACTGACAAAAACTTTGACGAAATCATTTTTCTTCAAAAGGATTGCGTATTCCAAAGCATTGTATTGACGTCGTGCAACAACCATATCTGCTGATGGATGTACTGGTTCTGTAAAAGCCACATCGATGAGTATAGAAATGATCACGCGAAATCGTCGGAGATCACTAACGAGATAGTTGATAATATCAATTTGATCATTATCAATACAAATCTTAATTCCATCTGATGTGATTAAATTCGATAGTTGAACACGTCGCAATAACCATTTTGAATCAAATATTTGTTTCAGACATTTTATACTACCCTTGTAACAAGCTGAATAAAGCATGAATTCTCCTTATTCTCCCAGATTGATTTTCAACTCACCAATAGAAAATGGTGTCTGTCCGTCGGTGTTTGGTTCGACTAGATTTTGCAATGCCTACCGTTGAAAAAATGAAAATACTATCCAGTTCAACACAATAAACGTACTTGAACTCGAACTGATTGATTCGAACTCAATCGTCGTAATAAATTCAGTGTACTTGCAAGTAGAACATCATTCTTATTTTCACAACAATAGTGAAAAACACTGGATCTTCTATAGTCAGTTGTGATTAGCGAATGAGGATCCGCTTCCATCAATAATTGTGCTTAAAAGAAATCGAATTCGAACATTCATTCGAGTGTCGTAAATAGACCTCTACCTGTCAATGTGCTACCTGCATGAATAGCACACAGTAATGGGATTTGTCCATTGGAGTTCGTGATCGAAGTCATCGATGTGCTCTCTCCGATTAAAACACGAATAACATCTTCGTGGCCCGGTAATTTTGCTGCAATATGTACTACAATGATATACATGCAGATACATAAACAGTCGACGTTTTGAAAAAAAAATTTTACATAAAGTTTGACCAGTAACTGGCACTGTATCTTGATCATCGTCTTGATCGTTATTTGAAAGAGAAATAAAGATCGGCTGAGGTACAACGGGCAACGTGGCGGGTATTTCATGGAGAACAGGCTCCGCAACCTCCAGATCAGCTCGTTGGAACAAATTTTCGTCTTCCTCGATCGTCCTTAATGATGTTCCAACCGTCGTTCGACGTGGATGAAAATCCGAATCATTAATCTGTTGATTGTACTGACCTGTTTGTCGGCGATTACGAAGGCCTAATTGTAATGCACGCACCGTACGCCAAAAGCGTGATACACGTTGTGGAGTTCGTTCGATGCGCGTTTGGTGAAATGATGAACTATCGTCATCTTGAGATAAATAATGATTATGAGTTTGCTTTTGTTGATTTGCTATAGCTGTATTTCGAAGACGACGACATTGCCGGTATTCATCGCCGGAACTCGAGTAAATGGAGTTTAATGATGAGGAAATAGCCAATGATTTTTCTTTGTTATTCAGATTGTTTGCGAATAGTGTTGAAAAACTATTCGATGCTGTTGAGGATAAATTCGATAATGGTAACGTGTACAGCTGATTACTATTCGAATTAATCGATGCGAAAGCAGACATTAAACCTTCGAGAATCAATGCCTGGTTCCGAACCTAATCATGAAAAGTCTAATGAAAATCTTTCGAAAGAAAGGGCAAATACATACGACACAGTAAGCTAAGATATTGTGTCGAATATCTATTGGATATTTTTCACAACTGTCGTAATAGATTTGTGCGTAATCGTTGATAAGATGTTCTAATTCGATCTTTGCGTTGTACTTGATGCATGTTGCTAGAGCATGAACGAAAATTCGTTGTTTGAGAACGGTTCCATGCGGAGGAATATTCGCGATCGATGAACAGAATTTCGTAAACATATCGAATGTAATCTTTCCTCGTCGGGTGAATAATTGATCAACACATGTTTCCAATTCATTCGTCGCTAACATTCCCCACGTTGTGCTTTGATTCAAAGAGATCTTCGATAGTAATAATTCAAAGATTGACAAACAGCCATTCTGAATAGTCATGGTCGTCGGCGTATGAAACAGCGAAATGTATGTATCAGCAAATTGGTCGGCGTAGGAATCGATGAAATAGTAATTGACGTCGATTTCGATCGGTTCGTGGTTTTGAAGAATGTGATAACGCATGAGAAGACGAAAGGTTAGATCATTGAGTTGTTCTTCTTCGAGAATGTGACCTTTGACGTAATTGTTCAGATAAATCTTTTGTCCAAATGCTTTTTCGATTTGACGGGAATGTAGTTGAAGTAAATCAAGTAGTAAATATTGATCGAAATTTTCGTAATGGGAAAATAATGAACGTTGGTTGAGAATGGTGATGAAATAAACTAATTTTTGAGTGGTTTGCCCGTCGTCACTCATTTGACTCGTTCGACTTTTGTTTCCCGGAAGTGACGAAGTGAATAAGGCATCGCATTCGTAATAGATATATGGAATTGATGATGTTCGAACGAAATTCACATATTTGTGTCGAGTGAAGTATTCCAGTGTGTTTTTCGTCAATGATTCGTGATTTAAACCATCAATATCAACTAATTTCGACTCGAGAAGGTGTTGACAGATTTCATAATACGATTCCTTATAATTTTCACCGTTTAACGGACATGCCGATGCAAGTAATAACGGTGATGGAATGAAATAGACTAAACCTTTGGTTTGTTCAATTAATGACCGAAGAAGAAGGTCACGAGAGAACTGTACCGATGTCTCTAAAAGAAAAATATGCAAAAAAGTGAGTAAAGAAAGAACTTCGTGTTTACCGAGTCGATCAGCATCAGGAATATCCGCATCAGCTGCTTCGATGGCTTGTTGATCAGCGATGAAACTACTCGTTCGTTCTAGTCCAAACTGGTCTAAGACTATCGGAGATGATGATAGCATTTCTTCATCATCTTCATCATCACTGAGAATCGGTAAGATCGGCGAGTCATCATCGGGATACTCCTGAAGGTTGAGAACTGTATTGCCAGAATGAAATGCGGAAGATTTCATTCCACTTGCACGCAAGAGATAATCGAACGGATTGTCACAAAAATCACGCATGCGAGACTTCGGTAGAACCAAATGAAATGAATTCATCTTTTGCGAATATTCCATACATAATTTTCGAACCAGTTCGTGATCACCAACATACGAAGCCTATTATAAACATTGATTCATTTTCATTCGAGAGTCGATTATCAACTTACGTAATGTATAGGTAACCATGATCTATCACTAGCGGAATTGACCTTGGTAATTAACCAACTATCTTGATTATCGTTTTGATGAACACTTCCCCAGAGGAAGTTCTTGATCAACTCACTTTTTCGAAGAGCGATGCAGAAATGTACGTAATCACATTTCTCCTTGGGATATTCATTTGCAAATATGATTTTGATTGTACGACTAAGTTGATCATTGTTCAGTAGAATTAACGGTTCCACGAACAAAATCAAATGCATTGGTGAATAAAGTCGAAATAAACATAAAATCGGGTATTGATGAATGTTCAAATGAGTTTGTTCGACCGTCTCTGTGAGCCAAGCTTCATTCTGAGATAGAAGATGAAGAATCGCATTGAGTATCGTTTCCTGATCATCTTGATCGGAAAGGTTCAGTTTACGTTGCAGACGTTGATAAATCGAATACAATGGATACGTTTTGATCAATGTACCAGATGCCGATGATGAATTGTATAGATGGAGAAGCAGAAAGTGAACATAGTTAAACCCTACAGGTTTCCGTAGTTGCTCAAACCTTTGACGAAGTTCGACAAAGTCCATTCGATTTCGTTTCCTCTGCAACTAATCAAACAACGAATAACTGCAAGAGCAGCTTCAAGTAAAACACAAAGTACATTATGATTCACTATTAAAAAAGAGCGAATAGGTTACCTTAAACGATAGATATCAGTGTTCTCCAATTCCAGTTCTCAGTATCACGCAGGTAAACCAACTTTCCTCGTAAATTTCTTATTGGATCTTTTAACAAATTCATTTTATTTGAGGTAGTAATGTAAATTAATAACAAATATATAAGCATGTACATTGACATCTTTTTCTTTAAGATACAAGATTAGAGAATTGAGAATATCAGAAGAGAAAAACATGACTACATTCTTTTTTTTTCTTCTTCTGTACGGTACAGATGCGAGCAGAAAGAAAGAAAGGAAAAAAACATGAATGTACAGAGGTTTGATTAAGTATATATGCAAAGTATGAGAAGATAATTATACAAATTGAAGATTTTGTCATTTGAGGCAGGTCGGAACAACATGTGAAAAGAATCTCATTCTGCACAACGAGATCGAATATCTAATTTAAATAACCGTTGATGGGAGTTTATCGTAGGGTGGACCTGGAGAAGTCGCTGGTGGACGCGGACGATTCAAAGTATTCTGCTGAGGAGATACAGATGTTGGCTTCAATTGTTGAAGATTCAAATGTAGATCTGAATTATTGTTAGTTAATGTCTGAAGAACTTGAATACAATCACCTTGAGCACATTGCAGAGGTGTACGACCATTACTATCGACACTGAATGCATCTGCACCATACTGAAATACGAGAAAACTGGTTCATTCGTTCGGTTTCTTAGATTTGGTGATTTACCCAAAGCAGTAATTGCAGAATAGTTACATTTCCTTGAGAAGCAGCTAAATGTAATAGCGAAGAATTGACATCGTCATTCGATAGTTTCCTATGAGCTAATATTAGTATAATTGTGTAAAGATCATTCTTGTTGATAGCATCAAGCATTGATTGCCTTGCAAGGGGAGGCGTCATTGTGAGAGTGGGCAGAAATAACTTCTGTTCGTATTTATCTCGAATCCATCGTTCTCGTTCCGATCTGATGAAATGAAATTGAAGTAAAATTAATTAGAAAATATATTAATGAATACATACGAGGATGCATTTGGTTGAGGTTTAACTCGGTTTTTAATATTTGCTTCCCAAACAGAATTGGATAGTTTGTTTCCGATTGATCGCATGACTTGAACAAGTTCCGGTCTTTTTAGAAGAAAATTCAAGTTTTTTCTCAAATATCCAATGAAAAAGATTCTTACGGCCATTCGTCAAGTTCCAACGACCGAACACGTGATAAATGTGTTCCAAGGTTGCGATGTAACGATGCACAATCCATACAAATCAACGCTCCAAGGTTCAACGAAGCCCACGTTGGATCTAATCGAAAAAGAAATGTATCGTCTTACTACAAAGAAAGTTAAGCGATTATTTTCAATTACTTAGTTGTTCACAATCCGCACAAAATCCGTTTCCGTAGATCTGTTTAATCGATTGTATTGCAGCTGAATCGGCCATACTTGGCCCACCGATCTTCGCTGCCCGTGCTGCTTTAGACGATTCGATATTCTGTAAACTAGAAAGAATCTGTTGCTCAATTGCTTGTACCCATTCATCGCGTTCTTCGTTTGATTGCGCTTCGAAATACCATTGTTTATCCAACGAAACAATAATAAAGATATTTTCGTCACCATCGTCGTCACCGTTATTATTCGATGATGACTTCGGTGTTGCTGAATTGTTATTGGAATTTGTCGAATTGGTCTGCTGCGCCCGGCGATGACGTTTCTTAGAATTCGGTGTTTCAAGTTTCCCCAATGGAGATGAAACAACCACTTGATCAATGATGCCTAAATAAATTACTTGCTTATGAAAAATAACAGCTTGAGAATGAGAATTTACTTGGTGTGACAGATGAGTTTGATATGATGATAGCACCATCTGATGATGTCAAATCGTTTAATTTATTGTCATTGCTAGCACTGCGTAAAGCAATACGTGGTTTGTTTGAACCAGGAATCTTTATTGTTGTACGTTGAAGAATGATTTCTTTTCCGTGAGATTCGTTTTCGTAATCCTGTGAAAGCGAGAGCAGGGTGTGGTATTTTGGAATCTAAACGATCTTACATGTAATGACGGATGATAAATCAATCGTCCATCATCAAGTAAAACGACATATTTCTTCTTCCAATCTCGATTAATACTGTTCGTTGCTTTTTTGTACAGAAATCCCTAAAAATCACGAAATATTCATCAGTACCGCCGACTTCTCCGTCAAAACTTACCTGTTTGAGTGGTATTGCTCGTCCATGGCCAACTCGATCGGCTTTATTTTTGTCTTCATCTTTTTTTCCGGGCTAAAACAAACATTATAATAAACTTTCCTATTCTTCATTCTTATTACCTTTCTCAATGAGAAAAACATACTAATCAACTTCGGAATATGCGGGTATTAATATTAATTTTCAACTGCAAGCATTTCAAGTGTTCATAGATGTATTTTAGTCCTCAGAACTGATGAAGTTCTATGCCCGTGTTGGAAAATACTTATTCATCACGCGGAAATACGTTTTAGTCAAGTAGCGAAACGAGAGATAAATTGTCCCAGTAAAAGTGGCGTAACTTCGACGAAGTTTTACAAAGGAAGTTTAACTTACAGTGAAGATGTTCGATTTACGTTTGGTTTCTTTTCGTTTTTGTGTTGGTGTCGACGAAGGTGTCAATTGTTCATTGGTCTGCAATATAGATCAACATGAAGCATTTGTTTTCAATTATCTAAATATGATCATTACCTGTCCTTCATGTCCAGGGAAGGATTGTCCTTCACTCAGTGTTGAGAGTTTATTGCCAGTAGGTTCTTTAAACGACCGACTGCGTTTATCGAGTTGTTGTTGTTGTTGTTGATTATTTCGATCCTTGAGCACACCGTTACTTGTCTGACTGTTGAAACATTGAGCTAATTGAGCGATGGGAAAACTTTGTGTTGGTGGAACAAGGACTGGTTGTGGTTCTTGTGGGTATTGGTAGGAGGAGAAAACAGATGCTGGAGCTGTTTGAGCTAGATTGACATTTCCCGCGACGTAGGATGAGGATGGAGCATTATGATTATTCGAAAAAAGTCGAACTTGATTTGCGACAGGTGATTGTTGTTGTTGTTGTTGTTGGGGTAAGGAATTTGATGGGTGAACTGTAATATTCGAGATCGATTGTGGTGTCAACGAACGATTGGATGATAAAGTTGAAGTGGAAAATCCATATCTCTGATGAATGATTTTTTGACAAGCTTTTCAAGAGGAAAAAAGTCAACATAGTTTGTAAATTTTAACGAAAATTCTTACCGTCATGAAATACTCGTTCCACATTCAGTCCATATGTCGCACATGTTTCATAATAAGTACATCGTTTCAATTCATTAGATAATTTTCTAGCTCGATCTTCATGTATAACACGTGGATTGCTTTCACTAATTGCATCTATAACAAATGAGAAAATTGACATATTCTGACTTTTAAAACATCTACTATTGTTACACCTCGTTCTCTCACTTATCGCAACGATCACGATTATTCAACTCACTGTGATTTGCCTAGTAGGTGGTACTACCTCTAACTGAGAAGAATAATACGAGTGCGACGTGTTAGATTTAGGTGTTACGTAAACAGCTCGTTCTGACAAAATGTGTAATTTCGATGAAACTCAACTAACCTTGTGTTCCAACGAGAATAAAAGGCATATCTGTAACATTCCTATAGTGATTCATTTTTGTATAATATTGATAAATTGTCTTAAAACTTTCTTCATTTTCCAAACTAAATACAAATATAACTGCATCAACCCAATGTGTGAACTAAAATCAATCAAACAGATCAAAATCCATTGTCGTTTTCCCCCAAAACTCATTTACTTGAGTATCAGGTGCACCAGCTTCATCGCGTATTAACAGTAAATAACTTTGATTATCAATGTTAATTTCTTTTTTGAATCTTCCTCCTTCCGGTGATTCTTCTTGCATATAAGTTCCCGTTAAAAATCGATGAACCAATGCTGATTTTCCACTTGCTAGTGTCCCTAATAATCCAATACGAATATCCAATACACTTCGACTTAACGTCCATTCTTGACTGTTCACAAAAGCATCTTCGATAATCATAACATGATCGCGAATTTGCGTTTGAAGTTGTGTTTGATCTTTGATTTCTTCAATTAGCTCATAGATTGAATAAATCGATGGATGAACACTTTCAAAACGTTCAATTTCCGATTTGATAAAACTGGAATTAGTAATTTGTAATTGAGACGAGGGCATTATTATACGATGATTATTATTGGCCATTTCGACGTCTTATCATTCTTGCTTATTCACATTCAAAAAAAATCTTTTCTGTTATACAAAAAAAAACTGAGAAGAAAGAATGAAAGAGTTCTAATAATTTCAAAATGGCCGATCTAATTTGGTTAATTTTTCGACCAATGAGCAGAAAATTATTTTTAGTTTTTGCCAAAAACGAATCGAAAAGAAATTTTCATTGTCAAAAATAGAAATCTGACTTTAAACGAAAATGAATATTGCAGCGACATCTATCGATCATTACACAATATAATCATCTTTACAAATAGAAGAGAATGATATATTTATTTTCGAGTTAATACATGTCGATGATATTTGCAATGTTTTAGATACCAACTGTTCATCAATTTGATTTGATCTAGTCAGACGAAGGAACATATTTTGTAAATAATCAAATCGTTCGAAAGATGAGTTGGCAACCAGTACAAGCAGATGATCTCCAACAAATTCTATCCTTGTTAAGACAATCCCAATCACCGGATACGCAAATTCAACGCCAAGTCCAAGCACGATTAGAATCACTAAACCAATATCCCGATTTTAACAAATATCTTGTTTATATTTTAACGAAATTACTTGATGAACAAGAAGCAACACGTTCGTTATCAGGATTGATCTTAAAAAATAATGCTAAATCTCATTATGAGAAATTTCCTGACGAAGCTCGAGCGTATATCAAACAAGAGTGCCTATCTGCATTAGGTGATCGTTCGCCATTGATTCGTGCGACAGGTGGTATATTAATCACAACGATAGTGACAAAAGGTTCGCTGGAACAATGGCCGACACTCTTAGAACATTTGTATTCATGTTTGGACTCGCCGGATGTGAATCTTTGCGAAGGTGCATTCGGTGCATTGCAGAAAATCTGTGAAGACAGTGCGGATCAACTGGAAAATGCTCCATCACAACCGTTGAACGTTTTAATCCCAAAATTTATCCAATTCTTTCGTCATTCTCATGCAAAAGTTCGATCCCATGCCATCGCGTAAGTTCGCACACGACAAATTCTTCGATGTACATCTCAAAATTCTCTTTTTCAGTTGTGTTAACGAGTTCATCACTCCACGTGCAACAGCATTGATGTCAAACATAGATTTATTTCTTGAAAATTTATTTCAATTAGCCAATGACACCGATTCCGATGTCCGAAAACACGTTTGTCGCGCGTTGGTAATGTTAGTTGAAGTTCGAATCGAACGTTTACTTCCTCATATGCAACAAATCATCGAGTACATGTTATTAACATCTCAAGACACCGACGATACAGTTGCTTTAGAAGCGTGTGAATTCTGGTTGATGATCGCTGATCAAGCCATCTGTCGAGATATTCTTCAGCCGTATTTAGATAAACTTTTACCTGTTCTTTGTAAAAATATGAAATATTCTGAAATGGATGTGATTATTTTACAAGGTGATATCGATGAAGATGAACACATACCTGATCGAATTGAAGATATTCGTCCTCGATTTCATCGGACACGTTCACGACAACATGCGCAGAACATTTCCGATGATATCAACTTAATTGATACAAATAATAATTCGACAGCTGCTACACCACCAAATAGCCAAGCAGAACAACAACTACAAGACGAGAATGAGAATAATGACGACGACGACGATGATGACGACGGATCAGGTGCAAATGCTGATCAAGCAACCGAGTGGAATTTACGGAAATGTTCGGCAGCAGCTCTTGATATTCTTTCGAATGTCTTTCGTGATAATATTCTCCCGATTTTATTACCAATTTTACAGGAAATGTTGTTTCATAGCAATTGGCAAATCAAAGAAAGCGGAATTCTTGTTCTGGGTGCTATCGCTGAAGGTTGTTCCTATGGTTTAATTCCTCATTTACCTGATCTAGTGGATTATTTGATTAAATGTTTAAATGATAAAAAGCCATTGGTTCGCTCGATTACCTGTTGGACATTGTCAAGATATTCGACATGGATCGTACGAAATGAAGCTCAACATAATCAATTTTTAATTCCATTGATGTCGGAGTTATTAAAAAGAATCTTAGATGCGAATAAGAAAGTAAATACGACACAAAAATCGTCTCGTTTTCTCACTTCTTCATTGTTCCGTAGGTACAAGAAGCAGCATGTAGTGCATTTGCAACTCTAGAGGAAGAAGCATGTGTTCAAATGGTTCCGTACTTAAAACAGATCCTTGAAACCTTAGTTCACGCTTTCCGAAAATATCAAGCTAAGAATTTATTAATTCTCTACGATGCAATCGGAACATTAGCGGATAGTGTGGGTTCACATTTGAATCGTCATGATTACATCGAATTGCTAATGCCACCGTTGATCGACCGATGGAACATTTTACGAAATGATGACAAAGATCTCTTTCCATTACTCGAATGTCTCTCATCGATTGCAACTGCTCTGCAAACAGGTTTTCTTCCGTACTGTGAACCTGTTTTTGTTCGCTGTATTATCCTTGTGCAACAAACCTTAGAAGCAAATGGACAAGATGGATCACCTGACAAAGATTTCATGATTGTCGCTTTAGATTTACTCTCTGGTTTAGTAGAAGGCTTAGGTAAAAAAACATGACTGAGAATAAAATCTCGACAAATACGTTGAACTCTCTCTTTAGGTTCAAATATTGACACTCTTGTTGAACGATCAAATCTGTTAACTTTACTTGAACGTTGTGCTCAAGATCCCATGCCTGAAGTTCGTCAAAGTTCCTTTGCACTATTGGGTGATTTAACTAAAGCGTGTTTTCGTCATGTGCAAAAGCATTTGAGCTTCTTCTTACCAATCTTAACTCAAAATCTCAATCCTCAACACGTCAGTGTGTGTAATAATGCAATCTGGGCGATCGGCGAAATCGCGATTCAAATCGGTGCTGAAATCCAACCATTTGTCTCCGTTATCCTCGAATCGTTAATCTTAATCATCAATCGACATATTACACCGAAAACTCTTTTAGAAAACACTTCCATTACCATCGGACGTCTAGGTCTTGTTTGTCCGAATGATGTTTCTTCCCAATTAGCACGATTCATTCGTCCGTGGTGCATTGCATTGAGAAATATTCGTGATAATGAAGAGAAAGACTCGGCATTTCGTGGCATATGCAATATGATCGTTTTGAATCCATTGGGTGTGACAAATGAGTTCATTTATGTATGTGATGCGATCGCGTCTTGGGAAAAACCACCAATGGAATTGTACACGAAGTTTCGAGATATTTTATACACATTTAAACAAGAATTTGGGGATGAACAATGGAAGCAATTGACGGATCGATTTCCGTTACCACTTAAACAACGTCTTCAAGCGCATTATGGTATTTAATTATTTGTTTGTTTCAATTCGACGACAAGACAATGGGCTTCGATTGGAAAACAACATTTTCGTTTGTCTTTCTCTCTTTCTCTCTCTCTCTCTTTCGTTTTGACCAGTTTATATGATCTTGAAATCGAATAAAAGTCGTCGTAAAAGAAAAGTTCTAACAAAAAAATGTTGGTTTTTTTTCGTGTTTTTTTTTCAGATTAACTTTTTAATATTTTAATGTAGAAAAAGTCCTTTCAAATATGTTTGGTTTCTCTATGTCAGATGAATTTTTGTTCTATTTTTAGAAAACGAACTCGGTTTGTCTTTATATCTTGTTTTAGATAAATGTCATTTACCTCGACTCTCACCCTTGCTCATTCGGCATCAAATAACAGAACTCGTCTTTTATCTGAGTAAAATTCATAGGAAAAAAAGCACTCGCGTCTGTTTAATTCAATATTTACTATCTATATCAAACTTTGATCATTTCTATATGAGAAAAAAAAATGATAAACGTGTTTCAAAACGGCGTTTACACGTGAATGTACTGCTGTGCTTAGGTGCACATCTTCCTTTTTCTGTTCTGTTTAATAAAACATGTACGTGTCAGTCAGTCGTTATCTACAATTTTTTTTCTCTCCCTCTCTCTGTCTCTCTCTCTCTCTCTTTATTCATGTTTATGCAGGTAGACGTGCAACATGTCATATACTGCTTATTACACACGTATGAATAAAACAAAACTTTTTTCTTGATTTGTTCGGTATGTTACGATGAATATTTCTTTCTTATCAATCGTCACAGTTGAGCACCCGAGAGAGACAAATGAAGCCGAGGAGTTTCTTTTGTGTATTGTCTTCGTCTTAGTTGAAATTCAATTTTAGATCGACGACAGCTGGTCTGTTCATGGATTTCACAGGTATTTTATTTGGATTTCTGGTCATTATCGTTGTTGTTCTGTTCTTGGGTGCTTTGAATTACTTTTTGAGTCGTTCCCAATCAAATGTGAGCATATCAGAGAAAAAATCGACATCCGACCTCATTAATCAGACACAGTCGCAAACGTCCAGCAGTCGAACGAATGCTTGCAGTATGCGACGAAAACAAGCGCGACTAGCGAAGAAAAATCAGCGTTTACAACAAGCAAATACGATAAACGAGAATTTAAATAGTAATACTAATGAGAAACATGAAGCACAATCAACGATATCGAAGGGTGAGGGTGGAGGAGAAGAAGAAGAAGAACAATCATCCGTACAACCAACTGATGATGACAACGAAGAATTCTATGATGCTATGAAAAATGATGAGGTTATTAACGATTCTCCTTCGACATCTATTCCACCTGACGAAGAACCACTTGTACCGGTTAAACAGCGGAAAAAGAACAAAGTCAATAGTAAACCTTCGATTGAATCAATTCTACCGAAACCACAAGCAAGTGTTGTGCCCGTCAAGCAAACCCAAACATCTATTCCTTCACCAAACATTCCAATCGACCAAAACTCTAAGTCAAATGCCCGTTTACCACCGTCGTACAATCTCTATGCATATCCAACACAGAAATCCTTACCACCTCGATTTCAACAGCGGCAACATCGAGATTTGAATTCGGCAGAGAAACTTCGAAGAAGAAAACCATCAACACCCATCAGAAAATCAGCAATTCAACCCGAAGCAGCCGCGAGACAAAACGATTTTGTACCATTATCCATCAGACAGCAAACATCAAATAAGAATAATCATCTTGAATCTTCTCATCACAATGGATATTCATCCGAATCAGATAATTTATCCGGTAAATCTTCTTCTTCATCTTCAATTTCTCTCATTCGACTCTTTCGTAGAAACACCCTCAACCATACACACTGATAATGCAAAACGTAGTTCAACTATCTCAACTTCGACCGATTCTCAACTGGATCTAGTTCGTTCATTGTCGACATCAAATAGTTTTGTTAATGACTTGGTCACTTTATTCGACCGAGTTCCATTTTCCTCCGATGAATTGGAACTAATTCTAAACAAAATCTCGACAAAACAACTGTTGAATCGACAAGACTGGCAACGGTTATTGGCGACGAACTCAGCGAAAAATGACAAAACGATCGAAAGGATTCTCGACGAAACTTACCGAAGCCAAGCAAAAATTCTCGCTATCGAATTGCAAAATGAGAAAAATCGCGTTTTAGAATTGACAAAAACGAATGCAGAAATGGAGAACACCGTCCGACAGTTACAACAACCGAACAACAGTCTTATACCATATCAACAAACAATTCATTCATATCAAATGCAACTTCGACGATTAACAGACGATAACACGCGTTTAGCTCATCAGTTACACGCGTATTCGATGATGCCAGGATCGATTAATGAACTAAAACAACAACAACAAATTCTTCAAGAACAATTACAACAGCTAACACAAAGAAACAGCGCGTTAGAACAGGAAATCGCCGATGGACAACTTGCCAGTAAACATGCAGCTGAAATCTATAAGAAAGGTAGATGAATATTCAAAAGAAAGTCGGTTTTTTCAGTGAATTCTTATTCTAGCTGATGCACAGAAACAAGAGCGAATCGAACAAATGCTTATCGATTTAAATAAGTACAAGAAAATCGATAAAGATTTGGCGGCACTTCAGCAGAAACACAAAGGATTGGAGAAAAGTTCAAAAACGAAATTAAACGATTTGATACAAGAACGAAATGAATTGCAAAAGTCGTGCGAAAAACTTCAAGAACAACTGCAACAAGACGAACAAATTAAACATCAATACGATGAATTGGTGCAGAATCAAACTCAAGTTGCGAATCTCGATGAACTTCAGCAGGAATTAGCGGAAGTAAAAGCGAAAAACGATACACTTCGACAACGAAATCTGAAAATCATGGAACAATTGAACAAACTTCGAAACAACAATTCAGAAAATCAAACAATCTCCACCGATGCAATCTGATCTCTTTTCTCTTCTTTCTTACGTGATCTATTTGGTCTTTCTTCGCGTATTGGTTTTGTGATAATAATTCTATAAATTAATAAACTTTTTTTTTTACGTTTTGTTTTTGTTGATTTGGAATCTTGTTATCGGGATTGAATATTGTTTTTTTTCTCCGACATTTAGATCATGATTGTAACGAAGCTTCTGTACATTTGTTTGATATTCACTTTCACAAATGTTCGATGCGAAGTCTTGCAATTAACATCAGCGAATATTTCCCAATACCTCCAAGATCATGTCACGTTTGTTAAGTTTTACGCGGATTGGTGAGTTAATGTAGGATGGTAGATCCGGGTTTGAAGTGAGCGTCTTTAGGTGCCCACATTGTAGAAAATTTGAACCGACTTGGAAAGAATATTCGGAAATGAAACAGAATAACGACTTGAGTATAGCACAGGTAAGACTGGATCGGAAAAAAAACAGTTTTTGTGAGTAATGCATGTGTTTCGATAGGTTGATTGTTCTGATGATCCATTATTGTGCTCTGATCATGATATATTCGGTTATCCAACGTGAGTTTTGATAATGGAATTATGTAGAGAGTGATCTTTTGATTTTAGAATTAAATTATTCATACGTGGAAGTGGCGCACGATATTCTGGTCCACGGCATATAGAATCTCTCAATGTTTTCTATCAACAAAAGATCGCAGAGGACGTAAATGTATGTGTTGATCATGGTCGAAGCTGAATTCATATTAATGAAGTTCTTTGTTTAGTTTGAAGATGGTGTCGCGACGAAATCTGCAATTGTAGAACTAACGGCAGAGAATTTCAACGCAATAACTTCGAAAGGTTTCGCATTTATCGTCTTCTTTGCTCCTTGGTGCAAACATTGTAAAGTTCTTAAACCTGTTTTTCAAGAATTAGCCAAACAAATGATTAACACTCGAGGATTACTTTTAGCGACAGTAAATGGATCTTGAATATGGAAAGAATTCTTCATCTGTTTCCCGATCATTTAGGTTGATTGTACAAGTGAACAGAATCTCTGCGCAAAACATGCAATTAAAGGTTATCCAACATTAATCTGGTTTGAAAATGGTCACGAGGTAAGTCCTATACGAAAAACATCGACTTTTGCATCGATCTCAATACTTTTTTTTAATAGAAAGATCGATACAGCGAATCACGAGAATTGGAGAGTATGAAACGATACATTGAACAAAATATGAAAGATGCCGAACCAGTGTTCACTGAAGCACCACCTGTGCAAGACAAATCCGAAGAATCTATGGAGAAAACATCTCCAGTAGGTAATCATTGCTGAATCACGTATAAATGTCGATATTCGTGTTTAGAATGACAATCTTCTCACAGCGAGAACTTTTACTCAAGGTGTAAGTTTCGAAGGCTATGCATTTGTCAATTTTGGTGCACCTTGGTGTACACATTGCCAAAAGTTAGCTCCTGTCTGGAAACAATTAGCTCAGAAATTTTCTCAGAATGAAGATATTCGAATTTCACGTGTCGATTGTACTGCAAGTGAATCGTTGTGTAAAGATCATGGAGTAAGTGTCATGTCGGTCGTCAGATTGATATATAATTCTCTTCTTTTCAATTAGATTCGGGCGTTTCCAACTCTGATTCTGTTTCGCTATGGTGAATCGAAGGTGGAATACAATGGCGCAAGAGATTTCGACTCCATGTACAATTTTCTCGTTAGTCAATTGGAATTTTTTGGTGATGAGTATCTATTAAAGCCAAACAATGAGATTATCAACAATTGAAAGATATCCAAGATGATCATAATGTTGTTATTTTCTTTTGTTGTTTTTTAGTGTGATGGTTTCTTGCTTTATATATATATATGCGTGTGTGTGTGTGACAAGCATGTTAATCTTCTGGAAAAAATGAATATATTTTCAAACAAGACAAGGAAATGTTGACACGACATTATTTTCTCATAGAAGAATCGAACTTACCGAACACCTACTCGCAGCCTGAAGGTCCTAATAATAACACTAATTTGGTCTCGCATTTGTTAGGCCTTTTGTCTGCATTAAATCAAATGAAGCACGATACATTTGAGAACACATACGTCAACAAATGACTTCTAAGGGTAATCTGAGTTTGACTTTATACCGGTGCTATGACGACACTTAAACACAGAGATTTCAAACCACCCACCAGAAACATTTAGCTTCGAGTTCCAAAAATGAAATGCGCAGTATCTAAGTTGCTTCTCATGAAAACGCGATATTCATTGAGGTCTATGCCATCATAAATCGAGTTCTATACGTTGTCAATATGTTAAAAACTGCTCGATATGAATCGATGATTTTCTTAATTAGCAATATGAAATTCTCAAGGCAAAATGGCTTCCAAGCATGTATTTAGTCAATCAATCGTGCAATATCCTGCCCTACAAGTCGGAAATAGAAACATCAAAGACTGCAAGTAGTTTCGGGTCGTTCTTTGTTTGTCCGAATAATAACTAACATCCAAGAAAGATCAATGTTAAATCGATGTTCTTGCGTAGGCTAACGAGTTTTCTTCTTTCTCGAGACAGTAAATCGATAAAACGAGAATACTAAACACAACAGTGAACAAATGTAAAGATGTCATTAATGAAACCCATTGAAACGGAAATCTCATCAAATAAACTAAGGTAATGAGAAAGAAATCGAGTGAAAAGAAATACTCATCATTCTTAAAGTATCCTTCAATGGACCATATTTGACGTCGATCCTCATTTCACTTGGAAATCGTATCCAATAAAGCTGAATGACTACATTCATAATCTCAATTATCAAAATCATGCTCACTCTTTTCACTTGATGACATGTATTGACAAAAAATCGATTAACCAGAAATTGTCGCGTATTCACAGAGATATTCATTACCACTGATACTTTGAAAGAATTAGCAGTTCATTGAATGAATGGTAATTGGATTAGTTTCTTTAACATGACTTATTCACACATAACCAAAGACACATCTGACACTTTGTACGAATGTCACTGAGGCATGAGTTTTTATAGAATTCGTTTCGATGTAAATAATGACTCAGATCGAACCTTGTAACTTTCGATTAAAAATTCGATTAAAAATCTAATCCAGTTGATCATACTTTTGTAATTAGAGAAACAAAGATGCTTATGTTGTTTATCCATTAATTACTTTCTACTAAATACCATTTGAACTATATTTAGATCATCTTAGAATATTCCTGATCTCCGAATGGTTCTTGTATGAATATGTCTTCGTCGAATAAGGTTGTAGAGTTGGTTATCTAAACCTTAGGAAAAGCTCTTCTTGATTGATGTCCAATTATTATCGCTAGCTAAAGCACAGCTGTTTGCCAGTTACAAGCGTTCCTCTTCCTTCTAGTTCGGAGATTTCTGGTTCGTCGTGTTGATCTCTCAACGTACTTGGAGAACTAATACAAAATATCAAGCAAAAAGGCCATTCCTCTGCCATAAGATAAACGAGTGATACCATGATATCCTCCGTACTTCTGATATCTCTTTACTTCCTAAGATTTTCTTCTGCACATGTCGTGCATGCTAAAACAACAATCAATGAAACGTGTATAAACTACGGTCGAAATTATGACTGTCGATTTTATCAATGTTATGAAGAACGTTTTCCATGTGGACCGTCGTATTGGATGTTGAAATGGGGATACAAATATTGCGACCGTATGCAAAGAGCTGCATTTAACTTCGATAAGACTGGTCAAGAATTAATCAAAAAACTTTCTCAATGTCTGACTAATAAACTATTACGACACGGTCTTTACAAATTTCATGACATTAATTGTGAAGTTTTACGTTCAACAGGCCAACGTATTGTTCAAGAATGCTACATGTCAAACGCGAAACTCTTTTGCCAAGCATATCACGGTAGAAATCGTGACTGCTTCTTTCAATTAACTGACAGCGACGATAGGCACGATTTAAATGTTATACGAACAATGACAAGTGTTGGACAGAAATGCTCACCGAAGAAAAAACTTTCTGACATGAAACCAAATAAAAAAATGAATCAATGTTTACTAACGCCTACGCTGTAAGAGAATAACAAGCCAAGAAATGCGTGCTTACAAGACCGGAAATGAATAAAACACGTCGTTACATTTAGTAGTTATTGAAGATATCTTATATCAAGCATTCTGTTTTTTTCTTAATTATATTTTCTTTCGATTTGACACAATTATTTCTGAAATTATCGAGATAAAACGATTTATTTTGCCTTTTTTGTCTTGTTTGGGTGCTTTTCTGAATAATAAACTTCTCTTCATATTTCAGCATTGACCATTTTCTGTAAAATTCATCTCTAACAGGTTCGAGAAGAGTCCGAATGCGTGGAATCTCTCGGCTTGTTCTAAACATGTTGAGAAAAGCTATTTCCGGAGACACATGGATATGAGAAAAGACAGGAATGAATTCGAGAGTAGCTAGAGAGGTAACAGAACGATTGTGTAGTCCCTATCGCGTATGAATTGAATAGTTTTCTTGTATGTCTACGTTTTACTCTAGCTTTTCCATCTAGCAGAAAAGAATATTTGGGTGGGAGGGAGGGAGACAGAGACAGAGAGAAAGAGAAAAAGAACAAAATAGAGAAGAAAGAGAAAAGCAAAAAGAAAATGATTCTACAATGTAGTTCATAGTCGAGTTGGCCAATAATTAGTCTGGTCTTTTGTTCACATTTTCATGTCTGTCATCAATCTAACTCTAGTATTCTTTCTATTCGCATTTTTCATTTTGTTTAATATTCACGAATGTTCTCTACTTGTCTCATTATCTTTTAATTATGATCAATATCAATAATCTTCGAAGTAGAGTACATTCTCTTTTCTATGAAAATAATTCTATTTTAATAAGCTTATTTCTCAAAGGAAGAGATGGATGTTCTATATAAAGTTCGCCTTTTTCTCTCCCTCTCTCTTGTCTCTTTCATTATTTTAACAAAACTATATATTTGAGGGAATTGAAAATTGTTTGATAAAAACATAAGTAAATCTACATAGATCTCTTCTTCCAAGTCATGACTTGTTCTCATTCTGTTTACACTTTTTATCCATATCACACTTTTCGCAGTAAGTCCTTCTTGAATTCTTCTCCAATTATTACCACGACCATCGTTTGGCTTCGATTCAATCGTCAAGGTTGAAATGAAGTATTGAACATGATTTTTCCTACGACAAAAGATCAGTTAGAATAACATTTGCACTGTAATCTTGAGTATAATTCATGTGGGACAGTATACTTATTAATAATTTACCTTTGATGAGTTGTAAAGTCTCTCTAGATAGATGATTTTAATCTGAAAACTTCCTATTCATTAAAATACACCGAGAACGTGCTACTCAAATGTGATTTTTCTTCTTTTAGATAAATAATCGCCTAAGCATTTTCTTGTGTATCCAGTATTTCTTACAACAGCACTATGCCAAGTATTTCATCATCAAGAACGTTTTCTGTCATGTCATCATCGTCTGTTTCAACTCGAGGACATCCATTTCTATCTCGATTTATCATGAGTATGACCGTAGTTATACTTCTTGTAGGATTTTGTCCATATGTTTCTTCGTCGCCGACACCTCCATCGAATGACCAAGACAAGCAAATCAATCAGCAATCCAATGGCTTTATTCTCGATGCCGACAACTCGCATCAAACACCATCATTATCATCGTCCGTCCAAGAAGCACTTTCAGACTCATCACCAACTTGGTATGTACAACCGCGTGCGAACGCTCATGAATTTCTAATGTCAAATCTCAATGATAATGAAATCATTGTATCCAAACGTTTTACACGATTTCTTTATGATGATCAAGTCAATGACGAAAGTGACGATGATGATGTTTTTATACCATCAAACAAACGATCAGCTGTGGGAAACAAAGGCACATATTCGAACCTGATCAAACGAAAACAATTAACCAAACCACCGATGGAAGTTATGAATGAAATTGTCAATTCGATTTATCTTAAACGTTAAAGATCGTTTGAAAAGCAAATAAATATGAAATCGATTTTGAAAAATATCTATGCATATGCAAACTGACTTGTCTAGCTAAATAAAACGAATGACAATAACAAGACATGGATGATTTGCAGGGAAATATCACGCCGTTCTCGGAAAGAAATATTTTCCGGTATAATTAGTCTAGAAGAGCCTTTAGAAAATCATTGATGTAAACCAAAATGAAATGAAATTTCTTATTTAAATTTAATCGAGAAAAAACTTCCGTATGCGCAGAAGAAAATTGCGTCTGTCAGTGACAGATTGACTAAATACGTCAGAGAACATATTTTCCAAACAAATAAAAATACCTTCTGACGGAATATCACGACCCATTGTGAGAAGCATGTCTAATTTCCAAAAGGATTGCTGAGTATACATCCGACGTTGATGATAACAACAGTTTGTTTTGCTGACATTCGCTTATGGATGACGGAAATGACTGAGTCATTGGCGAAAAGCGACATCTATACGGACGGAGAGAACGAAGAAATTTATTGCCGAATAAATTGATGGAATTAGATTTGAATATCGATTTGAAGATGCGTTTCATGAAAAGATAATCCCGTTCGAAAAGAATTTCAATCATTGATTGTGCTATTTGCTATGATTCGTTTGATAGAATTCCATTTTATACATACGAAAGCGTAAATAATAACACCTCCGTTGGAACATGAATTCAAATACTTTCGAAATTCTGTTCTATTTTATCGTCATCCGCAAATCTCTTTTAGATTATTTAGTTTTTGAAATTTGAACAGCCAATAACATGGGACCTAAATTCGATCCAACCGCTGTTTATGAAAGTACGTCGTTGCTTCTCAATGATTTCAATCGTCATATGTAATGTATTTTTAGTTATGGTTCGTGTCACTGGTGGTGAAGCACCAGGTGGTTCATCATTAGCTCCTAAAATAGGTCCTCTTGGTCTTGTAAGTCATTCAATGATAAAAATTCTTTCTCGGAAATCCGCCTGCTTCTATTTCTAGTCTCCAAAAAAAGTTGGTGATGATATTGCTAAAGCAACAGGTGAATGGAAAGGCATGCGTGTGACAGTGAAGCTAACTGTGCAAAATCGTAATGCGAAAATCGATGTCATCCCATCAGCATCGTCGCTTGTTATCAAAGCACTGAAAGAACCACCACGCGATCGTAAAAAACAAAAGAATAGTAAATGAAAGTTCTTCTTCCACTGGAAATCAACCTGCTTTTCATTTAGTTAAACATGATGGTAATGTTTCACTTGATGAAATCTACAAAATCGCTCGAATTATGCGAGTACGTTCATTAGCTAAGACATTCGACGGCACTGTAAAAGAAATTCTCGGTAAATTCGTACTCATTGTCGAGCGTTGTCTCATCATATTGTGTTTTATAGGCACAGCTCAATCTGTCGGTTGTAAAGTCGATGGCTCACATCCTCATGATATTATCAATCAGATAAATAACGGTCAAGTGGATGTACCACGCGAGTAAACGACAGGAGAAGAAAAAAAAAACAAATATCCGAACGTTGTTGTTTTTTTTTTCAACAAAGAAAAAACTAAATAAATAAGAAGATTGCAAATCATGAGTGTTATTCATAGAAACAGAAAAGAAGTCATTTTTTTCACGGACAAACATCGACTTGATTTGACAAGTCGACTTATATTTAGTCTGTAAATTTCATCTTTAAATAGAACATCATGTCGCAATATTTCCTTCCGAATCTGACATCGTGAGTCATGGATATATGAGAACAGCATCTACTCGAATGTTTTCCAGTTCAATAACAAGTTGGTTTTTATTGAGAAAACGGAAACAATGATTGAATTATTAACAAAAATGAATGCCTTCAACGTTGAATGCATGCAATAACCTGAAAGACGTAGTTGTAGAGATAAGTAAAGGAAAGAGTATGGTAGCTTACCCAAGGAAATCATCGAGATCCATATGTCGAGCTCGTTTTTCGGCAAATTGATTTGTTGTTAAGATTTCGTCGATTTTTGTTTTGATATCAAAGTCATTGGGAACAGTCTAGAGATTCGAAATGATAAGAAAATATTCGAATGAGTTAATCTAAGTACTTTATTGTGTACTGAACAATGAATTCGATAGTTTTTTTCTAATAATTCAATCACTTTCTTTTGTCTAAATGAAAGAACAATCGAAGGACATGACTTGTTGATATAATTTGCATTTCTTACTTGAATTCCGACGATAAACGCTTATTCTTTCTTGTAAAACATATTCTGGTCAATCCATCCCATTCCTGAAACGAAAGTCTCCATAATTCAATGAATTTCTCAGAAAAGTTCGCATTCACCTGGTAATTCACAGCTGGCGGTGGATTTTTTGGTTCAATTCTAACAACACTGGACTCAACTTTGGGTGGTGGTCGAAAATTATTTTTTCCGATCTAAATAATTCAATGTCGATCGAGTAGAAACAATTCATCTCTACTAACTTTCATCAGATGATCAACACGTGCTAGTAGTTGTGTATTGACCGATAATCGACAGTACAATTTTTCACCGGGTTTCGCTACGAGACGCTGAGCAAATTCACGTTGAAACATAACAATAGCACAGCGAAATATCGGTCGATGTAACAGTAATTTAAACACAAATGGACTGGAGATCTACACGACGAAGAAACTTTTTCGATAGAAGAATCAAATTTGTCTAGACTTTTACTTGATAGGGTAGATTTGCAACGCATAAATCAAAAAATGGAAAGTCACTTTTCAGAACATCACCAATAACGATATCTAATTTAGATTTGAATGGCCTAAATGAGAGTTTGATAATGAAATGATTGAGAAATGAGACTTACGTTCCTTGAACTCGTTTTTGAAGTTCAGCTACTAGACGTGGATCGATTTCAAACGCAATGACTTTCTTTGCCTTCTCCAAGAGACGAACTGTTAAATTACCCGTTCCTGGACCGATTTCAACTACGACATCCGTCGGACGAACAGCAGCCTACGCAAACCAAACATCTTTTCATTTTTCTCCTCGAAAAACAGTCATCGAAGAATTACTTTTTCAACCATACTGGTGATAATCAACGGATTCTTCAAAATATGTTGACCGAATTCCTTATTAAAGTTTATGCCTGAAAAACAAGAAGATCATTTTTCAAAGAGTTGAAATGTACTTATACCCTCTTTTTGAATTTCTTTATGAACTCGACTTTTCTTTTGCACACGTTCTTTCGGCATTGTATTCGGTTTTTCTTTATCTAAAAAACCACGGTGAAGATATGGAGTTCTTTTCTAAGAATAGGACATAATGGGACATTCGTTTTCCTTTTTTCTGTCTACATATACATCAATCGATCAAAAAAAAACCAGAAAAAGAGAGAAAAAGTGAGGAGAAAAGAATTGGTCTTTGAAAATTGTTTGTCGGCGATCACCAGCGTGTCTTAACCGATGTTTCGAGATATTCCTTATATCTCGCATTCTTCAGCTGAGCTTGGAATCTCGCAGCACGTTCTTCATATGTTGGTCCTAAGAAAAAGTGTCCCCGATTCCAATGATGAACATCCGACCATCCACCAAGTACACCTCGATTGGTTGCATAACCAGCATGTGCAGAATTGTAGAGACCGGCTGATATACCACCGAGGATATACGCAACTGGAATCGATACTCCAACGAAACGTGAGTTTCGAATCCACATGGCCGAAACGACAACACCTGTTAGAGCACCAACGAGTGCTGCATCAATGTCCCGACCGATTTCAGTATCGGGATAACCACGCAGAGCACGAACGACAGGCCATGAGCCGCAATAAATGAGACATGATGCGGTAAAAAAAGCACATGGACGAAGTGCGCGAAGAATCGCCGCATTTCGAGGTACTTGGTATCGCGTACGAAGGTTTCCATAATTAACTGAAAAACAAACACTCATAAGAAAAACCAACCGACTATTTCTATTGAATTCATCTTACGTGCATAGATAAGTATCGATCCTTTGAGACCGAAACCGAGACCTGCCGCCATTCTTTGAGGAATTGGTGCATCAACATCAAGTGACCACATGCCTGTTGTCGTAAACTCTCTCAAAGATTCCCATCCATTTTCACTCCAGAAGAAACGTGTTGCAATACGTGTTGGTGCCCATCGATAATAATGCCAGTAATAATCATAGCTGAAAAGAGTCATGCACAACGAGCATGAAATTGGAAATCAAACTTAAGAAACATACAAATCTTTGAATTTTTCCAGAATGAAACCTCCGGACGAACGTTGAGGCTGATTTGGTAAACGAACCGGATAAGAACCTGTTGTTTGTGTAAATTCACTACTACCGACTAGTTCATTCGCTGGTCGTTTACTCGTTGGCAACGAGTCTTTATCATCTTTCGATTTTTTATCTTCAGGCATGAGTAAAGGAAACACTGAATGATTCCTTCAAAATACCTCTTTCTGTACTTCGTTATTGACTAAATCAATGTTCTCGATATCTACTAGAGAAGTCTATTCGACCAATTGGAAATAACTGTTACTTTCGATAGAGGCGCCACATGATTGTCGTCAGCGTAAACTGGTGAAAAAGCGTTGTTTGTTATTCTTTAGTATGACAGCGAAAGTTTTATCCATCTCATTCTTATCTTCACCTCGTTTTTTTGCCCTTCATACGCACCTCATTAAACGCACAATCACGAGAACGATGACGTCTTCGTCCGAACAACTATCGAAAGCCCAAACTCCAATGGAGCAACGTACCGATCTTTTAGCGAAACGGTTTCTTGGCTTGGAGAAGAATATCTGGTATAGAAACATCGAAATTCCATTTGACTTATAATTTACTTCTTTTCTTTAGGATTGAGTTTGCTGCATTAGCTGTCGAACACAAGGCAGTTAATGTCGGACAAGGTTTTATTGACTACGAACCACCTCAATATCTTATCGATTTCTGGAAAGCAACTGTCAATGATCCGAATATTCTTCTACATCAATACACACGTGGATTCGTGAGCTTTAAACATATGAATTCAAAATCATAAGACTTTCTCGCTTGGAATAGGGTCATCGACGGTTAGTCGAAGCCATTTCAAATGTCTATTCGCCATTTTTCAATCGAAAAATCGATCCTTTGAACGAAATCCTCGTCACCGGTGGTGCGTACCCTTCATTATTCAATTCTTTTCATGGTTTTCTCAACCATGGCGACGAAGTACAGTTTCTTTCAACGATAGCTTTAAGAAAAAAACATGTTCAATATTTGATTTTCTAGGCAATTCTAATCGAACCCTTCTTTGATTGTTATGAACCAATGGTTCGTTCTTCTGGAGCAGTTCCACGATGTATTGCACTAAAACCAGTATGTAACCGATTCTTCTTCTTCTTGTCACGAGTAATTCTGAATATAGACACCGGCATCCATCGATGCGGATATTTCATCAAGTTCAGATTGGGTTCTCGATAAGGATGAATTAGAATCGATGTTCAATTCCCGTACACGTCTTATTATCATCAACACTCCAAACAATCCAATTGGAAAAGTATGTTCGAACGTGCAAATTCTCCTTTCATCAAGAATATTTCTGCTCAAAGGTGTTCACTCGTGAAGAACTTGAACATATCGCGAGTTTATGTCAAAAGCATAACGTGATTTGCATATCGGATGAAGTTTATGAATGGATCACCTACGATCCAACCAAGAAACATATCCGTATAGCAACATTGCCAAATATGTGGGAACGAACAGTGACGATCGGAAGTGCGGGAAAAACATTTTCATCAACTGGTTTGAAACTAGGATGGACAATAGGGCCGAAACATCTCATTCGTTGTTGTCAAATTGCTCATCAAGTAAATTGATGACGAAAAACTTTCATCGAACGGGTAAAGAGAATTGATTTAGGATTGTGTTTATACGTGTCCAACTCTTCCCCAAGAAGTGATTGCTCGTTGTTTCGAATATGAACTCACGCGTCTGAATTCGCCTGAATGTTATTTTAATTCGATTCCGTCAGAATTTATTGGCAAACGTGATAAACTTGTTCAAGCTTTGAAAGAATGCGGAATGAAACCGGTCGTGCCCGATGGAGGCTATTTCGTTCTTGCTGATTTTAGTCAACTTGGTTTGTTGAAATTCATCAAAGCAAACACAATTTTCATTTCTGCATTTTAGCCGGTGATCAATTTCAGTCCGACGCTGAAGACATGAAAGATTTTAAATTTGTTCGATATTTAACTAAAGAAAAAGTAAGGCGTGTTTGAGCTTCAGGGAGTGCGTGACGCGTGTTGATTTCTTTTGTAGCAACTCGCAACTATTCCGGTGACTGGCTTTTATACAGCCGAACATCGTCGTTCGGTGGATAAATACATTCGCTTTTGTTTTGCCAAAGTGAGGACGAATTGAATGTGATCTTCGTTTTACTCAATATTTTAATTTTTAGAAAGACGAAACTCTCGACAAAGCTATTGAAATTCTCCGAAAGCTCAAGAAGCAATAGAGTGTCACAGCAGTCATGCTTTCCCATTAGTTTACAATCATCTTTATGAAACTTCATATGAATTATGCTTATCTTTTCAAAAGAAAAAAATATTCATTTACACCGAACCATCATGATGATACTTTTCTTTTCATTCTTGACTCATTTATCCTAGATGATAAGACGCTTTTTTGATAAGAACTTTATCGGTTTGAAGATTAAAACGCAAATGTATTTTTCTGATATACTGTTCGACAAACAGGACAATTCGGGGTTGGTTCACAACAATATTCTTCAAACATTTGTAAACATGTAGCGTGGAAGACGTGTGTACAACTCAACAATATCAATGGTCTTTTCGGTTGTTGTTGTTGTTTGGGCTTTTGTTCGATAGGTTTGACTGTTTGCGGAAGTAGTTTCTCTAATTTATTTTTCGTTGTTTTGACGGGCTTTTTCGTGTGTGGTTCGATAATCACCGGTTGTAAGGCACATTTACATATCGAACATTCGAATTCGTTTCGTTGTTTGGCACGTTCTTTGATATCTCGCCACTCATCTTCATCAATCGTTCGTATTCGCGCATCGAATGCTTGTCGTATAGCACGCGCTTTCTCGACATTTCGATCGATTTCATTGAACAAATCATTGAGATCGAAGTCGCACGATGCAATGATACGATCGGTAATCTGAGATAACTTGTCTTGGTAAAACTTTCGACGCAATTTCGTATCGTCAGGTATATGTGACATGTCTAATCGAAAGCTCTTATACCATTGTCGAACGATATAGCCGCGCCATGCGGCTTGAATGCGAGCAGCACATTTAGCGCGATGAATTTTCGCGCCTTCGTAGATGATACGTTTTTCATATTGCGAACGGCGACATAGTGGACAGGTACGAAGGTCTGATCCATTAGCGTTGTTTGAAACAAACTTTTCGAACGTTTGCAAACAAGCTCGATGGAAAACATGGGAACATGAGAGAAGAACTTGTTGACCTAATCCAAAATCTTCTTGACAAATCGCACATGGACATTTGGAATCTTCACGAGAATTGGATTGTTGTTTAATGACATTCCAGGCGGCTTCACTTAAATGATTGTTCTTCTTCGACTCGCTTTCAACCAATCCAATCCTTTCCGCTAATGTTTCACGTTGTCGATGTGTAACTACTGATGTCTGAGAATCTGGAATAACATATTCACGTTCTTCGTTTACTACCGGTTGAGTTATGTTTTGAGGTTGTATTGGTGGTAGAACCAACATTTCCTTTTTCTTCTTTAGTCCAGTATCGACAACGGCACGAACTTCATGTTTGCGAATATGAGGATGAGTTCGGAATAGATTTTGAGTAGCAAAACGAGTTGGCATGCTAAGATCCAAATTTCGCGAACGATAGTCCTGAATTGCACTACTCATCAATGCCGAGCTATAATTTATGTTCATATTATCACCAAGAACTAAAACATCGAAAGTTTTTGATCGAAGAAATTAAACTTTTCTCTTTACTTCGTCGTTTATTCGCCATTAGAATTGTTTAGTAATGATTGCCATGCTTGTTGAAGAATTCCCTTCGTTTCTTTTTCTCTTTTCTGTCGTTCTTCGTTACTAACCAGCAACGAGAAGACAGAGAAAACAACAAGGTGAACTGTTTCTTTCGGAAGAAAAGAAAGAAAGAAAGAAAAACGATTGATTAATCATCTCTCTCTCTTTCTTATAAGTTTTCTTAAATAAAATAAATACATGACGATATTATATCTGTTGGGTCAATAGAAAATTTCTTTTTATTTCGATAATTACATTGTTAGATAGTACATATTGACTTATCAAGGAGGATGGTCTCGAACGATCAATCAAGTTCGTATATAAGAGTAAGCATATCGAGACAATTTGTCTTCACTTTTGAATCAAACTATTGACAATGATCAAACTGATTCTGTCAATCATTTCTATCGAATTACTTCTGATGACCATTGTTGAATGTCAAATGTGGAATGAAACAGGTAATTCAAGTGAGAAATCGGTTTTGAGCGTTGAAATTTGGTTGTATGTTGAGTAGATGCATCGGAAAATGCAACAATGATGATTCCGCCGAAGCCATTTGTTTATTATGGTCGGTATCACCATCGCGAACGACTTCGTCGTGCATATTTAGACGATAATTCAACAGCAGAACATGAAACTATGGCAACAATTCTTTCGATTCTTCCGTTGGATCGCCTAGGCGCTGTTATTGGTCAACTGATTGCCACAAGTTTCAAAGAAATGCTCAGTCCAAACGTTGGTAAAAAGATTCTTAATGTTCTAGAAACTCAAGCGCCATCGTTAGCAACATCACTTTTTACTAATCTTTATGCGACATTACGTGTTCCAGCACGATCGACAAGCAGAAATGCTCCTGTTCAAAGTGATCGGAATGTGAATACACCATTGAGTAATAGTTCAAAATTATTCTTACTCAATCAACTCAAACGTTCGAAAACAAAATAGATTTTTCCAAAAGTTTCTTTTCATGTATCACTCGTCTACTCTGTAAAAAATATGATGACATGCTGAATTGGATTTTGATACTATTTTCAGAATAACTCGAGGTTCTTGTAAGAGAGATCTAAAACTTAAAATAGTTTTAGCTAGACAGGCGAAACTATAAAGAGTTTTACACTTCTCTTCTCGAACTCTAACAAAAGATTCTGAAAATGGTGCCCAAATCTACGACGATAAAAGATTCTGACTCTTCGCTAGAATCTTTTATGGTTTAGTATGATCGCATATTTTTCAGAGAGTATCGGAAAATATAAAAAAACAAACAGTTCAAAATCTCTTGTACTTTTTGCTTAATGTCTATAATCGCAATTTTTACAATCAGATGTTCTTTTACCATCGACTCTCCGACGATTCTTTATTTAACTAACTCTCTTGAAGAATGATCATTAAAAATTATCTTTACATGAACATTTACCATTTGGAAAGAAATGATGTATTCGATTTACATCGCGGACAATAATGGTGCATTGATGAATTTTTGCGATTAGTTTCGTAGCGTTATCTAAAATGATGTTTATCTTGGTAGGACACAAGTAACGATTTCACTCACGACAATCTCCGCAAATACGTAGATTTTTTACGATTTGAATGCGTGTTGGTGTCGGACGTTGAATTAAATTGTACACAATTGCCAATCGTTCACTATGTCCCGAGAGAACTGATTGAACTGTTTCATTTTCGTCCATTTCTCGTGTTACCCAATAGCCATCAGGTTTATAACCATGTCGAATTAGTTCATTTGTTAATCGATTCAATTCTTCATAGATTCTTGACGAATCCGGGTGTGATTTGTCATGAGCGTGAAATACCTGTTTGAAAACTCAAATGTAACTTATCATGAAGTTCGTTTCACACACATGTATCTTCTTATCAACGACAGTCCATGAACAGCCAATAACCTTTTTCTTTTCAGACAGATTGATTTCCGTTCGAATATCTGATGACGTTGAAAGATCTCCAGCTGAAGCATGTGCATTGGCAAGAAGAACTTTAGCTGATATGAGAGAATTGTCATCATGGCCAAAATTGAATTTCATACGACGATATATTTCGTCTACCAATGATAAGTTTTTTGCATTTCGAGCAGATGACAATAATGACACTATTTCAATGAAATAAGAGTACAAGTAAAATACTAGAAATCAACTTACTATACATAGGAAGAGAAGGACTGTTTGGTTTGTTCTCGTATTCATTGAGTAACATTTGCGCACGGTCAAAAAGGAACACTCGGCTGACAACATCGATCTATTCAAAGGAAAATTTCTATATTCATCTATAAGAAAAACTATTCACCATAGCAGTATAAACGTGTTCAGTGCGTTGATTCATGGGAATTTCTTCGAAAATTTTCTCAGCTTGTTTAACAAAGCCCGAATGAGAACAAGCATTCAAAACACATATATATGTGACATTATCCAATAAATTCACAGGAGTTTTCTTGAATAATTCAATTGCTTCTAAGCCCATTCCATTTAGACCAAAACTATTAACTGAAACCAGATTATCTGTCAAATGTTAGACAAAACTTTAGATATGTACTCATAGTTGCATATGCAACGTTGTTAGGATGTTCAATTAAATCAAATATTTCTTTGCTTTTATCTGGACAACCGATTTTACCCTTAAACAAGCATTACAAAATGGATTTCCAGAGTATAAAAAATGCACTTTACCCACAAATCAACCAACCCAATTTGAATCCATGGGTTTAATTGCAAATCTTTAGGAATTTCATCAATTAACGACTCCGCCAGCGTAATATCACCTATTCTCGAGAATGCATCGATAGCTAAAGTGAAAATAAATTCATTCGGACGTAAACCATCAATTTTCATTCTATGATATAAAGCACAAGTCTTCTCCGGTTGCTTTTGCACATTGTAGAGCTTCATCATCGATCCATAAGAAATAACATCTCGTTTGATTCGATTAAACAATGATTCCGCATTTGAAATATCGTTACATTTGACAAACATATTCAAAACCGAATAGAGTAAACTGTTTGATTGTTTTAGTTTTGGGTCCAACTGTCTGAAGACTTTCTTTCCTAAGCTCAATGCATGATCAGTTTTCGATTGGGCACAGGCATTGAAAAATATTGTCAAGATGATTTCATCAGGTTGATCAATTTGAAAAAATAGGTCAATCGCTTTTTGTTCCAGTTTATTCGAAACAAAACCTGCAAAATCGACGCCAGTTAATGACTGACCAACAGAAATTGTATCAATCTGCTTACCATTCATCATTGCACTAAAAACGATCGGGTTTTTCTTCGAAACTTGATGAAAGATCTCTTCTGCTTTATAAATATCACCAGATTTGGCAAACATTTCCAAAGCACATGTTGTCACTACTTCATTCTTGCTGAATTTCTTTGGCATTTGATTAAAAATCATTTTGCTGAAGTTCAATGATTGTTGATCGCAACTATTTGTACAAGCTTTGAATAACATACTAAACGTATATTCATTCACCATTGTGTTCTGTGCTTGGAAAAGCTTCGATGCAATGTCATAACGATGATTATTCACAAGACCTACACATATGGAATCAATAGTATTTGTTAGTTGAAAAAGAAGACAGACAATCCTCACCATCGAGAATGTAATTAAACATTTGTGTTGTCCTATTTCTACTATTCTTGAAAATGTCTAAACTTGTTTCATATTCGCCACATTTCACTATAGAATACAAAAGTATTCTTAGGATATTGTTGAGTTCGGACGAATTTACTATATAGACGGATTAGATTGATTTGAATGAAGGAATTGTTTGAGAGATAAGATGAGAGATTTTTATGTATATCTTTTCCGTGTTTTATATCGGAAAGTTCAACGCAAGCTTTTAGAGCTTGATTTATTACTAAACTAGATGCTGGCTTGTTCGTTTTCTCAATTTCCTTTTGATATAAACTGAGAGCCTTTTTAAACTGATTAGTATCATTGAGCCTCTTCATCTGAGAGCCTAAGTCAGTGAAACTAGATAGGTAACGATGGAAAGGAAACCGCGCTAGATATATCATCTAAAATTAGAACTAATCTCAAAACACAGAAATCAACATATAAAACTTGTAAATACAATATGCATTTACTGACTTCTCTATCTCATTGAGTTACTCTTCCATTCGAAGACTTAAACAATGATTAATACCTTTATTCTTCAAGTTTTCTCAAGCATTCAGACCTAAAAACAGATCGAATAATTCAAAGTGAATGATGAAAAGCACAAACGAATAGATATATATGACAAATGTGTTCAGCCAATCCATTAGATCAGAGAAGTATTTCTACAGTGACATCTATCAAAAGATATACGCGCGGTGTGGTACCCTACCCATGTTGTTAGTTAACTTATCGACATAAGGACTCTTGAAAAAACGATTGTACACTGTAGACATTAAATCTATGTTGTCTTAATAATGAACGATTCATTCAATACTCTCATGTAAAATATCAGTTATTCTTAACTTTATCTATTCAAGAATTCTAATACGCTCAATTCTAACAACTTGAGTAGCTTTGAATTTCCGACAACGATACTTTTAATTAATCTCAAAAATGAGCTTGTACAAATCAAAAGAAAAAGTACAGTCACTTACACGTTTACCACCAACTATCAACAAGTCACTGGGTAATATTTTGAAATTATTTTTACTTAACAGAAGCAGACATTCGGAAACTAAACAAATTTTTTCAAAGTTTCTAATCATTTAATATTTACCTTTTTTTTCAAAATATAGACAGACAATTTTCTGTATTTTCTAGTTTTTCTTAATTCTACTGAACAAAGACAATCAAAAATAATCTTTACATGAACATTCCCCTGTCGGAAAGAAATGATGTATTCGATTCGCATCTCGCACCTTGATCTCACATTTGCGAACTTTTGCGATTAGTTTCGTAGCCGTATCTACAGCAATACCAATCTATATAGAACACAAATATCCGATTCACTCACGACAATCAATACACATTCGTAGATTTGTAGCCACTTGAATTTTAGTTGGTGTTGGATTTTGAATTAAATTGTACACAATTGCTAATCGTTCACAATGTTCTGATAAGATCGATTGAACTGTATCATTTTCACCGATGTCTCGTACAATCCATGAACCATCAGGTTTATAGCCATGTTGAATTAGTTCGTTGGTCAATCTATTCAATTCTTGATAGATTTTGAATGAATCGGGATGCGATCGATCATGAGCGCGGAATGTCTGTTAGAAAAATCCGGTAAAAGTTATCGTAAAATCCTTATTGCTTACATGTATTTCATTATTAACACCAGTCCAAGCACAAGCAACGAATTTCTTTGTTGAAGATGATTTAAAACCCATTTGAGCACTTGATGAAACGGAGAACTTTTGTGCATGAGAAAGAAAAGCTTGTGCTGGTTTAATAAACTGAACAAATTTTTCAGTCAAGAAAAGATTTTTCGTATGTCGAGCAAATGTTAACATCGAGCTTTATTTTACAAATATAACTACATGTCATGTACCCAGACATTACATACAACGATAGAGAGAAACCGTTAGTTGCATGTATGATTCATAGATAGATCAGCGTGAAGGAGAGAGAATTTAATAAATGACCATCCTCATGGCATTTGAACCACAGTTCATCCTATTGAAGAAATGCAACTCCTTTCCAGATAGTTTTGCACATTGTAGAGCTTCATAACTTGTGAATAGAAATGATATTCCGTTTAATTTAATTCAAGAGCAATTCTCTCCGCTCTCTATTCTACAATAGAGAATGACTCAAGCGGACAATTCAAAACTATTTACACTACATATCCTCGTCATTTGATGGATAAACAAAATAGTTCAACTAGTTTACAATCCACCGTTTAGTATTGGTTACTATGACCATACGAGAATTACCAATGAATGATAAATTATTCATTACATCACATTTCCAAGAAAGTTCTTTCTGTACCTGTGTGTTTTCGTAGCTGTAACGAATTTTGTATTTAGTATTTGTCTAATACTGCGGATCGTCTTAGTATTGCGAATGTCTTCACCTATATTTATAAAACTTAGAATAGTTAAGCGACTATTGTATGTCTTTCGTGACAAAAACTGAGTAGTAAAGCTTGAAGAAAAGTATTAAACTCCACTTCTTCGCATTTTCCATAACAAAAGGAACGTTTCTACACAAATATAAATAGAATATTTTCATGAATGTGTAATGTAAATGGGTCTATATAATATATATATATATATTCACCACCTGATCGAATGTTATTAATAAAAATAAAATTCTTTAATTCAAGTTCACTTCAACACTTATGAACAAGTATTAATAAATATTTAAAATCTAGTTTATTGTTAACAATCGAGCATATTCATGATGACATCAAACGTCGCACTCTTATGAAGAAAGTCTTTGTATTTCTTTTCTTTCATATGCAAATTATTCACTTTGGTTTTCAAATCATCTAATCTCCCATTTGTCGAATATACAAATAAAGTAGATCGATTAAACAAGATGATACACCAACAAATACGTCAAATTCTAAGTTTTAGTTATTAAAAAAATAGACAAAATCTAATGACGTAGTGAAAAAGAATCTTTTTCTCATTGGACATGAATAGAAGAGATTGCCATTCTAATTTTATCTCTTTTTTTTCCTCTGTTCTTTCTGGTTAACTGAAGAAAACAGCAAAGTTTGTTCGCTTGCACTGTCGCTATTGAATCGTCAGCATAGGCTTTGCCCTTCTCGACGTCGTCGATGTCGTTCTCTCTTCTTTCTCTCACACAAAGAAAGAATCTTTTGTTTTGGTTGATATAGTGGCGCGTAGTGCACGCACACAATCAATAGACTCTATACATGACGATTTAATGCGGCGGCGGCGGCGTCGTAGTCGTCGTCGTTGTCGGCCAGGGTGAAGGGAAGATGGATTGGTTGAAAAAGATGATGATGAGGAGAACGAAGCTACTTTCTTCCTCTCTCTTTCACGATACCGTATGCCTGTGTCTATATATGTGGCAAAGCGCGGCAACAGTGAAAGGACATATACGCACGGCCCTACATACAGAGAAACAAACGAGGAAAACGGCGACGTACGCGCACCACTACTCGGCAATCGCTGCAAGGAAAGCAAAGAAGAAAGAAGAGAACGAACGAGAGAAAGAAGAAGAAATAGCTGCTTGTCATATTCTCTCTTTTTCTGTGTGTTAGTCCTATGTTGATTTGATTCCTTCCTTCTCTCCTCCATCTATTCTTGCATTCACTACTACTGTGTTCCTATCAACCAACTAAACTTAATCAATGGCCGATTCAACCGATGCATTGTCTTCACCGACAGCTACTGCCACCAAGGGTAAGACTAGCTCTTTAGTTCGACTTCCTCATTCGAACCCATTGTTTTCAACAGGCACAAAACGAGAAGCTGAATTGGATGATATCAGTCCAAGTAAATTAAAAGCTTTAAAAGCATCCAAAAATGGTACTAATGGTGATGCACCAACCGTAGTTGATGATGATTCGTCTAATCACAAAAATGGCGACTATCATGAAGACGACGAAGACGATGACGATGTAAGTGAAATGAAGGAAAAAAAACATGAAATATCTTTGAATCTGTTTTTAGGTAGGTGGCGATTATGATGAAGAAGATGGTTCGGATGAGGACTATGACGAAGAAGACGACGGAGAAAATGGTGAAGAGGACGAAGGTAATTAAACCACAACTAGAGCAAACCGTATTCTCATTTGTTTTCTGTTGCAGGAGATTCCAAAGCATCTGCTGGTAAATCCAATTCTCGAAAAGCAGCCGCTGGTGCCTCAGCTGATAGTGGCGCTGACGATAGTGGCGAGGAGGAAGAGGACGATGAACAGGAATAGATTCGCAGATATGTCAATGTTCTCATAACAATTCTTTTTTTTTTCTTGTCATGGTCGAAAAATGTAAATCCAGCAGATATGTTTTGTTCATCGAAGCAGACACACATGAGAAAGCAAAAAATAATTCTTAGCGAATTCTGTTTACTTTTCTTCTGTTGTTCATTTTTGTTGTTCTTCTAACGCCTCCTTCTTGATGTTGTTGTACATTTTTTCTTGTGTGCCGGTTTCTTGGTCATATACGTGTGTACTTTTTCTTGTTCTCTTTGCGATTATTTCGCAAAATTCATTCATTCATTCATTGAAGAATATAGAAAAACAAACAATATAGAGCAAAATCGTATATACACGGAAACAGAACATGAAATATCTGAACATGTTGATGACAATGAGAAAGAAAGGAAAAAAAATTGAAGAACATCTTCAAGTTGTCACGGATGATAAATAATTGTGTTGCTGCTGATGATCAAGTCTAGAGGAAAAGCGAAAACAACGGTTAAGAGATTATCTTTGTGTCGAAACAGGAAAAGAAGAAAGAAGGGAGCTTTTCGATAGATGTCACTAGAAGCATGTCGAGAATAAGAGGTATTCTTTGCAAACTAAGCAATTTGTTCTCTGGAATCGAAGAGGAGACGTCTGGGAACATTTTGGTCGCTGTTGAATGCGTGTATCGTACGCTATTTATCATCACAAATCATCCGAATCTGAAAGGCGATCTAGCGATTCATCATAGAGCGAAACAGATCATCACAGACACATGACTTGCTCAACTTAGCATACGCATTATTTTAATTTACATTTAACCAAGAAAAAACACTGACAGACTTGTTTCAATTTTTGAAGATCTTGTTGCACTATCCGACGCATGATGAATAATTTTCCATATTAAAAGCAAACCGACGTTACATTCCAGACAGCAAATATCTTGTCAAGTCTATCTCAATATCCCATTTGTGAGGATCACCTATTCCTAGAGCAAATTTGCTTGTCAGAACGAAATACGTTCAAGTCCGTGGTATTGTGTGATGATCTGATTCATTCTATGTTGGAAGCTATTTGAAAAGAGAAAAGAAACGCACAGAAAAAAAGACAAAAAAAGAAAGAGAGAAAAGACAGACAAAGACGTAAACATAACGACATCAATACACTCGCACATACACAATTTCTGTTTTTTTTTATTCAAATTGACACAAATGAACGGCAATAGACATCGTCGATATAAAATCAAAGATTTTCTTGACTTGAATTGCTTTGCGATAACATGTATGCGTGTGGAGACATGCACCACTGTGATTTAGTTGACAAAAGAAAAAGATGAACGGTAGGAATAAATACATAATAAATCGAAGTTTGGAGCGTAAATGGTTCACATGGGCTTTTCGCCATTATTTATTAGTCATACTGCTTCCATTTTTCGATGGTATTGTTGTTGAACCTACCATTTCCGTTGTTTGGTGATGAGAAGCACTATTATCTATGTGTGGTTGTTGGAAACTGAAAACAACAGAAGAACAAAGTCACTTGTTTTTACAAACGAAAGAAAAAAAAAGCAAAAGAACGAGAAGCTTGGCTTACAATAGACCGATTTCATATATGTAAATATCTACGAGAGGATTCGAATATAAGGTGATCGGTGGTGGACACGTGAAAAAGTTCGAAGAGATGGACGGGAGAGTATTTGAACGGATGCAAACCTACCTGTCAGAATTGATATACGTCGCATTTTCAGGACTATCCATTTGCATGTCTAGAAAGGAATCGGAAAGTCAATTGTGTATGCCATGTCGAATTAGCTCTCCTACCAGTGACTTGATTATATCGTTGATATTCAATGATTTCACGTTCTTTGAAATGCGCTTGGATTTCATTTTCACTCCAACCACGTCGTGATAATCGCTTATGTTCTTTACTCCACATTTCATGACAATCTTGTGTAAGTGCCAATCTAAACAAGGACGAAATAGGGAATTTGACTGAAGTTAACAGTGAACTAACTGAATGGGTTGAATGGATTCTTCTTTGATATCCTTAAGCCAATCTGAAAGAAGAGCATCGGTAGCACTGATACGTTTCGCTGGATCTAGTTCGAGCATTCGATCGAATAAGTCCAATGCAGGTACGGGAAGGCTAAACAACGAAAATCATGATCTCTGTTATTGGAAAAAACGATTTTTTTTACTATTGATAATCATCTCTTAGTTTTCTTCGATAGATTTTCTTTTGTTTCAATGTTGCGAATAATGGTAAATGAATCACGTCTGGCCAAACAGCAGGCGTTGGTGAACCACACAAACGTGAGATCATCTCTAATTGTTCGTCTTCTCTTTGAGCTTGGAATAACGGTCGACGCGTAAACAATTCTCCCAATATACATCTAATTAAAAAAAAAATTTTCTCGTCTCCCAACAAATCTTCGCCGAAGTCTACATACCCACAACTCCAAATATCAATTGCAGGTCCGTAACGTTCTTCACCAAGTAATAATTCCGGTGGTCGGTACCACAATGTGATAACTTTGTTTGTATATGGTCGATCTTTATCATCAGCGTTATACAGACGTGCCAAACCGAAATCTGCTAATTTGATCTTTCCACTATTATTTAATAATATATTGGAACATTTGATATCACGATGAAGAAACTTTTTTTGATGACAAAATGCTAAACCAGACATAAGTTGGTAGATGAACATTCGAACATGTTCGATATCAAGTTCAATTAAACCCGAATCGAGTAAACCGAACAAATCATGATCACAATATTCAAAAACTAAATAAAATGACGTATCATTTTTGATATCAACTATATTTCGCGCATCCATGATGATTTCTTTTAAATTGACAATGTTTGGATGCGCTAGTTGACGAAGGATTTGAATTTCACGGATGGCCGTGATTGGAAAACCTTCCTTCTCATTTTCTAGACGAACTTTTTTTAATGCACAAAGATCACCTAAACGAAACTTGCTCGTAGATCACGAAAAATGTAATTGCTCAACAAACCGGTTGCTTTTTCACGTGCTTTAAAAACTTCACCATAGGTTCCTTCGCCTATCTTGGCTAAAATTTCATAGACTTCAACCGTTCGTTCTCCCCATTGATTTTGCACCATGTCATCTCGACGTTGAAGAATCCTACATGAGAGAGAAGCCGATCCGATCGAAGCAGAACTTATTTTTGCCAATTCTTACAGTGGCCGTCGAATGGGCTTATCAGAAACATTTGGAGAAGTATTTGTTGGACTTGACGGTGATAGAGAATCAGGTTTATAGTCAGGTGGCATAGGTAACGACCGTGTTAAATTGGTTTGGCCAGCCAATGGCGGAACATTTGTTGTGCGACGACGGGAACCACTGTTCGATGGAGAAAAGAAATCAATGGGAACGTCTCGTGAAGCCAAACAAACTTACTCAGAACGATTAGAATTGGAATTCTTATCATTTGAATTGGCATTTGACTACAAAAATAAAAGAATTGAGATGAGACAACGTGTGAAGGTGTGTGCTTTACATCGATGTCATTCTTCGCATCTTGTACACTAGTCGACTGGTTATTTGATGAGACGATTTTGGTTTTGTTGAGTTTGGGTCGAATTTTGTCGAGTTCTGAGGCTAAAGTGCCTTTCGTCGAACGTTGATATTGACTATTTGTATCATTTTCATTTGATGACGAATGATCACTTGAATGTGTTGACGATGATGAAGATTTGCGATGATATTTTGATCGTTTTTGATTGGAATAACGATATGAAGAATGAGTTGGCACAGGATGTGAAGATGATGGACTTGATCGACGATGTCGTTTTGGTGAATAACTACTGTTGTCTGTATGGTGCTGCTTTCGTTTCTTGTGTTTTATATCAAAATTTGGATCGTTCGAAGATGTTTCGTTGGGCGCATCGCGCGAATGGGTATAATAATAAGACTGAGAGGAACGAGATGTTCGCTTGCTGGAATCATGCCGTGATCGATGAGAACTTCGACTGCATTTACGAAAAAAAAACGATACGTGACATAATGATGAATGAAGCGTGGAGATTACCTGTGTTGATTGGATTCATTGTTATTATCACTTGACGGGGAACGACGTGTTCGAGATTTTCTCTCAGAAGAACGTCGTCGGTTATGTTTGTGTTTCTTTTTCGATGTTGATGATCGATGGTGTCTGTCTGTTTTACTTGAAGTCGTTTCGGGAGATGATGATTCGGATGAAACCGATTCGAGCTGCGACTGATGATGATGGGGGTAGAATGTATCACGTGAACTTGTTCGATGGTTATTATTGTGGGTATGAGAATAAGAATTGGTTGAAGACGACATGAAAGTGTATTTTGAGCAAATCGTCATACGATACCAAAAAGGAGAGAAATATCCAATCTATACGAATAGATTTGAAGAAGGGAGAACGGTTTTCGTTCGGGTAAGAAACGACTTTGTTCAGTCGGAAGAAGATTTTCGAACGTTAATGCGAAAAAAACGAGTCAGTCATAAATTTCTAACATGACAAGAAAACAAATACCGACAGATAGACATCGAAGTGAAAAACAAGAGACGTATATGGAAGAGTTAGCCGGTTTAGAAATTTTATTGGTTAGACAAATTTCTTTTGACCAATTGAAAATTCTTTAGTTTGAATAGCCTTCGACATTCGTGACATGAAACTTTCATTTTCCAGCGCTACAATCGATACTTTTCTTTCTCACTAAATTCAGTCGAATGTGCACATAAAACAATTTCACTCTATTGAATTCCGTTTTTCTTTGTAATTTCTTCGATGCCAGATAATTGCATCGTAGATGTCGCTAGTTATTAGCTGAGTTACAGCACATCAGTCATATGTTGAACACATATAGAAGATTGATAGAGAGAAAGTATGACAACAGCAAATAAATATTTATTTTGAAAATATTAGGAAGACAAAAAAATAAAATAAGAAAACGTCTAAACGCATTGAAAACTAAGTCACGCTCAAGTTGACTACAAGACACAGAAGTTTGATAATTAGAGTAAAGAGAATTTTTGTACAAGGAAATAGATCTGCGAATAGTAAAACATTCTCATCAAACTACAAGACACTAACTGAAACTAGACGAATATCTGATCTGGAATATATGAATAAATAAATGTAAAACCAGCACCCGTTTCGATTTTACAACTTTCATGTATTATGCTGATGCAAATTTTTTTCTTGTATTCGACTAGGGCGAAAGACAAATGGTATTCAACTAAACCCACTGTTCATCGTTCAGATTTTCCTGTTTGTTACCGGACGGTACTGCTCGAATAACAGTTGGCGATGACAATTTACCACATCGGCATAGTTTTCCGAATCTAGACGAAGATATAAAAGCGACTAGATAAAGTAATCGTTTACGTTTAGTCTTACGGTATATCACCAAATCGATCAATCGGTCCGATGAATGAAAGTAGTGGAAGAAAAAACCATGTGGCAAACAACCAGCTAATGAACATGATTAACATAAGGAAAAAGCCCATCTGAGAAAAAGATGTTAGTTTGCTCGGTGCCATTGATACTCCAGCAAGAAAAGATGTAAAACCAGCAATGAAAACAGCTGAACCAACACGAGTTAGACTATTTTTGATTCGACGAAAACGTTGCAGATTTCCTTGTTGATGTCGACGCTTCAAACGTTGAAACAAACTTTCATTGTGATTTTGAGATTCTTCCTGATGATTCGTCCCATCCGATAAATGCAAGTTCTTTGTTGATTGTTTAATATCTGCTTGATTTTTCTTCCAATCTGCTTTGATATAAGCCACACCATAATGCACCGCTGTTAGAAAACACGAAAACTCACTTTCCGGATTCGAAACAAAACTTTCTTACTGAAATCAACACTTAAACCAACACTCATGATGATAATGATCGTTTCCAGGATATTTAATTCCCAACCGCACAGCACAAATATTGCTACGGTATCGGCAATGATAAACGTGATCGTCGTCATGGCATATAATGTGATTAGAACGTTGCCAGATGTTAACAGAAGCACGACAAGTGCAAATAGCATAGAGAATATCAATGATGTATATGTACCACGAATGACCTCACGCATCAGATCGTAAAATAAAAATTGAGGAGAGACGAACCAACTAAACGAAAACATGAAAAGAAAGACTTGACATTTCGCTTGTCTTTTACCCGTGTTTGACTTGTTTATAAACATGACCGTTCGAACCTTCGGTCGACCGTAGTTCTTCTAATCGTTCTTCGAAATAGTCTTGTAATTTGTTATAATACGCATCTTGAACAGCATATGAATTGAATGTAACATTCATATTGACAGTGAATAGAAATGCACGTATTTGTTTTGTTTTTTGATCAGGTAAAAACCCAATACGATAATTATCATCGCCACTTCCTGATTGAAATCGGTTCGAGCCTTTGAAAAGCTGAAAGAGTTGCTCCATTGCATTGATAGTTTGATTTCGATTCTCCGGAACGAAAAATTCATCGTCATCCGACAGGAAAACTGATTTCTTATTCGATGTGACAAATCCGCGTAATAATCGTCCTACAAACAGATCGAAAGGTAATTCTCCTTTAAAATAGATTCGTCATTACCGATGGTCAACCATTGCGAATACGTTTGTTGAACATTCATGAACAAATCACTTCGATTGAGGTTTTTGAGAAACGAATCAAACCATCGTAAAATTTCTGGATCGTAAAAATCGATATTTTCATTGTAAATCAATCTTTGTTTATTTTGATTAATTTTCGAATCTTCGGGATAAAATGGATGGACTAAATCGGTATCTTCAATTCCAAATACGAAGATCAACAACGGATTCGTCACATTATCTTTATCTTCATTGATATATGATAAAAATTGGTCACGCATTTGATATTCAAATCGTTCGAAGGGATGTGTCAGTTGAAAGAATTGGTAACGGCGTGACTTCGGTGGAGATAATTTTGGATGATAGAAAACGATGATCAATCCAATGATCCCAAAACAGAAGAAGACGAGAATTAAAATGTAACGAAGTTTAATAATCAAACGCGGAATATGAACAGTAAATATGACATGACTTAGGCGTGTTAATGATGCTAAAGTTTTGTCAAATAACGAAGGAAAATGATTAAAAAGTCCGAGACGTGCTGATAATGGTTCACAAACTTTTTCATAAACGATTACGAATGAAACAATCATTGTAATACTCATCAGAAAGTTAAATAAAATAGAAAATCCCTAGGAAAAACAAAATGACAATCTCAACGAGGTCGCCGTTTGTCAAACTCACCATGAAAAGTCCAAATAACTGCACATAAGCGATTCGAGTGATCATATTCGTGAAGAACGCCGCGGAAGTGGTAAAACTTGTAACAAATACACTGGCTGCTGCATGTCGTAGCAATCCGCCCATCATTTGAATCATCTGTTCGTCATTAACTTTCATCATTCGTATTAAATCCGGATTTTTTATTCGATCGAAATATTCCTCCTCCTCTTCTTCGTGATTTTCCACCGAACTGTCTGCTTGATTTTGATTTTCTTTCGTTAATAATTTCTTTCGTATCACCGACATCGTATAATCCCAATCGCGATGATACTGTTGCTCTTGTTGTTGAGTTAATTTACCGTAAAATTCGATTTGTCGATTTTGCAAACGCGCTTCGTTATAAATGTCTAATTTTTCCGAATACCACGCATCGAATATAACGAAAACATTATCACACGATATGCCAATCAGAATAAATGTTGACATTAGATTGATATACGGAAATAAATCGATACCTAACGCGATCTTATACGCGAAATACGCACACGCGAATGAAAAAACGACACAGATATTCGTCATAAGAGCGACTGTTATCGATCGAAGGTAAATGATTGTTACCTGAAAAGAAAAATTGAAATCAGTGAGTGAGTTTGTTGACGAATTACACTTACTCCAACGATTAAGGAGATGGCGAGAATAACGAAAAACATGTCAGCTCGGATTTGCTTCATGGCGGTAGATATTCGAATATCTAAGAAATTCAATGCGGAAATTCGCGTCCAGCCATCGTCGAATTTCGGATTTCGATAGAAATGTCTGATGAATAGGTCGTAAGCTGAATTCGCAGTATGAATTTCACTTCCATTGAGTAACTTTTTCGCTTGTTTTGGTTTTAGAAACCACATGGCAGTGTAACGGGTTTGATTCGTCGATAAAAACGTTTTGTCTAATAAATATTCCAATGATAAAAACGTAAAATTATATCGAAAACACGAATCATATTCGAATAATTCAATTGGTCTCGTTCGATAACGTTTTAAGCCCGCTAGACGAATCAAACCCGTTTGATACAACTTATGACAACGTTGTATACGATATACGAAGCTTGTGATGTCATTTTCAGTCAATTCAGAGCAATTGGGTTTGTTGGAGAAATATGAAATCATTTGTGGTAATGTATAATGACATGTGGAATTTAATTGAAACAATTGTAAAAGATTTTCTTGTTTATGACAAAGAGAACGAAGATTTTCGATTGTCAAAAGATTTTCGGACGACTTGTTACTTGATTCGAAATAAACTTCATAGTGACGATCTAGACAAGAGGAAAATTTCTCAGAATTCGAAGATTTCGTGGATACAAACTTAGATCAATCGATGTGCACATTTGTTCGTGTGGCTTGTTAATTTGATGTTCGATGGCTTTACCGAATCGGATCGGATCACTTCTATTGTTTAAGAGATTATATACTTGTTTATTTGTTAAACATTTCTCTTCGGTATTGGAAGGAAAGGCACACGTGTCGGAACTGCCTTCCAAATCTTTGAGAAGATCCGACTGGGATATGCTATCATCGTAATCAAGATCTTCGTCTTCTTCTTCATTTTGATTGGTATCAAGTGAGATTTTCGTATTGTTTGTTTGCTTCGCGGCTGCGATCTGTTTATCGAGCTCTTTTTTCACTCGTTCAAGAACGAATAAACGAGATGTTAACGTATTTTTACCCCTGGGCACAAAGCCCTACAAAAGAAAAACGAAGAAATCAACAAAAAAATCACCAGAAAAATCATATTTTACTTTAGTCGGATCATTGAAATCAGGTAGATCACCTCCAAGTATCGCTGACAAACCCAACGCGATACAAATGACTAATCCAAGTAACAAAAAACACCAGGAATATTTAACTAAGAATGTTGAGTACCTAAGCAAAATCATCAATAAGTCATCTTCAACTCCAAACTACTCACAATCGAATGGATTTTTCCGTATGAAATTCTATTCGAATGTTGACAGCATTTTTACAATCTACGTACGTCATATTAGACATTCAATCTAAGTCCTACTCAACATGATGTATACTTCAACTATGTATATAATGTATTTTCATGTCGTGACTATAACCTTCATATTCGACTGCTTCGATTTTTATATATTTAACGAATAAGTGCTGAGAGGAGAACACACATGTAAAGGACATGTCATGTAATTATGTGATGTAATACATTCTATATTGATTTAATGAGGTCAACTGTTAGATTCACGAGATTTGTTGAGTTAATCATCCTGATATTTTTTGTTAATATAACATCATCTACCTACTGACTTCTCTTCGGAGTCATCCAGTTCTGCTATTAGAGGAGAAATAAGTTGAGAATGATTTTCTGCTTTGATGATAATGTGTTGACGAAAAAAAATCAACGAAGAAGAAGGAGCTTACTTTCTATTTAAATAGGTTTCGGCTTCGAGCATGTTGATGGTTGGTTAAGGAAATGAAGCCATAATTAGATTTCACGGAAAGACACGAAAAAACGAATGCTGATGAAAAATTTTGTAAGCAGATCTAAAATATTCGATGAGGAAAAAAGGCGGTGAGAAAGAAAAATGTTATCAAACACTAGACGAGAAAAGTTTGTTATTTCTGCATGTGTTCGAATATATAAATAGCTGCGAAATGTGTGAAAGAACAGGAATATTAATTTATTAATCATCGTCAAACTGCATCGAAGGCGAACAAGCCCATTCGAATAGTTCTCTTTTCTGTTTTTTGTCAGACAACAGGACCCATGTTCATTAGCTATACCAATGAAAAAAAATAAGGAAAGGAAAGATAAGAACGATAAAAATCGGCCTTTGGAAGAGAACTGATGTTCGGACGGGAAAAATTTTGAGAAAAAAGTCGTTAGGGATAGAATATAAATGATTCAACCATAATCATCACCTTTTTTCCGATAGAACAACTGAAACAGGAAGAAAAAGAAATAACACATGATCTGTCAACCGAATAAATATGTGGAAATCGCTTTTCGTAATCCCTTTAAAAAGCATTAAGATTTGTTCGAACCCAAGCAAATCTTTCTCGACTTTAGTTACAATTTCATATGTTCCTCAAAGGCTCATCAAAAATACATGATGGAAGATAAAAGAATATTCGACTGAGTATACGATAAAGAATATTACAATACAAACAACAGGGAGGAAGCGATGATTCTCGATTGATTATTGACTTTGATCCAACCATTTTCTCGCGGAAATATTCTCGCGATGAAATTCAACAAAAACATCAGTCAATGACAGATATTTGACATTTTTTCATAAATACTAGAACGAGCACGAGTTATCCAATCTACAATTCAAGTTTACAGAAACAAAATTGTTGGTTTAGATGTCGCTAATGTCCTATGTTCTTCCTCATAGGCTTAAAAAATGTCATAGGAAAGAGAAAAGATCGAATATATACGTTTTTTTAGTAATGTCAAACTCGAAAGTTGAATTCAACTAGCGAAATGTTACCTTTGCACCTAATGTTCAAGGAGAACTGTATAGTTAAGCCTCTCTTTTGTGAATTTAGGACGGTGATTTGTTTCAATTTGGCAAATGACGAATGTATATTCCGAGTACTTGAGGTCAGAAAGCTATTTGAACTATGAAATAACTTGTTCAAGAACAGTAACGGATGCTAGTAGGGGATTATTGAAGATTTCTGCGTCCCTAATTAGATTTAATCTGTTAACGGAGAAACGACGATTAAATTTAATGCTTATTTCTGCAGGAGGAAATAGGGATTGATACAAAGAGAGATCGGTTCGAATATATCCGGTGTGTTACTCTGACTTCGTTGATTTATTTTTCTTTTCTTTTCTTCCTTTACAATTCAAAACATCAAGGACATTAGCATCCATTAATATTTTAACTCTTTCCAAGAGCAAAGCTTGAATAATTGAAATTACGCATCGCATATTTATAAAAACTAAAGTCGCTGATGCTATTTTTAAAAAAGCCCATGTTTATGCGATCCACAGGATTGATAATTAATCACGTTCTCGTTCGATGTTCTGAACTACAAGTATGTAAAAATTTCTTCAATCAACATTCAATATATAACCATTAATCCGAAAGTTGTTATTAACCAAGGCTAACATTTGAAATAAAATGAGCAAAATAAAATTTAAAAAAAATACTGTTTATCGTTTGAGTAGATGTACAAGTGCCATCATTTCCTGTGCTAAACTTGCTAAACTTGAATTATTCTGTGGTAGATAACACCCGATTCTTGTTAACATTGTTTCGATCGTTTCGCATGAACATGGGTGAACTTTATAATCCACTGAACTCGGTAATGATATCATCCAGGTTTTCAATGTTGACGAGATCTTCGCACGAACTTCCAGAGCTTTCGAAGACATTTTACTTGTAGTTGCATCATTAATATCACCGATGAGAAGACTTAATCTTAAACCAGCTATTGTAAGTAATTGAAAAGCGAGGGCTTGTCTGTCTTGAATGCGATTTTCTTCATGTGTTGCTAGATCATCGTAGTTGTATGCGTATAGAAGGGAAATATAATGCCGACGAATATACTCATGATCGACGAGCATGTCTGTTGATAACCGGATGATATTTTCGACGATTTTTTCATCAAATGGCTTCGTCATGCCATGTTGTTCGAAGACTGTGTTAAGCAAGCGTTCAAAAAACAGTTGTCTCTTGCTGGAAACCGTTCCATCGACATCAACAGTCACTAGTGGATGAGAATAGAGATCGGTGAAAAACGCGTGAACACCTTTTGTATCGAAGAGAGAAAACGGTCGAAAAGATTTGATATGATAATACATAAGATAGTACAAAATAAGGATTAGTTTTTCATGATGTAAAACCAAATGGCCGTTCGCAGGTTTTTGTTCCATGACGATTTCGAGTAAAGAAGTTTGTTGATCATTCGGTTCAGACGATGAGGATGTTGTGTAAAGATTGATGAATGGAGAGACTGGTTCAACTAAAAGCAAATTCTTACGAGAGAATGACTCGCGAAGTTCTTCTGTTACCTAAATGGTCGGACGAGGATGAATTCAAATTGATTTGCCAAACATTGTCAATGCTAAAAATAGGAATTTCATTTAATTGATTATAGATCGATTCGATGAATTTGTTGAAGAAATTCTTCGATAGTTCGTCCAAGAAATTTGTCAAGTCGTGTTCATTTAATCGAAGTTCTTTGTAACATATACGATCTTTGGGAATTTTGCCAATCTTTTCAATTAATTGGGTAAGTGTGACGATTCGAGAACGGATATAAGTGTGCCATAAGAGTGAACCGATGTTTTGTTTGATGATTCCGATTTGAATTTGATTATAAAAAGTTAATGAAAGATGAAAAAGTTCAGTCGCTGTTCGATTAGTCGCAGATATTAACTGTTTGTTCCACATATTCATTGAAATCCAACAGGAATATATCAAAAGAACAGTTGGTTCGAATGTATGCGGGAGAATTTGTCGACAAATGGCTAAATTACCTTTTGGAAGAAAAATACATATGCGTTTCTGTTGAAATTGCCTCAAAAATTATCTCTTACTTTGGAATGCACTTTCGTTCGCTTCATCAGAATTCGTTGATAACCATGTTGACGGAATATTTGCATTGATGATTCGACGTGTCACAAGTTCGAGTAAATAATCAGGTCGATGCGTGATGAAAACTGATTGAACCGTGAATTCGTTGGTTGTGGTATCAAACGATGGGTCACGTTGGTCGATGGTCTTCATCGAGGAATAGAAATTTTGTATCGCTACCAATGCTGACAAACGACGTATGAGAAGTGAAGTGTCGATCTCAGTGTCATACAATCGAAAGATTAAAGATAGCAGAAGCGCCGTCAATGCATTGGTCGTTTTCTCCAATGTTGTTTTTAACAAAACTTTATTCTGATTAATTGAATAGATAATCGAAAAGATTTGTTTCCATATTTGAATTGATTGTGGAAGATTTAAGGGAATAGAAAGTAATGAATGTAAACAGAGTAGAACAAGATCGTCATTTTTCAAATGAAGTAATCGTAAATAGGCACGGAATTTCTCTTCGAAATCGTCTTTCTCATTGTACCATAACCACGAAGAGAATAAATACGAACCAAGAAGTGAGAATTCATCGGAATTGATAGTTGATTTGATTTCCAGATGATCATTCATTGCGTGCGAATGACGCGATGATACAAACATCGATTGGAATTGACCGAAAGTATAATTCGTACTTAGAACGTCTTCGTTCTCATCAGCGATGAAATGAACTTTCTTCTTTGGATTATTCAGACGTTTCTGAAATTCCTGTTCGAATAGTCGATAATATAGAGTTGTTTCCTCATCAGTCAACTGAAGTTCAGTTTGAAAATCCTTCAAGAAAGCGAGAAGAACATATTTAGTATGTTCATTCCTTTTCTTACTTCTTTGGAAAAGAATTTCTCGTTTATCGATATCGATGCTTGATGATCAGTTCGATACTGTTCAATAACCGTGTAAATGTTCAGTAGAGTCGATGCATTATTACAAAATTCTTGTAGATGGACACAATCTTGTGGATTGTGATGATACGAATTTTTCTCCAAATCACTTAAAATTTCCTCGATAAACCGACGAATTGTACCTAAATCGAGGTAATCAGCGTGAAACAGAAGACCAAGAATTTCCGATTGACACTCGAGTGAGATCAATCGTTTCAACTGTTGACTAATATCATTTCTTAATGATTCATTATCGCCATTCGCGTCCTTTAGAAGACGACGAATTTGACGTACGATCATAATGTCATGTGCACGTTGATTATTTCGATCACTAAGAGAAAAGAAATAGCAGATATGAAAAACGTACCGTTCGTTCTCTACCTTAGAATAAGATGGAAAGGAATTTGAAATGTTTTGATCTCTCCATTTTCTTCCAATAAAATACATTGTTTATATTGAGATAATTTCGATGAATTCGATCCACTGCTCGACCATCCGAGAGTGTAATGTTCTAGATAAATTAAATGACTATTTTTCGATACATTGAAAGCAGCAACACGTGCTCCCTGTTGACAACCCCAGATCTAAATATTCCATATAGAATTTCTTTAAAAAAAGATCGTTTCTTCGTCATACTTCAACTAATTGTCGTTTGGGCGCGTGAATGACAAGGAAAAGAGCAGATTTTTTCGAAGATAAACTCATCGATGCATCACGTGTTGTCGCTTCTTCAATTTGTATAAAACCAATTTCTGCTTCTCGATAGCCTTTAAATATTCGAATAGCAATGCCTCGATGAATATCATAAACAATAATTCGACCGAAACTATCACAAACTGCAGCTATGTGAAGACCAGGTGAGACGATGATCTTCTCACCATGTCGACGTAAATCACGAATGCCAAATCTATGTTCGCATTTTATTCAACTATATTCATGTAATAGGGATCGTTTGAGCACTTACCTACTATCAAGTTTAGTCTCCGACTCGATTTTAGGCTTTTGAGTGTCGGAACTTGATGTTTGTTTAGTCGGCATCAATCGACTAGAGAGAAACGAAGCATATGTCAACAAACTGATTTTTAATAAGTTGGAAACTTACCTAAAGGCAGATATAAAGGAACTTTTGAACTTATCAACAACTGCAAAGGCGACTTCTGTTAGATGAGGCACTTGCGCACCCTAGAATTTGGAGTTATGAAGAAGAAGTTGAGAAAAAAAAATTTGAATTACTTCTGCACAATAATAAAAATTGCAATATGGCTCAACACCGACAGTTATCAAACGAGTAAAGAGAGGTGGAACCGAGCGAATCTGAATAGTACAACTTTTCATATTGAGATAATCAATAGAGAACTGTAGTTTACTTGTGCTTGATAACCACCAGTCATAGAAGCAACACAGAATTGATCGAAACGATTATCCGTGATTAATCCTGGATATACTCAATTGAAATAAATATGCATCACCATGTTTGAACGTTACCTGCAGGAGCGAAATCGTAGACTTGGTTTTGATCGGGAAAACCCCATTTTTTAAACGACAATTGTGGTGATGATGATGATAACATATTCGCTAGAGGAATCTCGTTTTGAAATAAAATCAAATCTCTGTGTTCTTACTAGATTTCAACGCATGTTCTCGACAAACTTTCAATAATTGATACAATGATAAACCATCAATAGCAACAAGAATTGATGAACGATATTGAATATATAATTCATCAGGCTAAATGAACTTCGAAGATTAAGAAACGCTTCTCAATCAGAGAAAATAATTACCTGTTCTGTTAAACTTCGAATATGTGAGGGAAATTGTGTATGACATTTCAACTTAACTACGGGTTCATCATGAAATATCTGAGAAAATAATAATACTCCATCCTAGAAATCAATTGATATGATATACAAATCGAAAGTGTTTTTCATTTCGTTTACTTCGTTATACATTCGAACATAACCGGTGCTGAAACCAATAATAATACACGTCCATTCCGGTGATGATCTATGAAACATATCATACGTCTTTATTCTCATTTCTCAATTCGAATTTGGTACCTTCTAGTATTCGAAGCAATTGGTAAACAAAGAATACTGGCAATTCTCTCACTGGAAAAAAAAATTTTAACATAAAAAAGATGATTACACATCTTGTTAGTGAATGTACTTAGATTCAACTTGTAATTTTGTCTCAAAGGACGTCGTAAAGTTTGACTGTTCATGACTTGAAGTTTTATTTCTTGCTAAATGAAGAGAAAATTTATTAAGAAAAAGATAAAAAAGTAACGAACCTGTGGAAACAATGATCTGCTGATCGAAAGCAGTAACAAGAAGATTTAATGCCGGAGAAAATGCTATTTGACATTCGCGTAACCATTGAGTTCGTTCACCGATTGTTTTCTTCTTTTTCTTTGTCTCTGTGGAGAGTAGCGCTGCTGTTCTAGCAACACTTTCCGACGCTAAATTAAGCAAATCATTCTCTTCAATAAAAACAAACAGATTTCAATGGTCTCACTTGGTTGTTGTTCATCATCTTCGGTGAAATCCGTGTCAGTTGTTGGATATTCAGCTTCACTGACAGATTTGAGTAAATGAGGGAGAAGCACTGCTCGAATTCGTGGTAAATCATCGATAGTCGAGATGGTGTTCAGAGAACAAGCCATGTGAAAAGAGAGGAAATTTGTTCTGTAAAAACCAACTTTTATTTAAATCTATTCTTACACCACTCTGACATTCCTATCGTATCAGCTGGCTCATCATCATTCGATTGGTAAAAATTGTGACCCAACAAAACATGAATTTCCATCAACGAAACTTTTCCCAACTCTCATTCCAAAATTCAACCCGTTCAACATATTTTTCTATACTAAAAATTCCACTATTAAACATTTCTAATTAATTATTATCAGCTAGCGCCATCTACTATCCACTTGAAGCCTGTTATTCTCTCAATTGAACATTAAATAAATTTTTGTCATTTCTAGGTGAAATATATATCTTTATTTTCACTTCCCATAATCAAACGCTTGGAAAAGTTTCTCTTCGAAAAACCACGACAATACGGCTGCTAATTAATAAAGACTTGTAATCAAACATCATTTATTCTTTCCTCTTTCTTTCTTTCATTGATGTCATCAGGAGAAGATAAGTTCGGGTATAAAAGAAAGAGAAAATTAAACTATTCCGGACGTTATTGTATCTCATCCTATTTCAGGTAGATAGAAAGTTTGAAAAGAAGAAGAAAAATGCGTGTTTAGTTGACTGACAAAGAATCATCAGCACGCACAAGTGAAAGCATCAAGCCTTGACAAGTATATATGATGACAGACATGTAATCTTCCTATTTCATCAGTGAAATTTTCTCATCTAGCAAAGATTTCAGAAGAAAAGACATCGTCGTCAGAAATGAACAACGATTCGGAACAAACGGCAGCTTTACATTCCGATGATCTTCGAACAATAATTAAAACATCGAATCGTTTTTATTATGTCATTCAAGTATGGTTAAATCGGTTTTTGTTGATTTTAATCATACGTATGATTTGTTTTTAGTTCATATTTGCACCTTTGAATGTAAGATTTTTTGAGAAACTTGAAATTTTTATTTAATTTTCTCTTGAAAGCGGATATGTCGCTGTTCTCGACGTCAAAAGGAATCGCAAGACGCCGATGCTTCTCCGACTCAAGCAGCTGGAGAAGAAAACAGGTTTAAAATAGAAAATCTCTTTCGCTTGCTTGATTATTTCTTCTAGAAATTGGATTGTCGATCCCTCGGGCTCGTTCTACTACTACTGGTCAGCTATTGTTTCACTTGCTGTTCTCTACAACTTAACTCTCTTAATCGGTCGAAGTGGTTTTCTTCTTCTCCAAGATCGTCTCTTAATTCTTTGGCTTATTTGTGATTATCTTTGTGATATTTGTTATATTGTTGATACATTTATCCAATCACGAAAGACTTATCTTGATCAAGGTCTGGTTGTTCGTGATTTATCTAAATTACGTAATCATTACATTCACAGTCGAGCATTTCTATTAGATATTCTTTCGTTATTACCAACTGATTTTCTGTATTTCATACCGAAACTTTACCTTTTACCATCATTACGTTTTAATCGTTTACTTCGCGTCTATCGTTTCGTAGAATTCTCTGACAAAGTCGAAACCCAAACTAATCATCCGAATATCTTTCGTCTTGTTTCGTTATTAACGACTATTGTGATATTAATCCACTGGAATGCATGCATCTATTTCATTATCAGTCGATGGATTGGTTATTCGAGTGATTCATGGGTTTATAATATGACCGCACCGACCGGAACAATGCTATCAACGCAATATATCTATTGTTTCTTTTGGTCAACATTGGTCTTGACGAATATTGGTGAAGTCCCGCCACCAGAATCCGATGTAAGAAAATCTGTCGCAGAAATTATCGGTTTTCCTCATTTCGACTACTCTTAGATTGAAATTCTTTTCGTTACTACGAATTTTCTTCTCGGCGTGATTGTTTTTGCTACTAGTAAGTATCTGTATCGCTTGAGTTCATTGAAGAATCGAATGTCTTTTATTTAGTTGTGGGAAATGTCGGTTCTATCATCGCGAGTATGAACACAGTTCGTGCTGATTTCCGACAGAAAGTAGATCAGATCAAACAATACATGGGTTTTCGTAAAGTTGGCACTGAACTGGAACGACGTGTTATCACTTGGTTTGATTATTTGTGGTTACAAAAACAAGTAGCTAATGAAGATGAAGTTTTAGGTAAGCGAAAGTCTTTATTCGAAGAAAAACGCCAGTGAATTACTGTTTCCGATTGAAGATTCTTTACCACAAAAACTCCGTGTCGAAATAGCAAGTCACGTGCATCTAGCAGCACTAAAACGTGTGCCCATCTTCGCGGAAGCTCAACCTGGCTTACTTGTTGAACTTGTAACTCGACTTAAACTACAAATCTTTAGTCCAGGAGATTATGTTTGTAAAAAGGGTAAACAATGTTCTATTATAAAAGATTTTTCATTTGTAAAACTTTTCTTTTCAGGTGATATTGGAAAGGAAATGTATATTATCAAACGTGGTCGATTGAGTGTCGTTTCAGACGATGGAACAAAGGTTTTTGTTAATCTCGAAGAAGGAAGTGTGTTCGGGGAAATCTCCATTCTTAATATTCCAGGTGATAAATCATAATCTTCACGAAAACCAATGTCGTTTTCATTTGCTTAGGAAGCAAAACTGGAAATCGCCGAACAGCGAATATTCGAAGTGTTGGTTATTCCGACTTATTTTGTTTAACAAAACAAGATTTATGGGAAGTGTTAGCTGAATATCCATCTGCTCGTGATACATTAATCGAACGTGGTAAAGCACATCTACGGAAAGACAATCTACTCGATGAGGATGCCGCACAAACTGCTCAACTCGATCAAGCTGCTATTCCAGACAAAGTCGCTCGAATTCAAGAAAGCATCGATAAATTAGAAACACGTATCGCACGCATTATGGGCGAATACAAAGCCAATATGAATGCACTCGGTCAACGTTTACAAGCCATTGAACAACTAACCGAAGAAAAACATGAAAATGCACTCGATCCGACCGGCGCCATAACTTACGCTGAAGATGTTTGATTACTCGAAATACATATATATGTGTATAATCTTCGTTTTTTGTATAACATTCCTGAAGTGTATTTACGTATATGTGATGTAAATGTTATTTGAGAAGATAGTTATCATAAGTTGAAGTATTGTTCAATTCTCACGTCTCTCGATACATAATATTCGATTCTCATTAACATCAATGAAAAAGAGAAGATGAAATATTGTCATTCGAGATCATTTCCACTTGTCCGGTCCCTTAGGTATGAGTTCATTTCATATCTTCACATGAATAATTCGCATTCTGAAACACCTACTAACTGGTTAGAAACAAAAATGACTAACATACCGGCTTGTTTCTCTTTCTTCTACTCGAAAACATGATTGATACATACATTGCATATTCTCAGTATGTGATCTTTCGACTCCTCGCATAAAGATAGCGACCGTGATGTTTTTTCAAATATGCCGGCATTCTCTCAGTATGGATGTATATCAAGCCAAACGAAATATCTTTTTTCTTCATTTGCAGACAAAGATAAGGATCAACGTAGAAGTATACAATCAGGTTTGGAATGTTTTTTTTTGTCTTCTTTTCGATACGATGAAGTTAGTTTTATGACCAAGACTTGATAATTAGATGAACTCGATAGGAATGTGTTCGACACGCGATATGCGAAGAGTTAGTCGTGATTTATTGACCGTTATCGGTCTGTCTTCTTTCAAGTCATCTCTATGTCTTCTGTTTCGTTGATTAGAAAAAATAAGAAGAAAAACGAGAATCAATTCAAGTTAGATAGAATAAACAGCAATCTGCCATTCGTTTATTTCGAACTTTACGATTTAGACATATGTACATATATATATGGGTGTATGTCGATGTGAAATAGAAGGAAGAAGGGCATTTAGGACTGACCGTTTATCCTTCTCTCCTTCCAGAACAAGAGAAGAGAGATTCGTTCTTTTCTCTTTCTCTCTTTTCTCTTTAACTCCTACATCTTCTTATTCATACGGACGAACTATTGTATATACGACGACTGAAAAGAGAAGTAGTCATACATCATCTCATTTCTTCATTCGTTCTAGATCTGTTCACAAGTTTTTTTTGTTGTCATTTCTTATCGTGAGCAATCAATATGGATAATACTGGTGCAACATTACCTTCTCAAACAAGTCCAAATCTCGGCAATCCACTCAATCCTCTTCCTATTCCACCTTTAGCATCCGAAGCACCTTCAACAACTACAATCGAATCGATTGTTTCCACTCCGTTGGAGCCTGTATTATCAGCAACGGAACCGGTAGGACAAACGAACATTGACGGAAATCTCCAGGCTCATTTCGATATTAATTACCAGGCTCATGATGTTGCTCTCGCATCAGCAACAGCAACAACACCATCGAAAAACACTGAACAACTATCTAAAACAGCTCTTCAAGCACCTGATCATCACAAACTCGATATCGATGATAGCGATGATCATCTTGACAAATCGAAATCATGCTGTTCAATGTTAAACAAATTACTTCTTGCCTTAGCTATTGTTTGCTTTGCACTCCTTCTTTGTAGTCTTGCATACAATGTTCTCGTCAATGTTAAAGGAGTAAGTCCACTCACAATATATCTATTGTTTGTTTGATGATTGGAGAGTGCAGGGCTTGACGAGAAAAGATAGATGTTTGTATGTATTGAAAGGATTCATCATTGAACGAACTACTGTTGTTGTTGTGTGTATATAGTCAATACAAAAGCTACTTTCAGGGACAAACATACAGTGTAATTAGAGAATGTGTAGGAAAGAAAACAATAGCCTATCATCTTCTGTTCATCGATTGATTGAATAGAAATATTCCAGATAGATTGGTTCGGACAATTGAAAGATGAGTAGCAATCTTTGTTTTATCATACAAATGTATCTGTTCAAGGTTAGGAGATGATAATCATGAATGAAATCAGATAAAAACAACGAGATGAAGATGTTTTTCTTCTTTCATTAAACGAAAGAGAAAGATTTTTTTTTCATCGAAAAACATCTTAGTGAATTGTTCGTTGATTCTGTATCAATAGCTTCTGGTCAATGTGTAAGAATACTTGAGACAATGGCAATGTAGAGTGTCCTTAAGACATTCGAAGTGTCGTGCAATTCTGTTGAAATAATTTTGTTGAAAGCACTACTACGCTTAATTTTTCTACTAAAACAAACGACATGAGTATTGAGTGAATAATGTGCGAGTGGTTTTACTGTTGAATTTCACACTTGTGTTCTGCCATGTCAAAGTCAATTTTGTTTTTAATACTACTCTATAACCAGATGATCAGTTTCACACTATGTTGACATGTCCGCGCTGCACCTGCTCGCTACTTAAGTTGATTATTCCGGAGAATTTCGATAAAACAACGATTTCCAATATCAGTTCAATGATTATTGCAACACATTTCATTCGATTTACTTTTATTTTTATTTGAATAAATTTCCGATAACGAAATCATTGAATATATTCTTTTCGTAGTTAAACGGAAAATACGATGGTCATGGTTGGTCAAGAATCTACTATTCTCCTATATTTGGCGGCGAATTTCCACCTTCGGAACAATCCATCTCTCAAGAATATTTCAATATAAGTCACCCAACAAATGGCGGTATCATCGTCGTACTAGCTCGTCGAGGCGCGGCTGTTCACGATGTCTTAATTCCTTACCAAGATAAAAATGGCACAAAAAATTATCGTTCAGTCGTTGTCAAAGGTGGCGAAGAGAATAATTTTGGTTCGGTTCGTTTTGGTTTTGATGATCCGAAGAATTCCTTGGATATGACTTATCAGTTACCACGAGATTATCCATTGCTCAATGCATATAAAGAAAACTGGCAAATGTTCGCTGATGAAACAAAACCATATCGTGTGCGTTTCACACGTGATTTAATTCATATCGTTTATGAATTCTCTTCGAATGATTCGAATCAATTCTTCATGACAACGATGGTCGCACCAGCCTCAAACGAAAAACTGACCGTTGATCCAACAAATAATATCTATTTCAATCTACGTAGTCATGGCGATTTAAGCACAGTAGGATTGTTTGTTTTTCTGAAAGGTTGAAATAATTTGCCTTGTTTATTTAGCACAATTTGAATTTGAGTTCATCCGATCCAATTGAGATTTCCAATGGACAAAAAATGGAACCAGATCGATTAATTCAAGCTCAACCTGTCAATCGATTAACCAATGCAAATAACTATTTCTACAAACTTGATCGTGCCGGAATTGGAAAGAATTACATCGCAACGTAAATTCAGCACCTTTTTGGCTGTGAAAAGCAATTGAAAAGTTTCCTTGTGTTTTTTAGTTTAACTGAAAGTGAAACCAAAACAACAATGCATGTCTTCTCCGATCATGCTGGCGTTCGCATTGATCCCCTTGGTGTTGGAGTATCGAATCAAGGTCTTAATCCCGCTACAGCAACACCTGACATGCGCGGTGTTCGAATCAGTCCTAGACAATCGCCTATTTACCAATCATCGGTAAGATGATAAATAGAAAATGATAAATTCACCGTCAATCTTTATTTCTAGTCAATCTATGGTCCAATCTCAGTCGTTTCACCATCGCAAGCTATTCATACAACATGGTGGCAATTCGAATATGAAAACTAAAACATATTCATTACGTTCTTCCTTTCCAGCAGCAATAAGTAACAACGAATCAGAAGATTTAGGTGTTATATACATATAGAAATCTGTTTTCTTTTCATATTTCCTTTCTCTCCTCTTTGTTGTTCAGTATTTTAAGTCTATCTGAACGTAGATCTTTTCATTCACTATATATATATATATGTATGTGTGTGTTTGGTTTTTGTTGTCTTATTGAATTAGTTTGTTCGTTCAAATCTTCACCAGCAAAGAAGTTTCACACAATAATAATAATAAGAAGAAAAAGCATGCACTTTTTCTTTCATTTTCTCATCATCTATTTGGTATTTAACATCGATGTTGCTGAAGAGTTCAATAAGATTTATGTTCGTATACATAAATTGTAAGAAACAGTGATTTTATTTTTCCTGAACAGATTCATGAAGATATATACAAATACAGAAAGAACAAATTGCATTTTTTCGACAAACACGTACCATTAGAAAAGAGAAATATACAAGCATAACGTTTATCATGAAATTCCACGTTATCGACACCTTCTGAGTATTTTCTGTCTTTTCGTTCATATTCACCATACATCACTTTCTTTCTTTTGCCGAGGCAAATATCTTTCGTTGCGATTTGTATTATTAATAAGAAACAAAAAAAAATGAATAACATGTATGTGAGAGACAAAGAAGACAAAATAAACTATTTGGATACTACTACATGAGCGAAGAGATCGAACAAATTGGTGGTGGAAGACACATCACAAACACCAAAATGGAGAGATAAGAAAAAGGGACACGAAACAAGAACAACCACCAGATTAGAAACAGATTTATTATTATTATCATCAGTAATTATGTAAAAAACGATTAATTCAAAAACAGTTTTTGAAAGAGAGAACGTTACAGGATATGAAAGATTTAGATCTTTTTCTTGTTATTTAGCTGCTCGTCACTCACATTTGCTTTTCCTTTGGATGACTGTGACCTGAAAAAAAATTAAAAAAAGAAACTCTTATGTGAATTAATAATCTTGTTAAATTTCCAGATCATCTATAATTAGACGAGGAATATTTTCTTTGATTATCTTATGAGTAGATGCGGGACATCTTTGTAAGACAAATGACTCATTACGTTTGTGTTCCTTTTTATAGATTCTCTTGTTCACTCACTTTGCATCGTCATCATCATCATCGTCATCGTCTTCACGAACATCATGTAAATTGTTTAAAGTACCGCTGCACACTCGAAAGAGAAATTGAAGAATAAACTAAAAAAAGAAAGAAAGTTTATTTCTATTATCTTCGGATATTTCTTACGACAAGCCAGTAGAGATTAAGTCCGAGTAATAACCACAACAATCCATTGAAAAATCCATATAATCCGCAACCTTTATCATAGGCGCGATAGGCAGTAACAACTCCTGCTGTGTATAAGACTTTCATAGGATACCAATAGAGACGAAATAGAAACCTATTGAAATAGAAAAGATTAAATATTTCATTTCTTTTTTGAGCTGTTCGTACCAACAGAATGTGAATATGATAAAACAACCGGAAGCCGCATGTTCCCAAATCGGACATTCTTTTCCGTTCTCTCTCGATCCAAAATAATGCAAAACCTTCGTCAATTCCAGCCAAACATCAGTGATATCATGAACAAAAAGAACAAGTAACCCAATTTTATGATAACTAATCCAAAAAAACGAACAAACTGAGATACATTTCAAGAAACGTCTTTATCTTACCGAGTTGCGTATGAGACAAAGATCAATGTCATTGTCAAAACATGATGAATGAGCATAACATAAAAATCTTTTCGTTTATAATCCATATAAAGTGTTGCATAAATAGAATGTAAGTAAAATCCACACTGAACAAAATACATGAGTTTGATATCGAATGGAATTGGCATACCGGGTGACCAATCTACAAAAGAAAAAGGCGTTATTCATCTCGAATTCAATCAGTATTTCCAACGAACCGTCCCAAATCAGATAAAATTCATGGAAATAATTGTATCGATAATGAAGTAGGTAAACACAGTATGACCATGTACAAGTATAAAACAAACATTTCCATGCCGATTCAGGAAATTTCTTCTTGTTGATTGGCTTCAGTTTAAGCCAGTTTACAAATGGCTAAAAAAGATCATTATTCAAGTGAAAATGCTCGTAAAGACCCTGCGAACGTACCTTGCAGATATATTTTTCATATAAATAACGTAATATTGTGATAAGTATTGCAATGTATAGAATATAATAAATTTCATGAATTGGAAAATAAAAATGTCGTGTAAAATCTTCAATAAATGAACGTGGAAATGCATAGTCACGCCACATGTATGGTTTGTAGTACCATGAGATTGCATTCCAAATGCCAACGACTAAATCTATATAGTTTGGCGTTGTTGTAAAATTGCCTTTTAAATTTTTCCATTCCTCTCTTTGTTCATCGGTTAAATACGAATGTTCCATGGCTTCACAACGAAGAAGAAGATATTTTCACCTCAAATTGCAATTGGCATTAAGAAATCGATGAGACGAACGTTCGTTTTGATCGAAACATAATCTAAAAAGCCAATTCTAATGGTTTACGTTAAAGCAAAACTTGCAAAGAGAATGTTCAGTTAACTAACAAGTTTTTCCTTTTCTTTTCTTTTATTCTGACGAGCTTTTGTCACCACTGATATGCAACGTAATGAAAATGTAAAAGAAAAGAAAAGAGAAAAAGTGCGACGAGAAGAAGAAAAGAGTGAATAAATGTAATGAAAAGTAAATGATTCATTCGAAGGAATGCAATCAAACAAGTAAAATAAGGAAATCATAATGAAAAAAAAAACCGAGAAACAACTCAAGTGATACGGGTGTATACTATTGACCAATCAAATGCCGATATCGAGTCCTCTAACTTAAAGTGTGAGCAGAAGATCATGGTAAATGTACAAAGTGCATTTCGCATATCCCTTCGAGATATGATTAGATTAATTAGGATAATGTTGTCAGAGAAAAAGGATTCTTCTGACAGAATCACGTAATATTTCGTTCTCTCAATGGTTTACTTTTGAAGCCAATAAACAACAAAGAATATGAATTTGATTAATTGAAAATTCATGACAAGTTGTGACTTACTTGCTGCTTCGTCATTTTCTAAGAAGAAAAATATGTTTCAAAAGTAAATAGGTCGATTTAATTGATTAAATACAACAAAACTTTAAGTAAAGAACATGACTAATTGAAAAGACACAACAATCACTTATGGGTGATACAAATCATTACATCGGCTTTTCGAACAAAAACATACCAAATAGGAAAAAAAATGGACAAAACACGCGACGAATCATTATTTATTTTACTTTTTCCAATGTCTGGAAGACAATATGCAATAATCAATCGCTCACGTACGAATTTCGATAAAATGAATAGTGGATGAACAGACTCGGTCACGTCTTCGCATATCCCAATGAATTCGGTTTGATGAAACTGAATTGAAAAGAAAATAGTTGGACATTGATCATTTTTGCTCTGTCATTTAGATATAATTAAACATTTCTTGTGCAAAGATGACGGTTTGGATCAGACGAGGCACGACAAAAACATCGATGAAATAATTATTAGTGATAGCGATGAGACATTTGGATCTAATTTTGGGACAAATCACCTTTCGAAAATGATACATTGACAACAGAAGATTTCATCAGACGTAGTCAACTATTCATATGCTTAAGACAATATTTTTCATGGGATTCTCAATGCAAATCGGATTCTTTACCATAAATGGGATGGAGATGCATTGAAAATTGACATAAATGAATATCACAATTCGAATCGCAAGAACAATCGTCCGTCTAGGACTTTTCAATGAGATCATCTGTCAACGAAATCTTTTGTATCAGCTGTTCCATTATAATGATCATTCACAACTATCTCATTTTTGTAATATTTCATTATCGAATCATGTAACATTCTTTCTCGATCGGTATTAATACCGATTCTAATGTTCATTTCATATGACTTGTAATGGTTAATTCATCTATCAGTTCTGGCATGATATAAATCTTTGGTAATATTTTCCTTGGGAACAATACTTTGGGTAGTATGTGGACGAGCATATTTCTTCTTTCTTTCCTTTTTTCTTCATCTTTGACGATTCCCTCATATCGTGTTGTTCTTCTTTTTTTGACTTCGACTGCTCGTTTGTCAATGATATTCTGTTGGATTGGGACGAGAACAAATCGACCAATCAGAAAACAGCTGCAATTGGGCACGGCGCCAACACATCGGATAGGCCAGAACGATTGTTCGATATCTCTATCAATTTGTAGTCGCATTTGAGTCAGTTTTAACAATTGATGAAAATGTATAGCTTAACCTTAGATTGGAAAATATTCAATGTCCAAGATTAAATCTCGTTTTTTGTCCACTAACAGATACCATCAATTCAAACGATTGTCTTGTCTTTTATTTATTACTGAATTGAGTATTGAATTCTTGCGTTCATACACGCCATCTGTATGTATCGGTTGCTGTTCTCTTTCTCTCCCCCCTCTCTCTCTCTCCTCAACATTCGAAGAAGAATTCTTCATCAACAGCAGCAGCAAGCAATGCTTGTATTCTCTCTTTCCACCAACATTTTCTACATACGAACACATCTATGTGAATAATGAATCAAGCAAGCAATGCACGCATTCGATGCAGACAGAAGAGAAAAGTCAAACAAACTCGCGCTTGCATTTACCATCGAACAGAATGGGAAAAAAAATGGCGAATAAGAAAAAGAAATGTAACTGCCTTGCACATATCAACTCTAGCTTTACTTGGCTATGTGCGTGCGAGCGTTCGAACAAGAGGAGAAAAAAAAAGAAAAGTGAGCTTTGCCAAGGAGCAAAACGAATGGAGAACGAGAGAAAAAGAAAGCAATATAACTCGCAAACTAAATGATCGTCGTCGCCGTCTCCGTTGTCGTGCATCGACCGACCGAGCGCCCGACGACGAAAAAAAAAGCGATGCATATATGCGTTTGAAGCTTCATGATGAGAAGAACGAGAAAAAAAAAGCAAAAGGGGAGAAGGAGAAGAAGAAGGCTGCACCTATACTAACGCCATCGAGCGAGTAAGCACACAAGCAGAAAAGAAACGACAAGAGAGTTTTCTCGTCAGAGCTGCTTACTGTTGTATTATTGTTGATGAGAACGAGGTGCAACTATATTACCATCACTATGATCGTTTTTTTAATAAACATGTTGATTTTCTATGTGAAAAAGCAAATAGGAAGGAGGAAAGAAAAAAAAAGTCGAAGAAGAATTGTAATACTCTATCCACCCGCATTTCCTTTCTCATGTTCACTAACTTTTTTCTTCTATCTTTCTTTTGTCGTCAGCGAGAAACTAGCGCTCAAGTAGTCCCACTCGTTTGACAGTTTCTCTTTCGTTCATCCACCCACATCAAACATGAATTTGTTTACATCCCAAGTCAGATTCCTTGAAAACGTCTTCCATCTCGCCAAAGTCGATCATTCCGCATTGATTTCAAGTAGAATTAAACGAAATCAAACGAGATGTCGTTTCTCCTTTAGATAATTGAACTTGAATGCTTAGTTGATGATTTAGACAAACGTTTTGTTTTCTACACTGGCCAAACTTTCTTTTTGACATGTGTTTTCAAATCAAATGTAAGTAGAACTTTGTTTTGATATTTGACATCGATATGACTAGTTAATTTCTTTTGGCTGTCATTCAAAAGAGCGTAGAGTCAATTACTATTGCGATGTACAACCAAGTCATTGAATGAATCCCCGCCTTTACATGTGTATACACATGTGAGTTCCCTCCTCCCGTGCTCATTGACTAATGAAACTTGTTTCGATCACGCATATGAAGAACGAGTCAATAGAAGGAAAAAGGAAAACAGATCGTAAAAACAGCTGATTGTCAAAAAAAATAAGCGATCAATAGATTGTTGAATGAATACACGTGCGCGCGTTTGACACGAGAGAGAAGAATCACAATAAATTTGTTTGATTTCTCCTTCTAGATCAATAGATGATGTGTGACAATCTTTCGTTATATAAAACCTATGTTCCATCATCAACTTCGCTTCCAGAAACATCGTTGACAAGTACAATTCCACAATTTTATCCAACTGATACTCATGAAGATGAACATCGCACACACATGAGTGTCAAACGGAAACTCTCAGGTAAAGATTCCGCGAAACTATCGAAGGAAAAATTCATTGAACCGAAATGATGGAGAAGATGTGATTTTCGTTCGCCATAGTTTAGTTTCTTCTGTTGGAAAGATCCTGCGATTGAAGTATGTCATTAGGAAACATGAAGTATTCGTTGTTTCTTGTGCTCTGCTCTTTGAATATCTATTCATAATGCTTGTTGCAAAGAAAACTCGATTTTGCTCTTATAATTTCGGCCTGAAAAGGCAATTCTTCATTGAAATTGATCTTGCTTTGTCTTTCCGTTCGAATTTTCTCATCATTTTGTATCGAGCTGTAGTACTTCTCGAATTTTGGTCATAATATTTATATAAATTTAATGACTTCGTCTTTTTACCTTTCGGACCGAATCAAATACATCAAACGAACATTTTAATGCTATAAACGCGTGAAATTTTGTTTAAAAATTACTTTTGATGCATTGTCACGGCCATACAGGAACGTTGATAAGTGACATTGTTAATTTGATACATAGTTTATGTAGAAATCTCTCCGAGTAAACCTAACGTTTTCGTTTTTTATTTAGATTATGAAGAAAATCAGTCATCGATAACACCTTTTCAACGAGATTCTTCATCTTTCAACTGTAACAATAGTGATGATGATGACGACGATGACGATGACGATGTTGATGAAGATGACGAAGATGAAGAAGACGATGAAGGAAGTTCAGGTGAAGATGAAACTGTCAGTGAGGATGAATCAACAACACGTACAATAGCAACAACACCTTCTACTATAACACAAAGACGGCATAGTGATACCATTCATTCGTCTTCAACATTGTCCTATGGTACACCAATCGTGAAACGTCGATGTACATATTCTTGCATGTATGATGAAGAACAAAAACGTTCTGTACTAGTTGAATCCTATCGAAAATTACGTGGAGTTAAGAAACCCAAACTTCAAGTTAGTCTACTCATATGTAATTTAATCAAACGATTGGAGAAAACTTTCACCAAAAGTCCTCCACTCTCCCAACCACAACAAATCTCTTCTCATCATCAACAACATGTACAGTATTATCAACATCGAACAACATATCGTTCATCATCATCAGATAGTATTTATATGTCAACATCACTGCCTCCTTCTTTAGTCAATGATGAAATTGAAACAACAACATTAACACCAGTAAATCAACAGTATTCTCCACCACATTCATCAATGTATGATTCGGATAAAGTATTATTACCTAGTGGAGATCTGAGATCATCAACTTCGATGTATCATTCATCGACAACCGATGCTTATTGGCTTGCTCAATCGAATTTCGCTGTACCTGTTGTATCCACATCAGATGAAGATGATGTTGATGTCTCCTTACAAGGTGGCGGTGATTATCTTGATTTAAGTGACAACACTCTCGCGTCTTCCTTCTCATCTTGTTCGACATCATCTCCTTCTGTAAATTCATCTTCAACAGAATTAATCACAACTTCATCATCGATATCAAATGATTGTTGTTGTTCTTCTTCATCTTCCCCAGCTTTAACAAAACTACTAGTTGATACTAACAATAATAATCATAACAATAACCATGAAGATTATTATATATACCATCATCATCAACAACAACATCTTCAACATCATTCTCTAATTCATTCAAATCAAGAATTGTATCATTCGCAGCATCATTCATCATCAAACGAACAAGCATTTTTCTATCATAATCACCATAATGGAACTAATACCGTTGATATTATTACAACAGCGTGAGATCTACTTTGCTTCTTTCTTCTCTTCGTATCTATTTGTTGTGCATCTATTTCTTATTTATTTTTTTCTCATTTCATTCTCTCTATTCTTCTTCTTCTGCCTCGGTCAAATGATAAGTCTTCTCTTCTTCTCTATTGCAAATGGAACTACCAAACCCAAACTTCATACATGCTCATCTGTATGGCAATGACAAGAGTATTGTCTGTGGTATTCAACTCGTATACATACAACTTCTGTTTTTCTTTGTTTTCTTCTTCTGTTTTGTTGATGTTGTTGTTTATTTCTTACGCGTTTGAAAATGTGCCTCTGAGTTTTGTTTTACAAACTCGTTCTCTCGTTCTTCTTTTCTTTTTCTATGAAATGTTCATTATGATGATTAAAGGAGAAGAATGGAAACAAATTTCTATAACATAACTTTAATTTATCTCTCAAAACGAATTGTTTTTTTTTTTTATACAGAAAATTTTAATAAATGAGAAAAATGACATAAACAAAATCAAACTTTTTTCCAAGACCGGAAGACGTTCGAAAGCAAGAAAGAATGAAAGAGAGAGAGAGAGAGGGAGAGACCTATTTGCATATTTGTTTTAGTCGTCGTCAGTAATCGAACGTAGTTATTCATTATCTCAAGGTTAAACATTTATTTTTCTGATGAAATCAAGCAATGTCAAAAAATAAATATACGACAAGGAAGAAACGGGTTTGTCAATTGAGTTTCGATTTTCTTATGCCTAGTCGATTAAAAGCGCCATCGAGTTAATAATATAAGCTATTGGACGATTTATCTCAAAGCTATTGACAGAAATCCATGTTTTCGCTACCTTCCTTTCTCTGTTCGCTCCTTTTCTTCTGCATAAATACGCATACACACATATACGTAAGAAAAAAAAAGAACGAGGAGAAGGCATAAGGAGAAATCTGTCAACAACAGAACAGTAGTAACAATCAAATAGGTCGCCGACGTCGTCGTCGTCGACAATTAATCGTTTGTGTGTTATATTCTTGTTTCAACTAAACAGTTGAGTTAGGAATAAGTCATCTGTTTTGTTTTCTTCTGCTTTTAGATATGTTTTATCACCGGTGAATCATTGTTAGCATGTAATTTTTCTGGCCAGAGGCCATGGCAGGATTTCATGTGTCATCACTTAAACCGAACGAAGTCTCAGTTAATTTACGATCAGGCACATTTGCATTGAAATGGCCCGAAGAAAGCAACAAACCAGTGGTAAGGAGAGATCGCTCGGTTTTTTTTAATGAAGTCAATTGGAATATTTATCATCTTAGACGCCAATTGCTGTCAATTTATCTGTCGATTCGAAAGGTTTTTATTTAATCTGTTTAAATAAAGTGACTAAAGTATGTTAATAGACATTGCATGTGAAAAGGTAGAATTTCTTTTCTAATCCTCTTTTCAAAGGAAACGGAATGTTTTGATATTGCCCTAATCCATGATACACGAACTGGCTCAGAAGCAATACTTCCCAGAGTAAAACTAAGAACTGTAAAAGAATATGTTCGATTCGAAGGAAGGTTTTGCTTTTGTAGGGTGCATTGGATTGCGAACAGATTCATATTGGTGTCCGTGCATCACTTGAAGACAAATGGCTAACGATTTACTATGGAAATTCGTTTGTACCCGATCGTGATTTGCGTATCATTCATTTTTGCTTTTCTTCACCGACTATCGCACGGGTAAACATGAATATGATCTATTCTACTTGATGATCTTTTTCTATTCAAGGAATGGACTGAACAATTGTTTCAATACGGACATAATCCTCTACTTAGAAACCTCTCCGGTTTGGAATGTTTAGAAAAATTTCACTCGAGAACCGTCAATAGTCTCATTGATGACCGGAGTGATAAAACCATATCTGTTCGAAAGTACTTCTTTTTTTCTTTCTTTTTCATCTGATATCGTTCAATTTTCCTGATCTTTTCTAGCCTAATACAATTTCTATGTAAAGGCACGCGTGATGTGAATAAAGAAACGAAAATTCTCAAAGCACTGGAATATTTGGAATTACCATGTCGACCCGTACATACTAAAAAATTTACCATTTTCTTCTCTCGCACATTCTTCTTCTTTCATAGGAAATGTTTATCGATCCGGATCAGTTTACATTCAATAAATTCGTTCGTTTCTACATGCAATTGATGGAACGTCATGAAATCGATAAACTATTCGATGCAACGTAAGACATTCATCTTCAGTAAAACTTTCCATGAACTTTCTTCATACAGAAAATGTGAAATCGATATAGACGAAGGTGTTTTAGCCATCGTGCCGTAAGAATCATATATATCTCTATCAGAATCGATACATCCGAAAAACCAATTCTATTTACTCTTGTTCGTCCTCTTATGTAGCATGTTGTTTGTCCGATATTAGAATTCTAGCATGATTATTAATTGTTATCTATAGTTTCTGTTCTTGATATTTTTGTACGATAAGAGATCTCAACGAGAGTTTCGTCTAATTAGGGGCGGCAAACATCGACGATATCTGGACTGGGAGAAAATTCGAGATTTTATTGTCAAACAGAATGATGGGCGTGGTGATGCATTCGGAAAGGATTATTATGATCAGAAAGCGAAAGATTATGTGAAGAAATACACCCAACATAATAAACATTTCGTAGAAAAAGGTCATTTAATGATTTGATGACTAATTTCATCTGCTTATTTGATTTTTATTCCGTAGGAATGTGCGATGAATCATTTCTTCGATATTTACTCAGCTTGGATAATTTAATTGTTGATCCCACTAAATTTGATCTTTTTATGGACATGGATAAACCTCTATCACATTATTTCATCTCCTCATCGCATAATACTTATCTCACAGGTTCAATTTCTTTCAGAAATCATTATGTATATCGATTATTTGTCCATAGGATCTCAGTTAACTGGTCGTGCAAGTACAGAAATGTATCGACAAGTTTTATTAACAGGTTGTCGATGTATCGAATTAGATATCGTCGATTCCGAGAAGAAAACCGACGAGCCTGAAATTAAGCATCGAAATACCCCTGTACGTTCTGTACCATTTTACAATGTTATTTGTGCCATTCGAGATTGTGCTTTCAAAGTTACTCCTTATCCACTAATACTTTCATTCGAAAATCATTGCAGGTACAAGATGAAAAGGAAGTAGAATGAAGGATTTCACATGTGATTTTAGTGCGCGAGTTCAAGCAAAGATGGCTCAACTTTTAGTCGATGTTTTTGGTGATACTCTCGTCACTCAACCACTTAAAACTCATCCGATTGAAGACAACTGTGCATTACCGAGTCCGAATGATTTAAAATACAAAATTTTAATTAAAAACAAAAAACTTACACAAAATCCCAAATCGAAACTCAACAACACGGCTGGTCAACTGCCAATTCGAAAGACCGATTCAATTGCCACGACTACAAGTGACCAGAGTGTCGGTACGGGACATCCCTCGACATCTCCCATTCAATCATCGTTTGTCAATTCACCAAATGACATGACACAACGTAAACAATCGGTTTTTAATGAAATTCGAAATGATTTACCGATGAATGAATTCGATACACAATTGACAAGCGATAACAATCGGAACGATATCATTATCGAAGAAGAAGATGGCTCTACTGAAGAAGAAGACATCGTTCCGGCAAATCCAACGGATATTTTAAACCCTGATCAAACAGTCAATCTGACGAACAATCCAACTTATCCAACGAACAGTGATGCACTAGCGGAATCGAAAGCGACGAAAGCAATGTCGGATCTCGTGCACTATATTGTTCCGCGCTCATTTGTAACATTTGCTGAATCAGAAAAACGTAATCGAAGTTATGAAATTTCTTCATTTGCAGAAGATAAAGCACAGAATTTAATTCGTGAATATGCTATTGAATTTGTTGCTTATAATCAACGACAATTGAGTCGAATCTATCCTCGTGGTACACGTTTCGATTCAAGTAACTATAACCCATATCTATTCTGGCCTGTGGGCTGCCAAATGGTCGCCTTGAACTATCAGACATTAGGTAAAGCAAATGTTTTCCCAGGAAAAATCGATAATCTATTCGAAACCTTTTCTCAGACACCCCGATGCAAGTCAATCTAGGTTTATTTTCTTTCAACGGTGGTAGCGGTTACATCGAGAAGCCCGCATCACTTTGCCAGTCAACCGGTTCATTCGATCCCAAAGGTCGAACGAATGTTGAAAATGTTGTTGGCTATCAGATCGACATTAAAGTCATATCTGGTCAATTTTTTTGTCAAGATCGTGAACCAACCTACGTGGATATCGAAATGTACGGCATGTATGCAGATGCTACAAAACGACATGAGTATCGTCTGCGTGCTAAACGATGGAATGGGTTCCAAGCGATTTACGATGAAACAGATGTAGAACAAGGCGAGTTTTGCATTCGATTTTCGAAAGTGATTCTACCGGAAATGGCTTCGTTTCGTTTTGCTGTTTCGGAAGAAGACGGCACATTCATTGGACAAAGTTTCATCCCCGTCGCACATCTACGCCCAGGGTATCGTCACGTTGTTTTACGAAATCAAATGAATATCCCTGTTCAATCAGCGACTCTATTTATTTATATTCGAAAAGACGTTCACGTCGATGCGGAAAATAGAGAATTAATTGATCAACTTGTTTCACCTACATCCGTGCAGCCGATCATCAAAGAACAGCAACCTAAACAGATCAAATTCAAACCACTTTCTGAACAACGTTCACATTCGGTTGGAGAAATCAGTACAATGAAAAAATATTCCAATGACGAAATCACATCCTTACCCGATCACCATCCGATCAATTCACCTATTGCACATCGTTATCCATCAACGACAGAGATGAATTTATCACCCAAAGGAGTTCCTGTTCAACAGAGAAAACGTCTGCAATCTATCGCAATGATAGATACGAATTCTTATCAAAACAGATTGATTGCCGCGAGTCAATTGTATGACAAAGAGAGATTATGTCGAGATCTTGACTTCAACGATGTACAAGAAAGCAAATATTTCAAACGAAAACGAGAATCTATAGAAACAAAAATGCGTCGCGCATCGTTAGAATTCGATCGGGTTTGTTTTGGGTGATCAATTCTACAAATCGAAACGATTTTTTTCTTTTCAGAAGATTCAATATGAAGAAGAACGTTTTCACAAATGTCTCTACCGGCAACGCACTGGAATTTATTCAGCAAATCAACGACCAAGTCATCAGTGGACTCAAACGGAGTATAACGACGGTCGGACGACAAGTTTAATTCATCCACGAATCGTCAGCGATGTAAAATATCCGATGATTTGAGTCTCTTTTTCGATTTTTTTTTCGTTTAAATTAGGAAATGAAACAAGCTGAAACTCGTCTTCTCGATCTTTATTCCAAAAAATTTCATTCACAAAACGAGTTAGAATATAAACTCTCAAAAGAAGTTCGTTCAGATCAATTGTATTTGTTTTCATTCACCTCTTCTTTCTTAGTACTATAATGATCTGGAAAAATATATCAATGATTATTATTCCAAACAGTTGAACTATATTAATGATACATTGAAACAGTAAGTTGAAAATATTGATTTTCAGAATCCGACGAACTCGTTGGTGTTTCAGTGAACAAGCGAGAGTGAAAGGTGATGTGCGTGTTCACATGAAAACTGAAACGAAGAAGACAATTATGACTGAGACGGATAGGTAAATTGACTTTAAAAAGATGTTCATATTTATATCAAGAACATCTTGCAGAGAAAAAATCGATAGTTTAAAAGAAAAAATTCGTCAAATGAATATCGAAGCTGGTGCTTTGGCAATACGAAAGGTAAACTCTCCATTAGTTTCTGTTTTTATTTGATTATACTGCTTGATATTTAGCTCCAAGAAATGCATGAACAATTAGAAGCGTCTATTCAAACAAATCTGCAAAATTCCTTGAAACGTCTTCATAAAGACAAAGATTTGGTAATAAAGGACAGATTTTTTTTCTCGAAATATCAGACAAGCTGTTCTTATTTTCCAGGAAACCAAGAATCGCTTCAGTAAATATTCCAATCAGCTCAATGAAATCAAAGCTCGTTTACAAGGTGAAATACATGGTTATAATTCTCATCATCCGCGTGACAGTTCTTCTTCTAATTCTCCCTACCGTTCAGCAATAACCACAAGTGCTTCACTTTCAGCTATTTCTCATGAAATTCCAGCGAATCCATCAATTTTTCTCCCCGTGTTACCAACATCTTCTTCATCCTCAAACCTTATCATCGCAAACTCGTTTGATAGTCTAGATAGTAATAGTACAAAGCATAATCAATATGATAATGAAGGATTTATGAACAACGTAAATGAAACGACTGAATCAACACGATTATGAGTTGGTTTTGGGATTTTAATATCTGTGAAGTGTCGATATCGAAGAATTCAACATTTGGTGTGGAGTGTGTGATTTTTGCCTTTCGTTTTCTTCTCTTTTGCAATTTTCCGGGATAAAGTTCTTTTTTGTCGAAAAAAAGTGATTTGTCTTTCGACTTTCTTTTGACTTGGAATATGTGTGCATGTAAATATCCATTTCAAAATAAATTCAAATTCATCTTGTTTTCCAAATAGAAAATAGTTTTACGATTTAATACCAAATAATACATCTAGGACTGACTATGTAAAGACATTAAACTGCACTTGTAATTGATAGATCGATTATGTGTACTTTTCTTTTCCGATCTAGCTGGTGTTTCACATAGAACATGTTGGAAGATTCAACCAACGCTTAAACAGAATCATTCGGTTCTCTTCGGAACGGAAACGAAACGGGCAAAACCGCTCGTAGGATCCGACTAAAGCATTGCTGCCTCCATTTTTCGTTGATTTCCGACGTCTTCCTGTAGGAACCGTTGCTTTTCTGTTCGGGTTCCTGCAGAAACTACATGGATCCAGAATCAGGAACCATCGTCCTGGGATCACTTGGAGCGTACCATTTTTGTGTGATAGTTCACACAATGAAAGCACTTGTATTCGTCTGACTGCATTTTCGTCAAAGACGCATAACGCGAGGTCGTATATCTTTGTATTACAAGAAGGAGGGAGAAGAACAAGCAGAGATATGTTCTGTTGGATGGAGGTTCGGGTGTAATCGATAAGGCGAAATTGTTTTGTAGTATGATTTCGTATATGTCGGTGTTAACTGAGCGAGGGCCTTGTATAAAATTCTGATATACCAATTGTTGTACAGATTCGGCTAGCACAGTCATGGTCTAAGCTGTCGACGCTATTACTAAGATAATATATGGTCTGTTGCTTTTCATTGTTAGTCGAGTATTTCTTGGAGGTGTTTGCGTAGAAGATTGTCTCCGTACATTTTCCAGGCTTGTACGGACAGTTTGAGAGACTTTATGGCATGGTCCTTGATCTTAGGTACGTCTGTCGTGCAGTGAATATAATCGACAGAAGTATAGGATGGTAAATCGAGTGCAGCACGGAGTGCGTTGTTTTGCACAATTTGTAGCCTTTCCCATACTCTGTCGTTGGCTGTGAGCATCACCCCCGAGCCGTAGACACCATAACTGTTATTGCAATCGACTTGAAGATGTTGATCATTATCTTAGGGTTGGACTCTTCCGCTGACTTTGCTGGATATCGTAGAAGGCCGGTGCGTGTAGCCAGTTTCGTTTCGATATGCTAGAGATGATTTCTCCACTCGAGTTGATTGCCGAAAATCACATCTAGGTATCGGGTTGCAACTAGTGGTTTTATCGTGGTGTCTCCGACTTGGACTTCCCCTGGATGTTGATATTTCTTCCTAGAGTGTGCTCTGAAGTGGATCGACTCTGTTTTCGTGCACTGTAGCTGGAGCTTCCACGATGCGCACGAGCTAGCGAACGCATCTATGGACTGTTGCAGTCGGCTGCGTAGATGATGTAAAGCTATAAATGTTGGACGCTTGAAAACTATACGCCGATATAAGAAGTGAAAATGCCACCGACATTAAGAACAAAACAAAAAATCTTTGATTGATCCAACTCGTCTTATCCATAGCGATAGCGGAGTTTAAAAGTAATTGTGTTTTTGTTTAGATTTTCTTTCGAAACACATATTTTTAAGTTTAACCCTTTCCGGCCGGCTACCAGAAAACAGCAAGCAAAATATTTTCTTTATATATATTCTTGTTACTTTAGTTATGAGAATCAATTTTTCAGCCCCGAATTTTTGGAGAATCCCGTACCCCCCTACGGCAAAATTGTATCCATATGGATACACCCGGCTGGAAAGGGTTAAAGCCATATAATTTCAGATATTCGCGATAAAAACGATCGTCACTTTCTCCTAGATAAAATACTTCGCGGTTAACATAGTTTGATTGCTAAAGTATTTGTCTTACTATAAGTATAATGAATTGAGGACACGAGCATGAAATAATCAATCTATGAACAGTAGTGTCTGTAGAGTGTCTACGGACATTCATCACCCGTCTCTATGAGGTATTTTGTTTTCTTTTTTCTCTCTCGGGCACATATACATACATGTGATATATATCTGTCCAAGTGTTCTCGTTATTATTGTTCTCTCTTCTTGTTTGTCTTTGTGGATTTTTCCACGTTCATTCTCTCTCTCTATCACGCGCAGTTGTTTTCAAAACACACACATACACAGAACGTTTCACTTCTTCGTCTCATTCAGTTCGTTTGTCCGCTCGCGTTTCGTTTTTGTGTTTTAGTTTTACCAATAAACAACGACAAAGCTAAAACGTTTCTTCCAGCAAATCATTACAGATATACAGTGTCCAACTCGAATACTTGAACTAATACTCGAATTCAAGTTTCAAGTTATACATGTATGCATTGATTTGGCATCGAAGAAAAGAGGTTTGTCAAGCTCTCTTTGTTTTTTCTCATTATACTTCTAGATTAACGAATATTGAAATATCTGCCTATTCAGATGCGATAAACCAGAAATTAACTGGCGAAATACAAAAAAAACTATTTGCTCGAATGATAAGTCATCAATGTTTACATGTCAAATGGAATGGGTGTGAATTTAGCACTACGACACTAAGAATTTTCTAAAAACGAATTCCAGCCGATAAAACCTACTCTTTTCGATGCAGAAATTCAATTCTGAATCGAATGGTCAAATTTTAGTTCATGGGAAAACGTTCGGAGAAAAGTTTTCTTTGATCTTTCTGTATTCTGTATACATACAGTGGCTCCAAAAATTATTCATACAGTATAAGGATTTCTTTGTTGTCCGTGAGATACTTATAAATGATTCAGTCTAGAGAGTTTCTGTTTTCAGCATTGTGTTCAGCACCAGCTCTTGTCTATACACACCAGTTTTCAGATCTAAACTCTTTTGTGTCATTATTTAGTGAATGAAAAGAAGAAGCGCTTAATTGTTGCGATGAACAAAAATTATTCATACAGTTACTTTTTTCTCTTAGAACTTTGTTTTTCAGGCATTCAAAAAAGCTTGATTATACACCATTCGAGAGAGAAAATTGTCGCGAATACGACAGTCTAAAGAAGAAGTCAAAATGATAGTGGAATGGTACCGAAAGCGTTGCTGTACGTCGAGCCCTAGAGATTTTCGATAAACTCAGATTATTTCTTTCTGATTTCATCGAACCACCATTCCGGATACACCATTAGAAAGAGCACGAAAAACTACGTCAGATATCACTCTCGAACAGTTCAAAGATAATTGAAAAGTCAAGACTTTAGAAGGATTTGAATTTTGGCCCTACTGATGACTCCAGGTTTTCGAAATATTTTTTTGGAGAAAATCTTGCAGTAAAACTTCCATACATAGTCTATGTGATAGAGAATTGAATTCTCTACAAGTTAGTGTGCTTCTTCGTTTCTCCTCAGGAATATCTATCGACAAATGGCTATGAGTCTTTCAAAGTCGTAATCATTTTCCAATAGGAAAAACAAATGGCATAAATCAGCTCTTTAGAAAAACTGTTCACTACATAATTTCCACGTGAAATCGTGTTTTTCGGGTCATTTACGGTCAGCTTTCATCGAATGGTAGGAAAACGTTTGACATTTCTTCACTCTACGCTTCACGCACGACTTCACATTCAAGATTATTCTTTTGCTGTAGAACAGCGGTTGGGAGTTTAGAAGATTTATTGTGATTTGTCGATGGATATTCGTGAGGAGAAACGAAGAAGCACACTAACTGGTAGAGAATTCA